CAGGGACTCAGAGCTGCCAGACACATGGTGCAACTGGGCCACACAGGACTGACGGCATCCCAGGGCAGCACACACGGACTGGTGCAGACTGGGCCAGCACACAGGGACTGGTGCAGAGCTGTGCCTGCTGCTCACGCTGGTGCCACGTGGGAGATGCAAACACAGAGGCTGCTGCCTTGGCCCCGGGGCATTGTCTGCAGTCAGGGCCTGAGGGACAAGGACAACTCAGAACCTGCTTCTTACAGGTTTGTTCAAAGTAGGATTCACTTTTTCACAGTAGGTGCTTGTGAGATACAGTGTCATAACATTTGCATGCACTTCTCTGAAGTATTTCTCATGGACACAGCCTGGCCTCTTAAGACAAGGGAATGTGCCAGAAACTTTTCTGATGGGTTAGGATTCAGCTGGTGTTTTCCTGGGGAAATTCTGGGAGATCCACTTAATCCCTGCATTAGCACAACTGACTCTACTAACTGTTAAAGTTCCATTAGCAATTCAACAAACCCACTAAAAAGCCTGGAGACTTGTGGACCTCATCTTTTCTGATCAGTGTTTTAACTGTTGTGGCTGTGCCCTGAACACGTCACCAGGAAGGGGCTGTGGATATGGTGTTTTTCCCTCTGGCTGCTGCCTCAGGGACAGCACAAGAGCCAGGCAGTGCTGGGATGGATGTCTCTGTTTCACTCAGCCTGGGTAATGAGAAGAGGCTCAACCCAACCCAGTGTTAAAGACTCATTTTGTCTCTGAAAAAGTTTCCGCGTCGATGAGTTTGATCTGCATCTCCAGCTGGATTTTGCACAGCTGTGTCCTGCTATCCCAGGGTGTCCATGTATCTGAAGTGGCCATGCCTGGAGACTGCTGAGTACTTCAGAATGGCATTTAGAGAAACCAGAAGGTTGAAGTGATTGCCACTCGTTCTAGCCAACACAGAATACTAAAAAGAGGTGCGAGTTTGGCTACGGTGAGGTTCCAGGATCTGCTTGAAATGATGGCCCTGAGCCAGGTGAGTCTGCTTTCCTTCTTGGATCAATGAAGAAGTGTCTGTTCTATATTGTTCCGAGGCAGGAGGCTCGGAATCTCAGATTCTCAGATGCTACTTCTGCCCAAATCTAAGAGTTTTTGGTGGACTTGCAACTTACGTGGATATCCTTAATGTTTGTTGGACTCTTGGGTGCTGTCAAAAATATGGAAGCAGAAAGAAAACATTTTGGGTTTGGCTGCTCTCTGGGGTAGCCAGACAAGGTGGGAGTATGAAAGGTGTGGAGTCTGAACAGCTGGGATCAACAGTCCCTGCAGTTGGTACTGCTGGGCTGCTTTAATGAGCATTCCCTCCCCTCCCTGGCACTGCCAGCTGGGTGAGGGAGCCAGGGATGCCAATTCAGGCCATCAGATTGGAGGAGCTGGGAGGTTCTTGTGCAGGCAGCTCTACAGTGACTTGAAAGGATGCTGATCCTTAGCAGATAGAACGAACAACTGGGACTAACCTTGGTTGGGGGTATTTTTTTTGGCAATGTACCTGGATCCAGGGGATAAGAGTTGCTCACAGCCTCTTAAAAACACTCAGCAGACTAAATTCTAACAGCTAAATAGGAAAAAGATAATCTGATTTGGGAACTTTGGTAAGTCTAAGGAATGAGAGCTTCAGGAAGTTTGATGGTGTCAGGACTGGTTATGTGAACACCTGCCAGCAGAAAACGAACTATTTAGAGCTGTTCCCGTGCTTGGGTAGGTGTGTGATGGCCACAAATTCCAGATGATTCCTTGGTGCATTGCTTGTAGACACAGGTCAGGATTCAAGCAGCAGCATATTCTGAAGAGCAGAATCTCCACCAACAGGTCCTTCCCCTGTTCCCAGCAATGCTGCAGAGGAACTGCTGAGGCACCTGCAGCCAGGAGGCTGGAGCACAAGGATGGCACCTCAAAGAATGGCTGACACCGGAATTGTGGAAATCACAAACTAAAAAAGCTCAGGTAGCCTTTGCCCAGCTTCATTACATCTGCCTATTTAATATACACTGGTGTCCCTGAGAGACTCCTGTAATGGAAATGAGGTGCAGCAGGCAGAAAAGAACTTGTTTTGGTTTGTTGTCTTTGTACCATACCCTGTGGTTACTGGCTTTGTTTTTAAATGAAACCAAACCCCAAACATCTTTAACTCACTATTCTCAATCAACTGCCTGGATTGTTTTCAGCTGAAAAGGGCCAGTTAATTACAAAAAGGATTCTTGCCCAGAATTGAAATGTAGTTAAGTTTCAGCCATGCTCTTGAATTAAAATGGTGGATGTGGTCAGAAGAAAGAGAAGTTGAGATTTAAAACCTTAGCTGTGGAATTCTAAATTCAAGCACCATTTCATGTGTGAACTTGAAGGTCTAAGGGCTTTTACCATAATGTTACTCCAGGCTGATGATCAGCAAAAGTCCTTCTGTGGGAACTCTTTATACTCAGCAATTTCCAGCTGCTCAAGAGGATCAGGGGTATTTACAAGCTGTAGTTTAAAAAAACTAAAACCCCTTAAACAAAAGGGAAACATCTCCAGTGGGGCTTGTGCTGGCTTTAATGACATCAGTCATTTGAGTCACACCTTCAGTGAAACTGGTACCATTTGCTTAGATACACACACTGAGATTAAGTGGATTGTTGCCATTAATTCCAGTGTTAAAGTGACACCAAACATTATGTCAGATTTCCACATAACAGAAAATGCTGTCTCCCACTCAGAGTTTTTCCTCTAGTTAGTGGAGCTGACAAGTTTGTCTAAGTCAAATTTCGATTTCTCAAGCCCCACAAAGTGCGTGCTGGACTGGAGCTGTTTGGTGCAGTAACTGCAAAGGCATTTACACACACACTGCACTGCCTGCAGCCAGTGCCTTCTGAAGGTGTGACCAGGAGGGTGTCCCAGACACACAAACATGTCACTTAAATCTACCTCAACCAGGAGCTGCATAACAATTGAAATCAACCTTTTCTTACAAGAGATATCATCTGGTTCTAGTTGCTGCTTGTTTCCTGTCGATGAGTGCCGGGGTATGGCGTGAGAGGGGGGAGAGGATGATGGCAACTGAACAGAAAAGGGGAAAAGCAGCCTTGCTCCTGACCATTTCATTCTGGAGGGTGTCTGCTGCTGGCTCTCAGCGGGAGGGAGGGCTGTGTGTTGAAGCAGCTGAGCACAGCCCCTGCCACGAGCTGCGTGGTGAGTTAATGCTCTCAACCCCCTCATCACTCACAACTGCCCAGCGCTCAGATCAGACACAACACCTGCATTCTGTGAGGGTGGCATTTACCTGTCTTGGTCTGTGGGTTTTTCGGGTATGTTTTGTTTTGTTTAAGATATGTCAGCTGAGATCCAGAGGGATGATTGAAAGGCTGGTCTGGGATCATACATGAGTGGCTATGGCTGGCTAAGGCCCAGAATTCTCCTGCTTCCCAGACTTCAGGGTAGCCACAAGACCACAGTGCTTTAGCTGAACTTCATCCTCTGCTGGAACTCGGCACAAGGAAGCCCAAGGAAAGAATTTACTTTTGAAGCGTCTTCTAAATGTTGTAGCTTGTTCTGTCCTTTGTATTCACCTAGTCCAGGAAAAACAACTTTTAAAGATTTGGTTCAACTGTCTAAATGAATGTTACGTGCTCCCAGATGTTTTTATATTTTATCTCGGATGGCTTGAGGTTTGCAGGAAAGCAAGCAGCTGTGCAGCCATCAGTGGAGGAAAGGGATCATTGTAAAGCAGAAAGCACATGGACTGCTAATAAAATACAGTCCAGTTTCTGGGCAGGAAGCCTTTTTTCCCAGGTTCTTGTAGTTCAAAGTGCTGCTCTTTAGGACCTGTTTAGTGTTTTGTTGGGTTTAGTTTTTACACAGATCTCGAGTGGGAAGTGTGAATAAGGGGTACAGTTAAATGTGCCCCATATGTATTGCTGGGGGATGATTATTTAGAAGATGTTTCTCTTTAAGAGTTTCTTAGGATCCTGCAGAAAGGTATCTTTGATCTGCCCTCTCCAATGAAAGCTGACAGTGCAGGTTTTGAAAAAGCTTTTTAAGAAAGGTTTTTAAGAATAAAAGTGATCACCTGTTTGAATGAAATGTCATTCATGAAGCTGCAAATTCCAGACTAAGGTGCCTGGAGTACCTGTTCTCTCCTCCCCTGTTTCCAAAGCGAGCCACTTGTTGTGTTTGTAAAGCTTTCCTTGGTCAGAGGTAGTGCTACAGGTTTGGTCAGTGAGGGGTGTAAAGCTCTCAGTCTGCTCTTGCCTGGGAGCCACGAGCACAGGACAGTCTGAACAGTCTTGCCCAGAGGGTGAATAACCTGGGAGGCATCGAGGAACTCCTTTCATGTCTGCATTTGGAACTCAGCTGGGTAAGCTGCAGAGCTCCACTTGTTCAGCCAACAGCTCCACTTCCAGGGGTGCTGCCCTAACTGTGCCTCAGTGCAGCACTCTGAACCACCGGGGAGAAGGTTCTACCTGGGTGCTTTAGTTTTTGATGTCAACATGCAGATGTTGGGGGCAGTTCTGCTGCCCTGGCTGCAGCTGTGCTACCTCCTGCAGGAACACAGGGGTGAGCTGCTTCATCTCCCAGTGCAGGAACAGAGCTGACACAACTGTGACATACACTATAAACTGGAAAGAAGGAACGCTATTTTAAACTGCATTTCCCTAATTAAAAACAGTTCACTTCTAGACTAGTTAGAAGATGTTAGAACTCCATGGGAAGAGTACATCTACAGTGGGTTTTGCACTAACATTCAGGGGGTTTTTGCTTTGAAAAAATGCCTTTATGAGTGGATGTGATGGCAGCTCTGGGACACTCAGCCTCCTGCTGCAAGTCCTCCTTCACAGGTCCCAGGGGACTGGGGTTGTGTAACTCGAGCCCAGATTGTTGAAGTGGTTTGATCCAGTTCTCAAAGGCGCACCAAGGTGAGTGCAACAGAAGTTAATGATAAGAGAATTAGTCTGTCATACATAATCCAAACTGACTGGAATGCAAAAGATGAGATGACATATTGTGGAAATTTTATTTTTTTTTCCTAAGAACCTCAGCCTACGACTTTTAAAAAAGTTATGTGACCTGCCCAGCCCACATCTGAAAACATGGCCTTGAAAACACGCTGCCTGGAGAACCTTAACGTGGTGGGAGGCCTTTCTGGAAAATATCCAACACATGCTCGAACATCAAAGGGATTCTATAAAGTTAGAACAGTAAAGAAGCTACACTGGATACATTGTAGTCTAGAAATACAATATTTTTTTTACTTTTTTCCTTAAAAAAGCTGGTGCAGAGAATACTGTTTTTTTTTTCCCTGACTGTTTTAATAATGGCTAAGAATAATCACTTATTTATAATAAATTAGGTCTGCAGTAGAAATGAACATACGAACCTTTTATGCTAATATTACTTTTAGAGTATCTAAAGTGGATTTAAACTATTCCAAGATCCGTTTAATCACTTGCAATTTGTGTTATTTAAGAATCTTCTATACAGCAAGTTGAACAGAAAAAAAAGCAAACATTTTAGCAGCCCCTTTTCCCTCTAACCATTTTCATAGAAGATAGATTTAAATAGCTTTTTTAGCGCATTTGCCGTGCTCTCCCTCCCCCTTTTTCCAAAGGCAGCACAGCAAAAAGACAGTGCAAGAGCTGCCCTTTCTGACTGACTCCGTTCTCGTCTCCGTCTGGCACAGACACGGGGAAGGCAGAGACTCGAGTCCCACAATGGAAAGGGTGAGCTTGGGGTTTGCTTTGCCAAATCTCCCAGAACTTTGTTCTTTTCCCGGGTTTTAGCTGATGAAACCCCCTGTGCTCAGTGTGTCCGTGTCCCTCTGTGCTCGGTTACAAAGTTTTCTCTTCCAGCTGTGGGTCAGCAGGTTTTGAAGCGTCCCTTTCACCTCACTGAGCACAGCGCGAAACAAGGCGAGGAACCGGTGACACCCAAACGGGAACTCGCGTCAGGAACGCCTCGAGCAGCATTTTGGACGCTCCATTCTCTCCCATCCTCACTCTGGGGAGGAAGAATCCTCCTCTTCGTCCTCTTCCTCGTCGTCGTTGAAGGAGCAGGGCGTGTCCCCGCGGGACTGCTGCGCGCTCAGGGCCACCAGCTGCGCGCTCGCCGCGGCCACCTCCGCGTCCTCACAGTGCCCTGCGTGCCCGCTACCAAAACAACACAAACCAGCACCCTTAGAGGGGCCCTCAGCCTCCCCTTCAGTCAGAGGAATGCTGCCAACAGGGAAATTGCTGCAGTGATGTGCTGAAAACTGATAACCCACTGCAAAGGTGCACGGCAAAGATTACTGGGCCACTGCTTTCCCCATAAACAACGAGGGGGATTGCTCAAGCTGAAGAAATTAAATTAAAGAAGATTAAATCCACCAGTTGTGTCAATGCACACTGCAGTGTCACATGTCTGCCATATGAAATGAAGCTGTTACATGCTATAATGAAGAACCTGCTCCAGGACAATCCTTATTTCCATCTTATGGTCCAGGTAAGCTCCAAGCAAAGCATGTATGGCTGTTGAGATGTATTTTGGATTGGGTTTTTACTGGTGGTGTTTTTTTGGTTGGTTGTTGGTTTTTAAATTATTTAGGCTATGTGAACTAAACTTGTCTCATGAGAGCTTGAGCAGTAGTGCATTTAGACACCAAATATTCTTTTGCATTCTTCAGAAATATTACCAGCCTCATATCCACGTGTAATTACCTATTTGTAGGCCATGCCCAGGCAGGAATTTAAGGTTAATCAAGAAAAAGGACTCCAAAAGTGATTCTATTCTTATGAAACATAGCTGGTATGTTCAAAATTCATAGCATGTTGATCTGACCTTTCAAATATAATTATCAAGGAAGACAGAATTAGACTTTTTCACAATCAAAATCAACCATAACAAGAAAACATTTCAATTCCTGAAAAGTGGGATGAAATCGGGAGGTTACTGAAAGTACCACAAGCATACATAACTACCCTTGAATGAAAAATTAATTCATTTACCTTGATTTATCATTGCAAGTGCCTCCAGCTGCCTCTAAATGTGAAACTGCTTGTGCTGAACTTGAAAGTAACCCTTGGTTTATCCATGAAAATCCTGCAGACATATCTGCAAGAAAGCATACCTGGATTTATGAGAGCTACTTACATTTTTTTCTTCCTTTTACAATCCTAAACTTTGCAGTTAGGATTCCAGTTTGGCTTAGAAGGTACCAGGGGAGCTGTCTCCTCCCTGGGGAGAGGAGATGTTGGGGTAAGACCATTAAAGTGTTCTTGCAATAGTGCTGAATTCCTGCAGGTAATTTGTTAAGAGCCCCCTGAGGGCCACAAACAGGTTCCTTACAGCCCTCATAGCACTTGTTTTCAAATTCCTTAACAAGAAATGCCTGTCAGTTGTTTCCAGTTACGCACATTTCTGCCAAGAGAATCAGCAAAACAAGTCCATTGACCCAATTACCCTTGTGGGATTTTTTTTTTTTGGGGGGAGGTCGTTTTTAATTTGTTCCTTAGATAAGGTCTTTCTGTTAACCTGCCCAAATTCCATCTGGACACAAAGTTAACATCAAAACAAAGTTACCAAGGCTGTCCAGTTGTTTTCCATGGTGCTTGCAGGTGGTTCCAGCTGGATGCATTAAGCCAGAGTCAGAGTCCTTGCTGTTCATGCTATTCCTACCCCCAGCAGCAGTGCAGTGGGATTGCACTACTCGTACTTATCTGGAATTGCTCTCTAAGAGCAGGTAAGAGGAATAATGAACTGTGTTTGTCACATACACGTTCTCATTTGTCCTTCTGCATCCTTGCTAGGCTTTGGTTCCCTGGGATTTGGGGTGTGCTGCCCAGGACAGGCAGGCCCAGCCCTGCAGATTGCTCTGCATGCTCTGGGATGGATCCACAGGGTACCCTGTGCTGTGGAGACCTGGCAGGTATTTAAATAACCTGTCACAAAGCCAGGCCAGCAAGGGGTGTCCCTGCAAACATCAATAAGTGGCAGTTTTGGGGTGATCTGCTGAGGCCAGAATAGGTGAGGGTAGGTAAATGTGGGCACAGCTGGATGGCTTCCACTGAGATTGCCCCAAATGCAGGTCTGATGTTACAGAGAACATGTTCTGACAGCTGAGCCATGGAATGACTGCATTGTATTTAGATTAACAGAGATGTACACAGTGCTGTTTCCTGGTATTCTGAAGGAGTGTGCCTGCATGGACATGCTTAATATTCCAGAAGAATAACAAGACACTGCTAGTAATCCTGTGGTTTATTAACATTTTTGGATAATAACTGGGTGGCTTTCCTTTCTGAAGAGCAAGGTAGAAGAAAGTGTGGCTTTTACACAAGGGAGGAAGGTGGTTCAGAGATGCACATCCCTGCCTTGTGTTTTCATTGCCTGACATTTCTAAACTCTATTTTTCAGTGGGCTCTGGGGAGCTCTACAGCAATACCCTCAGTAGCTTTAGTAGTTACTGAGCTAGAGCTGCACGGGATTGATGTTGATGGCTCAGACTCCTTCAGTCAGGGCATACTCTGGGCTCTGTAGTTCCAACTCCAGCCCATCTTTCAGTCAAGGCTTATTGTGCAGGGAAGAAAAAAGAAGTGCTGTAATCTAGAGGTCCTAAACTGCCCCACTTTCTCTGCCCACTGCCTCAGTGTGATAAATACAGCGGGATGCTCTTACCCCAACTCTCAGTGCCTCAGAATTTTTATTGCCTGCTGGTTTTTATCTGTATTCTCATCTCTGGGAGTCAGGACTTAACTAACAAAGGCAGGACTTGGGTTTGCATGAAGTGCCTGTAGCTCCAAAGGCACAGATGTTCCTTGGGATGTGGTTCCACGAGTTCCTGCTTGTCTCTGCTCATGCAGCAACCTCACTCCCTCCTTCACCCCCGAGCTGCTCTGCTTTGAGCCCCTGGCTGGACAGTTCTGCTGCTTTCATTGTCAGGAACTGCCCTGGCAGACAAACAGCCTGTAGTTCATACCCAGAACCAGTTCAGGAAGAGCACACGGGACAGGACCTGGCTCCCAGTGACTGGGCAGGAATGTGGAAGTAGGATGGGACCCTGCAGAGCATCTTAAGTGTCCTGGGTCAGACCCTGTCAGTGAGCACAGCTTGCAACAGAAAAGTGTCACAAACAAATGTAAGATAACACAGAATGTGTTACCCTGTGATGTTACTGTGCCTTAGCTGGGGTGATGTCAATGGCAGTCACACCCAGGATCACACCACTTCAAATGCATATTACAAAAATGCAACACTTTTTTCGCTAAAACATCATGGAACTGATAGCAAACCCAGAAGACACTACTTTTATCAAATCTGGGCACTTGAAGAAAGGCTAAAATACATGAGCCTCCTGAAAAGAAAATACACTAATAAGGTTTTGATGCACATGTCATCAGTTCAGCAATTCCAAGCAATTTATTTGGCTGTTTAATGCAAATAGGAAGTTATTTCTTTTCAAAACTATGATGGTCCAAGGCTTTTTGGCAATTTTAAGTTTCTTTAATCGAACTGGTTTAGACTTGGATTCTTCCAACTGCTCCTCTAGTCCTGCTGGCAAACATTACAGTACAGACTATTGTAAGTGCTTGGAAGTGAGGAATTATCTGCAAAAGTGACCAGGCTAAGGTCAAACTGACATTGCCCAGGAAATGATTACCCACTTAGACATTAGAACAGGACTGGCTTCTACAGCAGTCATGGAGTCACTACAGTGATTGGAATAAATCTTGCTCACAGTAAATTTACTCAGGGATTAAATAGGAGATCTTGATTTGTTTTTCCTGTTTTTCCTGGTTTTCAGTAGTAACTGAAGGCAGTGTTGTTAAAAGGGCCATCCTGACAGCTGTGCCAGTAACCATGGATTCCAGAAAGCACTGAGGACCCTTTGATTTCACTGCTCCTGCAGCGTTAGAAACAATGTCTGAAGACTCCCAAGGCTAACATGGAAAGTTACCCTTCACCAAAAATAGATAAGCTGGATTTTCAGGTACTGTGCAAACCATTTCAATCTGTTTCCCTTCTTTGTCACTTCCTGCCATTGACACCACGACTGTGCCATTCAAATCCCAAGTGCAGATTGGTGGTGTGTAATTAACAAACAACAGGCAAAAGAAGCTTTTAAAGCAGTGTCCATGTGCTGGTAGCAGCAGCTCTGGGCTCATTTCCTGGGAGGCTGGAACAGCTGAATTTACATTCAGCACAGGTGGATGTGAGCTGCTCCTCAGTGCAATGGGAGTAAAAAATCAAACCAGTGCATTTGCTGGGAATTAAAGGCTCTGCAGGTTCCTGGCTGCTGCTCTGCTACGAGGGAAATGCTCAGTAAATGATGACAAAGGGTTTGTGCAAATGGAAAAAACCCCTGTTCTCTGAAGGTAAATTAATGCAGATTTAAAATTAAAAAGAAATTTTGGTTTGATCCTGGACACATGGGAGCAATTAAGTAACTTAAGCATTGCAACACTATTAAATAAAGATGTGGGTTCTACTCCTTTCCCCTTTCTTATGCTGCTGATGGTAAATAATTTTTAGTTGAAAGAATCTGCAAGGAAAAAAACCAAGATTTCTTTCAACTTCTCTTTTTGGTACCACTGCTGTCTTGTAAAGGCTTGGAGTGTAATTTCAACATTGACCAAAATTAAAATATGAAATCTTAGTTTTAAAATGCCCAGGACAAGAGGACCAGGAAAACACAAACAAGTGTTGATAAACATAGGCATGTTTGATGTAGCTGGAAATGTTAAGCCATTTAAAGTGTACTAATTTTACTGACTGTAACTTAAGCTATATCCACCAGTGTTTTGACATCACAAATTGTAAGAAATTGTTTTCACATAGTTAAATCAAGAATATAAAAACATGTGTTCAACTTCCTGACTACTTAACTATATTTTTATTAGCGAACAAAATGGTTTTATTTTTATGTAAAGGCAGCATTTTAAGGTGGGACTCCTGTCCCGAAGTCTTCAGAGCCTCCTGCTTTATTTTGAGCAGCTCAGTTCTCAGCTGGCACCTGAGGGATTACACTCAACCAGTGTAAATTACATTTACAGGACAACTATGATATAGCTTCCAAAATCAACAGTAAACCAACTGGTTCATGCACCAACCCTACTGGGTCCCATAAAACCTCAGATGTTTCTGTTAATATAATTAAATTTGCTCAGTTACCCAAGGTCATGGATTTGATCGAGAGCAACAATTAAAGTCCCATTAACTCACCTGTGATGTAGCCTTCTAAAGCTTTGGGCACCAGTGATTTTGCAGTCCTGAGGTCCTCAGCTGAGCACTTTCCTGCCTCGAGCCCCAGGGACATGCCCATCCTCTTCAGCACCTCACTGTCATCGTGGATCTCGAAGGTGTTATCGAAATTAAAGAGGTATTCAAACCTGCATGTCAAACATTAAAAGGGAGATGGTTTTGAGAAGAGCACAGCTGTGCTTTTCTTGCTTGTTCTTTCTGGGTTTTTCAGTATGCACTGAGGTAAATGTGTAGATTCTTTATTTTCTGTAGCAGGTCCTTAGGGAAAGAGAAGTGCAACAAATGCTTTCCCTCTCCTTTCTACAGGGTTTGAAATGGCACTTTCTCAGCTGAAGTAACTTCACCACTGCAGGAAGAAAGTTGGGCATTTTCAACCTCATTAAGTAGATTTAAAGAGAAGGAGGAAGGCCTTATTAAACATGAGCCTTCACTTGCACTAAAGCCAGTAAGGTCACCTGCAGCCCTGTCACCAAAATAACTGTTTTCTTTTTGCTTTTTTTACATTTCACTTTCTGTTCTAACGTGCACCACTCCTCCTGTGAACTGACCTATTTACCTTGGTACCATTTTGCCTTTTTGGATGCAGTTAGCAAAGCAGTCTGTTCAGTCCTGTGTGTTCACAACCCACCACTGCTGCTGCAGGACTCTGAAAATGTTTTCCACTGCATATAAAAGTGAAAATGGTGATACTTGATTGTGACACTTCAGCCAGCTTTAAGGAAGGCAGGGCCATCTCGGCTGGCCTTTAGCTGTGAGCACAGGCTGTTAAAGCCTGCACTGAACTCTGCTTTCATGGCACAGGAGTAGAGGCTGCATTTACTGGTGGCTCTGCATTTCTCCTCCCCTGTGCTGAGGTCAAACATGGATGTTAGAAGGGAGGGTGAGTTCTCTGCCCCTCCCCACAGTGTCCAAACAGAGCCATTGACGTTTCTTTCTCCGGTGCAGTTTCAGCAACCTGAACAGGAACACAGCAAGCCCCTGCACTTCTGGCTGTCAGCAGCTATTGGAGGGGTTTCTTTAGGGGACTTGCTATGTTCTCTCTGCACATTCCCCAGCATTTTAGAGGCCTCTGAATCCACAGCCCTCTCTTTTCCAGGCCAAAGAGCCCATCTGTTCCTCCTGTCAAAGGCCTTTCAAAGCTCCCCTCCCACATCTCTCTCCTGCTTTTGCTGTATTTTTCCCGGGACCAGGAGTGGACAGCATTCCAGACAGAAAAGCACTGTGTGCATCTCATTTTCCATTGTATTCCTTACCAGCTTTTCTAGCAATTCCCAGCATTATTTTGGCTGTTATTGAGGAATCCACTTTTGCTCTCACAGAATGATCCACTGGGCTGCCATCTCAGCACTGATGGCTGAGGCTCACAGCAGCATGGACACAAATTCTGGGTACACTTCTGTCCCTTTGCAGGGTAAGTGCAGATCTGATCACCAGTGATTTTCATCTGGACCCTCTGCTCTTGCAGACAATTCTTTCTGTAAGGGTACAAGAGCCCACTTCCCACATCTTCTCTCTAAAGTACAGCACTGTATCTCCAATGGCAGAATATTCTGCATTTCCTATTAGAGATGTCCTCACTTCCCAAGTTTCTGATACATCTGTTGTGTTTGTATGCTTGTTTAAAACTAGATATTCTGGTTCCTTTTTTTTTACCTCTTCTTTTTCCTAGGACTGAGAGCATTTATATAGAAGCACCACATACACCAAATATATTTTTCCAGTTTAAATGGGACTTCTTCATGTGCCTCATCTTCTCAGTATAATTTTTAACTACTTCCTTTTAATGTGAAGACTGTGCTTTTCCTACTCTATCTTTAGCAATGCCATTCCCAGTATGTTGCTTGGCACCCATCTACCTTCTCAAAGTCTACACAAAACTTGCCCAAGAACCTCTTCATTTTTATTTGGGAGAAATTTCCTTCTGTTTTGGCTGGGTAAAGCCAGTTCTTGCATAGGAAAAACCTCAGAGGACACAAACTTCTGTGCCTTGTGATCCTACATCCCCCTTATATTTATATGTCTGACTTTTCCAAACAGTTATTTTCCTTCAGAAGATCCTCTGTAAACACAATTTTGAGTAGCTAATGCTGGGAGCTTTGCTCTTCACTGGATTCACCCACAGCAGTGCTTTGTATAAATGTTGGAGAAGGAAGAAAAATGAAGCCCTTTGGAGAATGGGCTGGTGGGACTGGAACCAATGCAGGGCAAGCACTCAGGCTGAGCAGTAATGGGATTAAACAGCACAAATGCTCTCCAATCAACTCCAGGATGGGAATTCTCCACACTGAGTGCCCACTTTTGCTAAAACTGCTTATTAAACAGCTCAGTGTAACAGTGCTTACACCAGAGCAGATCCTGACTGTTCATCTCCACATTGCTGCTGCCACCGATCAGCTGCACAAACATTAACCACGGTGGATTGTTAATTGGGGCCCTACACTTGATGACCTCCAGGTGACAGTCACACCACAGCAGGTTATATAAACTAAAATAGCAACACCCTCAGTGATGTTGGGGTGCTGACTTTGAGCAGCAGTGGTTTTGGACAGCTGGGGGCTGTTACAGGTGTGCTGACACTGCTCTGGATCCCAGGTGCCAGTTCAACCTCTGACTTTGAAGTTTCAGTAGGAAATGTTCCATTTTTTTAACAGCTTTAAAGCTCAAGGTGGAGCCCTGTTCAACAGTGCAGAAAGAACTGTACAGTGGGACTATAAAATAAGGGCATAATTATGCTAAATCAAAATGGATCCTAACATTCCCAGCTTGGTGGACTGCAGTGCTGATGAGAGCATTCCAAAAGTTTTGTCACAGAACGTACTGGACTTCAGTCCAATTTCCTACAAAAATTCCCCTTCCAATAGCATTGCTGATTTGCCTGTTGGGGCTCAGGTCACCACACACTGTCTATTTTTGCTGCCTGACAGTTCAGTCCAGGATTTGCACACCAGGAGTGAAATCTGTAATCTACAGTATTAAAGCAAAGCCAGCTATTCTCAGCTAATGAACTCCCGTGATCCAATTAGCAGTTCAAGTAAGAGCACCCCACACCTCGGCCATATTTTCACAGGATGAGGAGCACCACAATTATGTAACTGCAATACTTTCAAATTAATGTGAATGCAACCACAGCAGTTTGCTTACAAAGACAGTCTTTCAAATTCCTGTGTCATTTCCTTCAAAGAACTAAGTGCTTTTTGGTGCTAAAAGAGCCACTTTCCAAGTTGTTATCATCACCTCTGGGATGTTACTTTTGTGTCACATGGGTCACCTTGTGTTTCTGGCAGTAAATATTCAGAAGCAGCACCCCCTGGCTCCATGGAAAGGAGATGCTGGCCTGGGAGATGGTTCCATTCAGTTATTTCTTCTGTGCAACCCCCTGAAGTGGCAGTTGCAATTGCAAATACAATAATTACTTTTAGTACACTAGAAAAATTTCCCTCATTTGTTTTAAGAAAAATTCCAGTCCACAAAGAAAATAAAATTCTACAAACTGCTTCCATAAACACTCACTTGTCACTGGATATGCTGCAGTCTATAATGGTTCTTTTGCTAGTGTTGACTATCAAGAAGGGCAGCTGGATCGTGGAGTTCAAAGAGGGAGGGCCCTGATTTTGCTGCTCATTTTGCTGATTTCTTTGCACCAAGTTTTTAAATGCTATTTGCTGTGAAAAGAAAGAAAGAAAGAAAGAAAAATGATCACTGACAATAAGAGAGCAGACAGCAGTGTTTGCAGGAAATGACATGTCCTAGGTGTATTTACCAACTCTCAATATCTTATTTTGTCAAAAAGTAAGTTGTGGCCTGACTTTGCATTAGTGAAGTTCACCAGAAACAGAAGTTAAAGGCAATTTTTTCACACATATCCTATTGCCTCTGCCCCCCTCACACTGCCTGGAGAAGAAACACTGAAGGAGCACCAAAGCTTGCTGGGAATGCTTCCCATTCCTCTGGAAAAGGCACTGGAGTCAGAGGTCTTCTCTGGTGCTTTCTAAGCATAATTACCTCAGAGTAGGAGCCACTTACCCTGAAACAAAAGTTAACAAAATTCCCCCTCTTCCCACCATCTGTATTCTCTTTCCCCTCTCCTTTATCACCACTTGTCTCTCTCAAAAGAATTAGTTTTGAAATTCTTCTCTGAAAGGTATTAAACAGGTGCTGTTTGTGACACCACTCGCTGTCTGCTGATTTCTCTATCTGACTACATCTGTATGAAAATGGGTGGGTTTAGGAAATGTACTTTCATTTACAGAAAAAAAGTAGAATTAAATATACCTGCAGCAGCAGTTCTTGCAGTTGGGCTCGCTTCTGTTTTATCCTTTCAATCCGCTTCTGCTTTTCTATCTTAAAAGAAAGAGAAATGGAAATGCATCCAGATATTTCCTCAGTTACCCTCTCTGTTCCACTGTGCCAAACTGAAAGGCTTTCTTTGAAAACGGGGTGAATTGCCTGGCCATAGGAGTTTCTCCAGTAAACAGGTCTGGCAAACTGTAATTTCTTTCTTTGTCAACAATTTTAACTCCAGTCTGCAATCCATTATTATGAGAGACTTTTAAAACTTGGCTGGTCCAACCCCCCTGTCCTATTTACGGTGTTTCTTTGTGGTGGTTCCCTCCTCACACTCTTCAGTGTTTAAAATGCTTCCTTCAGAGCACAGTAAATGACTTTTTTTTTCCTGGGACTCTTAAAACCAATAAACAGTACAGATATCATTTAGGCACGGTTTCTATATAACAATTTTTTTTTTGTACTGGTAATCTTATTAGGATTTACACTGCAAGAAGAGTTGGCAATTTACACAGCTTTAAAAGCTAAATCAATTCTGATTTTCACACCATAAAAATGCAGCTTTATTTTACATTATTTTCTATTATGTCAGAGGAAGCAACATTTTTTAAAAAAAACCAAGCCTGGCTTCCATTTTGTGCCCAGGTAACTGGAGCCTGGAGCAGTGAATCAGGTATGCTCACTGAAGAGAACACACTGAAATACAAGCCCCATGTTTGTAACAATCACCTACACTGAAGAGAATACATTCCCATGAATGTATGCCAAAGGTGAATTTATTCCTAATTTAAGAAGCCATCCTGCAGTGTAATCACTGAGCACACACACCCCCTGGGTGGGGGCACTTGCCAAGTTATTGTAATGGGTAAGAACAGTAAAAGCTTTTCTATTACCACATCTAGAAAGACAATTGATGTAAATGACTGCACAAAAAGAGCTGTTCTGCCTGGAAAGGCACCACCCACCTCTGAAATACCTAATGCACAAATAGCACAAATGTAGTAAATATTAGGATGTGTTTGCAGCCAGCCATTCCAGCACTGCAGTAAATACACTGACTTGTGCTTTATTTATAGCACATTTGGCCTGAAGGACAAGCAGCATTTGTGCATAGAAATGCTGGCATCCCTGCAAAAAACCACTGTAACTCTTAGCCTGCTGCAAAAATACTGGAAATAACCAATAGGTAAAACTTCCTTTTTGGTTCTCTGGCAGTTCATAACTAGTACTTGACACCCCAGCAGGAATTACTTTTCCATTTAATTTCCTTTGAATTGTGTTTCCCAGTACAGACATTAATAGAGAACTGCTCTTCTATTCTTCTGACTTTCTTTCTGGTTAATTCAAGCTATCACACCACTGTTCTTTTGGTTAGGTAAACAGTGTGGGGGCTTAAAAACCTTCACATAACATATACTAAATAAACAAAGCTGAACTAAACTTATCAAACATATCCTTTCAGTTTATTCCAATAGCAAAAGTTGTATTTTCATAGTGTGCAAGAATCAAAACCAGTCAGTTCCAAACCCTCTTGTAAAGAAGAGCAACTCCATTATCACCCCCTGGAAACTCAGCAGGATTTCCCATTTCCCCTCCCCTTACCTCCAGATTCTGACATTCCTGAGCTGAGTTTGTGGGAAGGCCAATCCATCTGATTTCCTTCTTCTCCTTGGAAATGATGTTCATGGCCATCAGCACGTTGAGGGCGTCGTAAACTCTCCGTCTGATATTCTTCTGATCGTAAGCCTGCTGAGAAAACAACTCAGCATTAATTACAACCAAAGAATTCCAGCAGGAAACACAGCTCAGCACGTCCTTCATGGGTACCACAGGAGCTGTCTGGGGACAGGGGAGCCTTCAGGCCTGCTGGAATTATCTGTGCACCAATTCCCACCATGGCAAGTCTGTCACAAAACCACCCCTGGTGGCTGAAAGAGGAGCCTTTTCTTTGAGTTAATTATTTTGGTGGGCTCGTCTGCTTTGTTTATAATCTAGAGGGAGCTCAATTCTTCATTTTAATATTTTAATTTATTTAATAATCTTTATTTTTTACTAATTTATATTCTATCAATTTAATTTATTTACTTAGATTTAATAATTTAATTTATTTTAATATTTTTGAATTTCTGAGGATGAGTAGATTTGAGAAGTAGTTAAGTAAGTGAAGGAAAGCACAGGCTGTGGCAGGACAGAAGGACCAGAACCCCATGACAAACAAGACAAATCTGTAATGGGACAACAATTCCCCCTCTTTGCTCACCGAGTCTGCAGCCAGGTGGCTGTTGGAGTTGGTGAACTCTGACACCAGCTCATCAGCCACTTCATTGTAGGAAGTCGTCCCTTTCCGCTGAACTTTTTCACAAACTTTCATTGAAAAATGCCTCAGGCCCTTCCCATTTTTATCTCCTTTCTTGCTTCTCTTACTGGAAAGAAAAAAATATTATTTTAGGGCACTGAATCTTAACAAGCTACTTCATTACACAGCTAACAGGGTCTACCTTTTGCTACAGGGATCTGTACTATTTAAATTAAAACCAAAAGTGTTCTGCTTTTCTGCATCAGTTCCTTGTTTCTTACAAGTTGGCAAAAAAAGTGCACTGGAGCCCTTTCCCTTTCCTTGGCTTTCTCCATGGACAGTATTGGAACACATGCTGTGGGAAGATGCTTAAAAATAGACCTGGAATTCATCTGCAGGTAATTTCACAAAAGAACAATTAAAAAAAAAAAGAGGAAAATCTCAGAGGGTGTTTATGTCCTGGAACCCAGTTTTATGGGGATCCCTCCTGTGAGTGCCTAAAACAGAAAGGCTCAGACACCCCTCCTGAAATCTTTAAAATGCAGCAGCAGATACTAAACCTGCCCATCAGGGATTAACTGTGGGCCATCAGAGTTAGGACAGAGGGACAGGAATTCCCTTTGTGGAGAATAAGAACATATTCCTGGGGTTTTATGGTGCAAATTAACAACTGACAACTGTCAGGGTTATTTTCCATTCACCTTCTTCTTCCAGAAAAGCGAGAACTTAGATAATAGTAGTAGAAAAAACCAGGAGCAGTTGGTTTTCTCACACAGACTGGATTTGGATGTGTATTACAACAGAAGCCTTTCAAAAGCTCAGCTCTGTTGTTTCTGGGTTTGTTGTTTGTTTTTTTTTAATTACAGGCTGACAAGTTCATTTGATAAAATGTCTCTTATTTTACAGAAAAAGGCCTAGTTCTGTTAGCAGTAACAAGCTAAGGGAAATATTAAAATATTAACATAAAAGAACGGCTTCCAAAATTTAGAATGTAGTTAAGAAAACAGAACACAGAAGACAAAAAAAAGAATAGAAACACCAGAAGATTAAAAAAACCCCAACACTTCCAATCCCTAAACAGATATTCAATTTGATCAACCTCAACAGGTAAACAAATAAAACCACCTTGAATGCTTTCAAAAAAAAGTTTCAGAAGCAAAAATCATTTGTTTACAAGTATTTGTCCCATGGAAAACCAGACCAATCTTGTTTCTGCAAACCTGTTTGTTTTTCACAGCTCCTGCTATCCCCTGTAAGAGCAAATGTCTTTATCAGGAAGTGCCAAAGCTAAAAGGAATGAATTATAACTACAAGGAATAACATCCACACAGCTTTTATGTGAAGGAGGGAAAACTGAAAGTGGGAACTGGACACTCCTCTCTCTGAAGGGCAGACCTGAATAAAACAGCTCTGACTGTGCACATAAACCACGTTCAGCAACACTCACCTTTCGGAAAAATCCGACTCTAGGATTTCTTGAGTCCGTTTTCGCTCCCTAAGAAAAGACAATTCAAACTTTAGGTGACAATAACATTATATCTACAGGCCACTAAAATCTCTGTGCAGGGCCTGGCTGGCTCTGGTGTTTGCTGTTCCATGTTTCCCAAAAGTGAAAAATCTGACACGCAGAGATTGGCAAAATCTGAGAGAAGGGGGTTAGGGCTTTGGGAGGAGGTTGCTGGAGCTCGCTGCCAGACAAGTCCTATTCCCAATTTTACCATGTTTTGCCCACATAAATCTAGGTAAGTCACCTCACCTGGAACTGCAACAGTGCTGACCTGAGCTAGATAACCAAAGACCATCAAAAAGGAGAAGCTTTTTCCTTTGAAAATTCCTGTTTAAAATTCCTCCATGTGGAACAAAACTGTCTTGAAACAGTGCATGAGATATATCCTGTATTTTCAGGCCATTGCATGTTCTGAAACCTTTAAACAAAAACCAAGGTAAACCAAAACATTCAAATTGGGGCTGATGCAGACAGAGCTGAAGAGACTCTGAGGAAGCAGCTGGCGTGAATGTTGCACAGGATGAGCAGTCTGCAGTCACTGGTGGCTCCTTCTCACCCCATGTATCCCCCAGCAGCCAGGAGCTGTGTCCAGACCCGCACTGATTCCTGCAGCTCACAGCAGGGACGTTCCCAGAGCTGTCAGGAAATGATATCCCATTGTTCCCTGTGTTTCCAAAGGGGGCTCACAGCACAGCCTCCCCCAGCTGGACACCCCACACTGCTGGGAGGGAGCTGAACACAAACCATGCATTTGAAGCCTGTGCCTGGAGAGGCAGCACACACTTGGTGTGTGGAGCAGAGCAGGTCCCTCCCTGGGCAGCAGCAGGGGATTTGTGCCTCATTCCTGTCCATGGTGCTCAGCAGGGGCTGAGTGTGGCTGGGGGGCTGCACTGCAGGGGGATTTGTGCCTCATTCCTGTCCATGGTGCTCAGCAGGGGCTGAGTGTGGCTGGGGGGCTGCACTGCAGGGGGATTTGTGCCTCATTCCTGTCCATGGTGCTCACCGGGGGCTGAGTGTGGCTCGGGGGCTGCACTGCCCTGGGCACGGCCCTGCAGCAGGGGGAGAGGAGAGCTGGACCCTGCTCTGGGCACCAACTGCTGGGGGTTTATGGAGCCCTGAGAAATGATGTGCTCAGCCCATTGGATTTTGGAAATAACGTGGAATCTGTGCAGTAAACGATGGGCAGAGCAAGCAGTGTGGACTTGCAATCCTGTGGAACTGTCTCCAGCAAGGGCTCCCTGTCTGTTCAGCAACAGCACGGACCTTCCTCACTCTGCTCCTCAGATGAAAACGTGGCCTGTGGCATGGGCTTGTGCACAGATCAGCACTGACTGCTTGCCTGGAGTCACCTTGCTCCTTCCTGGGGCTGGAACAGGAGTTTCTCGGCTCTGCCAGTCCCCAAACAGCAGGCTGGTGCTTCTCCTGGGTGGTGGAGGTTGATGCTCTGCAATGCAGGCTGCTCTGGGAACCCCCTCACGGGGTTGGGATGAAGCCTGAGAAGGTGATGGGTGTTGATTCTCTGGTTTAACAAGTTGTTGTGACCGGATAGCAGAGCTTGTCCCTCCTCTGGGTACTGAAAGAACATCTGCCTGGCCTCCACATTTCACAGAATATGCAGGAACAAAGCAATCTTGGACAGCTCCTTTTTCAAATAAAATCAGAACTAAGTGCATTCAAAAGGTATTTCAGGAAATGAACACAAAGTCAGAAAAAAATTAAAGCTTAAAAACTGCTCAGCTGGGCCTGCAGTTTATCAGCTCTGTGGTGGGAATACAGTGATTGGGAAGGTCAGGAATATGACAGAGTAGTTGTTTCTTGGATGCTCCATTTCTCATGTGTAAAGCTGAAAAGGTCCTACTGACATTCATCACTGATTAGAAAAATTAACCTAGATGCAGAAATAAATTATTTTTTCAGAGGCAACGTTCTACATCTCTGTTTTGACACAGCTAAGCTCAGCAGTACTGGTATTAAAACAAAATACCAAGAACTAGAAACTGTCACCCAACATACAGACACAACAGTATAAAGAACAGAAGAGACCAGAGCAGACATCTTTAAATAAGGCAAAAGTCCTACCCTGGGAGCCAGCCAGAAGCTTCTGTGATGTGTGTCTGGGTGACCATTGCTGGAGCTGGGTTATAGGGACTCCCAAGCAGAACACTCCCTGAATTGGTCAGTCTTTGGGGGGTGCTTATGATCTGTCAAATTCAGGAATAAAAAACACAGCTGTTTTAGGAAAACAGAGGTTACCACAGCCTAAAATTCATCAGCATTGCACTAAGAAATGTAGTGATAATTCTGTACCAGAAGCAAGCTGCAGTCAAAACATAGAGAGGAGATGCCATCAGAAGATCTGCATACAGTAAAGCAATTACAACACTGCTAAGTTTCTAATTGTACCACACTGCTGTATTATTCACACAGAACTAGCCAAAGAGAAGTAATTCCTAGGTATGGCAGGTAGGATCTGTACCTACAGACACCCAGATTTTTCTCCACCACTACCTCCAGGCAATGTCTTGATCCCTGCAATCAATAAAATCACCTTTCTTTCCAATGGATTTGTCTCTTCTAACTGTCTTTGGTACCAAAGACAAACTGAGCTCCAGGCAAAGTGTTCCCTGCAGTTTTTTGCACTCACAAGGTCCCGGGGCATTCTGGCAAGCTAATAATGCAGCACTGTGCCTGTGGAATTCAGAATTCCCATTTACACAAACCTGGTGAAATTGTAGCTACAGTGGTTAACACCAAGACACCTGGTCCCAACTTTTAAATCACACCCAAGTTCACTCTTAAAAGAATTTAGATAGTATTTAAAAATCAAACAGCATTAATTACTTGATCTTTAAAATAAAACACATTTAATTACTTGGATTCCAGGATGATAAGATTCATACCAAGGTTTCTTGGACAGCGCTTTTTACTCTTATACCTTATTTCATTTATTAAAACTTTATTTTTACTTTACTCCATTTGTTAAGTGACTTTTTGAGCACTGACTGCACTAAACATTGTAGTTTCCTTTACTACTTACCAACCCCATTGTAAGTATACAGCAGATATATATATATATAAATATATACACACTGCAGTGCCACCTGGCGGCCCCTGGCAACCAGCACCAACACTGCTATAGTGGTTATTTAACAAGAAAATGCTTTCTGAACATAGATCTGTGCTGGTAAAACAGCAGAATAAAAGAATTTTAAAAAATGAAAAGAAAATACTAACAATTGTATGTCTCACACCAGGCAGCAGCTTTTGCAACTTCTATCTGCTACAGAACTTCAACTGTAACTGGGGCTCACTTAAAGCAAAAGCAGGGCCTTGAGAAGTCACTGGTAAGAGTAGGACCTGCATTAACAGAGTGCTCTCCCCTGCTCTGGGCTATTCATGGCACTCCCAAACATCTTCTGTGGCAGAACTATTGCAGTGCAGTGCCACGGGGCACACGCTCCAGCAAGACTGTTCTCGTTTCTAGGTATTGCTTTTTTAGCTCCCTGGCCACCAGAAAACCTAAGTTTTTCTCAAAAACTACATCCAAAATCTCTGAAACATCAATATATGCCCATATACTGTTATCACTGACAGGAAAAGAAGAGTAGTTTCAACAAGTTAAATCTCTAGTGGCACATCCAAGGCACTCTCTGACAATGCTGGAGGGAGATTTACTGGTGAGAACAGGACTAAAAACACTCAGAGAGGAGCAATAACCTTCTTAATGAGATTTTTTTTTCTTAGTACACTTTTGAGTAATAGCTAAAAACATCTGCTGGTAAAGCTGTTTTAACTCCCACTCCAAGCCAGGCACATGGGTGTCCCCAAGGGCACCCACAGGAGCGCTGCTGGCAGTGGCAGTGCTGGGATGCCCCCCGTGCCCACCCTGCCACCCAGGTGGGGCACTCTGTGGCTGGGCAGGAAGCAGCAAGTTCCTCACACCCTTCACCTCTTTGTTTTTGGGGTTCTGTGTTACACCAGCAGGAAGTCACACGGGCAGTTACACCAGTGGGGCTGCAACACTTACCATTTGGGGTCCAACATTCACGTTGATTGGTCCTAAGGTTTTCGGCAAAATCTTAGTGGGAGAGTTGGTGCTGGAAACTGGCAATGTAATGACTGAGATGTTACCTAAAGAGAGTGGAAACAAGAGAGGTTTAAATCACTGCCTTGGTAACCTGTGAAAAACACTTTGGCAAATTCTCACATCAGCCTTCTGGAACCAGATTAGCTTTCCTGTCTCATTCCCTGCAAACACACCATCACAGATCCCAGACCTTTCAGCAGATGTCACAAGGACAACTCTCCAAACTACACCTTTGCTGTTTGACCTTTAAAATTACATTAATTTTATTTTCAGAAACAATTTATTTATTCTTGCCTAAGATGAAGAGCACACAGCCTGCCATACCTCAGCATCAGAAGTGAAAATTAATGAGAATACTTCAGCAAGAAGCCACCATACAAATCCTATTTATAATCATAAGCACGTGTAGAAAACATGCATCCATAAACCTTCCCAGCCTTCACCATTCCTCATCTGCCTGCACCAGAGTGCTCTGCAAACATCACTGCAGCAAGCAAATCACAGCCTGCACTGCACTGATGGAGTAAGTGATGCCTTTACAACTCACCTAAAGTAACACAGCAGGCAGCTGGGTGCCAAGATAAAGCCAACCAAGCCACCTCTGAGCCAGCATGTTCTCATCCCAGGATGTTCCTCATCCTTGTGAGCCACATCACCTGCTCACCTCCACTGCCCACTTTTCTCTTCTCACTTGGCCCTGAATATGGTCTCTTTTTTAGAATTCCTGGTGGCACACCGATGTTCTGCCATGGGGTAACTGAGAAATCATACATTCAGTAATGTGATTTCTCTGCAATACCAGGCAGGAGCAACACAACTGATAAAAAAGAGTACTTAAAAAAGGATTTTATCTTCTGTAGTCACAGCACAGAAGTAGAAAAGATGTAGACATATGCAAAGTGTCTCCTTTATAAAAAAAAAAAAATCAGAGATATGAGAAATACATACAACTTGAGACAAGGAGGTTTTCTTGTTCTGTGTAAATTCCTCTGGCACCTGGAGCAACACTACTACCTAATTTCCCAAAAGGCAGATCTGTATCTGAAAACATGTTCAGAAACTGCTTGCTTCTCTATTCAATAAAATGAATAAATGATTCAGTCACCTCACTCACCTAGAAAAACAAACTTACAATGCCCCCCCAGGAAATCCTTGCTCTGTTATGAAACATCTTTTGTGAGGCAGCACCGAGTGCACAAAACAGCACTTCATGATTTACATACACTGTGTTCCCATTCTGAGCTCAAAATAGTTCTCCTACTTGTCAGTTTTAGTTTTGCCACAGGATTTTGCCCGGGATTTCCCAAGTTGTGCCAGCATATTCTCTTCAGAATCCAGTCCCCCCCTTTCACTGCAGGCTGTCACCATCCATGATGTGTCACCTCCCACTACTGCTGTAGGAATTTTCCTCTTTTCTGCTGCAGCTGAAACTTTTGACCCTGTTATCTCCAAGATCAGCTCTCATATTATTCCTCCTTGTCCCTCTTCTTACCAGGGAAAAGAAAGAAATGACTTTCCCTGGTGCTGACAGCAGAAGGGCACAAGGCAAAGTGCAGTAAATTCTGAAATGGCGGGGTTGGCTTCCAGCTCCACCCCAGGGCTCCACCACAGAGCTGTCCCCAACAGCACTCCCTGGCCTGCAAGACACACTGCAATGTCAAGTTTCAGAGTCAGTGAGATGTGTCACACCTGCTGCACAGTCAGCACAGCAGCACAATTAGCAGCCACTGTGCCTTCATTCACAGGGCTCCCCAGGTAAATGTACGTGGTCACCATTAGGGCAACTTCAGGAAATAGCAGGGTTATTCAAATTGCTTGATCTTGATTTCAAAAGACAGCAGCTTACACATGGGCTGTGTTTAAATGTCTTTTTGGCTGGAGTTGCTGTCAATAGAAAAAGGTTTTCATCTTTTAACCCCTACACACGAACCTCTGCCAGACCTGCAGCTGGCCAGGATCAGTCCCACAGCACAGAAAGCATCACCACAAAGTGGGAACTGCCAGCACAAGCACAACCAGCTGAGGGAACAGGCACTTGCTTGCTGAGATGCTGTATTTTACAGGGCACCTGTGTTAGCTGAGGAGTTGGTCATCTCTAAAGTTCTGAAGGTAAAGTAGCATTACAGAACAGCAAACACCAACAAGAGCAATCTCCTCAAGTCTTATTTACAAAACAGCACAGAAAAAGTAGGAGGAAGTAGATGCCACAAAACATTCACCAGATTTCTGTATGCAACTGAAAGCAGAAACACCATCAAGGCAACTATATATATATATATATATTATATCACAAAGCAACTGTAAAGGCTTTAAACACGACCAAAATCTAAATAAATGCCAAGCCTGAACATCACCCATCCTTTGGGGACAGAGAAGACTGCAGTGATTCGTGTCCAGGGCACAGCAGTGGGTACAGTGATGAGCTGAGCACAATGAGAACCATCAGCCTCGAGTCACGGTAATGGCACTGTGTGGACCAGAAAGGTCAGCCCAGATGGATCAAACCAGAATGATTTGGATAAGAATACTCAGTTCTTATGTAATGTTCCTCAGCAGCACTTTCAAGGCACAAAGGAGGGCAGTGCCATTATTCCCATTTACCTATGGATACCAAGCACATGGGAAAGAAATGGGCTTAAAGCTCTCATGGTGAAGCTTCAGCTGCAATCCACATAAAGCCACCCCAAAGTGAGCCTGCTCTCACTGAGGCAAACCCAACACAGAGATCTGCCAGTGCACATGTGCATGTTTCTCTCAGAACAAAAGCACTTTGCTTCTGAATCAATTATTTTTCCATCCCTCAGCCACCACTATTGTTGTTTCTCACGGAGAGAAACCAGCATTGCTATAATTTCATATTTAAAAAAAATATCATCACTACATAACATTCCTCCTGGCATTTGTGCAATATTTTCACTTGCATGCACAGAGAAAAATTCAATTTACATGATCTTCAGCTTCAAGCAGTCACAGGTAAAGTTACTCATGCTCATGTACATGTGCACTCACACACAGTAACCATCCCACAAGACTCACTTTAAATCATCATGTGGCACCCTAAATAGCTCGACTTCACCCAAACAACAGGCACTCCTGTACAAATACAAGAAGCTGAGGAGATTGTTGTGGTTTTTCTTCCTGTCTAACTAAATTTGTTAGGTCTGCAGCTCAGTTGCAGAGATAATCAGGAACAATGTCAACTGCAGGATCTATAGGGCCTGTCAGAGCCAGTCTGAAGGAGAGCAGGGCTGATGGGGAGCACAGCCCCACCAGCTGGGGTTCCACACAATGCCCACACCAACAAAAACAGCCTTTCACTTTCCAAACAAAACACCAGGGAAGTGCTGGGAATCTGGATTTTATATTCGGAGCTCTAAACGAGGGTGCACGTTTTTAAAGTGTCTCCACGAACAGCCATTTAAATTAAATTAAATTAAATTAACACAGCCTGTGGCAAAACAAACAGTCAAGAGTTGTGAAATATCAGCAGTCCATCAGGGTATTTTGCAATAACATATGTGATGTGTCCTCAGGATCCTTTGTTACACTGAAACATAAACTGATCTCCCAAGACCAGGATGCAGTATTATAACAGCATACAGAAAACTTGAATTATTATCATGCTATCAATTACAAGTATTTTCTTGGGACATTTATTCGTTTATTTATTGCATAAAATTACTGGGCTTCAAAACTAACTTTTAAAAATTCCATAGTGTGTAGAAGCACATACATATCTAGAAACACCTGAAATCAAAGAGATTTGCAGAAAAGGAAAAGCAAAATGGGGCAGATGATATTTCAGTGTACCTTAGGCTTACACTGACCAGTACATTCTCAGTCTTTTACTGCTCAGTTTGAGACACATTTACAGGAGTTAACAGCTGTATGAATCCCAAAGTACCAGGCACACGCCTATGGATAACCAATTCTGATGTCTGGGTCATTTTAGCAGGTCTCTTCAAGCACTGACACCATGAATAAGTTTATTCCATGGGCACTCAATCCCAATCAGGACTTCATAAAAAACAGGTGCTGCCTACCGAAAAGATGGATTGAAACAAAGTTCACTGTGAACTTGCATTAAAAGTTAGGGCTCCCAGCCAAAGCAATCTCTGTAAGTATGATTAACATTTCCTCCTCCTGGAGCCTGGTGCTAGACCAGTGGTCTGTGACTCCCTTCTCCCCCCACAGCAATAAACAGAACACAAGATGTAAATTCACAGGATTTGGGAATACAGTAACAATAAAGTATTACCCAAGGACAACACGGATTCTGTGTAAGGCAGCAGGGAGCCCTCAGAGCTGCAGACACCCCTGAGGGTGCACAGAGGGCAGGTGAGGTGGTTCTTTGGGACAAGGGCTAACACAGACATGTCCTCTGCTTGGAATGACTGGAAACTAGATCTGATATTCCATTTTTGGAATACATATGAACAGGATTACAAAACTGGAAGGGTGTAAATTATTGACTGGGAATGTCTCCCGAACAGATTAAATTTTAAATTCTTCTGGTTACACATGTGACTTTTTAATACGAATTCTGCTGCTTGTCTGATTTAATTCATGCACAGCTTGCAACAACTACCCCAAAACCACAACAGAACTGCCACTGTCCAACTCAATCACAAACCTAATTATACCTGTTTAAGGACTAACCTGAACTGTTATACTTAATATTTTGAACAGAATGGGCCAACTCCACAAAGACATCTTTCCACTCAGACCAGGATTCTCCCTGACTGATGGAACACCTTAGTTCTGTCAGGTCACTTCACACCAGAGTTCTGCTGGCACCCAGCAGTGTAACAGCCTGGTTAGCATGGAGCACGCCACGAGTTTCTCCCAACAGGTACAGTCCCTGGTGAAACACCAGAAGAACACCTGACACACACATCCAGATCTACCCCAAGGCCAGGAACAGCAACAGCCACCTCTGCTCCCCCAAACTTGAGAGGAAGCATCCCTTTTGCATTCAGCATCCCAGGAGTATTCATTCACTGCAGAATGAGAACCAGGGCCACTGTTTTCCTGAGAGAGTTAAAATGCAGGTCTCCCAGGGAATCATTTCCATCACTACTCTGCTGGATTGTTTCAGGGGAGGAAACGAAGCATGGCCAGCCCAGCCTGCCAGAGCTGAACAATTTGGACTGTAATAATAAGAATCTACTACACTAAAGACTAAATGAAAGGAGACACCCTGAGTGTGCTGCATGGACTACTTCAAATATTTCACCCACTGGTGGTCCTGGCACAGGCAGCCCCTGGCTGTCCAAAGCCATCCACACGTGGCATTCCCTCTCAGATCCAAGGAGTACTCATTTCCAGCTGAGGAAACAAGCTCCAAATGGAGGCCTTGTAGCCAAAAGAGCCTAGGAATGAAAGGCAACAAATGTAGGGAAGTAAATTGTCTGTTGAACAGAAACTGTCCACTAAACAAAGTGATCAACATTTGAGTTAATGCTCTGCTGAGCACTGTGATGCTCCTTCTAAGCACACCTAGGAAAACAGATCTGGTTCCCTTCAGAATTAGGCAGCAAGTCCTTTTATGAGGATTACAAATTGGGATGTATGTGCTTTGATTGTGCAATCATCACATTTAAAACATTGAATTTCCTCAGTAAATCTGTACTGCATTTAGATACACTGGGTACTAGAAACCTTCCTTTTCACAGACATCATCTATACAACAAATAAAAAACCCTGAAAGCATTCTAAAAAGCCTGACTCAAAAAGAGCTGCAGCAGGAAGACAAAGGTATTCACTAACAAACACAGGAAAAAATAAGGAACCTGAACCCCCAAAGAAACCAAACAACCCCTCAACCTGTTTGGGAACATTAAGTCAGATTCAAGAATCAGCAGAAGTGGCACAGCTGTACTGTAACACTTACAGATTAGACTGCAATAGCTAAAGAGTCTGTGAGCATTAACTTCTGCAGCAAAATAAACCAGGAAAATAGCCAGAGGTTGTGCATGGACAGAAAGGGTAATGGTGGGAAAGAGAACTGGAGCCTGATCAAACTGACACTGCAACAGCAGAAAGAGAGTAACTGCTTCAGATGGTCCAGGGAAAAACCTGGGAAGAAAAAGAGACCTTGAAACCTAAGCCTGTGAACAGAAGAAAAGCAGAGGAGGCAATTTTGGAGTGCAAGGGCCAAGTAATTAGCTATTTTAATTACGCATTTTAGTGACACACAGACAGAAAGTGTCCCTAACATAAGTCTCATCTCATGGTGCTGATGCTACAGAGACTGTAGCTACCTGTGAGTGCAGAATGAGCCACAGCTGAGCTGGTGTCTCAGCACACCTTCCTGCACACCAACATGTCAGTAATAAAGCATCACCACTGGAATTCTGAGCCTCCCAAACATGACTCAACCATACACAGTGAAATAAGTCTTAATGTCTGCCTCTTTTCTATGTATGCAAATAGAATTCTCTTACCTTTTGTTGGACTCTGGTTCTGATCTATAAATCCTTTCAAGTCTCCATTTGTGGAAGTCACACCAACCTGAACAAAACATTTTTGAAGTCTTAAAATACGATAAACCTTTCTTTGTTTCCTAATATGCAACCAACAATACTATGAATAATCTGTTTTGCATTATGAACCATCATAATTCTGTGGACAGCAGAGTCTAACAAGAGCATGAGACTCAAGGCAAAGAATTCAAGACATTTACGCCGTGCATGTGAAGTTCTCACCTCAAAAATCCCCTGAATATTCTGATACTGCACTACACACGACCCAGCAGCCCATTCTGCCTGCTGGGGTGTCAGTCACTGTCCCCTCCAAATCAACTGGAGCAGCTGCCACCAGCAACACAGCACAAACCTGCCTGATGGCCAGAACCTCGGCATTAAACTGCACAGGGCCTACAGGTCTGAGGAGTGACTGTTCACACATTTCAGACACTCCCCAGCTCCCAGAGACAAACTGACTTACCCCGTGTGCAAGAGGTGAATAACATTTACCCTGAGGGCAAGTTACCAGATACATGCAGAACTTAAATCACACCCAGAACAGGACCAAGGATCAAATATCTGCTTTATTTTACAGATTATGTAGCAACAACAGAACTGATGCTAAGGCTGCTTGCAGCATTGTAATAATCTCAGATTAGAACATCGTTTAATTTTAGACAAATTAAACAGTAACTAAAGTAAACTACACAAGAATAAAAAATACCTACTCTTGGTTCCACTAGAGACCTTGTATTCAGCAAATAATTTTTGAAGGGAAAAACTGGACATGGCATTGTGTGAAACTGCTTCTATGGAGATGTTTTCACCATCAGGGGACACACATCAAGTGATTAACTGCTGTTAACTGCAGTTAACCAACTGCACTGCTCTGACTGTAAAACACTGCTTAAATGTGCTGATGAGGAGCTTCTGTAAACAGGTCCCTAAAGGTGCTCAGTGCAGCCCCTCGGTTTATCTCAGATGTTGTTTATCTCCCACTTGCCCTTTCCTGGCACGCTCTCCAGACTGATCCCAGTTTCCCAGGGCAGAGGGTGCTCTGGCTGTTGCAGGCAGTGGTACCAGCAGAAGCTGTTTCGACAGTGTCCCATTTTCCCTGCCCATTTCCCGGGCTGTCTCCCAGCAGGTGGCAGCGGTGCAGCAGCAGCAGCGGGGCTGGGGAGGGAATGCCGAGGTGGGAGCAGGGCAAGGGAAGGAGGGCATGGAAACAGAAGCAGAACCTCTCCTATGACGATGTGGGAGCAGATCCATGGGGAAAACTGAAGCACCCGGCTATCTTTTCCCCGGGGGGCTTGGGTGCAAGGAAAGCTCTTCGGGCAAGAAGCCACGGTGGTTCCTTGCACTGAAAATGTGTTCTCGAGGAGATGTTTGAACCAGAGGTTGGAAAGGGTGGGAATTGCACGGTGAACGGCACTGGAAGGACACTCCACTGCCCAGGGGAAGAGCCAGCACTCCTGGATCACTGCTGCCTTTGCACAAACAAAGCTGCTCCCCAGGCCCCCCTGCCTCTGCAGGAGGGAACACAAATGGGAGAGATTTTAAATTCAGAGAAAGAACAGGGGGCCACAGGGATAAATATCATATTAGAGAAAAGGGCCTCAATTCATCTCCAGGGAAGGGATAATAATTATGAGGAACATCCTCAAAGACACCACTGCAATTTGTTCACAACTGAACATTCAGCTCTAGATTCACAACTGCATTTCCCTATTGATTCATATCAGCACTTCCATTAAACACTGAAGGTGATGCACATGTGCAGTGCCAGAACAAAAATTCTAACATTTACATTTACATTTAATTCTCTGAAAGATTTCGATTATTTAACTGAATCCACATTTAAGGCATTATAAAAAAGTACTTGAGGGGGTTTTTTGGGTGCATGTTGTACTTCAGTTATCCAAATGATGTAAGATTGTAGCAGAATTTCAGTTTGCACATAAATATGTTATTTTGCTGACATGTGAAAGGAGAACTATCACAGCCATTTAACTGACCTCACCTACAACAAGACAACCACCCTGAGAAGCAGCAACAAAGAACTTCATGTGGATAACAATTCAGAGCCAAAAACCAAAACTAACAGCCTTACTGAAAAAAAATCTGCTTGAGTCATATATTTATTTGGCCCTAAAAATGAGTTTACCATAAGTATTTGGTCATTTTTTTCTCCATCTCTCAATTCTGTTTTGGTGCCTTCTTACCTGAAGGACGGATGGGAATGGAAGGACAAAACAGGCAAGAAAAACACATTTTATGATAAAAGCAAAGAATGAAACAACCCAATGAGACAGGGTGATTAGAATTACATCCCGTCTCCAAGAGAATCTGTAACTTTTCCTCAACATTTTATTATCTGCAGCTGCTTTGTTTTGATTGGTTTTTTTTTTATGGAAGGTGAAATTACCCATCACCAATATTCCACAAGCAGAGTTTTGAAGTGCAGAAGCCAACAGGCAAATGGAAACTCTGCAGACTCAGAAGCATTCTCAGGCCTTCTAAAAACATCAGAACACACTGGGGCTGACACTGGTATTACCCTGAGCATGCAACTCTAAGTAATTCAGGTTGGGGGATCTGAAGAAGTGCTACAAATAAGGACACAAAGCAAATGACCACTCATTTCGAACGTGAACACCGAGTCCTACATTCATCTGCACCACAGGAACATTATTTTTAAAAAATAAACCCATAAATATTAGGTACATAACTAGGTTTGCCTGAGTTTGATATGCAAAGAGCTCTCCACAAAGCAGCACAGCAGATGCCTCCTGACATCCTTCAGGATGTCAGGAGGCATCTGCTGTGCTGCTTCGTGTGGAGAGCTCTTTGGCAACATCCCCTCCAACCTGTGCCACTCTATCACACAGCACTCCAGGGATTTTTATTGGGATTGGTATTTACACTTTCCATCAAACAAAAGGTCAAACCCACAAGTTTTGTGCTGCTGCTCCACATACAGCAGTAGAACTATTAATTTAAACTGGAGATTAATATGACCTACGAAACAACAAGTCAAAGGGCTTTTGCACGTACATATCAAATTATCTTCTGTCTGGGTAAGCCTGAATCACCTCAGAGTCTTTCAGAATTTGTGAGACTCACTAGAAGGATTTTGCAAAGGTGAAAACATTCAGCACAGTGAGCAGCTCTCTGGAGCAATGGTAGAAGAATCACAGACTCCCAGAGTGTCTCAGGCTGGAAGGGACCCAAAAGGATCAATAAGGAAGCTGCACAAAGCATTGTCTCACTCATCACCCTGACCCACAGCTGAGTGGACTCCACACCCTCACAGAGCTTCAGACCAGTTTAAATGTATCAAAACACCGCTGCAGATGATGGGGTAACGCCTTTGTGGCGTACAGAAATCAGGCAAGATTCTTCAGTTTGAAGGTCCCAGTGTTTGATTTCTCCTCTCTGTAGTTCTGAAGGCCAGCAGTGGCTGGCAGCATGACACAGTGATACACGTGGCACAGGTATACTCACATTTCTAGCCGTCATGTCAGACACGATTGCTTTATCCTTCGGAAAACCATAAGATAGCCCTTCTCATCTTCACAGATTCCTTAAAATGAACGGCCTGTAAGAAAGATCATGAAATATCTTAGCTGAAACCCTGCTTTTTGATAAAATCAATCACCACAATAGTCAGGCTCTTCCCAGACACCAGAAATGTTCACTGCTTGGGACAGGCAGAGATGAAATCCTGCACACAGACACCACCCTAATGTGCTAGCAAAGCACGGCATGCCATTACTGCAGTGTTTTAATTAAAACCATGCAATCTTTCCCATCTAATGCAGAGTGTCCTTATAAGAGGGAAGTGAATTACTTCTCTCCAGCAACAGAGAAAGCTTTTAATGAAATGTATATACACAGAAAACAAACGGTATTTTCAGGAAACATGCAAGAAAAACCCTTGCTGTTCAAACTCATCTTTTAAGTATTTTATTAAGTCTGTGCAATTAGAATGATAATACTGGAATTCCAGGAAAAGATAAAAATTTGGGTATACTGAAAAATACATAAAAGTGGCTTATTTTTTAAATGAAAACTTCCAGAAGTCTTACAGAAGCCAGAAGAAAAGTTCCAAATCAATGCTGGCGGCACAAGTCATTTTAAAGACAGAATTAACTTGAAATAGTGTTGAAGTACTTTGAAAGTACTTTATAAGTACTACTTGCAGTTAAAAATGAACTAAAAAAGACATCTGAATTGCACTTGGATGTGTAAGGGAGGGAGAACCGTTCACACCTTCAAGTGTGGAATCAACTCAGTAAAATTAGGAAGACACCTAAACTCGTTACCAAATATGAGGCACAACCATTCACAGCAGAACTCACCACTACAAAACCAGAGTGGAATCCGTGCCACCTGCTCTGTATTTTAACCCACACGAGACTGGAGAACGGGCAGTGCCTTCCCCTCCCCTGGAGGGAAGTGCCAGGAACTGCTGCAGTGTGGGCACAGCTAACAGGGCACTCCACCACCACTTCCCAGCAGGCAGCAGTAGCTCTGGACAGCCCAGAATATTAAATTCTCGGCTGTTTCCATGGATGGCTTGGTTTATTTGGCCACCGTATCAATACAACTTCGAGTGGAAAACCATTTTCCTCAACATGGAGGTGTCTTCCCTTTCCTGCTGAACGAGCTGTCTTTAATCCTCAGTGCCTCCATTTACTGCAGCCAGGATTAGGCAGCTGCTCCAGCACGTGAACACCACACAACTCTACTAAGATATTCTCCCATCAAAATCTGTACATTTTACTTTTATGACAAAACATCCAAGAAGATAGGAATAATTTTTCTCTGACTTCCGAGACTGTGCTACTGAGAAATATCTATTTACAGCCTGGGGAAAGGGGTCAGTGCATCTGTGTAGCAATCCTGAAACCTGAAGAAGAGTCCCAGAAGAGCCCCAAGGCTCCAGAGGTCATGGCAAAGAGCAAAAGCTGAATTTCTGCATTGCATCTGAAAATTATGATCTTTGTGCTTGTTCTTTTCCCCCCTTTCTCATCCTTCCACACAAACTCCCCAAATACATCATCTGCAACTCTGGCCAAATTCATGATGCAGTTTGACCTCTCTTTCTTTAAGAGGCTTTACAAGTAATTTACTCAAACAAACCATAGTTGAGGACACATTTGCTGAGCGGTTTTAATCCATTTACAGCTAAGCAAACCAGGTTCATCTTTAACAAGTTCTTTGCTGTCAAGCTCAGTGATCCAGAAGGTATTGTCCATAAACCACCACAGTCCTTCTCCACAATGCTCTCCAGCCAGTAGGAACAGTTGGTGTTCTTCCAGCTTCATGAACACATTTTGTCAGGCTCGGGAAGCCAGACTTTGTGACCCCACCATCTGCCATGACCTCTTGTCAGGTTCAGACAAAAGAACCGACACAGATGGCCCCAAAATGGAGATGCCCTTCATCCCCAATCGCTGCTCGTGCTTGCACCACACAGACAGACAAACATAAACCTCCACCTTTTTGTTCTTTAGCTGGTTCCTCCTGAGGTGGAGCTGCACAAAGGCAGGTTCAGAGCCAGAGCACCCGAGACACGGAGATTGCTTTCTCTGAACTAAGATTGCCCCGCCACAACCTAAGCCTTGGTTTCTGATCTGCTCCCACAGTTCTGCCTTTTGGGCACATATTGCACAGCACAGGGAGCCAACCAAACTGTCTGACTTTGTAAACTTTGACTTGGAGCTTTTCTGGAACATCTGTTTCCTGATCCCTTGTGCCAATGACACTAAAAAGCCAGTTTGAGCATTAAATTTACAAAAGCCCAGATAATCAAGCTCTAGCTGCAACAAAACTGTTTGTTTATTTGTACCTGTTCTCCTCACAAGTTAAAAGCCAGATCTGCTGTAAAGTTTCTGTGATACTGAAGCTGAATCCCAAGAAACAAATCAAACCAGAACACAGTCACCTGCAGAATGACATTACACTCCTTCTTATGTTTATTTTCTGTGGTCCAAAGTCTTGTTCAATTGTCCCTGTAAGATGCATGCAGTGGGTAAAACCCAAGAGCAGAAAAGAATGAAGTTACGGGACATAACACTCTGCCCTCGAAAATTGAGATTTATCACACTCATCCTGCTTTCCCTTCTCAAATCAGCAGTACTTCAAAATCAGAGCTTCACAAAGCCCAGCACCACACAAAGCTCCTCCTCAGTGCCACAGGCCAGTTCACCACATCAAGTGCCATTTTTATGTAAATATTACATTAGCACTAAACATCTGTAAATGAAGACAACTATTGGATAATTACCCAGATTGTTATGACATTAAGTCTTCATGGAACACATTAAAAAAAGGAGATATTTTAATATACTAGAATGATTTTCACCATCAAGGAGCGCTTTTTTCATTTACTTATTCAAGAATATTGCAAAATGGAAATTATTCCAAGGAGCTGGGTCAGCTGAGAGCAAAGTGTGATCCGTTTCAGGAAAAAGAAACCTGCACAACACGAGCCTTTCCACTAGAAATTAATTGATATTCTTCACAGCCCTCTCCATAATGCTGACTTTCAAGCTATGCAAGGCTGGTTTCAGAAGACACCGGTAACAAAAAGATTCCTTATTAATCAGTACAGGCTCAGTGTTAAACCACTAATTTATGCACAGCATCTACAGGGCTTAGACCACCTGTTACACATATGCTGCTTCACTGTGGCTCAGTTTTCTGACCAGTAAAATTTCAAAATGATGAAGTACTTATCAGAACTCCACCTGCTCCCAGGAAGCGTTTCCCTATCTTGTTCCTAAAATAAAACATTCAATATCCGCCTCCTTTTTGAAGCAATTGAGATTAAAAAAAGACCAGTTTTAGTGAAAATATCTGTATGTACAAGTCAGACTCACTTCTTGGCATCCCACACAACAGAAATGCAACTTTGGTAGCAAATCTCTGGAATTCAAATTACAGGTTTTGCATCCCTATAAGAAAATTCCAGTGATCTGTCAACCTTCTTTCTGAGTCCTCTTATGTACCACATAACATCCAGCTTGTCACTTCATGAGCACTTCAGAAAGGAGTGGATTCAACAAGTCACATCCCCAGAGTGGGAAATAAGTCCCCACCTTCAGCTCTCACACAGTAACCGGTATTTGGCAAACAATGTTAGAAAGCAGCTCTTAGGAAGCATTTGAAAGGAACTCCCACCATGCTGTGTATGATGAAGGAATTGCAGATGTAACTTAGTTTGCCAGTTTTCACTATGAGCAACTGCTGTGCCTTCAGAAACAGTCCTAGCAGATAACAGACACGGTGATTGGAGAGACCCAGCAAAGGGAAACCAAGGGACTTCACCACTAAATGATATCAGAAGCTTTGAACAAAATAAAATCATTTGAGAAGAGCAGTGACTTTAAAAGCTCTGTTTAATCGCTTTTATTTGACTTACAAGGCTGCAGTCTATGAATCCAAAGTTTTCCCTGCTCCGAGACACAAAACTGAAATGAGAATGGCTGCTTTAAACCAAGGTGCAAAGGGAGAAAACCACCTGAACCTAATCTGAAAGTGAAGACCCCACCCTGTAGTTGAGACTGAGCAAAATGCCAGTGTGTCATCAGAAGAAATCAACTGGCACCTGACAACAGCGGTAATGATGAGTCAAGTTTACACAGCACCAAGAACCTGGAAACACAGCCAAGGCCTGCACACGAGTTGAGTGAGTGTGAACTGCAGCACTGTGGTGGTATAATGAGCTGCCACCACCTCGGAGTGGTTTGCACAAAGCACGGCAGGGGAAATGCCCCTTTAGGGACCTCTTGCAGCTCATCCTGAGGCACCAAAGGAACTGGATCCCAGTCAGTGCTCTGGGACTGATCCCAAATGCCACAGCCCCACTCCTCACACCAGCTCTGTGTTTACTGTCACTGTTGGACTGCTGTGACCAGCAATCTACACATACATGCAGATGAACACGTTACATGACTACATATGATGCACATATCCACATGACTACCACGAGCACCACTGAGGGAGGTTCCTGAGTATCCTGAATCTCAGGGATAAAGCCAGGTCTGAGTGGATGTACAGGTGACAAGAACACACGGCACGGGCATAAAATCCAAAGCTGGATTCAAACCTTCCTTAGCTGAAAGTGCCCAGAGTGTCCATGCACTGAACTGCACTGCTGAGCCTCACGTTGTGCTGCCTGCCCAGCCCTGACAGTGCTGAGTGCCCGACCCCAGCGACCCAGAACTGGACACTCCTGCCCTCAGGTGACTCTGTCTCTCTGGCATGTTCTCACTCAGGCTCAGTGTCATGCCAGTACTACCAGTACACTTTGTGTCCAAGAATAGGAGCAGCACTCAGGGCTGATTTCAAAATCAATGAGGTGAAGCGTGTCCCCCATTGCCCAAATAAAGGGAACCTTACACTAAACATGTGCAACAATTCCCAACCACTTGAACCTCTGAAGGCTCTTCTAATCCCCCAAACCAGCTTACTGCCATTCAAGATAAAGCACCCTGGGTTCGATACCAGAAAAGTGGGTAACATTCATGCAGAACTTAAAACAAGATGATCTAAAATATCTTTATGAGTTTTATATACAGCTTTTATCAGCACGGATACATTTGGAATTGACAGAAATGCAGCTGCAGGGTTTTTTAAGTACCAATCTACAAGCCCATCTGTTCTCTCACTAAGTTCTGGTCCATAGCTGACTACTACACAGGGCACAACATTTAGGACTCCACTGCTTCAGTGGAGAGAGCCAGGTACAGCTTCCTTTCAGAGCAGAGAGCACACTGTATTTCCACAAACACAGTTTTGCCTTAAGAAATTTAATTTTTGCAATGGATCGACACTTGAAAAAAATGTAGTGATTTGTACAAATGACTGTGAAATACCTGGGTTAAATGGTCCTTGTGCATTGCCAACAATACACTGGCTTGTCTTTGTTAAGCTGAGCTTAAAACAGCATCTTTTTGACTACTGAGACTTCACACAAGCTTCTTGCTACCACCATCTCATATACTGTGTGATACATCAGGGAATGCTCTAGATGTTAATCTGGTCTGGTAATGAGTTTGGAGATTATAAAATTTCTAGAGTTATGAGTACATTGCCAAATCCATGGAGCAGTTGCACCACCCTGCTGAGATTTACTTTTGTCTACATCCCTCAGCTGGAAGGATCTTAACAGCCAATGAACTGAAAATAATTTTACATTTGCATTTAATTAAAGATCACCAAGTCATACAGGGATAAAAAACTTGACAATGAAGAGGTTTAGCAGCTATTTCTTACATTTTCCTTCTAATTTGCTAGAAGCTTTGCTCTAGTTTAAAGCCATTGTTAACTCTGCTCTTGCATGGATTGAAGATTATGACAGCATTCACTGAAGGGGAAAGGTTACAAAGAATTTCATACTTGTGTAGTTATAGCTCAGTACAAAGACAAAAAGGGATTTTTCCAGTGATGCACAAGCTCCCAAGCACTGATTACAGCACCCAAAGTGACCTGCAGGGCACAATTCCATGAGACCTTGCACTGCTCTGAGATCTGCCCCTGCTAAAATTGCTGAAAGGGATCTTCCACCTTCACCCACTTCTTCCACCTTCCCTTCCTTCCCCAGGTACGTGGTGTCAACAGCTGCCATTCCCACCTGAGCTCCCAGTGAGCCAGTTCAGCTCTCACACTGCCAGAACTGCACCAGTGGGGCTCAGAGGGTGACAGGAAAGTTCTCCGTGGGCTGTGACCCACTGACAGCTCCAGGGGCCACCCAGGACCAACCCTCACAATTATCAGCTGTAGGTATGAAGATACTGATTTAAAAAAACGGTTTAAATGCATTTGGAATTGTAAGTTGAAGTCTAAATAAACTGAAGTTTATGACAATTTGATTGCACATCTAAGAGAAGAGAAATACATTGCTGGTGTTTCTCAAGTCTCAAGGTCAAGTTTACAAGAAAAGGAAAGCTCTTTCCTCCCAAGGAATAGAGAGCCCAGGCACACGAGGGTTTTTGTGGCACTCTGAGGACATGAGCTCACTTTCACTCACAGTTTCTAATCTCATCCACAATTACTGGTCATGTCACCACCATAATACTTGGATGACCACTGTGGTTCACAAGTGACTTTTAACGCATTGAGGCATCAGCTTTCACAAGCCTCAGTGAGCAAACACTGATACATTTGCTTTAGGATTTTAATTCCCACAAATACCACTACAATAGCTGCTACCAAGTTGAAGAATTCCTCTACCCAACTTCACTAAAAGTTCACAGCCTTAAAGACAGCAAGAACCCATCACAACCTGCTGATTTCTTCCTGAACAGATGACCTTATTCATTATTTATCCACTTAAATCTTGTGCTGAAATTCACAATAACAAACCAATAAATGAAAATGGTCCCTCACTCTCACAGAAAACATCTGCTGACACCACCACCTGGTTGCAAACACATTAGTATACGCATTAGCATATGTTAACATACACAGTAGTCTTGCCAGCTGAACTATGGTAGGCCTGCACTTTGATTTGCTTGGATTGATTTTTATGCTATAAATACTAAAAGGTTTAGAAGTAAAGCTGAACAGTCTGTAAAGACCTGTATTGGAAACCATCACTGCACACAGGAAATCAGACCAAGGAGCAAAGAAGCTCCTTTAATGACACTGTGAGAGTAAGATCACTTATTACTGCCTGGGCTTTGGCTAAAGAGGAGCAGCCTCCAAACCAAATAACGGGGGAAAACCAGAATCCATTTCATTCTACTGCTGGACGTTACAAAGCACGCCAAGAATCAATCCAGGAAGTTGTTATAAAACTGTCACTCCCTACACAGCTGTCCCTTTTACAGTACTTCCTTGCAGATAGCAAGTTTCTCAGGTCATGCAACAGGCATTTATGCTTTCAGCTCTGACACAGTATGAGTACTGTTACCACACTAGGACACTGGGATTGTTTTTCACCTAATACCTAACGTTTTGGGATAAACCCGTGTGATTCCAGTGACTTCTTGGCTTTGCACACAAAAAATCCCCCAGTGTACTTCCTTGCAGCAGACTAGACTGTTTATTTTCCCTGTTTCAAGATTCACTGCTGCTTCATCAGGAGTCCTGTCCTGTGACTGCAATTAGAAAGGCAGAGGAGAAAGCCTTAACCATCACACCCAAAAGTATGTTGAGAAGGCAAACAATTTAAGAAGCTGTCACTCAATACAGACAGCCCTAAGAACACTATTTTAACGTAGCACCTCAGAAGAAATGCAATCCAAGAACAGAATCAGGCTGGCTATACCTGGAACTCATTCTGCTCCACATTAGGATGCAGAAGTTTAAATATTCCCACAGGCTGGGCTGCAGCAGCTGCCCAAACTGTCCATGGCAAGTCACTGTTCTTCTGCTGCTCCTGAGAGTCACACTCAGCTTCCAAAGGCACAGGGACAAGGCCTTCCCATTTGAACCAAGTAACACAAGACACCCTGCACAGGAGGCAATCTCAGAGTTTTTGTTCCTGTGTTTTTGCTACGCCTGTAACACGTTTGGCCAAAGCACTGAGAGATCTTCCCTGGGAGGGGCTCCCAACGCTCAGGAAACACCTCCAGGTGCTGCAGAGGCCCCTTCAGCAGTGACTCCAGACAAGAGCTGACAAAGAATTGTCCTGCAGTGTTGCCACCCTGCAAAACACGCCCTGTGCCTTGGCCCAGCTCAATTACGTGGTGTGTCCCCTGTGCCTGGAGAGCTGCTGGCAAAACCCTGCACTGCAAACTGCCCCTCATCACCTGGACAGTGAGGCTGCCAGGCACAACCCCTGCAGCAGTGAAGGGCATTCCTATCACTGGGGTGTTCCCTGTAAAATTATTACATCAATGTAGTCAAATGGCCTCTTTTTGTTGTGCTGCATTAGTGATTTTTGTACAAAGGAAGTGGTTAAAGGAAGGCCCAATAATCTGACAGTGAAATAAGATCACTCTTAAATTCACCCATGAGACAATCTTGTTAGCATTTAATGATTTTCATTTTTTCCCCTAGTACAGAACTAAATCATTTGACCTGTTACTGTTTCCTCTTCCAAAGGCACCAGACTCACTTCACAACAAGAAACATTGCAAAGAAGGATTTTTTCCCCCTCTTATGACCATCTCTCCTGCCAAGTCTTTTCTTTCCTAGAACTCAAACTTCTCCTTACTCTTCCAAGCTTTTCCAGTGTTGTAGTTAGCACCCTATATGTTATTTTGAATACAAAACACCTTGGAGCACACACACAGCACTGGCACAAGTATGGGCTGTGAAATAGTTCTGGGTTCCTCCAGTGACATTGGTCATCTCACAGGCTTTTGCTCCACGTATATAAATACCTTTTTTGTGTTTGATAGGACATCACTGATATAACTTATATATAACTATAACTGATATAGCAGTTAATAAAATAATCAGCTGTTAAAAGTATTAGTGAAGAGTCAAAAAGTCATTGGACTAATTTCCAAATTATGAAAACTGACCGAGTGGTAATTTAAAAAAAAATTTGTACACAGCATGATAAATCCTACCAATTTAAACCATTCATTTTCTCTGTCAAATCAAGAATTTACAGAGAAAATGAACCCCAAAGTCGTTTCCCCAGAGCACAGCACGGGCTGTGACACACAGCTCGGCATTGCCCCTTCACTCAGGGAGGGAGCACGCTCTCGTCTGCCTTTTTCTCCCACATTTCAAGGAAGTTCGCTTATTCCGTATTTTCCTCCTATTGTTTGCATTCCCAGTTCCAACAGGCGGTGTTTACTCCGGGTCCGGCTCTGCCGTGGAGCCCTTTCCAGCGGGGAGCCGGGGCAGGCCCGTAACTCCCAGGAAGAGGCAGTGGGGGAAGTTTTGTTGTTGTCGTGCCGGGCTGGCCCTGTCCGGTCAGAGCTGCGGGTCAGGCCCGCCCCGGCCCCAGCTCCCGGCCCCAGCTCCCCGCTCCCCGGGCAGGGCGGGGGCCGGCCCGGTCCTGCGGGTGCTGCCGAGCCCGCCCGGCCCCGGCGCGGCCCGCCCGCCGCTCCCACAGCGCGGGAGCTGTCCCGGCTGTCCCCGTCGCCCGGGCCCGCCCGCAGGTGCCGGGCCCCGCTCCCGCCCTCAGGGGCGCTCCCGGCGAGGGGGCCGCGATGGCCGCGGCTCGGGGAGCGCCGATCGCGGAACGAACGCGCTACCCTCGCTCCCTCCCGGCCCCACACCGCCCCCGCTCCCCGCTCACCCGCAGGCCCGGCCCGGGAAGGAGGGGAAGGCGGGCGGCGGCGCGGGCCGGGCCCCGCCTGGGCGCTGAGGCGACGAGACGGCGGCGGTCCCTCGGCAGCCGCGGCGGCGGGGAGCGATCCGCGCCCGCGCCGCCGACGCCTGTGGTGCGGGCCGGCGCGGCGCCCCGGCGCTGTGAGGAGGCGGCGGAGCCGGGACGCGCCGGCGGCCCCGGACTGTGCGGGAGCGGCGCCCGCAGCGCCCTCAGCGCCCCCGGCCCGGCCCGGCCCCCTGCCCCGCGCGCGCTGCCGCTCCCGCTCCCCCGCACAAGCTTGGCGGCGTCTGCCGGCCCGCCGCGCCCATTGGCCGCCGCGCGCAGTGACGTCAGCGCCCCCCCCGCGCCATTGGCCCGAGCCCGTGTGTGTACACACGGCGCCCGCCAATCCGCGGCGCCGCGCGCGGGCGGGCGGGGCGGAAGGGCGGGGCCGGCCCGGAGCCGGGGGCGCCGCCGCCACCGCCTCCCCCTCGCGGCGCGCGCCGGGCGCTGAGGGAGCGGGGGCCGCGGGTTCGAGCCCCGCCACAGCTCCGGCGGCTGCACCTGCCCCGGCCGGGCCGCAGGGAACAGTGAAAGAAATAAATAAATAAACGCACAGAGGGACTGTCTCCACACACAGCTCGCGGCGCCGCGCTGTCTGCGGCCGCCAGCCCTGCCGCTTATCTGACAGGCCGTGGCGGGGCCGCGTCCCGGGATGCAAAGTTCAGCCCCGCCGCGGGCAGCGGGAAGGTCCGTGCCGGGGCGGGCTCTGCACCAGCACCCCCTGCCAACAAAGGCGCCCGAGCCGGGCAGCACCGACCGCCCCTCGCCCCTCGAACCCCGCCCCAGGCGGCCCGGGCAGGCGGGGACCCCCGGACAGGCGGGAGAAGGGGCTGCCCTCAGCATTTCCTTGCCCGTGTAAAAAACTCGTTTCAACAAAGCAGGATTAAGTACCCTCACAGAGATAACATGAATAGAAAGCACTCCCAATAGTAAAAACCAAAACGGGTACTGGTTCTGTTGGAAGCGCCGCGGGAACATTTGTTGGGCCAGGCTTTCCCTGGGGCAGCGGGCACAGGGCCAAGCTCACAGCTCCCCATCCTTCACAGTCCTGGAACACAGCTTAGTGCCAGGGAGCAAGCCGAGCAAAACGAGGGTTGTGGGGACACAGAAGCAAGAGTAGGTGCTTTGGCTACCGCTAGACCATACATATACCAGATTAAACATGGTAAACTTGTGTTCTTCTTGCTTTATGGACAATGTTAAATGCTCTAGGAAGACACACTTGATCCTGTCCCCTTCACTAAAAAGGGAAGGAACATCAAAAAACAGGTGTTCAGCCCACAAAGTAAAGTTCTTCAGTGTCAGTCTAAGGGAAACATTAGCAAGCTAGACGTGTATGTTTACCTCAGTGTGGCAGTTCACGACTGACATACTAGCATTTGCCCAGGAATTCGCTGACTTTGTGGTCTTGGTTTCCTTTCATCCTCTTTATAATACTTCCATCAAATGTAACAAGACCTTTTACCAATATTTGCAGTGTTATGCAAGATACATTCATGAAAGCATTAAAAAAAAGGCAAACTATTGTGTATTCTCTTGGAGACCCCCTCCAGCAGGTACAGTCCCAATTCTCCCATGATGCCTGCCCTGACACGAGTGCAGAAGGTGTGCAGTGTCTTGGAAAAGGGAGCAAACCAGGGGGACTGGCTGATTGCACTATTCACTGAGTTACCTGAGCTGAACAAATACTTGAACTCAAACCCAGCCTCGACAAAGACACTTGGGCTTCAGATCTCTCTTTGTGGTTCATTGGTTTCTTGACCTTTCTGCAAGAAACACCAAGGAGCTGAAGTTAGATGTTACATCTGATTATGAATGTACGAAAAATAGCCATTTTAACCACAAAGGAGAGAAAAGGTCACTCCTGTAGTTTGCACTTGCTTTCTACAGCAAACTGCAGAATAAATCTATATACACACACACACAATCTTGAGTTTGAAGCTGGTGAAACAGTGATCAGTTCACACGAGGGTAAGGACACTACAGAGGTAACATTCTAAATCAATACACAGTCCTTCAGAACTTTCACAAATCCCAAACTTTATCCCAGAGTGAGGGCTGCACTGAAAAATGGCTTAGAATTGGGTTTTTTAGATATGCTAAGGCATAGCAGCTACTTGCAGTCAAGCCTGCAGTGTGGGGAGCTCTTGTGTCTCCCTCCAGAACCCATCAGTGGTCTCCCAGCCCTAGAACACCACCCTGCTCCCCCTGGCTGGTCAGATCCCTCCTATTCCCCTTTCCAACATTTACTGGTTTCACTCTCTTGCCAGCCCAGTGCTGTGATAACCTCACAAACACTAACCCCAAACAGGCTGCCCCTCCAGCACCGCTCCTTTCCTCCTGCTGAACTTGCACTGACTCCCTGTAAAGCCTCAAACTAACGTGCTGCCCATCTCCTGGGGCAGGGCACTGCCACACTCCCCACTCACCCCACAGACTGCCACTCCAGAGTGTCTGCAGGGGGATCACAGCTGTGTGCTGTTTGGCTGGGAGCAGGAACAACTGCTCTCTGCTGTGCCCCACTGACAGCCAAGAGTGCTTCTTACCCCTTTCTGCTGTGCCCACTGACAGCCAAGAGTGCTTCTTACCCCTTTCTGCTGTGCCCACTGACAGCCAAGAGTGCTTCTTACCCCTTTCTGCTGTGCCCACTGACAGCCAAGAGTGCTTCTTACCCCTTTCCACACGGTGAGAGCCTCCTGTGCCGTGCCCTGACCTTGGAAACAGTGGGACTAGCTGCAGGATCTTGCTACAGAGATTATACCAATGGAAGTTAGCAGGATGAAAGAGCAGCTCCAGGGTTTTCCTTTTTTTACTGTCTTCTAATCAGGAGAGCAAGCCTGAATGCTCTTGTCAGAAACAGATGAGAGCAACTGAATTTAATTCTACATAAAATCAGCTGTTACAGGAGAGAAGAAAATACTGCTTAGAAGAAAACAGAACTCAAAAATCCTGACCAATTTCATTACAGTGAGATTTTAAACATAGCTGCTGATTTTTTTCTTAGTTATGTAAGGAAATTCACACGTCTGCTCAACATGTTCAACTATCTGGAGACTGTTCTCCTGATATGCAACACTTAATCCAGTAGTAGTTAGACCCCTCCAATATTAGAGGTGTTTTTCCAGCCATACAGTGCCCACACAGATAACAGGACTGGATGTTGTTAGGAATGATAGAAGTGCCAAACTGAGATGGCATTGTCTGCTATCAGCACTGTGTGCATCTGTGAGGGCAGGATGCCCACAGGTCATTAACACATCTCAACTGAACTGCCCACTCTTTGTAAGCCTGGTGGGGTGCATCACTACCCATCCTATATAAAACATTCACAGCCTCAACGTGGTGTAGTTCTTAAAATGATAAAACTACAAACTAGCTAATATTTATCATTTCTGTATTGTTACCTTTGTTATCAAACTCAGCTGATAGAAAATGTAACATTGCATATGCTTTCCAAACTGATGAAAACTGCCCTGAAATAAAAAAACTAAATACAAATAAACCCACCAGCAGTAAAGGCTGTCTTGTTTTAAATAAAAAGTTAGCATGAGTGAAGTTCTACAGTGGTCTTCATGCCCTTCTGTTAAGACAGCACAGCACCTGTAAAATTTCAAATTCATTATCAATTCACAGGTACCACTTCTAGATATCAGCACATTAAAAAATTCCTGGGAAGGTAAGATCAATTTTTCTTGTAACAGATAAGCAAAAGAGACTTTGATCAGTAACCAAATTTCTTCAGGATGGCCATTAGTCTGGTTAGTCTTTGGGCAACTACGCATCACAAGCTGAGGCAGACTCTCTAACCTTCAAAGGTTCCTCCATTTGGGAGATTTAAAGACACCTCCCTGTTTGTTTCAGAGACTTCCTCACTCCTCTGAACCTCTTCCCAACAGAACTCACGACTCTGCAGGCCATTGGAATGGCTCAGCTGGTGAATGGACTGAGGCTTTTTCACATCCTTCCTTTGCAGTGAAGTTCCTCTCCTGCAGATTTCAGGCTCATGAAAGGAAAACAAATGAAATTTCTGCTTCACGAAATTAACCAGTGACAGTGGTAAAATGCTTATCCCAAATAGGCTCTCTAAGACACTCCTTGGAGCAACAGGACTATACAATCCTTCTATCCCAGCTGTGCTACTGCCAGGAGGAAAACCACCCCACGTGAAGGTGCAGCCCAGGGCCCATGATTGCTGAATTACCCTCAGTGCAGGGCCCATGATTGCTGAATTACCCTCAGCAAAGGGATCTGAAGAGGATCAGGCTCAGCTCCCATTGCAGCTCCATCTGGGAACACTGCCTGAGCAGGCCCAGCAAAAGCACAAGACTGACAAGTGGACATGAGTCAAGGAACCCTCATCAAAGGGGCAGTAGGTGGACATTATCCCCAGGCAGATGTTGATGAATCTAAACTCTTTCAGTGAGAACAAAAATACCAGCAACTGAGGCACAAACTCCTGCCTGAAATGCCACACTAAAAGCCTTTCTGTTTGACATTTTCTTTAGCAGTGGTATTGTAAGGACAGGAGAACCACAAACCAAACAGGGGTGTTAAAGCAAAGCAACTGCTTCACAAATCCTGTAACTGCAGGTTCTTCCTTTACAGCAGGAGGAGGCACTGTTTATATCAGTCTTAGCCCCATCTGTAAAAGCAGTATCTCTGCAGCTATCAGCCATGCCTGTATATCCTGGCACACTCCCAGAAATCAGCAAACAGACCTGTTTCATTAAGGATTTCCACTAAAGAAGGTTCAGGACAGAATGGTCTCTGCAGCTCACAAGGATACCCAGAGGGAAAAAAAATTGCCAAGATGTAGCACGGGTTGAATGGCAGAAAACAACAAAAGAATAATAACCAAAAAATGGCATTTTAAGCTAGGGGTGACAAACAAATGAGACCTAGTTTGAAGAACACAGGTAGTGTAAATGCTCCAACTCATAGTACATGACTAAAAGAACTGAGGAAACAGTGTATGATTTGACCTTCCATGCTTCAGCACAAGGAAAAGGGAATGATAGCTCTTCAACCCTCTTCAAGAGAACTGACAAGTCAAAGGCAATTTCTTGTCTCCGGTGTCTGTGGAATACAATCACCCACAGCTCGAACTTGAGATTATTCTGAAATGAAAACGTTTAATCATTTTAAATTTTTGAAGCTGATTTACACATACTCCCGAGGAAATTACAATAATTTAAGAGTAGTGATTAGCAAATACATAATAATTTACTACACATTTCTTTAATTATGGTTTATTTGTTTAAAAAATACAAAAGTAATTTATGGCTTCAAAAATAGACTTTTAACTCCCTTTTAGCTAATAATAATAGAATTTAAGAATGGCCTTGAAAATATTAATGGTACAAATACCTACAAGTTAGATAGCATACCTGGAAGTATTTTTAATGTATCTGTGTTGGCCATGCTAGATAAGATTGCTTTTAGTCTTTATAAAATTTTTTAAAAAGTGAGCTACAAGTTAGATAGGAACCAGAGCTACAAAAATCCTGGATTCTTTTTATTTTTTAAATGGAGTGCTGAAAGCCTATTTGCTTTTGTATTCCATCTTAATTCAGTGCACAGGAGCGTCACCACAGAGCTGGGCCAAACGTTTTCTTAGAAAGCCACCCAAAAGTTGGTAACAATAAAAAGTCTTTGTACACAATTGAATCATCACAACCCACCCCCAACAATCATTTGAAGTTTCTCAGCAATGCCTAGCGGAGTGAACGTGCCTTCTACCCTTCCTCCATGATCAGCATGCCAAAATTTGAGAGATCAGAGGGAGGTGAGCCCCTCAGGAGAGAACCCCTCCCAGGATGAGCCCCCCTGTGCAGCACATGAGGGACTGCAGCAGCTGGAACACCCCCAGGAGGGCAGGGAGGGACAGCAGAACTGCAGCTGGAGCACAGCTGGGACAGGGACAGGGGAAGGGCCATCACAGTGTCACAAATCCAGCAGCAGGGGGGGAACTCAGGACCACCTAACCCCTACAGACACCAGCACCAATTCCAGTTATGGTTTTCACTGTCCTGTTATAAACATGAATGAAAACATCTTAATTCTTCTAGAATTAAAATGCCAGTTTCTACCAGTGCAGGGAGTGTTTTGTTGCTTGCAGCCAGGTGTCCATAGCAGGTCTGTATTCCTCTGCATCCCTTTGGGGCTCAAACACTGTTTCTATTCTCCTCAGCTTCTTCAGTTGTTCTTTGTCAGTCCAAAATCCTACAAACAGAAAATTCATTCTCCAGCTCAGCTGTAAATGTGTTATTTTTGAGTTGTTGCAATCTATTTCCCAGAGATCCAAAGCAGAGACACAGCAAGAAATCATGACAGCTTCCCTTTACTCAACCAACAGCTTTCTCAGAGGGAAGCACATTTTTAACACTGTGAAAACCCTTTCCAACAGGATCCACTTGTTTGGAATCCTGACAGTGCATCTGCTCAGCTGGGATGGTTTCCAAGGAGCAGCTCTGGGCACTGAAGTTCCTGCAGGTTTCATCCACAAAGTGCTTTGGGCTGCAGGTCCTTCCCAATGCAGAAGGGCCACAAACCCCAAGATTTAACTGCTTTCCTACTGTCTCAAAAAATTCTATATGTGGCAGAAAACAGCTGGTGTTACAGATTCAGATTAATTTAAGTCATTAAATCTTTCTTGCCTGCCACGGGCTCCAACTTTCTGACACTTTTAATCGGTGAATAAGTCTTACTAAAGCATAGAGCTTTTATCTTCCATTTGTATTATCCACACATCAAGGCAATTTAATGAAAACACATTTTGTAGGTGCATATTCAGCAAAACCCTTGACAGTTTGTAGTTTTAAGTCTGGTTAATGATATAAAACAATTCTGGGTAAGTAGAGCTAATTTTTTCTGTTAATAATTTATTTTTTACTTCCCTTTCTGTGAAAACCTTAGAGAACAGAGGCTCAGCTCACAGATGGCAGGAATGGCATGGCTGCAGGTGAGTGCAGTGGCTCCCTTGCCCTGTGATCCACCCCCATCCAGCACTGCTCAGGCAGCACAAATGTGGGAATGAGCACAGTGAGGAAAGAGAAGCAGCAAAGCCAGGGTTCACCTCTTTCTTCTCCAGTTCATCCTTCTGACTGTACTGTACAGAGAAACAAACACTGCTTACCTTGGATTCCCACCAAAAAGGCTAAAGTAATCCTTTGGGGAATTCTTACTATTATTTGAAGTTAAGCCCTTTTTTTGTCTGATTTTTTTTCTCTTCATATTTACAAAAATGCATTATAAAGGGAAAAACAACAACCTTTTTAATGTCTACATACCTGAAGCGAGGCCTGCTAGAAAAGCTGCACCAAGGCTAGACATATCAGCATTTGCAGGTTTTTCTATCTTCTTATTAATTAAATCTGAAGTCATCTGCATAACAAAACTGTTATTACTGACACCTCCATCAGCTCTGTAGGGAGGAGGGAAAAAGTAGTTAGAAAAATGTGTTAAGTTTAAATACTTACTGCTGGCATTTCAGAAGACAACTCTTGGTGTTCCACACCTGTGCACACATCCTGTCACTGACAATACTGCAGACACGCAGACAAAGGCATGGGAGAGCAGTTCACAACCCTACTGAAAATTCCATGAGTTTCTCTCATTATCTCCTAATGCTTAACCCAAAAGTTGAATTGCTACTATTACAGTCACTATATGAAGCAGCAATTTTCTATCAGTGAATAAAACCCAACACAACCATACAATTTGAAGTTTGCATTACAACATAAATGGGATCAGAATTCTAACATTCCCTAGGCTGTACTTCCACACTTCCCACTGTTCAGTTTGCACTCTTCATGTGACATTGCAATGTGCACTCTGGTGCTACCTGAAAACATGCCTTTGCCTTCTCTTTTACTTTTGTTTTAATAATTAGAGCAATTCATTGCTCACCTACTGCCAATCATCAATGCCAACAGGTGTGAGGAGACTCTACTGCTGCTGAAGCTACATTAACATTTGACTTGGGAATCATCTACTTCTCAGCAACAGAATTATTACAGTAAGGTAAAATGCATGATAAAGTTCACAGCTATTTAAGGTCAAACTCCCATATATTGAATTTAGAGGTCCCACAGAACTCACCGAATGGTTCGAAGAGGAATGTGCACCTTCTTCACAATGGTGTCATAAAGCAGTTTGTTTCTTTAAAGAAAACATTTAGCTGAATTAAGCATTATATACTCCATGAAGTGTTTCCAGTATCTACATAGTCAGAAAATAAAACACAAGGCAAAAAAAGCCTCAGTTCTGTCAGAACTGCTGCAATAGGGAGGGAGTTTCTAGAATGCACAAATAAAAAAAACAAAACCACTGCAACTGGTCTGTGGTCCTTACTGGTCATAATTACAAAGGCACAGGTATGGCTAAATCATGGCCCACTCTGGAATGTTCATTCTTTCCACTGCAAATTGCTGATAGGTTTCTACAGACAAGATGCAATCACTGATTTCTCACTTGGAGTGAGGGAAGTCGGCCAGCAGAGCGTTAATTGGAGTTTACCCAGCTGTTCTTTGAGGGGAATAGCTGAAGGCTTCAAATTTGACTTGTTCTGAAACGTTTCATTTCACTGGAGAAAATCTAAACACAAAGGATCTCTACTGTTTTTCTGTTTATTTGTGTGATTCTTGGGGAGTCCTGTTTAAGGGCAGGAGTTGGACTCTGTGATCCTGATGGGTCTCTTCCAACTCAGCATTTTCCACGATTCCATAGCATAAAGCTTTGAGCTTCAGGGGTACTTTAAACACAGCTGGAATGGGCTACAGCTTCTGACAAAGCACTGTCATCAGAGCAGGGACAAACTTCAAACAGAAAACAGTTTCAGAACATGCAAAAAACCAATATAATTTAACAATCTATATGGTTACTGAATAACAAAAACTCTGAACTAGCAAATATACACCAGTGTCACTGTGAAGTGTTAAGGAAAAAAAGGAAGCAGCTGAAACTCCTTTCCAGCATAGCAGTAACAGATCCCTACTATTTATATTTCATAAAGTGCACAAGTCCAGGTATCCATTTCACACTGCTGATCTAAATAAAAGCCAATGCAAGAAATGCAGTACCTGAAAGCCACAGATTCCAGTATAGCTCGGACAAGATGGTTCCTGGTGGTGGAAGGCTTCAGCCCCAGGAAAGAGGCACACAGATATGTGTCATCCACAGACACCTGCACAAGAGACCTCACCATGAGTTCAGTGAATTTCATTTGTAGGCTTTTAAGAAAGAAATCAAAGAGTAAGAAGAAAAAAATAACTTACAACAATTACAGGCAGCAGTGAGAGAAGAAAAGTGAAAACAATATGTAAGAGGAATGGAGTGTTATTTTAGCTACCTCAGAGAACAGTTTAAATAGCTTCTTTCAACAGCAAAAGGTTTAAGTGACATCCTAAATAAGTGGCTGTTTGAGAGCAGGGAGCTGGGCTACCTGGAGAAGAACTGAAATTCCTCTTTGCTTTGTTCCATCAGCACTTACACTAAAGGAAGGGTAAAGATGTTAATTCTCTTCAGAAAGAACCACTAGTCCTGGGAATGATTAAAAGGAGTATGGTAGACAAATGAAGATTAAAAAAAACTCCCAAAGAACTTTTAGAATCACACAGAGATGAGATAATTCAAACCATTTCCTATTTTGATAGATTTTTTTCTCAAGGGGAGAATGGTGTTTAAGCATTCTGATATGACAGTGATCTTCATACACTGTGATGAGTGACAGACAGTAAGAACCTGAGTAGTACACAATAAATACTGTGACAAGGTGGAAATTATTACATTTCAACAAGTAAAAGTGAAAATTTTAATTGGGTTATTAAAAATACATTCTCAATTATATTCAAAATTTTACCTGGAGACCTGGAATGAAACAAACGCCTTGAGAATCAGCAATACTCTGTGCCATCTTTGCTGTTTCATCTACACTGGTGAAAAGATCTGTAAGGATGCATAAGTTGAGTGCTTTTATTACATTTAATTCAATTTCTCCATTTTGTCTCGCTAAGAGACAAAAATCTACATTCTGAATATTGTCTTATGTAATATTCTCAAACTATGCATTCTAAGGGAAATGGTCACTTCTCTATTTCATGTCCATCAGTCACATTAAAAAACCCAAACTGTTCAGAGGAAGGCTGAACTCAAAAGGATCCTCTCCCACCTCCTGTGCTGTAGCCTTTTAATCTGCACATCCTGTAAGAGCTCACTGTATTTCCCAACAGACAGAAATGGGAAGCCTCACCAACCTTATCGAGGCTCACTTTGGCCCAATTCCTCTTTTACCATTCTCTAAAGCTGATAAAAGTTCCTGAATTGTGCTTCTTTGCAGTAACACTTTCAGAAAATAAAGGTCTTACCTGTTACAGAGTTTAAAGCAGCGTGCCTTTTTTAATCTCCCTCCCTTTTTTTTTCCCTGTGTAGGAGCAGCTGTAGCTCATGACCATTCTACTGCTGACTAGCTAGAAATCCTTCACACTTGTGCACGTACCAATAAACCCATTTTAACTCTGGAATCTGCAGCAGTGAGCTCACACATGCACACTGACCCTGGAGTCCACAGCTCTGAGCTGAGCTTTCCTCACAGCCTGCTGGCTGTTACCCTCCAGGCTCACTCACATGCTGCTGGACCATGAAGACCTGAGGACCAACCTGAGTCCCATTTAAGCCCCAAGGGCACACAGCAGAGCACAGAAATGCACACGTGCACCAAAAGCTGGCAACTGTAAGAAAGGGGAATTTTGTGGTGACTGCACTCCAGGGAAACCTTTCCCAGACAATCTTTTCTTGCATCCCAGTAAAACTCTGCTAAGTTTTTAAGTAAGGCAAGCAAATTTCTAATTAGAACACTCAGAACAGTTGTCCTATAAACAACCAGTGATTTTGAACATCAGCTACCACAGAGCTATTATTTTCTTAGCCTTTCATTAAACTGGAATGCAAACCCTTTCATTACATGATAATAGCAGCCAACAGGCACATCACCTCTGTGGGAAGCAACACTGACAGCACCAGTACTTGAGAAGTTCTCCACATCATTTTCATATAAATCAAGCCTGTTATTAACTCTGAGATGTGGAGCTGGAGACCTCTCAAGAGCACTGCAGCAAGAGCAGGGAGTTTGTCATGCTCAAGAGCAAGCAAGGAGTGAAATGTTTCAGGAAAATCAAAGCCTCCACAGGTAGGAGACTCTGAGGCAGAGGCTGAAGAGGAGATGATTGTACAAACCAAACTCCAACTGCCTGCAGCAAACACATCCAGCACAGAACACACTCACCTGACACTGCAGCTCTGCTGTCCACAGCACCTGGGCTGCTTTCTTCAGTCAGGAATAATAAAACCAGGTCCATTAACAGAAATATGAGCCCATAAAAAGCTTCTCAAGCAGTTCTATATTTAATCCTCGATTAGGAACTCACCTATATCCTGAGCCCATCTGATGGCAGTGCCAATCTCGGATATAGTGCCTTCAGTTAAGTAAACAACTTCTTTCCCAATCTTCCAACCAATCAGTGGATAAAGACCTTCATTATGTTTCATGAAAGAAAGCCATTTAGTTAAATTAAATGTTTCCAGAAAACCACTACAAGCATTTCCCACAATAAGACCAACAAAAAAAAATTATTTATTCAATTCCTTTGCAAAACTGAAGCTAAAAAAATAAAGTCACCAATAGAGGTTAAGCATATTGCTTGAAAATTTAGTGATGGGATTACAAGAGACTTGAGCAACAGGTTGTTAGACCAAAGTTAACAAAGAACAAAAAAAACCCCCACTATCAAATTACAAAACAAATCCCTTTAAACTGAAGAGCTATCTGTACATACTTTTATTTTTCATAGGATAAGAGATTGTGCATACCTAAAAATTTATCAGTGTTTTCCTATTTAAGTCCATCAAATTTTCCGTAAGGGATTCTAAAAGGTCAGATTCTTTTCCCCCAGAACAAAAAGTTTTGATATCTGTTTGAGTAAGAACTCAGCACAGCATAGCAGAGTTTTTAATGCTAAAGCAAAAAGATTTGGTGATGCAGCTGGGGGACATCTGCTGTGCAGCTGCATCACCAAGTCTTCCCTTGAAAGGGAAAAAGGGACACACATATCTCCAGACCATTGGTGCAGGTGTGCCTTACAATCTTTATTTTTCACCAAAGGTAAAGCCACGAAGAAAAAAAAGACCAAAAAAATTAATTAAGCCAAAAGTCCTAAAGAAAGGCAGCTAATCTGGGACAGAAAAGTCTATCCAACAGGTGGCCTTCCTGAAGATGCTCTCCCCAGAGTCTCCAGGAGTGTCAATAATCCTGCCCCCAGGGAATGGATCCATGTGACACTGGGCACGGCCAGAGTTAATAAGAACCACTGGACTGCCAGAGGGACAGCATTTACACCTGCACAGCATGACTCCATCAGTGAACTGTGACAGCTGATGTGCTTGAAGGAACTACTTTATCTCTGCTTTTTCAAACTGTCACCCAGAAGAGCTAAATGTAGACCAGAAACCAGAACAGCAGCTAATGGACAGCTTGCACAAAGATGTGCAGGATTCCTCCTGCAGTCTTAAATACATATGTCAGCTTTAAAGACTGAACACATCACACTTCATGCCCAGGGCACTGAGAAAGTCAGGTACTTAATTGTCCTACTGTCCCCATGATTGCCAAAGACATAGGCAAAATCATTTCAGCCTAAGGAACAGCCTGCAGCAGCAGAAGTTTCCCAGCACTGCCTCAGAAGAGTTTAACTTCTATCAGATCACACCTAAGTATTTTCTTAAAACAGAATGGAAAAACCTTACAGCCTGGTTTTTTTACTATTAGATTTCCCCAGACTACCTATGTATGATTTCCTAATGACATGATTAATTAGCCTGAAATCATTTACATTCACAGGGAATTCAGTGTCTGTGCTATTCAGTTCTGATACATCTCCTGTATTTGCCAAGGTCCTTCAAGACTTGAGCTGGTCAAAGATTCCTTAGCCCACTGCTGTCCTCCTTCCCAGCCCCACCCACCCCACACTGAGCTGCCAGCTTCCCCAGATTAGTAACTCTTTAAAAATATGACAGACACAGAGAGCTTGTGTGGGCAAATTCACTTCAGTGTCATCTGCTGCTCTCTTGACAAACAGCCACCTCTGGCAAATTAACGAGCTCGACAGACCACAAATGTTCAGAACAGTGAGGTTTTAAACACTAGAAACACATTGACCATTCCTAGTGTTTTAAAAGACAACTAGTAACTGTTAATCCTGCATTGATCTCACTGCAGGTAATTTGATGCATAAGGGCTCAAGGGGAGGAACTCAATCCACTACAACTTTTTGTTGTGAGAAGCCAGAGGACCAATCCCTCTTTTCTCCAGTCTTCTATTGTACAATACTGCTATCAAGAACAGGTGAAAAGAAAAAGAAAAGAGGGAGGGATGCAGGTAGCAGACATAATTACTAGCAGTGTTCTTAAGTTCTCTTGCTGAGAAGTATATTTCAGGAGAAGCAAGATGCGTGTTTCTAATTAAAAATCTCCACAGCCTTGTGGGCCAGCCCTCCCCAGCTGGTTTCCTACAGCTAAAGAAAGAAGGAGAAGTACAGCCCTATTCTACCCCTCATGTCCCCTCATCATTAACAGCTACCAAGGAACAGTGAGAGAGTGGAATACTCTAAACACTATCTTACTCCTCTGTGATGCAAAGAGGTGCTGCCCGGTGTTGACGTTCCAGAAGCCGCCCGTGCCCATGGTGAGTTTGACGTCTCCCGGCTGGAAGCAGCACTCGCCAAACATCGCAGCCTGCTGGTCAGCCACCTGCACCAACACACACATCAGCCCCCAGCTGAAAACCGTATGGAAACCAAACAGTGTCTGATGGTTTAATATCTGACACGGATAAACGGGGCGTTTGCAGTCCCAGAGAGCACAACAGAGCAGCTTGGCTGGAATTCTTCTTTCTCCAAATAGAAAGTTGGAACTTTTGAGGTCTTGCCTTCCTTTTTCCCTGATAACCCCCCTGTACCAAATTATTCCAAGCTCAGTTTTTCAACAGTGATAATGGTTATTATTAAATGTACGTGCTTATGTTTTCGCCTTGGTGAAACAGGAAATCTCCAGATTAATTTAATCTACGGTTCTTCAAAAATAGCAGGAGAAATTCAAATTACCTAGGTGACAGTTTTTTCACTTAGCTCAATTCAAGCAGATTTTGCTACAAGTCATCACTTTAGAAAAATAATGAGTTTTTCCTCTTTCAAATTCTAACTACTGAGGCAAGAACATGTTATTTTCCACTTATTTTTAAGTGAAGAAAAAAAAAGATATAAAAGGGACCACAAGCAGATCTATTAAAAAATGCTCTTATATTTGTGCAGTCTTACTGAAGGCAAGGCAGAGTGGACTCTGTTGCACAACTCTGCATAGAACAACTGATTTTAAGGCAGGGACACACACTGTACCAGAGCTTAGAGCCCTACATTCAGTGCTTAACCATCTGGTCCCTAACCCTAATGGACCTCAACCTCCAGAAATCCCTTCCTGTTCCTCTCTCTCCTCCTTTTCCCCTCAGGGTGGTAACTGAGTTTTTGGAGAAAAATTCAACAACCCATTCTACTGTAAAGTCACAGTGAAGGAAGCAAGTACTAAATCAAAGGCAGATAAATAGTGCAGGTACCAAACATACAGATTTAAGCAAGTAAATATTTTCACTCACCAGTGCCATTATTGGAATAGGTACCCCAAATATTTCAGAGTCAGTTGATCCAAAGTTGAAGCTTAAAACAAATGTTACGGAGAAACATCACAATACTGAATAGCACTTCTTGTTAAAATGAACATACACAAGGCCTGAGTCTGCATCACATATGAAAGGTGATGCTACTGGATTTATTTTAAAGAAAACATAAAAACTATCACTAACTACTGTCAGAAACCCAGTAAAAAGAAACTTCGCACTTCATATATTTCTACAGAAGGTATATCTGCATATAGAAATAACTTTGTGTACCTGCACATAACTGGGCCTGTGCAGATTATGTGGTATTTTTATAAAGGTAATTAATTTAACAGTTATCATATTCTTTTAATGATGTCTTCACAGTTACCTCGTGTCTTTCACTGGTGGATAAATAGACACTGGGAGAGAAAGCAGATTACACAAAGTGGGGCTCCAACATTTCTGAAACGAAATGGAAAAAGTAAAAATGTCAGCAATCCTCTCCAAAGCTCAACAAACAGCAACAACCTTTCCCAGCACAGCACATACCGTGAAGGGTTCAAAGATGCCTGTGGAACTGGCATTGGAGTAATCTGTGGCATACACAGAACCTGCCATGAGAAACACAGAACAAAGCAAGCCTTTCAGACAGCCAGACATTTCAGAGTCTCCTTTAAACATCTCACTGGCTCCCATCAAATACACACTGAGTGTGTGTGAGCAAAATCCCAGCGACACCACAAGCACAGACACTTCACCTGCTGCTCACCACAATAATGACCTGATTTCCCCTCAGGAACCTGGGTGGGAGAGCCAACACCCCCCTCACCAACTGCACCCCTCTCAATCCTAACCCATCCCATCAGCATTGGCCCTCAGCTCAGAAACCTGACGTTCTTCCACATTTGCAACAACTCTTTGGGTTTTTTTTTGCTTTCACAGGTTCTTTTCTTCAATCAACACCAATTAGTTCTGTTAGTCCTCTTTAAATCCTATACTCTGCAAAGGTTCATTACATTGAATAGTTGTTTCCCTTCCAGGCAGGGCCCAAAGAATATTTAATTTGGGGTTTTTTTTAACAGTCAATACATTAAAGTATTTATCAATTATCAAATAGCACAAATTGCAAAAAAAGTATTTGAATTCTAGGATACATAAATGACAAGTCATGAACATTATCTCTTAGATTCCAGTGCATTTTATGATATTTAAGAGGAACTGTAACATTCACCTTTAGTCAGTCTATACAGTAACCATGTGTCAATTGTCCCAAAGCAGCAGTTGTTTTTTTTGGCAGCTTCTTCAGCCTGGGAAAAAAATATACATACAAACAAAAAGTATTTAAAACTGTATATAATAAAGAGAAATATATTTACTAATTCCTTTTATCATTTTCTTCATGGTTAATGAGAAAATATTTTTCTTGTTTATGACTTCTGTAAGGAGTTCAAAATGTTGTTTTCCTTGGGATCTTATACCCCTTTAAAATGGGAACTTCAGGTTTCATCTAATTTCCACTAAGTGATGATGTTTACAACCACAGAACTCATAAACAGAACATACCAACTAAATTAACTCAAAACATGACTGAATACAAGGCTTTAACCAAGAGCCAGGATCTTCTGAGCTTCTTGGTTTGATAGTCACATATTTTAAACATCAGTGCCTGAAAAAATGTGGGAGAGCGTTCATCTCACTGCAAACTCAGCAGCCTTTTTACTACTGCACATTTCCAGAAGCAGAGGAAGAAGCTGTACAAACACAAGTCACTATTTAGGTGACTGGGCTTTGAACACTAACACAGATGAAAGTCTTTCTGTTTCTTCTGAGGGGAAGAACAAGACAAACCTGAAGTGATTCCAGCCAACAGTCACAGAACCATAGAATGGTTTGAGCTGGAAGGGACCTGAAAGATCATCTCATTCCAACCTCCCTGCCCTGGGCAGGACACCTTTCCCTGGACCAGGCTGCTCCAAGCCCCATCCTAAACCAGCTCCAAGTCACCTGCCATCATCCTCACTGGAGAAAGCTGCTGTTGTTCCTGGCCACCTTACCTCAGGGATGTTTTTAAACACCCAGGACAGCTTCATAGAAGTTTGGTGTGTTGAGAAGGTAAGAAAACTTGGTGCCAAATATCGATCATTCCCAGTCAGGAAATGAAGCACAGTAAAAATCACACGGATTACCTGTTTGAAAAGAAAACAGTGACTTAATGTTCAATCTCGCCTTGAAAGCTTTCTGATCAATCATCTTTAAAGGATGACAGCACAGGTGGAAGCTGCTGACACAAGACTAGATTTAAAAAGCTGAAACTCTGTTATTCTTGTGTAAGATCAAGTAAGAATTGTAAATCAACAGATGGCCTTCCTGCAACACACAGCACAGGCAAGAGCAGCTGCACTAAAGTCTGTTTGTCCACTTAGAGGAAAAGTAACTTCTGTCCTTCCAGTTGGAGCAAATCTTTCTCTTCTAAAGGTATGAAGCACAAGCCATGAGCAGCATAAAATACACCTCCTACAGATGATCTGAGCAAAAAGTACATGGAAAAAAACCCAAAACAACAAGAGAAAAGCCCAAAGCACTGCCAAGCAAGAACCACCTGCCTACAGCCAAAACTGAAGCTGCAGCAGTGTTAACATGCAACGTTTTATTATAACAAAGAGACTAAAAAGTAACCAAGTGCATATTAGACCTACAGGTGTCTTGTCCCTTAATTAATTACCTGCAGGCTATCAGTGCTGCGTTTTGATTCTTGGCACTGCATTCCATGCTAATATTGCCCAGTGAAACATTTTGAGGCTACAGAACATCACCCTAGCACGTGAACAGGACACCTGCAGTATTCCAAATACTGCCCTATGTGCCATAAAAATGAAAGAGCTCTAATGTGTCCAAGCTGTATCTACATTAGCACAGTTTTACCTTCAGCAGAAGGGAGTTATTCCAGGAACCCACAAGTTCAGCACTTCTTGTGTCTTGCCAGCTTATGAAATTATGAAAAGGTTTCCCTGTCCTCCTGAAAAACAGTATTGGGACATTTCCCCTTTAAAACTGCAGAACACAGATTGCCCAAGAAATTCAACATCATCCACCATTCTCCATCAGGACAATTAACACTGAGGTGATTCCCAAAGTAAGTGCACATCCTCCTGATGGATTCAAGGAGTTACTAGATAAGCACCCAGGCATTTGGAATGTCAGACTTCTTACCAGAAATATAAAATACCTATGTGTTCAGCTCTTCCAAAGCACTAAGAACAGAAAGGCCATACCCTCACAAACTGTGACTGCTGTAAGGTGTGGCTGTGCAAACACAACAGGAGGGACTGACATTTTTTACTTTCAGGTTGTGACTTAACACAGTTCAGCATTTCCACAGCCTGCCCCCATCCAGCCCAGGACTGTAAATGAATACAAAATCATTTGAAACCACACACAACGTACATACTTGTGCCATGTCATGAAAGTTCCTCTCTGTGTGGAGATGCCAAGACCAGCAATCTGCCCCATGTGAAGCCCTGCAGCTAAAAAACAAAAACAAATGAAAAAAAAAAGGCATTTATTTGAAGAAATAAATAAAAATACAACTTCTCCAATATAATTAGAAAATCTATGGAATACTTAGGAAATTAATAGTTTAAGAGAATATAACTCTCTACAGGCTGCCCAATTAAGTGGCTAGAGCAGTGAAATGTCAGACAACTGATTCCAAAGCAGATAAACAAACTTATGGATTTTCCAAAAGCAGTTGTGGCACACTGACCTTTCCTGCCTCCTGAAAGGCCTGTTGACACTCTGCAGGAATAACCCCAGAGACAGGCAGGCAGATTGCATAAGCCTATACACTCAATTAAAATGTGCATTTCACATGATGAACGCGAAAGAAAGCACAAACAGAAGTACCTTTACAGACTTACACAAAGACTTTTGGTAAAGGAACAAGACTAGATCAATCCTGTAGGCAGTAAAGAGATTAATGCCAGCATGTCCTGATTTTTTACATCACTTTGATAATGACATGTCTCACTTCCAACATTTCTTAAGCAACCTTTCACAATTCCTAAGAACAACTTTGCTTAAACCATGTACCACTGAATGCAGAGTATACCTCACAATACACCAACTTCCCTGTTAAACCTTACCCTCAAATAACTGTTATAGAACATTTGTTCTAACATATATAACTGTAAATAATTAAATATGTCCACAGCTGTTTTCACAGCAGCTCCAGTCAGCTTGCTAAGCTCTCGTGCTCTCCAGATGCCTCCATGAACGAACTTCCATCAGAGAAAAACAAACCAAGAGACAAATGTGGATGTTTTTCAGCTAACCTGTCTTTTGGATGGACTACCAGAGTAAGAAAGGGGGTTGGGACTGTGCAGCCAAGAGTTTCCACCTTTAGGTAGGACTGGACTTCATCAGCTCACCCACCTGCACATGGAATCACATGTTTAGCTCCACAAGCCCTGCAAACCCAAGCATAGCTTGGGTTCCTCCTGCTTCCAGTCAGTCCTGCCCCTGGTACCACACCCTCTCTTGTGCCACTGGGGAAGCTCTGCTGGCATAAACAACCGGACAGTGATTCCACTCAGGAAGCTGCTCTAGACTCGAGACATTCCTGTAAAGAGGAGGGTGGGACTGCTTCTTTTGACAGCAGTGTGAGGTCAGAAATGACTTAAAAATGACCTAAAAATGACTTGCCAACAGTGCACCCTAGCCTGGCCACAAGACAACCTTCCCCTTTTCAAACTAGCTGAAAAATCTTCCTTCCTCATCTGCCTCACAGAGTGGGAATGAAGGAAAACAGAAAGGTCTGTGGGGGCTGAGGTGGCATTGCTGTCCTCGTGACACAACAGTTGTGGCTGCTGAGAAAACCAACCAAGGGCCCAAAATAATCACCTTACTCCTGGTGATGGTGACTTCCCCTGTTCCCTAGGCAGCCTTCCAAAGGAAGAGATGGGCAGTTTTGGCTTGAGACAGAGCAACACTTGCAGCCCAAATTGCAAGAGGGGCTGAATGGGAGGAACTTAGAGCAGTAGATGCAAGAGTGTGATGAACACACACAGGCCAAGGAGGCTGGGACCTGGGGGAAAGTTGGGATACCTACTCTCTCTTCATGCACAGAGGCACGTGGAGGAAGCCAGACAGTGGGGAAGGAGGCATACACAAAAAGCTGGAGCAACAAGGTGCTGTCACTGATGTGTAAATCAAGTATTCACTGGTTCTACTTCAATCCTGATCTGGCCCCACTGAAAGCAAAAAGGTCATTCAAGTGCCCTATTTTACATAATGACTGAACAGACCTCAAAGCATGTTGTAGATCTGTGCTCAGTGATGAATTTTCAATCCTAGCTAAAAATAAATTATCTAACAGACTTTTTACTAATTTTGGTAAATAAATAATTATTTTCTCAAACTTTAAACCCTTACTTTGTACAGCCTCTTTTATTACACCAACAAATTGACTCCACAACACTTCAGGATCTAATTCAACCCATCCAGGACGAGGACGAAGCGACTCCACCTGTTCAGGAAACACAACATTTTATGATCCCTAGTTTACAGAAGCCAGCATTCTTGCGCAACTCAGTGCAAACAAATTTGCTTTTGCATTTTTTTTCTTAATTTTCTGAATCTCTTAGAAGAAAAAACAATGTAACTTTCAGAACAGAGTTGAATCCGGGTGTGTGATCTCTAGAAAACTTCCTCTGTTCAGAGGGAATAAAGAAGCCCAAACCCCCAGGAACTTCAGAGGCTGTCAACTCCTTTCAGAGCTGCAAATTGGAAAGCAGATGCTGAGAGAGCCTTTTGGCTCCACCGCTGAACTCCGAGCTCCTGACCAGCAGCACGGCTCAGCAGGGCAGGGCTCACCCACTGCAGGGGCTTCCAGCGAGGGTCAGCTCCCCCGAGAGCAGCCCCTGCCACCTCTGACATCCATCAGGCTTCTACGCTTCCCCTCACTGCAAGCTTTTCGCTGCAACAACTAATAGTAAAAAAAGTTACTGCAGAGTTCTGGAGACTGTCTCGATCCTGAAATCACGGTTAGTACAAGCCAAAAGCAGCCCGAAATCCCTGTTCCGAAGTTAACACTTTTTCACGCGGCGCTGTTACCCGATGGGACGCGTGTGAACGCCAAGTCCTACGCAAGCCTCAGCTATGCCCTGCTGACAAAAGCCGTTTTGTTCCGAGAGGAATCAGCCGAGAAGCGACTGACGCGAAGGTAACGGGCAAGGGCGGGCGGGAGCGAACGGGGCGAGTGCTCCGGCGGTACCTGAGGGTTCCCTTCCCCCGGGGGCTCTGGGGAGGACCCGGGGGATGCCCGCGCACCAGGACGAGCCAAGGGGCCCGCAGGTCGGAACCGTTCCCGGCAGAGCGGGCACGCCGGCCCCGCCCGGCTCCCCAGGCAGGTGCCGGCCGGGCTGCTCGGCCGGGCCGAGCTGAGGGAGCCCGGCCGGACTCACCTTCCTGCAGCTGGAGCCCCTGACGGCGGCCGCGCGGTCATAGACGTGGCACTTCACGGTCGTGCTGCCCACGTCCACCCCCAGCACGAACCGCGCCGGGGCCGCTCCGGCCCCGCTGTCGGGCTGCCCGCACGGCATCGCCCGGCCCTCAGCGCGGAGTGAGCGGGGCCGCGCCCGCCACAGCCCGCGGAGGGGGGCGGGCACCCTGCCGGCCTGTGGGAGCCGTGCCGGCCCCGAGGGCGCCCTGCCCGCCTGTGGGAGCCGTGCCGGCCCCGAGGGCGCCCTGCCCGCCTGTGGGAGCCGTGCCGGCCCCGAGGGCGCCCTGCCCGCCTGTGGGAGCCGTGCCGGCCCCGAGGGCGCCCTGCCCGCCTGTGGGCGCGGGCGGCGCGGCGGGGCCGCCGGGCGGGCAGGTGGCGCCGCCGGGGGCGGCCGGGGCGGCCTCCGCAGGCCGCGGTGCGGGGCGGAGCCCGGGCGGGAGGGGCAGCCCCCGCTCCCTCACGGCCACGGGCCCGGGGTCCCACACGCGGGGCTGGAGCCCCAAGGCAAAGGTGGTCTCTGTGTAAATCCAGCCAAGGCACGGGAAAGGCTTTTATGGTTAAACACGATCTGAAGGCAACGAGCACCAGCCAACAAACTGCACGTCAGTACACAAAGCCATCGGCTGCAGCAATTCTCTCGTGCCATCAGTTCGCACCAGAGAGGGAACCGCGTTTAAAATCACGGTTGGAACAGAGTTAGAGACACAAGTGTTCCCCTATTGCCCTGAGATGGGGCTGTGGTTTTTCAGCACAAACAAGCAGAAATGTTCTCAGTTAACCAATAAAATTCAGGATGCTCAATACCTAAACTAATATCAACAGAATTTAGTTTTAACCCAAATTTTATCAGAAGAATTAGTCAATTAGTTTTAACTCATTTAATTAGAGCAGGAAAAGCAAAAGCAAATACACTAAAATATTGAAAATATTTCCCCCCTGCATTTCTGGTTTGACCCCTCTTACAAAAAATTCTGCTATGAATTACAAAACAGTATTGTGTGGGATAACAGTCCGACGTGGTTGGATCTTTAAACCAGAAATACTAACGACAGTGAAAGCCACAGTAAGAAGAGGCTTCTCACCTCACATGGGCAGTTGCAGAGGTCACTGGGACAAAGGTTTGGATCACAGGGAACTGAAGGCACACGAAAGAGAAAGCCAAGGAACGACTGCTTTACCTCTCCTCCCTAAGGAACAACATTAAAAAGTCACAATCTCTTTGACTTTTATATTCTCTTTGACTATAAATTGACAAGTTAATACACTAATAGAGGTATGTCAGAGAAAGGTATCAAGCACTTCATTATCTCATTAAGACTACTTTCCTTCAAACTAATTTATCAAAAGAGTACATTAATAATTATTTAAAACTCCCAAAGAAAGCTCCCTCATTAAGATGCAACACATGTAATTGTTATAAAAGGCTAAAATCTCTCCAAATATTAAAAAACTAAAAAGCCTTAAGAAAAATGGGAAATTGCATCTAGACATCCTTTGTGTTTTTACAGTACCAATGCAAGTGGGACCTGTCTTACTGCAAGATTAAGCAAAACCTCAAAAAGAAAATGGAGGTGCAGGTTACTTTCTTCTTATACAAGCTCTTAATTTAACAAATACATACCCTTCTGATTGCAGGGAAGCGAGAGTAAGCAGATTTCTTCTTGCAGAGCTTAAATTCTGTGTAATATGTTAACAAAGAGCTTAGATGTGTACATGGTGAAAAAAAGATAACATGAACCAACTTGTAAAATTGCATTGCACATATAATCTCAGTTATAGGCATCATGCATTAAAATTGCTTCATTTATGAGAGGCTTATGAAATACAAATTTTATATTATTGTTCTGATTGTAATGTGATGAAAATAATGCAATAGAGGAGGCAATGGGCTTTCAGACAGGTATAGCTTGTCCACACATGACTTATGTGGCATTGGCTTCTGTTGTTTTGGCATAAATAATACCATTCCCACACACTCTCCGTCTATCGAAAACCCCTGTCACCCTCAGAGGAAAATCCTATCACCAGTACTCATAAAACACCTCAAGTTCATCTTAGCACAGACAAGAACTATTCAATTTGAAGTGAAAATGTGTGGAGTCCTTCCTTTTGTACTGTGCTGCAAGGCTGGTAACGAGCCCGTGGAACCTCTCCCACCCCCTAAATCCTGTGTTGGGGTGAGAGCACGCAGGTGCCACCTCACTGCTCACCAGGGAGCTGGCACTCCTGGGGCACGTCCCAAGCACTGCAGCAGCTGGGTCCTGCACTTTGCATCTTCTCTGCCCAAATCCTCCTCCCTGGGAAGCAGGACTGGTCTTTTCCTGCACTATCAAACCAAGTGAAGGAGTGGAGGCACTCCAGGGACCTGCCCAGTGCTGTAGCAAAGGAAAAGAGTTATTAAAGAAACCAATCAAATGGCAGAACATCAGGGGCAGGAAGATCCTGCATGGCTGGCAGGGACAGCAAAACTCCTGCCACGAGTAATTCACACTGAATATTTGTAAGCAGTGCTAGCACACTCAGCATGTTTCAGGCAGCAAGAAGGGAGTTACTGAGAGGCCCTGAGAGACAGGACTGCTACAGACCCAGCTGACCTGACTGCCAGAAGGAAAACATGCCTGGACATTTTCTAGGACCAGATTATTAAACAGAATTTCCAATTTATTAATTAAACTGCATTTTGGATAGTCAAGTTATTTTGTCTCTAAAATGAAGGTATTCTTGGGTACATTTCTGTGGTGTGACTGATACATAGAAACTTCTTCTTTCACCCCGGGCTTCCAGTGTGAATGAACCAAACTTGTCCCTGGCACTGCTAAAAGGATCCAGCTACTGAAATCTAAGAGAGCAAGGCACAAAACTTGTAATGCAGCGGTTTTTTCTCTATCTTTTCTTCCTTAGCTGTGTTTTGTCAAGATGAATCTATTCTATTGCCTCAAACTGAGTTACCATTTTACCCCTTTCCTTAGCTCTACCTTTTTAACAAGTTTTAACATTATGAAGCATTGGCTTCAGGGCCTTTAATCCTTAAATAAGAAAGAGCCCCCTGATTTCTGCTGCTCCACAGGCTGGTGCAGCCCATATCCATCACTCATTAACCTGGCCTGGAAACTTAACAGACAGCCCAAAATGAAAGGGATGATCTCGAAGCAAGTGCTGCAATAATTTACCACATGACTCTTTCTCAGCAGTTCCTCCTCTACTCCTGCCAGCATTTACCACTCTCCTCAAAGTCAACAGACAGAACCACATACAATGACATCACTTCATGTATCATGTTAGACTTGGGTGTCATTTCAGCTTTTGGCAGCCACAGCAGTTCCATTCTTGCTCAGTCACCCTGCCCTCACGCTACAAAAACGGTACCAACACAGCTGGTCCTGGGGCTCCACAGTGAATTCTCTGAAAAACAGCACAGGGGAAAGAGTTCCAATCAGAGTAATTCCTTGATACGGCTCATAATGTGGCTCTTCAAAAGGTTTGGCACTACCCAGTGGGAGCAAGCAGTAAGAGACTGGTTAAACCTGTATTTTTAGTAGAGAATTGCACATCCAATCTGTGCCCGAGGCACAAGCACTCCTTCCCTGCTGCCAGCTCTGCAACACAAGAAACCCTGACCAGGAAATGAGGTGGACTTTGGACAATCAAGTTTTAAGCCAAGAATTTGTCCACCACAGCAAGTGAAGTGAAAATCGGTGTATTTACTCTGTTACTGTTTCATTATTTGGCTCATTACTTTTACCCAACCTAAGGAATATCTACACTTGGAGATATGCAGTGTGTATTAATGAGATAATCTCCATCATCCTCTGGATGTCTCTTAAGGATTTATTATGTGGCCTGAAAATGATGTAACTATGAACAACTTACTTCCTTACAGAGATTAAGTTCCTGTTTATAGATGTGTGTGTATATATATGATGGTCACTTGTACCTAGAAAATTCAGGGCTGAACAGCTCTTTAAAAGAACATTGATTTCAAACCTAGAAATTCACAGGAGAAAAACTGAAGACAGAATAAATAGCCATCAATGAGGCTTACTCAGAACAAGAGAAGGATATACTAGAGGCTGAAGGGATGAAAAAGCACTTAAGAACTATTGTTTCAATAAGACCTAACCACTAAAAAAACAAATCACCAAAAACCAAAAAACATTAGAAAAGAAAGCAAAGGGAACGAAAAGGAAAAAAATTAAACTGAGAAAAATGTAGAAGGCAGCAGCTCAGTAAATTCACAGGTTCCAGCAGCCTACACTGCCCTCCATTTACCTGCTGAGTTATGTTTTGATGACTGACAAAACACTTCAGCTGCTTGAAAGAAATAAGCACTGGAACAAACATCAGGAACTAACAGTAAATTTCACCCTCTATCCCAAAGTAGCACTGCATCTAAAATATGCTAAGTTACTCACAAATAGATCACTTAGTTGCACTGGAATCACTTTTTGCTTCACTGTGTACCTTCAACAAGCTAAATTTGACGACTTTGAATTTTACTGTTACTTGCACAGAAATTACACTTTGGTTTTGTTGGGTTTTTTGCCAGCCTTTGTCTTTTGTTCACTTACAGAAAATACAGGACTGGGTGTGACCATCAACTTCCATCAAACACTGCCAATGCAGGGATGCTACTGACCAAGTTCTACCAGAAAAAAATAAGTCTTAATGGAAAATGTTCTCTGTTCTTTCAAATAATAGAATCAGGTTTACTGTTTGCACTTGCTGGCATTGCAACTCCTTCTTGTTTTCCTTTGATATGTACTGCCTTTCAAAGCAAAAATAAAACAGAAAATACGTGAATTTAAAAAAAATAGGAGTAAGCAGCCCATCAAAAAGTGGCAGCAATAAGGAACTGTTGTTGGAACCATGGATTCTTTTGTTAATAAACAACAGCTACTTACCTCACGAGATCAGTTCTTCAAAACATTTCTCAGGTACAGTCTCAAAAGCCAGGGGTGCTCCTGCACCTGAATTTGAACTCTTTAGGCCAAGAGTGTTCAGACTGCCCTTACGCCCTTGGTGTCACTGTGTCCCTTTTCCAGATGACAGAAACAGAAGAACATCACTGTCTCTCAGCAGCAAGGAAGGCTGATTATGGAATACAGATGGAGATCACATTGCAAATAAAAAGAATAAAAAACCATCCTTATTGTAAATAACAATTCCTTCTTTGAGAGTCCTCACTCACCTGGATAGTTCAGATCAACCACAGGAAATTGAACAGCAGTCCCTAATTTTTGGATGGGAGTGTCCATGCAAGATTTATCATGCCCTAACCAATACATTTTCCAGTTCTCCCTTTACTTGTTTTTCTTCTCTTTAGTGCTATGCATGGAGATGGAAAAGTAAGGGGGCAGAACAGCCATGCAGGGTAACTGCAGTACTTAGAAGTTCATTGACTAATAATTTAAAGGGAGCTTAGGAAATGCAAGATTATATCTGAGGATCTTCACACTGAGCAGCGTGACCCGAGCGTGTGCCCAGCCAGAGTGTCCCCTGCACACACCCCACGCTGCACACACAGTCACCAAAGCTGCAGCAGCTGCTCACACCAAGAGCCAACTCCAGCACTGCAGTGAGCTGCTTTAAACCAGCTCATTCACACAGCAGCCTGCAGCAAAGGAAACATCTCTCTCCATGAAAAGCTGTGCTGCAGCTGGCAGGACAGATCCAAAGGCTCAGCACAGTGTTTGGCTCCAGGTGCACAAACAGATGGCCAGTATTTGCAGGTAACCGTGGCTTCTGCTTTCCAGCCAGCAGCTGCTTTTGCACCTTGTTCAGAGTCACTAGAACTGAACTCACTGGACAGTAAACTTACTTACTGACTTCTCTGGAGCTTTTTTTAAATTTTTAATCTAATTGGTGACAAAGGGCAGAGAAACCTTGGAAGATCAGTATCTTGTTGAATGCTTTTAACTGTAACGTGACCAACAGCCTGTTGAAAAAACCTTGTATTTTTATCTCAGTTATAGCTGAAAGTCACCAAGAAACAGCTCAGGAGGGCAGGTGCCACTTCTGAGAATCACACAAATGGGGCTTCATAAGATTTAACTTCTATCTGAAACTTTTGGGTTGGAGCACGCAGCAGTTCCCATCTAGCATTTGGAAATAAAACAGTGAAAATAGGTAATGTTTCTTGTTTCAATATTTAATCCAAGCAGACACAGACACAGTTTATAAAATTACTCTATTGCATTAGAGTTCTATATAGCATTTAAGAATGTTTTTCCTTCAGTGTAGCATATATTCATATTTCAAAATATCTTTGCACAGTCCTTTGTGCAACTACATGCTAAAAATCTGCAAATGCACACTTAACACTAAACAGCACAAAAAATACATTCTGTATCCATTTATATGCAAATTTTAAACATTTCACTTGGCAGATAAACAATGAAAAGTTATTTTAAAAAAATCAGAAACTACAAAAACGCGCACATAAAAGTCTTCCCTTTTGGATTTTTTTAGTAAAATACTGCTCTGTATAAGATCTAATGAAAAACTCCAGTGCTTACAAAATACTTTTTATCTATGAGAAAAAGAAATGCTTCAATTTATATCTGTATGAATCGAACATGACAACTTTGTTAAAATATAAAAATGAAATCGGGGGGACGTGGCAGAGATCACGGCAGTGTCACATCCACCAGGACATGGAGGGCTGGAATTAAGTGGGCACCAGGCAGGTGGTATCAGAGATCAGCTCAAAGTCAGGGACTAGCACAATATGCAGCAGCTACAGAAGAAGGTGTTTAACCTCAATTTATACTCCACAAAGCAATTCCACCTGAAGAGGGAGCAGAAATCTTAGTCCAAAGTAGAATAATTAATAAAAATTGCGACGAGAGTTTAGTGCCCTTCATGACTTTGTTTCTAAAAACTGTGCAGAAATTGGCTGTCCAGATACATCAGAATTCAGGGATGAAAGAATCATGGGGATTTCTCAACAGGTGTTTTCTCCTGTGAGCAGATAATTCACAGGGGATGGGGGATGAACACCTGTGTCTCATTACAACCCTTCACACAAGCACTTCTCAAACACTGCCACGCAGCATCAGGGCAGGCTCGTGTTGCTAATGACAAAAAACCACCCAAAAATACAAATTTCCCTTCCAACCCTCTTGAGATCAGATGACTACAAAGAGAACAACAAAATTCATGTCATTTAAGACTTCATATAGACTTTATAGTTTTGTCACACTAAGTAAAATGAATAAAATTCCTTAACCTTGTTTTTACCTCTGTGATCCTTTTGCTAGGCTTGCTGCTATTCTACAAACACTGTTGTTCTGGAGAAATGAAGATTAAAAATCCTATAACACAGGAACGACGTGAAACTTGATACTACACCAGAAAGGGAGGCAAAGAACAAATGCAAGAGAGTTGACAGACTTGCAGATCCAGCAGGAAACCTGTTCGGAAGCAACAAAACGAATCGCTCAAGGATGCTTTATTTCTGTTTCCTGGGCCTTAGGGGAAAAATATTTTTTTCTAGAAGAGATTAAAATAAAGAAGAAAAATGAAATTTAATCCATGTCAGTAAGCAGCACCAGAGTTTCAAATGATTTCCTAAAGATTTCACATTAATGTCCCCAAGAATGGTACATGTGGGTTAAAAATAGTACAAGGACCTTTGAGCCTTCTTTTTTTCCTATATGAACTAATGACAGCTCTGTCCAAAAATGCAATTCAACTTTTTGTCTGAATATTCTTATGGAACAAATAGCAACAATTTCTGATAATTTAATTTTGCAAGCCACAAAACTAAAAAAATAAATATTAAAAGTAACTAGTAACAAAAACTAACCTAGTATAGAGGTTTCAGGGCTCAGACTATTAAAGGAAGAAAAGGACTCTAAGTAAAGATAACTTTGACAGTCATCCAGCACAAATGGACATCTTTAAACTCTGGCCTTTTCTACAGTTTAGGAAAAAAATTCAGGATATCATTAGCATTTAGGAAGCCATCCATCTGTGTGGTAGATAACTATGTCATTTTATCATGGGAAAACAAAGAAACTGATAGACTAAAAAAATGAATGTACTTCCCCAAAGAGTCTCTACTTTGCAAATAGATTTTTGTTATTCAGTAACATCCTATAATGAATGTCCTGGACCAGACTGTGCCTCAGCAATCCCTCTCTGCCCCCCAGCCCCAGGCACACAACAACACCACGTTCTGCAGTGCTAAAGCTGCTGCCCTCCAGGACAAAGCCAGCAGTTGGTGCTCGGAGCTGTCTGGGGGTTGCACTGTAGGTAGCTCTGAGCCACACTGAGTCCACTCACATGCACTGCAGGGCCAATACAGAGCTGCTTTTAAAGGACTTTTGCTTTGTCTTCTCACACTATTTAGAAATAAGCTGGAGTACAAAATGTCCCACTGGACAGCGTCAGATGCCCAATTTATTTCTGCTCCATGTCCTCCCAGAGAGCAGGGCACTGCCGAGCTGGGGCTGCCACAGTTATTGCTGCTCAGCCCACGGAGTCTGCCAGCCACTGCTCAGAACCCTGGGCACAATGGAGGGCATGGCAGCCTCAGCACAGCATCTCCTGCCTGCTGCTAACTGAAGGGAAAACAAAAAATGAGTTTGAACATAATTGTTAGAGTTTTCACGACAACCTGAAAATCACAGCGAGTACAATGCAGTTCCTTCTATATTATCCTTAAAAGTGGCTGGTCTTTTTAATCGAGATTTCTGATTTTTTTAAATGACAGAAGATAACGGGGGGAAGAGTTAAAGATCAAATACACCCAGCTACCGTATTTATTCTGCAGATTTTGGTGCGCCAAAATTGACAGCCAGTTTCCTTGGCTTTCGCTTGCTGGAAGTGTTTGGTGTTGATTTGTTATGAGGAACACTTGGAGTAGCCACATTGTCTTGAAATGAAGCAGTGGATGGAGCAGCTTGAGGAGATTTTAAAGGAGCTGAAGAACTGTCTTGCTGAATGTGGTCAGAAGACACTGGCTGGTCATTCTTTAGTGGTGCAGCTTGAGGGGAACTCTGAAACTCCTTGAGTTCAAAGTTTTTCTTGCTAGCAGCCCTTTTTTTAGTTACCTTTAAATTAAATAAATATTGTTTAACAGAAAGCATTCTCAACAAGTGCAAATATTCCACTTTCAGAAAACATGCACACAATTTTTTACAATAACTTCCTAATATCAAGCAGTACTTCACAGTGGGGGTGTCACTGCATTCATCACATAGGCATGTTGTTTACAAAGATATCATATTTAGACAAACCTGCTGCTCTTACCTGCAGAGGTATAAACTGGTTGTGGGAACCAACTGGTATAGTTCCTGCAAGAGACACATTTCCTGGATAGGAGCCAGGGTAATAATGCTTAGGCACTGGAGTTCCCCAGGACACTGGACCAAACATATGAGATGATGGAGGAGGCATCATATTAGCTATGAAAATAAGGAACTTTTAGCTCAATTTCCCACAGAAGAGGGTACAAACTCCCCAAAAGTAACCCAACTACATTTGTCTTCGTGTTGTTTACCTTTCCAATAAAGCCTCATAAATCTTCATATTTACTTGAAAACAGCTAAGTATTTATTTATCATCCCCCCCCCAACAAACAGTTCTGCTTTTACAGAACTACACCTAGGACTTTTAGCAATTTTTGGGGTGGAGGTTACTTACCATGCTCATTTGGCTGTGTACAACAGCATTGTGATGTAGCACTTCAGGGGAAGTTGGTTACAATCAAATAGAAACTAATGCATGGATAAACATTAACTATATGGGGGAATCCATGTAGAAAATCATGGAAGATACTTCTTATGAAATCTGGACTAGGACTATCAGCTTTGAACTAATTCTAATGCTTTAAAGGAAAAAAAAAAGGCCAAAATGGAAAAAGCACCTAAGACTGAATGGATAAATACATTCTTGAGGAAAAGAAATAACTGGGAGAGATGTGATTCTTTGTATTGAATTCATCTGCATATTGATGAGAAGAGGTTCATCAACTGCTTTCAAAACAGTTCAGACACACAAATACATACATGAGGACCAAAAAATGGGGGTTCTGGGAGACAGTCATTTTCACATGAAGAACTGCCACAGTTACAGAATTTCATCACATTAATTAAATGTGTTCCAGTCAGACACTCACCAGGGGGTTGTGCAAACACTGGAGGGATTGAGCCAGGCGGAACAGGAACTCCAAGTGGCTGATAATTTGGAAACACCGGTGGAGGTGAAGCAAAGTTTACTCCTATAGAACTCTATGAAGAAGGAACCAGAGAGTCACAAACAGATGCAGTGCAAGGGAGACAAAGATTTTAAAAGATCCTTTCCATCCTCACCAAACGCTGTAAAGCAAAAAAGGCGGCTTTCTCCTTGGCTTCAGCTTCCGAGTGACACTGAGGCCCGTGCACCAGCAAACCATTGGACAGCTTCACGTGGCACACTGTCATGGTCTGGAAAAATGACAGAGGATTGGTGAGGGGTTTGCACTGCTGCCAAACTGCGAGACAGAAACAGAGGACTTGGTTGCTTGGTTGTTTTTAAACAGACAGAGGGAGTTAAGTTTTATTTTCTGATGTAGTTCAGTGGTCAGTCTATATATAAATATTTAATACAGGGCAATTGATACAAAGTTGAGAAGTGGAACTTTTGCAGGAAAAGCTTTTTACCTGTGGTGTTTTTAGGAAAGAGAAATCTGGTTGCGACATTCCAAGAAGTGAACAAATACGAGACAGTTCAGAAACAGTGGACAGTGCAGGCTGTGGGCAAGAGAAAGGGTGACCTCCAGTTTCTATTGCTGGTGTGTTCTGAGGGCCTCCAGGGCTATAAGGCTTGTTCATATAAGCAGCTGACAAAAGGGAAAAAAAAAAATGGATGGCAACTTGGTTATTAGGACAAAAAAAAAGCATATTTAATTTTTTCCCCAGTATTTTCATAATGTTTACAAACAACAGAAGACCATATATGAAAGGAATTTTAGCTGAATAAAGAAGTAAAAGTGAAAAAAAGAAGGACATTTCATTAGTGCATTTTGAGAAACGGTACAGTGCTGTAAGGTGTGTTCTGAAAGGTCACTCCCAGTGCAGCTCTGAGCTGAACGTACCCATTTTTTGTGAGGTGTGTTGTAAAAGGTCACTCCCAGGGCAGCTCTGAGCTCTGAGCTGTTGGTTGAATGCACCCATTTTTTGTGAGGTTGTTGTGAAAGGTCACTCCCAGTGCAGCTCTGAGCTCTGAGCTGAACGTACCCATTTTTTTGGTTGCTCTGTACTGCACAGCAGCTCCGTGGCAATCCTGTCTGCTGGAGGGAGCAGGGCCATCATTAACCTGGGCTTTCACTTCATTCCTCGTGTCCAGATCAGAGCCATCTATCTTCAAAATCTCTTTGAGCATCCGTGTTCCTTTCTTTAAAATAAAATCAAGCACTCAGGGACACGCTGGCATTCAGACACCATGACCTGCTTAACACTGAACATCATCCTCGGTGACACAATCTGCATTGTTCCTTTGCAATCAGTTACATTTTATCAAAGCACAGACAACAGCATCTGCAGCACAAAAAAATGTGTTTGCTGATGTTCTTTGAGAATAGCTAATTAAAACCTCGTTAATGTGTTTTAGAAAGCAGCAGGAGGGTTCAGGGAGTTTCTTTAAATAGAAGCATTGATGCTAAGATAGCAGATGCTAAACTGCAATGTAACGATTCCTGCAGTTACAGACCATAGCAAATGACTGTGGTGACAGATGCTCTTCATTTGTAGCTCTTGCTTCCTTAGAACAAGTCTGCACTTCATTTTCTTTGGAAATTTTCAGAGAAGCTAGAAGGCTTTCCAGTTCATTGTCCTTCTTAAATTGAAAAAGAAAAAAGCTACATCAACTCAGTATATTTACAAGTAGATGCAAGAGGAAGGGTATATTAGTTTGAGGTTAATTTTATTCTCATTCAGATTTTTTTTCTCTTAGTTGGGCAGGTCAGAGTCACATCTGTTCAGAGTGTGAACAGACATCCACAGACCACATCAAGGTTTGCATGTTAAAAATATGCAAGTATTGAAGAACAGAGAATTAATTTAAAGAATGGTCAAAGTTACACAGATTTGTCTTCAGTTACAAACATGAATTTGCACACAAGTGACAGGAACAACTCGAACAAAATGGACTGGAAACTGAAGTTATTCAGAGAGCACAAGAGAGTCAACTACCTAGATCCTACCTTTGCACCTGTACAGGGACCATCAACTGCAGCCTTCTGAATCACAGGCATGTTGGGACTTTCATTCCTTTTCAGAAGTTTGACATTGTGCTTATTCACACCTGCAAAATTCTGAGATAAACTGCAGCAATTATTATTGAATATTCTATCACTTGCTGTAACACAATCCCATTAGAGATGTTGTGCAAGCAGCTTTCCCAAGCTGAGATCCTGAGAGGGTTTCAGCTCCCTGAAAACCCAGCATTTGTGTTTTCCCACTACAGAGTCTGAGAGGAACAGGAAAATAGCTTGGTATCATCATACACCTTCCACACTTCCTCTCATGTTCTGCCTATAAAGTCTCTACTAAAAAAAAAAACAACTCCCAAATAAATTGTACCTATTAAAAGAATCAACTAAGATGCCAGTAAAGGCAGATTTGTAAAATGACAAATCAGATCAGAGTAAAATGGCAAGGAAAGAATACATTTACTCAGTACAGACAAAATTACCTGTTGGTTTGATATTTTATTATGTGGTTGATTTTCGCCTCTTGTAACTTTGGAATCTTCTTTAACTACAAAAGAATGTATTTTTTGAAACACTCTTAAAAACTGTAATACTTATCAAGACTCAAAAAGTATGAACTCCATGTAAATACGTAGAGTTGTATTACTTTGAATGGTTTTATGAAATGTTTCATTCATACTTTAAAGGCCATTTGGTACATGCTTTTCTTCTAGGATAAATTAAAGCATATGCAATAATATGTCTAATTTTGTATTCTACAAGTAGGATCACAAGTAAATTTTCTAAAACACATTGTGTTGTTTTTTGTTTTGTTTTTATATCAGATGGGTGGCAAGTCAACAGAACACAGAACAGCTTGTCTAAGATGTTCAGGATTAAGGATGGAACAATCTAAATAATTGTTGCCAGGGAGAGTTGACAATAACAACTGCAAAGTACTGTTTATAAAACTACAATAAATGATTTCCTGTCAATAACTACAAAAAGCTCCATAGACATTTCACTGGAGATCAGATAAAGCAAGCAGTTTTCCTAAACAGTTTCTAATTCTAGGACTTACATTTTTTATATGGCTCCTGCTTTCTTTGCTGACATTTAAAGCTGCTCTCGTTGAATCCTGGCTTATAGAACTGATGGCCAGTTCCCAGCTTGATTTCCTGAGGTAGAACTGCACTCTAGGATTTCAAAGCACAAAGCCCAATCAGAAAACTATCTGTCATTTCCCAACAGCCCCACACAAGCACCTCTTTGCAGAGCTCTGTGTAACAGTGCTTTGATCCAGAGGATTCACTTGCAGCATAAACTGAAAAGTTTCCTGATATAACGAACTGATGGATGAAATGAAGAACCTTCCAGTTTTGAACCCACGGATGTGTTTGAAGTTTGTTCACAAACCTTCTCATGCATGTTTTGCTGAAGGTGCTGAGACTTCCCCGAGCTCTGCAGTGACTGCCATATGCTGCAGAATTCATCATCTGCCTTACTCTGTGCCTGGCAAAAGAAGAAACAAGATCCTCACAAACTCAGCAGCTGTAAATTCAGCTTCTGAACAGCTCAGCAGACACCAAGGCATTCTGAAGCTGGAAGGCCCAAGTTTAACACAGCCCAGATGAGGTATTTTCACACTGACACCAGCACAAGCTGCAGGTAATTAGTTTATAAAATAAGCTATTGTGGTGAGTTGCACTCGTACAACAATTTTTCATTCCATTACAGTTATGGATACCCAGAACTGAAGCCCACACGTGCAAAACCCACTTTTGAAAATCTGATATCCAAACAAGGACAACACAGGATGTTATACCCACTGAAGAACAGAGAGCAGCTCTGCTCCAGTCTGTATCTGGACTAAAACATCAGAAGCACTAAAACCAAGCTATTTATTAATCATGAGAAAAGGACACCTGCTTAAACAGAAGGTCAAAATAAAGACATTTGTGTCCAATACTAAATGAATCAGAACACTCACTTTATTTTTCTGATTGCCACTGAGAAATGATCCTTTCTGGGGCGAGCTGCCCTGATTTTCAGCCCTGAGATTGTAATGCTGTCTTCCATTCAGTTGCTAAATTATTGAGAGAAAAAAAAAAAGATCAATCAGAAGTGTTTCACTGAGTTAAGTTTTCTTTTGGAAAGTAGTTTTTCTTGAATAGACTTCAAAACATGAGACAATTGTAGTCAATCACCCCTACCTACAGCAACACGAAGTTAGCAATTAAGATGATTTTATTTAAAGAAGACACTTACTAAAAAAATAAAGTTTCATTAAACCACTAAGAACCCTGATTCTCCTATAATTTTTCCTCCTTCATTGTAGTTTCAAAGTAAATTGTAACCACAAAGTAAAACTGATAGGGGAATCATATCTTCTTCTTTTGAGCATGGACAAACTTGGCCTACAGGAAGCATTATCTGACCAGAGCTTTAGAGAAATAACTGCACCTCTGCCCAAAACATACTGTTTGTTGACATCAAATGTGGTGTCAGTGCTCCAAACTAAGTATTTGTCTCTCAGAAATGCAACTGGAGCTACTCAAAGCATTAATTAATGGGGTTAATTAATTTCTCCAATATAAGAATTATCCTACTTCTAATATACTGACACAAAAACTGAATTTGGTTTGGGCCAATGAAGATAACCATGTCAATAATTCAGCTTCGAGGGGAAAACACTTCTGGACAAATGCCAGCAAAGCCTTACCTGAGTAGGAACAAAGAGGGAGCGAGGAGAATGGTTGAGGCCTCCCAGATGCACTTTCTGTGAGCACGCAGATGACAGATCAGACGCGTGGGAGTTGTAGATGGTCACTGCTGGCTGAGGTTTCACTATGGCCATCAGCTTCTGATTGCCCATTTCGGAGCGGCTGCCGTGGGACAGGTTAATTAAGGCACTTGAGGGCAGGCGATAACCTCGGGCAGGGGAGCACCTGCAGAGAAGTAAAGACACAGTTTTTAATTGTTGCCAAGAGATAACCACTCCAATTTAAACAACAGAGGCTGAAAACTGTCTCCAAGATTGGAATCCAGTAGCAGCTCACACAACTTAATCCCACTGCACTCCCCCCTGTGGCCTCTGGCTGCAAACCCAGCAAACAGCAATGACTGCTCTGAGTTCAGACTGTGTCCCTCACTGCTCAGCTTAAACACTAAAGGTGAATGGTTTTAGCATAGTTCTGTAATAAATCTTTCTGTAAAAGATTAAGAGCCAGGACACAATATTCTTTTCTGTTTTTCAAAATGACACACTGAAGTTTAAATTCCAGTAGCAGAATTATAAATGGAATTTAAGCAGCATTTCTGAACACTGAACATTATCTGTGTCACAGGACACGCTCCTGCAAGGGCTGTACTTGTGCTATGCTTTGGGAATGCAGGGAACAGGTAAGAACCCACTCTAACCTTCTGTCATTAAAACCTCACTTGACCAAGAACAAGGGTAAAATGAAGCCTGCCGTGTAAATCTGTGCACTTAGAAGTTCAGCTGTTTCCTTAAATCCAGAGGAGTTACCACACTTTTTAAAACAAAAGCACCTCCATGTCCTGAAGAGCAGTTTAGGTTTTTCCTGGTGGTTGGAATTTAGTGCCTAAGTAGCAATTAGTGGATTCAGAGGCCCTCCTTCCCAAGAACAGACACCTCCTGACTGGTTTCCAATCTGTGTTGGAGACATGCTGATAATAACCTGTTTGCTACATATTTATTTTAAAAAGACATTTGGAACTTGTGCTTTATTCTGCTGCTTCATCTTTGCTTTCTACAAACCAGACATTTTTAAATACACCAGAAGGAGCCTAAAGGGCATTTCCACTAGATAATATGCTCCATAAAAATGACCCCTACTCCAGGAGAACAAAGAAACACAAAAGAAATAAAACCTGACCGACACTAGCAAGAAAAATGTTTCAAGAAGAGGCATTAAAAATACTCAACCAAAGCAAAAGACAACTATACCAACAGCATGAACTGGCTGTGAACCCCCCTGCACAAACCTTATAGTGAGGCCTCCAAGGAATTCTTCATCAAACAAAACTTCAAAGAGCACATCTGTTTCTCTGGTAGCTACAGAAAACAAAGGAGAATGTCATCCTACATGGGGTATGTTAGTTACTTAAATATCTGTATTGGTTATGCAATAAATAATGAAAAGACCAACAATTAACACAAGAAACCCATTTTGTTCCTGAGTAATTTCATTAATAGAAATTTGAAAATGCCAAGTAAGAAAACAGTTCACATTATTGGATCTCAAGATTGTAAATAATCACTGCTACTTAGTGGAAATGGATAAATCCTTCTATTCACTTAAAATAGATTTATAGTTAATCTCCTTGTTAAAGAAGGTATAGATTCAGGCCAGTTACTGAAAATGGAGTATCACAGAATAAAAAACCAAATTCAAACTAAAACCATTAAAGACAAATCATATTTGATAAAATTTTATGTTCAATGTAAGTATTAAGGTTTTTATGTCCTTTGTTTCTATGTCTACTTGTCTTAATTTTGCTCAAATCTTTCCATAACTTCATTTTGTTCCTTTGTTGATCTGCCCTCTTCATATTAAGAGGGAACAAAGGGGAACTTATTCATATTAAGAAGGAACACAAGGGCAGGTAATTTCTTATTCAAAGAACAGCTGTGTAGCACATGAAATTAAACCAGAATACCTGTAGGTTGAATTCAAAACAGTAAATATGTGGTTAATGGCTTCAAGTTGTAAATGCTTCACAGTGAGAAATTATGTATATTCACATTACATTTTTGTGTTATATACAAAGCACCTGCTTTCACAGCACTAGCTGAGCTGTTGTGTAGACACAAGCATGAAGAAAACATTACCTCCTTTAATTCCTATAATGGTGCCTCGAAGGCCAACTGGAACAGAGAAGTTTTCCCTGACGTTGACAACGCGGTCAAACAGCCTGTACTCCGCATCCCGGTCCGGAACAACCCCCTTCTGCTGCTCCAGAGGCTGAAAACCAACACACTGTGTTAGTGCAGGCCAAAGAACAGGGACTGGAGTTAAAATGCATTTATAGCAGTAACTGAGGTAAAATATAATGCAAACTTCCTGGAAAAAAACCCAAACCAAAATCCCCCCCTTCCCAGCACTTACCCTGTACAGCAGGTGGGGTTTCACCGTCACTCGCACCTTCTTGTTGCTCTTTCTTTGCTAAAGGAAAGGGACAAAGTCAGTACCAACCAGTGCAGGAACCACCACTGGAAGAGGGAAAGCAAACCACCTGAAAAGGTCACGTAGAGTTCTTTGGTTTCTTTTCAATAACGGTGTAAAGCTGTCCTGAAATCTTTAAAACACGTCCAGTTTTTAAACGTGGTGGATTTCTTATCAAAGAATAAATTACCTAATTCCAGATTTCACATCAATTTTATTAAGATGCCCTTGCAAGTTATTTCAAAAAAATTAGCCCGTTATTTCACGTGGTTTTGCCCTTAGCTTTTACTTTAGTAATTTCCTTGCCCACTTTTTTCAACTGTGGCCTTGGGGAAAACAACCTTCTGATTTTCTGCAGACCAAAGAGAAACTGCAAGGGAAGAACAGCTGGGACTGCTCTTCTGTACTTGGAAAAGGCACAGTTCAGAGTACAGACTGAGCTACTGCTGCTGAATCACCCCCAGAAGAGTGAGCCACTTCCAAAGATGAATAACGAGCTCTTCTGAATGTCTGGGATAATTCCCATTACAAGTTCAGATTTACACTCTCTCATTCTCTGGAATGAGAAGTAATCTTCAATGGTTTTATCCTAACTGAAGAGCTTGGAAAAGAATGAGCAGCTGCTTTTTGGTTCCCCCCTGCCCCCAGTGGCACCAAGCTGCATACCTTGCATTTCTCTATTTCTTCTTCAATTTTCTCCACTATGGCTGCATCCAAAATTTGCAAGTCACAGGATGAGCGAGACAAAGCAGACACAGGGTGTGCCTTTAACCAGGCAACAATTTCTTGCACTTTCTCAGCTCTGAATAAAAAATGACACGAATTAAAGCTTTTAGCTGCATAAACCAGGCATTTTAGCACGTTCCCTGAAGTCAAGTTACTTTAAAGGCAAGAATTATGATGTAGCCACCGAAAATTAGATTTACTGGACTTGAGAGTGGAGTCTGACACAGAAACTTGCACTGCACAAAAGAAATGTCCAGCATTCAGGTAATTTTTTCAGTCACTGCTGACCAATCATGCTGCTAATGGAACACCAATGCTTCAGTGACAAAGCAGCCACTATCCAGTCACCACCCATTTCAAAATTGTCAGGTTTTATTCTCCTTATTCTAGAAAGAAAAAGAGCAGCAAGATGGCTCACCCATTCTCATCCTCTCCAGGCCAAATGTCATCTTCATAGCAGATATCTTCTTGGCTGTTCTTGGCTACATAATTAAATAGTTCAGGCACCCTGGAAAAACAAATAAATGGAAGGTAAGGTTTTGTTTCACATCAACACAGACCACAAAAAAGCCTCATCAAAACAAAGTCTGATGAGCTTCAAAATTTGTGAATCCCAGTTGAATTATTTTTTACCTAATTTGGTGTCATACTGTTCATTTGTCAAAGGTAAGCTGTTAACAAAATTACTCTACCCCAAAATATGACTCTCCTCAGAAAAAGAGACTGTTAGAAGGAGAAAACTGGAATAGAGAAATTCCATCAAGGAATTTCCAAAACCAAACTCATCAGTTCTTACAAGAACTGTGACCAGAGGACAAAAGCCAAAGCCTGAGACAAAGGTGGATAATTTGGGTGAAGTTCATACCCAACACTTGCCTTTCTAAATACTCAGCAAGGAGCTGTTCCACTGCAGAGGAGTACATCCACTCACTGCCAACTTTCTTGGTGTAGCCAGGAACTTCTTCATTCTTCTTATTGAACTTCAGGTTCAGCCCCACATTTGCTTTGTGATCTCCATGAGGGCTGGAGACAAGAAAAAGTTCATTAACCTGCAGTAACATCTGTGTGTGTACACACATTAAACCCTCCCACAAACACACCTTCTCAGCCTTAAACCAGAAACAATTAAACTGTTGTGTTGTTCAGTTGTTAGCAGTGTGTCAGAAATGTTCCAGGTCAAAGCTGTGCTGTGCTGGCTGTCCACCTGTGTGCCCAAATTTACTGCAATGGAGGGCAGGAAATATTTCACCCTTCTTCTTTAACTGAGATCTAATCAACCACAAACTACCTGGCATTTACCAAGCTGTAGAACAATGTCCTTGAGCAATCAGTAAGGAACAAATGTACACATCAGATCACAAGAGGATGCTCATGCATCAAACACATCTTTACAGATCTGTCCTAGGAAACCACAATTTGGACATTCAGAGGACTGCATGGATTGCCTTCTTTATATATTTTAAGCAGTCTAAACTAGTTCTTAAAAGAAGTTACAGGTGCAGTTAGTACTGCTTTGTACTAGCAGTGATAAGTACAGTAAATTAGATCCCAATTCCACTTCTTTATTCTCAGTGTGGCACTGTCAGTTTGAACTCCTAATTCAATTATGCAAACAGCTAACCAGGAAAATCAATTTTACATCTGCCTACAATATTAAAGCAAACAGAACCCTCCAGTTAACAGAAAGTAAAACCACATTTACGACAGGAGAGAAAAACACTGCCTATCAATTCAGTTTAGAGCAAATATACTTTAAAGAAAGCTTCACATCATAAAAAAGCATACACTTGGTAAGAACAGCACTTAAACAGGGCAGAAATTCTGCAGGGCTCTCAAAACTCACACAGAGAACTTACTTTTTCTTCGATCCTCTTCCAATAAAGATACTCCCTGTAAATCTGGAGACAAGATATCCACTTACTCCAAGGCGGCTGGCCAAAATATATGCAGGATTGTATTTCACAGAATATTTCTTTAAAACAAACAAATAAAAAACATTGGCAGTTCCTGAAGGATGAGGGTTTTTATACAAAGGGCAGATGAATAATATGGAAACACCCCTTAAAGGCATTTACCATTGCAAAATCTCTTTGCTACATGGTTTGAGCTTTTCCTAGAGAAGAACTTACATGCTGGTTCTGTATTAAAGTATCGAGCTGGGGCTCACAGGGAATGTTAAAAACCACCCGAATTCTGCCTTCTCGGATCACATCATGGGAATCCTGAACCTTGGGGAGAAACACCACACATTACCAATGCTGTCAAACCCAGCAGCCTTTGGATCCCACACCTTGCAGTCTACTGGCTCAACAGCTGTGCTGCAGCAGGCACAGAGACACTCTGGGACTCATCACCTTGCCCTGGCTCTGCACCCTCAGAGAGGCAATCACTCAGCGTTAAATAAAGGAATCCAGGACTGCAGAACAGCACAAAATGGGAACTCTGTGCATTGTAAATTATCCCAAAGAATTAATAAAATAATCCTGCATTCCTGCTATGCTTTAATCTCTTATGGCAGCAGCGATGACAGGGACAACAGAATAACCCCTCTTCCTCTGGCTAAACCACCAGGGAATCTCAGATTCCAAATTTTAGCTGGCAAACGACCACTACTGTCCCACAACATCTTAGATTATTTTAGGTTTGCAAATAAAGAAATCCACAGGGGAAAAAAATATGAAATTACTGGCACTAACTTCTCCCATGCAGCCGTAGTAAGGAGATCCCAGCATGAAGGCTGTGCTTCCAGGAGGGAACAAATCATCCAGAGTTCTGATGTTGGAAAAGCGGGAGTCAAAGGCCTTGATATCCTACACGAAAAGGATAGAATTTATAATCTCAAGTATCATGCAGTTCCAACAGAATAATTAAAAAGTTGCTATAAATGGACATTTATTCTAAAACATTACCTGAATCTGAAATATTTAAAAGATGACACTGAACTCATATATATTTATATATAGTTATATATTCACCTTGACCACTGTTTGGTAAACAAAAGGAAGAACTTGCTTGGACCACTGCTTCTCCAAATAAACCTCTCCATTTTGGTTCAGCTGGTATCTGTTCCCAGTGAGTAACTGAGCATACACAACTACTGAGGTTTCATGGATAATGATTCCTTTTCTTCTCTGGTAGCTGAATACAAAGCAGAACATTTGATTACAATAAACAGAACTGAACCGAGAGGGTAGAATTAATGTAGTGAAATAAAAATAAATTAAATAAAAACCCTTCTTTAAAAGAGGACTGTAATGGTTTGCTTCCTTTTTTACAAAAAATGCCCAGAATAAATGGCTTAACCAGCTGCTTACCCCCTGCTGCACAGCCATCACTACAGAGCTGAGTGTATTAATTGAAGCACATTTTATCTTTACAGTGGAAGGGGTCAGTTTAATTAAGGCATTGAACTCAAATGACAGATAATAAAATGCCAAACCACTGTAACTCAGTTCTGTTCCACTGAGCACCCACACTCCACAAGTGCAAGAGCTGCATTCAAGTGCTACGCTATTTGAGTTGCCAGTTGATACTGTGTGACTTCACTCTAAATACTTCCTGCAACAGAAGGTTACTAACACCAGAACAGAAAATTAGGAGGGAGAGTAAATACTGAAACTCATTCATTTGAGTTCTTTTGTAACAGCATCTAACTTTAATTACCTAGGGACTAACTCCACACATTCTGAAATTTCAACATAAGCTCTTTTGTGTTGGTTTTTTTTAAATTCCAGCAGACTCGATTAACCTTTATCATCAAGCATGCAGCAGCTCTTCTGTGCTGCTTGGCTCTGTAACACAGCAACAAAACACAGCTAAGATACAAAATGCCAAGTGACACCTTCATTTTGGAAGTTACTTACTGCTCTGAAATGCCTTGAACTTCTTTTACCCACAGGCTTTGCTCCTTATCTCCAACATAAGCCACTTTGGTGGGGGGCACTGCATTTCCCATGTAAAGCTTCTGGGTGCCATGTGGTTCTTCCAAGTGAAACCTTGGGAATATTGTGACAGGTATGAATTTAACCAAGATTAATCTAGACAAAACCAGTTGGGAGCAAAGCTTAAACCAGTCAGAAATGACTTGTTCAGGATATAGAAAACTTGCCTCATCATTTTCTCTATCCCTCCCACAACAGACCACACAGCATGTTTTTTATCAAAAATACATGTGCTGAAAGGAAGGTGGCAGAGAAACCTTCTGTGTGGATTGCTGTGCATGCCTTTTCCCCTCAAAATAAAGAATGAGCTCTCCCAAGCTTCTACAGCTCCAGCAAAATAATGAAGGGCCAGAACTGCTCCCGAGCCCACAAACCTCAGAACAGTGTTAGACAGAGGCTGTCCCACCGAGCAGCCTCTGCTACATCTGCAAACTGATCTGCTGTCAGCATCACAACAAACCCAATGTTTGTGTGCAGCCCAGGGAACTTAATTCAAAACCTAACCAAGACAACAAACAACTCTGCATCAAACAGCTCTTACTTGGTTTCTCCATCTGACACTGCCACAACTCTGGCTTCTTCAAGGTGGGGCCAGTTCACAAACACTCGCTTTCCAAGTATCGAGCTGGCAACGTTTTCTACCAGCTGGAAAAAACCCCGGAAGTTTCTATTACCAATCGTTTAACATATTGAAACATTTCTGTTACAGTATTTTCAAACTGGTTTTGCAATAAAAATTACAGGTTTCTTGCAGAATAAAGAGTTCATTTTATGAAAATATATTTGATACAGATGACACAATCCCTGGTAAGAAGTGTTGCTCTGTGCATGTTGCATATGTTCTGTGTAAGACCTGGCCTGATTGACACTTCTGACATAGGCTGAGTTAAATCACTTAGAACTATTTTTGTGTCTGGGTATTTTTATTTGGTTGGTTTGGATTTTGTCAGGAGTTGAATGCTTACCTGATCTTTGGAGTTCTCATCAGCTATGATTTCTAACATCATGTTCTCTCCGTGGCTGCTTTGCTGAAACACCTGGACACCACTTTTTTTAAGATAGAACTGGGTAAAAACAAAACAGCACAGAAAACTTGAACTCTTACATAGTTATCTATTAAATACAACTGAAATGTCAGAAGAGAGGTATCTTTTACCTTGTGCTTAATGTGCTTTAAAGTAGGAAATCCACAAAAATACAATGCACTCTTGTTGATTTTAGTTATCTTATTGTGGGTTATTTCTACGTGCCAAGCATCCAGAGGTATTGTTTTATACCTGAAAAATAAGTAGCACAACACTTGCTCGTACAGATTGACCTTCAGCTCTAGAAAAGTTCAATACTCATTTAAATACTCATTAATTGACAAACCCTTTGACTTCCAGCAACTAATTTAAGTTATTTGGAATCTATAGGAAGAATTATAAGAAACCCCCCATGCTATTGCTATGAAGAGACAATTCATTAGAAAAAAGACAAAACTTCACAATACGTGCCAAACTCACTATTTTAAATAATTGTTATTATCAAATTCCAAACTAGCAGTGGTTCCATGTGGGATTAAAGCTATCATTCATCTTCCCAACTCTTCATTCTTCACTGACTGTAATCCAGAACAGCCATTCCTCCTCTATTCTGCTGTAAATCTCACTACTATCAAGCTTATGGTTCATCTCAAAACCTCAGCCTGAGTGAAATAAAGCTGGCTACTTGTAGTGAGAGGAAGGTGAAAAACACCCTTGTGTTCCACTCTCTGCACTGGATCCAAATGCTTACAATTTTTTAAAAATACTCTGGAATTATCATGCTGATAAATCATCACCAGTTATCAGATATTTGTACCAGTTTTTCATCCTCTGTGTCACAGAGGTTTAGTAATTCTGGAGATGGTTCTCAGTGATTTGGCATTGGTTCATCTGTTCTGCACAGTAACATCTGAAGGAACAAACACCTGTACTGTGCCATCCAAAACAAGTAACATCTAATTCAACATTTTACATTGTCCAGTGCAGATGTTGGCACATGCAAGCTTTGGTTAAAATGTTAATAAAAGTATCCCAACTACTTTTAGCCTCCTTGAAACTCGTTCTGCCGGTGTTACCTTGTATGACATCGTTCTATGGCAGGGAATTTCTCAGGCCATGGGGACAGGTACTGAAACTCAGCCTCTTTGTCATACCAGTACATCAGGCAAGGACTGTGAGTGTTCCTTTGCTTCTCTTCCTCTTTCAGGCCCTTGTTACAGGACTCCATGGCCTGCAGCAGCCGTCTCTGCACGTCACAGAAATGACACGTGTGAAACTGGAACACAAATTAGCATGGCCACGTCTACCCTGGCAAAGGGCAGGGGTGCACTTGGGTGGTTCATGTGCTCCTTTCCCAAGTGCAGCCTCACCCTTCGTGTCCCAGCTCCCTGATAAAAACAGGGCAGTCACCATGGAATGGCTTTGGAGAATAAAGATCACCTTTTTGCAAATCTGTTACCTAACACTGTTATCCTATGTGCAAAGGAAAATGCTGACTGTATTCCTCTCCATTAATGCACCCTGTTACTGGTGATTCTTTGAGGAGATTACCTGCAAAAATACACTTTTTTTTTCCTCAAGTGTTTCTTGTATTTTACCTACAAACATTCTGTACTTTTCTATGTATATGGGAATAAAACTCTTTTCCTTAAAGAATCTGAAACTAAATATTTGAATAACTGGTTAAAAACATTAACGAACAACACAAAGTCCCCAGTCCTTACTTAGGACTTCTGTCTCCTGCAGCTGATTTTGCCTGTGGTAACTTCACCTAGACTTACTCTCCAGCCAGCAGACATTTACATCTTTCTGTGATCTTATCAAGTGTAAATCTAAGCTTCCACTTAATTGCTTGTCTAACTGTCTAACTGTTGATTAATTAAGCAAGTCAGCAGATTTGTTATGAAGTTTTTATAGACAGTAGAAGCTGAAAGAACTTACCTCATCAATAAATGGGATTAATACCACAGCTTCCCATTCCTGCTGTTTTCCATTTAGGTCAGTTTTAAAATCAGGTGGATAATATTCTATAATAGGAGAGTCTTGACTAGTCATCAAATGCTAGGAAAATAGAACAGAGACAGTATCAGAGACAATGGAGTACTAACTTTAAGAAGAAACAGAGGAAAGCTAGAGTAAAAAACAATTCAGGGCTGACCAGGAATTCAATAACTAGCTGTCCTAGTCAGAAATTGCTTAGCAAATGCAAAACTTAATTTATTACTACCTTTCCAATGTAGTAAGAATAGTAACAAGTAGAATATTTACCCATACACCTAAAATTTAGAGATATAGAATATAATCAATAAGGCATGCAAAAACGTCAAAGGAGTAAAATAAAATAAAGCAGACAACCAGTAAGCAACAGAGAGATAGTGCAGCTGAATTTTGTATCCTACCTGGTAGCATTTAGGCAGCAGATCTTTGCTAGCTGCTGGAAGCACAGCCAGGAGCTGTTCAAATGGCATGAAAGGTTTCCCCAGTTCAAAGTGGATTTTGAGGTCCCTGATGTTACGAATATCTGACAGGTATGGTGCATAATGATAGGGGTAAAACCTGCAAGGAGAAACCTCCTGAGCTGCTAAATCACAGCACAGCAGTGTTCACAGAGCAGGGCCAAACCAAACCACCCAAATGTTCCCTGCATGCAAGGGGAAACAGCACTCCATCTTTCAGCACTTTCTCCTCTGATGTTTTTCCTTACCAGCTCCATGACTGAACTCCATGGTAGTAATAATGCAAAATCCATTGGATTGCCTGGACATAACATTCAGCTTGATCAGCCAAGAAGTCACTTTAAAGAAAAAGGAAAGATACCAATTTTCACTGGTATACAAAAAGTACTTAGCACCTTGTACATAGAACTGAAAATAGCACATTTTAGAAACCTAATATACCACAATTTTATAGATCCATTTAATCCTAATGGACTTCTCTTTGGTCCTCAAATACCTATCACAGAAATCCTGAGTTGCAGCTCTTGTTGCATTAGGCAAACCCATCACCCCTGCAGCAGCCTTACAAGTGTTTTCTGCTTTCAACACGGAAGAATATTCTGCCTTGTGCCAGAATTCCAGAACGGTTTGGGTTGGAAGGGACATTAAAGATTATCTTGTTCCCTCTGCAGTGGGCAGGGACATCTTCCACCAGACAAGGCTGCTCAGAGCCCCATCCAACTTGGCCTTGCTTCTCTGGGCAACCTGTGCCAGGACCTCACCACCCTCAGGGTAAAGAATTGATTCCTTTTTATCTCATCTAAACCTCCTCTCTTTCAGTCTGAAGCCATTATGCCTTGTCCTGTCACTACATGCTCTTGTAAATAGTCCCTCTAATAGATATTTACAAAGTCTTGTCTTTAGGGTTTGGAAAAAGAGAGAAGAAAAAGTATCCACTTACTCAGAAACGACTTCTACACCCATTTTAGTCATGTAGTAAGTTCTCTTGTATTGCCTAAACTCAGTTTCAAACAGATCATCATCTTCTGGTTCATCTTCCAACACAGCTGAAAAAGAAAGGCGTGAAAAATAAAAGAGAGGGATTAATGTTCATTTCTCTACTACAGTAAGGTTTAAAAGCACTCACTTTTGACTTCCTGAGTTAATTTTATGCTTCAGTTCAAAGCTAGATGTGCTCATACCTTCCTTGCACCAAAAGTAATGTGACACAAACAAAATCTTTTACCCAGAGAAATTCTGGAACTTTCAAGACAGATAGCCCATTTTTTTAGCTCAATTATAAGAGCAGAGAAGATAATATAAGCCATCAGAAAAAAAATCTGATAAAACATTAAAACAGATTTTAAAATTTAACTATGCTCAGTCACACCATCTTATATCATGGAGTACTATTCATATATCTTTGACAATTAATTTCAAAACATGAGCAAAAAATATTTCCTACAAGTGGAATGAGTTTAAAAAAGTAACCACAACCAAAAACCCCAAAGCCATAGAAAAATCTGCTCACTCATCCCCACTGTATCACAAAAAAACCCTAGGCATACAATTGTTAAAACCATAATATTGTTGGAGATTTGCTCATTCATTCCTTTAACTCCTCCCAGAAATCCAGGCATGGGAAGAAGCCCTCAAAAGCTTTAGCCCCACTCTCTCTCTCCAAAGCAGTTCCACTTCCCACCAGCTGACTACAAAAGTCTTGCATTTAGATTAAGGTCATCTCTGACATGAAATTCTTACAGTTCTTCCAAATCATTGGGGATTTTGTTAGATGGATATGGAAAAAAGTTTTGCACTTACTTTTAGGGGTCACTTCATCTTCGTTTTTTTCTAAAGCAGCCAAAGATATAGAATTTTCCTGAGCCTTATAAATTAGTATTTTGAAGAACATAAAAATACAGGTTAATATGCAAAACCCTCATTCAATACCATACAATATGCAACTCAAAATGCCATAATCAAAATGCATAAATACTATTATTATAAAACCCATTTCCTTTGTTGGCAAAGCCCAGCCATGACTGACAATGACTAATTAATTAACTAACACTAATCTAAGATAGCAATTGCACTGGGGTGAGCTGTTTACCCACTCACTGTCAAATAACTGGCCAATACCAAGACCTGCCTGACTCATCCATCAGTGTATCTGGAATGTGTAAAACTTGCAGCGAGCTCTGCACTGAAAGGTAAAACGATAAAGCAGAGCAGATTTGACCTTAACTCACCCAGAAGCACATTTTGCTGCTTTTGAGGAACAGCAAAGCATTAAACCACAGGTTTACAAGACTTCCAACTTCATGAGAACCTGACCTTGACTTAACCATTTCATCACTCCCAACCAGCGATGCATACTGGTTTTACTATCTTTACAATCTCAAAGCAGAGCTTTATGCCATTTAATTTGTCTAAGGTCAAAATATTGACTTGCAAAAAAGGAACATTCTGCTTTCTGAAATCCTGCCTGTGAAATACTCACCTTTTGTTTCTTTTGTTTATTTTTTCTGGCTTCCTCTGCTGAAATACCAGCTGCCTCGTTGAGGTATTTATTGCCCACTTTGCTTTCAAACCATTTTAGGTCTACAAAGACTTCACTGAAGTGTTCACGATCAAACTGTGCAGAAAGATTAAAGTAAGTTTGCCAATATTCGAGGGATGTCAAATTCAGAATGCTAAATCAACAGTGCCTTTTTAATCTGTGCATTAGACTGCATGTAGAGTCATCTGCACGTGAACATTTTGCCCCAGAGCTACAATGGATATGTAACAATATGTAACACACAGCCAAGCCATCACTTATTTAATTCCAGTAAGGCAGCAAAGGGTAATAAAAAGAGTTCAGTAACTGCCACACTTCACTGTCCACTCTAAAAGCAGCACACATAGAGGGGTCTGGTAACACAGCCTCGTGCCACAGACCTAACTCTCACAGCTCTGGCCAAGAACCAGAGGCCAGGGCTGAAAGCAGGGGCAACAGCTGTGTCCCTCCCTCCGGGTTCAGCAGGAGGCTCAGTCCTTTCCACTGTTGGTCTGTACCTTACCTCATCCCCAGGATGCACTGGCACTTCACAGCACTGTCCCTGCACTCCAGTGAGTTCAGCACTGACCCCGCAGAGACACCAATGCTTCACTGCTCTTAACCACTGTCACAAACACCTTCAACAATGCTCCTCCCCAGGACCTTCAGACACGGCTGACCCCCCAGGACACTGCACCAGCAGGGAACAGAGAACATCGCTGCCTGGGGCAAGCTTGGCCTAACACTGTCCCACTGGTCCCCAGAACTGAGGGCCACGACTCTGCTGGGAACCCTCATCTGACCTGCAGATCTAAGAGCTGCTGGCTAAAGCACAGATCAAATGATTCAACCTTTTATACTATGAAAAGATCAGACAACAACTGATTGGATTCCATCTGCTAAATGGTAAACCAGCTGACTGAACCACCTGTAAAACACAGTCATTTAACAGTTCATTACAACTCCAGTATGGTTTATTTTAGGGCACTATACTGAGTTTATATTCCACACACTTCACCATTCCATACAGCGCAATTTCAAAGTTACTTACATCTGACAATCTTGTGAGATATTTCTCAAAACGTTCTAAATTCAGGTGCCCATTTTCATTGATGTAACCTATTGTGAAAATTAAGTATGTTTTTTAAACTAACAACTTAACAATGTTAAAATTTTAATCTTTAAATGCCCCACAGATAATAGAATGCAATCTCGTTGGCTGTCTAAAGAAAGTGTAGTAAATGCTGAACATTCTAACATGGCTAAAAAGGTCAGTCACTATTAAGGCAGGAATGTTAATGCTTCTACTTTGCATAGCTGAAGTTGGTTTTCTTACCTCCCAGTTCTGGCAGGATAGCCATGTATGTTCTGTAAAGGAGCGGCAGTGCATCATGATTTATGTGTAAATGAGGTAGATGAGGAATGAAATCATTTCCTACAAGGAAACCCATTAAGATCCAATCATCTATTATCCTTTCAATATCATATTCAAAGGAAATCTTGTCCTGGGGTGGGGGGGGAAAGAAAAAAAAAAAAAGGAAAAAAAAGAAAAAAACCCAGGAGCATAATTTTTATTAGCATTTTTGCATAAAGACCCCACACATTTTTTTCCAATCTCAGCTCCATTAGAACTTACTTTTACTGGGGAAAATTCATAATCGATGTATTCTCTCATCAGTGATAAGTGCAGCAAATGAAATGTGGTTTCCTCCGGCGCACATGCTCTGTAAATTATTCAAAACACCAAGTTAATTATTTAAAAACACACTTTCAACATTAATATTAATATGAAGCCCAAGGTTACCTAAACCCAAGAATTTTTACTAGGATTGTATCCTCACAGAAGAACTAACGTACAAACACTTCCTTGAATCTGTTTTAGGATTAATCTGGTTTGGTCTCTAAAGTTTGCAGTGGAATCTCCTAAACAGCAGCTGTGGCTGTGCGGGCACAGCTACCTTGGACACAGCAGGGCAGCTCTGGGGAGTTCCTGCTGCAGGAACCATTTCCTGAGGACTATCCCATTGTTCTAAGAAGGGACAAACCAATCGAACCTTGCACCAGGCCCAGCAAGTTTTAAGGTATCTTCAAACCAGTGTGAGTAAACACAGAGTACACAGATTCCCATCTGAACTGGCTGGGTTACTCCTGCAGTCATCTGAAATGCTTGTAAGAACAGGATATGCTCCATGTGCATTATTTAGTGGCTTCAATGTAGCACTAAAAGAACAACAAACCTGCCATTTGCCCGTGCCATACAGTCGCCAGCACTTCAGTAATTATTCTAGTAACTTCTTTACAAGCACAAAAGCTCAGAGGTATGTATACATTTTAAAAAATCAGTATCTGCACAGGGCAGCTGTGGAAACAATGTCACTGCAGCCTGGCTTGCCCATTAATAGTAAGAAGAAAACAGTGTAGCACACCAAAGGACTTTTTTACCAGCTGTTCTGACAGCATACATTTCGTCACGCAAATTAACCTAAATGCACAATTTAACAAGTTGACTTCTTTAATTTCATGACTTTTCTAACTTGATTAATTTAGTATGCAATAACAAAAAACCCAAACTACCAAACACAAACCTGTTTTAGTCACCCAGTATGTTTCGGATTTAATTTCATCACATATAAAATAAGAGTAAAGTTAAATGACTTCACCTTTGAGCCTTTTTACCACCAAATCTGACTTCTTCTCTTAGGAGTGCAAAGTGAGCCTCGTGAGTTGTTAATCCCAGCATTATCTATAGCAGAGAGAGATTAGAAAGGTCTTACTTCACCATTTTTCAAACGTTTGAAGCAGCATAAAGAAATGCTGATGTCGTGTTTCATGACAAATTCAGAAGTTTGCAGCAATGCAGCATTACATGCTTTGTTTAATAACATTTTAGCAGCCTGTGATCTTAGGAAGATATCACAGATGTGACAGACTCTGCTGTCTGTGGTACCTGAATGGCACTCACCAAATCAGCGTCCAAGCCGTAGAGACAGTGCCTTGTGTTGGGATCGTGGTGAGGCTTCGCTTTTTCTGATCGGATGAACTCCATAATTTTATGCTCCCCTTCCCCCGGGGTCTGGACAAAACAAAACAAGCACAAAAAGAAATTTAGCAGCAAGTATTTGCTATAAAATATTTATTTAAAATAAAATAGCAATAAAATACAACCTCATGGCCTGACAAGTAGACTGTTATTCCTTGCCAGGATTTGTCTGTGGAAATCTTCATATTTACAAAATATTTAAGATGCTCATTCAATCTGGCCATGAATTCAGTTCCTGAAAACAGAAATCTAAGTTAAAAACAAAGATTTTCACTAGTTTGCATGTACATATTAGACATACTAATGAAAAAAAAACCACAAAAGAACAAATAAAAATTCTGCCAGAGATGAAAGGGATAACTGTTTTTTTCTTCCTAAGACATTTCACTTTTTACATAATAATCTAAAACATTTTTAGAATGAGACCATATTACAGCCCTACTGAGTTACTAAAACTTCTGTTCTCAACTTAAGCCTTCACTGATTCTGTCTTAAAAGGCCCTAAAGACAGAAAAATAGTACCAAAATATGGATGCAAAACCATAAATCTAAACACTTAAATTTAAATAACTGACAAACTATCTTACCTGGTGTAATACAGTTGGAGTCAAACCTGGCTTCTGTAGGGAGAGTTTCTCCCTTTTCTAATGCCTTTTTTATTTTCTCCTCTGCCTCTTTTGCTGATCTAAAACAAAATTGGGTTGGAGAGAGAGCAGAGAAAGAATCATCTTATTCAAGCATTAATATCCTAAGCACAGTTTTACTAAATAAATATAGTTGATTTTTTAGAGCACTAAAACAAAAAGGAAGAGAAATTTATCTCCTGAATAGTTTGAATTTGTTTCAAATCCAATGAAGAAGCCTTAAAAACAGCTTTTTCCTCCTAGTAGTGATGATAAGCTGTCACTACTCAGGTGCAGGTAATATTTACATGATCATACAATGGCTGATCACCAGGACTGTTGAAACAGCAGGTGGGATCCAAACACCTGCAAATGCTATCCCAGAAAATTAAGGTAACACAGTGAAACAAAGAAGCAGGTTTGGAATACCAAAGGAGTCAGAGGAGTGAACAATTTCTCATCATCAGTAACAGAGAAACTAAAAAAAATCCCTCCCTTTCCTGGCCAAGGATTTCATACCCATTGAACCAGAAACAGAGGAATCACCTCGTTCTTGAATTTTTGTCCTTCTCTCAATTCTGCTAAAATTTTCTATTTAGAACCTTTTTAATCTCTATTTCCTCTCAACCTCCTTTCTTAAAGGAAAAAAAAGCTCATTAAAAAAAAAAAAAACCCACAAGAAAGTCCAACTGCTTGCAAATATTTTCTCTCATCCCTTCCCCCATTTTGTTTGTGTTGTGTTTCCCTCCCCAAGCTCCGTGCTGTCTGACCACCACTGGCTTCTCTTCCCTTACAGCAACCTTGAAAAAAGCTTCCAAATCTCCCAAAGCATTACTGTAATTCCTAACACCGGGAATCTGCTTGCAGCTCTGTATCTGGGGTATGGACCTTGGGAACTGGGATCAACAGGAAATCAGAGGTTCGTTCGAAACTTGATTTCTTCCGAGGCTGTCCAAGGACGCTCCGTTACAGCCACCAAAAGGCACACCCAGAACCAGCATTCACAAATATCAAAGACACTCCCAGCTCATGAAGCCAGTGGAAGCATCTGCAAGAGCTCCACCGCAGACTTCTTCCACAGGAAATTTTGTAAGAAAAAGCTCCACATACACAGAGAAAAGTTTAAGTGACAAGCAAACTTTCCTTTTTGGAATCCTGATTTTAACTTTTTTACAGGTAGTAACTCTCATTTAACTACAGATTAAAACCACTGTCAAAGGCACTACCAGTCAATCTATTCTACTCTTTATAGCATATATTTAAGTAAGTAGGGTTTTTTTAGTGTTTACTTTCCTCAAGACAGAGTCAGAACTCATCTCCTTACCTAAAACGTCTCCCACGCTGCTGATTCATTTTTGCTCTTGGAGCTACTCCATCAACTGCCATGAAGAAAACCTTCCTGGGCTTAATAATGCGAAACAGTACTTCCAAATAGTGGAAGATATTGGCAAAAATCTTATCTTCTGAGATCCTGAAGTGGACATCATCATCGTTCGGGTGTGAACACTGATGGATAATGCCATTCATGTCCAGGTACAAGTTGTCAAATTCTGGAATCTGCAAAAGCCACGGTGAGTCCCCAGCTGTGAAGCTGCAGCGCTGCAGTCACTGCCCGAGGCACAGCTGAGAGCAAGGGACCCTGGAAATGAGCTGAGGGGGGAAAACCCCCCTGGAACCTGCTGCTCACCAGGGGGCTAAGGAAGAACAGCTGCTCTGCTGATGGGTTTGCCTGCACATGCAACCTGTTAGAATGACTTTTCTCAGGGAGCAAAGTCAGCTGAACGGGTTCCTACCCTATCCTGGCTGTTTCTGGAACCTCAGGACTTTCATCTCTGTGCTTGGTCAATCTTATACATACATTGTAAAAGGGAAAAGCAAACAAAAATCTCTCTTTTGAGAAAGATTTTTTTTTATCTTTTATAACCACACACACTTGACTGATTCAATCTTCCTTAACTGCACTACAAACAACAAAAACTACAGAAGTGAGGATGCAATTTCCAGCAGCATTTCCAAAGCAAAGCCAGCTTAAGAATCTTTAGGTTCTCCCACTTGGACAGTTCCTCCCCTGCCCACTGCAAGCTGCCTGTTAGCTGTGCTCTGAGCCACCTGGGAGTCTGGAGAGAGGCTACGACCACCAAAAGCAGCAGAGCTAGCAGTGATGACTATCAATTTCTTTCTCACACTTTCCAAACTTGTTTTTTTTCTTTCTAGTTCTCTGTTCCTCTAACAGCCCTATCTGCAGCAGCCACACTTTCTTTTAAAGGAATAAAAACTTCCCAAATGTACACAAGCAAACACTGTTAAACATATGAACTATCTTTCTGTCACCAAACCCCACCAAACATGCACAAGAGCAATTTGCAATGAACAAATCTATTCTTTAATCCAGCAATATGACTGTTCATAGAAATCCTGCCCTCATTACAACTGTACCTCCTGCTGCAACACCCTGGTTAAAGCAGACACTGCTGCTTCAGCTTGCCACAGCTCTTCAGCACAAGCTTAAAGATTCCACGGCTGCAGTGAGCAGCCCAGGCTCTCAGCAAACAGCAGGAAAGCCAGCACACACCGCTGCCCCTGGCTACACGCAGAGCAGGACCAAGCAAAGCATCAGCAAAGACCTGAGCTTTGAGAACTGCTTTGAGACCAGCAGGAAGGGTCACACATCCAGGTTTGGAATCACCTGAACCTGGCATCTTAGTCACACTGATACAACAGCTGTTTAATCTTTAAAAATCGGGGCTGTTTAGGGAAAATGTACAAACAATGCCCTCTCAGAACATCCTTACTCAGACTATAAAACCACACCACTAACACCGCCTGGAAATAATAAAGAGCTTGTACCTAACAGGTACCAAACGCGGCCTCTCTGAAAACAAGACTTTTTTGCCCTACTGTTAAAAGCATCATTTACCACTGTCTTTTTCCAGGCTTGAACATACTTCCCAAATTTGCTGCTGACACAAACAGCCCGACGCAGGTGACAACAAGGAAACGCAACAGGGCTGTGAAACCCGCCCCTCGTCATTACTGCGCCGTCCTTCGGCAGCAGCCGCAACTTTTCTGAGCACAACAACGAGCAAACTCCAACGCGGGCTCCCCGCGGGACAGCACGGCGGGGCTACCGACGGGGAGCCGGACCCGGGGAGCGAGCCGGGCATCGCCACACGACAGGGGAGCGCCGGGGCTGGGCATTCCCTGCGGGACCGGCGCGGTTTGGGTCCGGGACCGCTGGAAACATCGCCGGCCGTGCCGAGGGGCGCGAGTGCCGCCTGCCCGGCCCCGGGCGGCGCTGCCCCAGCGGAGGGCTCGGCCCGCACAGCCGGGCCGGCCGGAGACACCCACCCACCCACCCACCGCGGCCCCTCCCCAGTGACCGCCCGGCACTTCGGGCCGCCCCGAGCCGCGGCCGCCCCGGCTGCGGGCGAGCCGGCCGGGCTCGGGCTCAGCCCCGCAGGGCCGGCCGCGGACAGGCCCGGGCGCTCGTCCCGCTCCCTCGCCCCGCCGAGGGGCCTCCCGGGACCCCTCGGGGACGGGCCCCTCGCCAGGCACCGGCGCTCGGCCCGCAGCTCACCTGGTGCTCCTTCAGCACCTGGCTGAGGCAGGGGTAGCGCTCCGAGATCCACCGGTAGAACTTGGGGACCCCCATGGCCGCGGGCCCCTCAGCCCCGCCGGAACCAAACACGGCGGGCCGCGCTCCGCCCTCCTTCCGGCGCGCCGCGCTGACAGCGGCCCGACCCCGCCGCTCCCGGGCGGGCCCGCCCGGCGACACCGCCCCTCGGACACGTCAGCCACAGCGGGGCGGGGGCAGCGCCCAACCCGCACACCGAACTCACCGCCACCCCCTCACACCGAACCCGCCCCCGGCCCTCCCCTCACACCGAACTCACCGCCCGCCCTCACACCGAACTCACCGCCCGCCCCTCACACCGAACCTGCCCTGCACACCGAACCTGCCCTCACCCCGAACCCGCCCCCGGCCCGCCCTCACACCGAACTCACCGCCCGCCCTCACCGAACCTGCCCTCACACCGAACCTGCCGCCTCACACCGAACCGCCCTGCCCTCACACCGAACTCACCGCCCGCCTCACCCGAACCTGCCCTCACCCCGAACCTGCCCTCACCCGAACCCGCCCCGGCCGCCTCACCGAACCGCCCGGCCCCTCACGAACCTGCCTCACACCGAACCGCCTGCCCTCACCGAACCCGCCCCGGCTCTCCCGCCCCCTCCGCGGCCCCTCAGCGGAGCCCCGCTGGCAGTGCGTGGCTGGGCAGGTGGCTCGGCAGCTCCCCGGGCAGGTCTGTGCGCTCCGATAAGCCGATAAAACCTGGGAAAAGTGACAGAACCCCAGTACGCACACACCACACCAGAAAAGGCCGGAGTATGTTCCAGAGATTTTACGCTGAAAAATCTCCACGTTTACGGAACAACAGCAACAGAGTTTAGAAGACCACCCGCTGGATTCACAGACGAACCAACCAACCCACTATAACCAGCTGCAAACCCATTATTTACATTTACTCCCCCAGTCTCTGGACTTCAGCTGAACAGAACTGAAACTGGAGTCCCACTCCACAGCAGGAAGCCTGTGATCAAAACCCCATAGAACTGTCTCAGAATAGCCAAACAACACTGTACAGAAATTCTAACAATAGCCTATGTAGGGTAAAAGAGTATAATTTTTCCCCGTCTCCCCCCACATTTCCCTTCGTGCCTAGAGAAACAAAACCAAAATTCAAGGTCTGCTGCTGGAAAGAAATGCTAATTATTTTTACAAAGCCCTTGTGAATATGAGCGGAAAAAGCTCAAAGAACCACTTTACATCATATCAGTATTAAACTTTAATGTCATATTTTCTAATCTACAAGTAAGCTGAATGAGAAAAAAAAATCTTTACAAAAATATACAGTACTTTATAGAGTGCATCCTTCAACATCGCGAAAACCTTTTATATAGACAGAATAAGACACTTGCAGGAGGTTTGCACAGTCTAGTTTTTAAGCCCTTCTTTTGTGCTGCCTTCTACAGTCTATAAAACATAAGTCCTAACACTTTACACATCTGTCAGTGCGTTCGTGTCATCCTGGCAAGAGCACTGTACATTTGACACAGATTTCAGACAACCACAAGACTGTTCTGCTGCTCACAGAAATCAGCAGAAGCAGCCAGGTCTCACTGATCAGACCTTCCCAACAATATTACAGCTCATCCCTCGTGAATGGTGTTGTTCCAAAGGGAACAAACCTCACATATATGGAGCCCAGCCCATGTACATCTGGCACAGCAGGTTGTCATCACTTGCTTCTTGAATGAGGTAATGGACGTGTCCTTCAATAGATAAAGGTAATCCCTTTATTCTGTTTCTAGTCTTAATGACTCCTTGCAACCGCTGTTCTATATCAAGGACATGAGTTTTAGCCTGGAAAAAAAGGAAAAAAAAATGATATTGCTACTATCCATGAACTTCCACTTCTTAAAATAATAGAAGTATTTGTTAGAAGGTGTTTGAAATTGTATTTTAATTTAATACCAAACCCCAAATGTCTATACCAGATATACTGTAAATAAAGGCTGCTTGCTTTTAAAAACAATTCTTAAAATGTATATATTATTGCTCAACTTAGACCTTTTGCCTTACATTTCTACAGATAAAAGTAACCAGAGAGACTGAAAGAGCTATACCAATATATTTGAGAACGGTAGAAAGCTTTGTTTCATAAAATTACTTTCAAAGAAATGCAACGTTTTCCTAGCCTGGTTCTTGGAATTCTGGATAAAATTTAAGTCTGGAAAATTTAGGCATAAAAAAGACGAGCAACTGAAATTGCAGCAGTCTAATTATAGGGGCTGTGCTGAGCATCTCCAAATGAGCTGTTCTGAGGCCCAGCAGAGCAGCCACTTCACACCAGCTCCACTCACACATTTGCTTGTAAAGCCCAAGCACAACATTGGCACCTCTCCAGAGAAAGCAGTTAATTTATACAGCTCTGTGGGTGGTCTTGTGACTAACAGAGAGGTTATGCAGACACAGCCTGCGTAGTAACTGTTTGAGAACTGGGAGATTTTCTGGGCTGAAATGGCTCAGCTGAGTTCTCTGTTGTAACACAGCTTCAGTACTGCACTTTGTCCTTATCTAAGTTGCTGTGTTTGTCAGTGCTCCCTAAGTATTATCTACTATTACACATTTATTGTCATTACGTTGTCCTTAAAAAAAAAGAGACCTATCAGAAAATTTGCAAAGAGGAAAGATAATAAATACTACAGGCTATGCAAGCTACATTTTGGATGAATAAGATGGAGGAGTACATATGAAATCCGAATTTTAATCAAGTAATCCTTGACAGGTAACAAGGCAAGTATTTATTCAATAATAAACTTCCACTCAGGAAAAGCACAAAAACACACATGGAAAGGACTCCAGGTGTTACCACCACTGTACATCTGGAGGACTCCTCACAGAGCGAGGAGCAAGATCCATCGCTTCTGCTGATGTCGTCCTTGATTTCATAACATTAATAAGAGAATTGCAGGCTTGCTTGTTTGGTTCTTTAGTAGATTTTCTATCAGTAAAACATTTATTAGTACATTCCCTATCAGTAAAAAAATCAGTCTCTTTCCCTATCAGATGAAAAATTATGAACATGAAGGCAATAAAGAATGACCAAACAGAGAAATTTTTAAATCGAAGAAAAAAAAGACAGTTAAGGTTTCAGTTAGAAAATATGTAACTCATATATAACCAAAATGGACATTTGATATTTGCATACCTCAGGTTATGCTTGTTTCAAACTAACCTTTTCATTGACAACTTCTCCAGTTTCGTTCACCTGGGCTCTTGTGTTCCCTTTAACAGGTTTACTCCATTCCACGAGAGGATCATGGAGAAAAGTCTTTAAGACACTAAAGAAATTGAAAATAAAAATTAAGAATGAGACATATGAATACATATTTAACTGCATGTCACAGTGAGACTGAGCTGCACGATGGGCAGCCGCTGGAACTGGCAGCAGTTCCTGTGGCCCTTGTTTGGACCACAGGCGATTTTAGGATTTGTAGTAAAAGCACTTGCCCACCTCATCAGGGGCTCCCTCTGGTCCCGCATGAGCCTCATGGTGACTTCACAGGCTCTTCGGAACAGCCCTTCTGTCCCCATGGGGCCCATTCCATTGACCATGTTGTGAGTGAGGCGGAAGGGGACGATTTCTGGCACTTCAAAAGTTTCTCCCTGTGTGTTGATACAAAAGGGCACACCTGAAGTGCTGTGAGCATTGTTAATGCAGGGAGGAACATCTGCACTGGGCTTTTCCCCCCATCTTTGGCAGTTTGCTGGCTGACACAGTCCTGCTCAGCTGCTGGGGGGAAATCACAGTGGATAAAGGACACCAGTGTCCTTCCATGTTTTAACACACTAATACAGGGTATAAAATTTTGTTCTTAAATGTATATTGCTGCTATGTAGTCTCGTGCAAAATGCTAATTTTTTTCATAATGTGCAAGTTGCAAAAAACATTTTTTTTTAATTAAGTGTTATATAGGACAATTTAGACTTTTTAAAAAGAAAGTAAGGGAAATAACCTAACAATATCTGTGCCTCACTTGACTGCATTAAACAATATTTCTACCTCACTTACCTAAAAAGGCCACATGTCCCACACCAAAAGCATCTTTCAACTGAAACACCAAAACTCCAAATCCCACTCTGCCCACAATTTCTGTTGTTTACTTTTACAGAACCATTCGAATTTTTGTGCTGTATTTGTGTGAGAAAGAAAGAGGAACTCTCCACAGCAGCAGAATTCTGAACGTAGCAATTACAGTTTTGTTTGGAAGGTGATAGCGGAGAGCAGAGAATCACAAAACATAAACAGTCTAGATTTGGGGCTGTTTCAGTGTATCCACATCAGGTCATTGACAGTGGCTAAATCAAGAAGCTGGCTTTCATTAAATGCAGCACACAGAATGATCATACAACACCCTACATATGCCAGGCTGTTGGTTGGCTACAAGAAGAGACAAAGCGAGAGACAGAACACAACGGGTATGTTAAAGTAAAATAACGTGGGAAAATCCCAAGGCAGTAGAAGCTGAGAACTCCCATGCACATCAAACAAGGAGCAAGCTGAGTGAGGGGCACTGCTCACCTTGTTGAAGAGGCAGTTGAAGTCCACGTGCACGCACTCCCCGGTCAGGGAGTCGAAGAGGATGTTCTCTCCGTGCCGGTCCCCCAGCCCCAGGATGTATCCCACCATGGACATGACGGCCACCGAGCGGCAGTAGGCGGACCTGCTGTTGTACCTGCGGGGACAGGGACTGGCAATGTCGAGGGCGCTCCCTCGGCTTCTCCATCAGCACGGTTAATGCTTCGTCAGCATGGTTAATGCTTCGGGAAACACACACGGGGTGTTCCTGAGCCAGCCCTGCCCCAGTCACTCACCAGGAAGTGGGATCGGGAAACGTCCTGAGGAACCATTCATGGAAGAGAGGAGGGTGGCGAGGCAGAAGAACTTCTTTGAACATTTTCAGCTTTTCAGGCAGAGGGGCTGACTTGGGAAGCATGTGCTGCCGCAGCTCTTTCCCAGTCATGTAGATCCCTGCAACACACCTCCTCAGTCAGGCAAAAGGAACCCCCAGACATAAAGCCTTTTAGGTACCATCACAGTATGGTAACTCAGAGAAAAGAAATATTTCCATAAAGTTGAAATAAATGAAAAATAACCCCTAGCACGTGTTGGTTATGGGGTACTGGAAAGTAAATTAAAAACCTCATTATGTTAACTGACAGAGAAGACCTGGCAAATAAGCCACCACAAGGTAGAGTGAGGGAGGGGAACAGACAAACAGAAAAAAAACCCTCATTATATTCATTCACATTTGGAGTTTGAAACTCCCAGAATATCTGCATACACACACATAATGTGCAAAAATTTTCCCCAAAATTTTATTACACTGATCAGAAATCTGTTGCTTTTTAAACGAGAAATTAAAAAAAAAAATCTGATCTTTTCTTAGGAAAGTTGCTGTACTCTGAACCTCGATTCAATTATATATTACCTAAATTATCTCCCACAAATGTAACAGAAATGAAAAATAACAGATCAAATCTAAAGCAAAAGTCTACAGTCTGCTCTGTTATGTATGTCTGTGCTGCACACACATCCCTGTGCTGCTGGCACTGCTGCTGAAACAATTTACATCATCTTCTTACAAGAAAGTATTAAGATGTCTGTGTTATCAGTTCTTGTGAGGAACTTCATTACAAGCACCAATTCTCTTCCATTGAAAGGTCTCCCACACATATGAATAATAATAAACTGCAGATAGTTAAAAATACACGTGACTGCACCGTCCTAGAATTTAGCTTGATTCTAATCCACTTGTTAAGATACAAGCCTTTAAAAATACCAAAAAGCTGTGACTGTAGTCTAACATCTTTGGTGTACCTTTCTCCTTGTAGAGCTTGATGAGGATGTTCCTCAGCCCAGCAGTGTTGTTCACCCACTCGATGATGCCGCACTCGTCGTTCAGCGGGATCACCGCGTACGTGCGGATGTGGAGCTCCCGCCGGCGGGACTCGGCGTCTTTCCTCAAGCACTGCTCCCAGGAGAGACATGAGATCACAGAGAACACAGAGAGATCAAAATGGATCAGCAGCATTTACCCTTCTGGGTTTTTAACTATTTTCCAATCACACAATCTAGAATTTACAATTCCAAGCTCACAGTCTGCAGCAGGTCAGACACAAGCACACTGCGGAGCTGCTCTCCAAGGGAAATTAAAGAGAAGAGGAGTCTGCAGTAACAGGGTCAAACTGCCTAACTTGTACATGCTCAACACCTTGAAAAGCAGTATTTGAAATAAGCCTTTTAGTGTTTCAGAGATGCTACCATTTGCTTTAACCTCACAGAAAACATGGTCCCTTAGCCTGAATCACACTGCTGAGAAGTAAAATAGAACCAAAATAGGAAGTATGGCAACACCGTTAGTATGGACAGATTATTTTACCTGTTTTTTATAAAATATATTACAAAACACTAAATAAGTAATATTAAGCATGAAAGCAGAAAGTTTGCAGGTATTTAGGCACTGCAAATAACTTTTCCTGCTTATTTGTGCTTGAATAGGCAACTGTTTTGGCAAAATGTTATATTTTGCTATTGTTTTCACAAGTCTGTAAGAAGTTATACATTCTCAATTGCTACTGATTTCTGCTGAAGTAAAATATTTTACACCAGTTTACTTTTCTTCCAGTGAGCTTTATCTCAGGGTAAGTTGGCTCTTTGATTAGACAGTTCAGTGCTCTGTCCTGGTCAGTAAGTGTGATGCATCTGATTGTCTCACTCGTCAAACCTTGTTAATAAGGGAGTTGAATTCCATGAGCCGACAGTCCTTCCTCAGATCATCTTTAGGCTTACACATCATAATGTAAGATTTCCCATCTGAACCTTTCAAGGTGATCTTTTTTGGCTTTTGAAGCGAGGCAAGAATTTCCACCTAGAGAAAAATCAAGTCCTTAATTACCATCCGTACCAGATTATCCAAAGTTAAGTGTGTAACTGCAATAAACCACTGCAACCAGTCACATCAGCACAGTCACCTCAGCCCACCTGCCCCACACTGCTGTGAAGAAGCCAATCAGTTCCCACCCAATTAATTGTGGAATTTCCTACCCACTCCTCCATTTCTAGAGAACTGAAATATATTTGCAGCTCCCTTTGCCATGACATCAAAAGCCAGGTTCCCATTAGAGCCTTACCGTGTCATCAAAGCCTGCAATGTAGGCCCAGCACCCAGGGAAAGGGTCATGGTTCGAGTGCGTGCCAGGAGTCGAAGGAAGAGTTGGTATCATGACAGATTGTAAGGGAATGAGAATTTCACTAAATGTGGGCTCTTCTACTAATCTTTTCAGTGCTTTGAAATGAATATTCATGCTTAACGTTGAGCTGTTCCCATCAACCTCGAGAAAAAGGTGATCAAAGTTAACAATAACCCTTAACAAACACTTAAAAGAATACTGCTACTACACATTAACTGATAAACAGAACAGAGTAACAAATGCTTATGGTAATAAGAAAAACAGCAAGTCACATTTCAAATAAATAATCAAAAAGTAAATAGATGTGGCCATTATGGCAGACATTTTTCCCTTTCAATGTAAACACAGAATAATGAAAGAGTTTATTTAGTTTTACCTTTATTATTAAGACAATTTATTCATAAAAGCCCAACCAGCCTATTTTTACAGTAAAACTTTGTGAAAGTTACTGGGTATGAATTATATGTGAAAGTACAAACCAATGTAAAGCCCATGCACTGTGAAACGTTCCATCACGTGCTGAAAGGATTTACAATGAAAGCCATCTGAAGAAGTGTTTGCTGTTTGAATAAACTTATCATTACATGCAGGAATTTGTTTATTTTAAAGTACCGGTTTGTTGCACAGTTCTAACAGCCTGTCTGTGAGGCGGGTGGCATCTCCAATGAATTTCCCCAAAGATTCCTTCATGTGAATAGCTCTGTTTAGAATCTCCTTGCATCTATTGACACGCATTGGATAAGAGGACTGAAAAAAAAAAAGAAAGTTCCAATTGAATAAACAGTCAAATGGATTGAAAAATCCCCTCTCCCCCAGTAATTAATATTCCTTCCTCTACTCACTGCTTGTCATATTTAATATCTGGAGAAGGATGTGCTCCAATTGACAAGCTAAAGTGGAATGGTTGGGGTGTGTGTGGAGGGATTGTTCTCTCTGAAACCATTCCTGTGAGTCCCCCACCATACAGGCCAATATTGCAGAATATGCCAGTGTATCCTGAACACCATTTCACCAGCCTTGAAGGAATAGTATGCACTGTGCTTGGGAATGAATCATCCAGTTTGCTTGGGAATGACCTTACTGCCAGGTCATTATTTGGATTAGGTAGTACATCTAAGGTATCTTAATCAAGGAACAGAGTTGATTACTTGATTATAAAACTCAAAGTACTATTACACAGTTATTAAAAGCAATAAAATCTGTTGCCCATAACTACACAATTCATCACCTGTTTATTATTCAAATTTCCTTTCCTAATACATCACACAAGCTCAGATGCCTCTTAGCATTCTAATTTGGCACATTTAAACTGCAACATCTGAATTCAGACTGCAATAAAATATTTTGCAGTGATGGTATCAACATCCTCTTCCACAGCACTGTATCACAACTACTGAAACTCCCAATTCCTTATCATCTGAAACAGGTTATATTTCCATTTCTCTCTGCTGAAAAGAGTTCTGTTAATGAAGGTGCAGCTGTGCAGAGCAAGGTACCTTGGACACAGCAGTCATCATCCACATGGCTTGCTGGGGATAGGCTAAGAACACTTTGGCAACAATCACCATCAGAACTGCAAAGACCTCATCGTGGGAGTGGCAGATGCGGGAGATGAGCTGAGAGAAGGCTGTCAGGAACTGGTAAGGTGCCAGGTGGTTTGTGTGCTCTGTGATCACCTTGTTGATCTTGGCCAGATCGTGCTTCATTTGAACGCGTTCTGATCGACTGGCTGGAAAATGAAAGGACAACCTCACTGCCTGACTGGCTGGAAAATGAAAGGACAACCTCACTGCCCGACTGGCTGGAAAATGAAAGGACAACCTCACTGCCCGACTGGCTGGAAAGTGAAAGGACAACCTCACTGCCCGACTGGCTGGAAAGTGAAAGGACAACCTCACTGCCCGTGGTCCTCGTCTGCCCCCCTGGAAATGTGAAGACATTTAAATCAAGGCTGCAAAGTTCTCTTTAACACAGCATACAGTGACTGAATATGCCATTTAACTACCCAGGATGACAGGAAATCATCAAGCACAGAACACGGGACAGGCAGTATCAGAAAAGCTCTCATTACACTCCTAAAATTACTACTCTAAAATGGTAAAGAAGGAACAAAAGCCACTCCGTGCATTTGCCTGATAAAAGGATCCCAATGTTCTTTAGTGGAGAGGAAATGAAGTCTTTCCAGGGGGTGAAAGGAGCACATCTGCTCCCATCTCCAGCCCTGCCTCTGAGGATCCAGCACGAGTTGCACATCCCAGGAGCACGGTTTGATGTGGCTGCAGCCAAGCACAGCTGACACAACTGTGCACAACGGGGTCAGGATCAAGGACACAACTGCCCACACCACTGCAGGGCTGCAGGCAATGGTGCCATTTTCATCTGTACAAAAACCTCCCCGCCCAGATGCACCTCTCGTGTCAGCTCCACGCGCTTTCCTGCTGCTGACAACACGAGCTCTTTTCCCCCCTCATTCTGGTAAAACCAGGGGGACAATTTCAGTAAAATTCCTTCAAAAACTGAACCAAAACAAATGGGAAAAAGCCCCAAAGGCCAGCACTTTACTGTAATAAGTGTATATAATTACAACACCCATCACTCAAGAGGCAACCTAGGAGAGGTGACCAGTGATATGTAAGGATTTTCCCTAAATCTGTTTAATGACTTCAGTTTCCAAGAAACAATGACATCTCATTATATTATATTTTTATAAAAAGTACTGCAGAATTTAATTAAAATAATTAATACTCTCCTGAGTATTAACATCCTGTAATTTAAAAGAATAGCACTGCTTTCTTGCTTCCACATAATCTCAGGCAGTAAGTCCAAACAAAGAACTGTAAATACACTTCAGTGCTCTATCAATCACATATTCAAAAGAATGAACATACACAGGAACTGTGTATGGGGATAAATGTTTTACCTTTATCACATTCATATGCTTTTGCCCCAAAGTCCAGCCATAAAGACAACATCCTTGGCATTGACTGGTAGATGAATTGGTTTCCATACTGCAGAGACCTGTGATTACATCAAAGGCTGTTAATGATGTATATTGGAAGCAACACAGATTTTACATCCTCAATCCTTTCACTTCCATTCTGAACTTCAGAAATGTGCATCAGCATTTTAATGCAACAACCAAAAATTACAAATATACAAAGGTTTTGGTTTTATTCATCAAAACTGCAGGTGAAATAACTGTCTGACGAAAGACAGACTTAGTGAGCAGTAAACTTAATTAGGCATGAAAACAAAAAGAAAGCATGCAGCAGTTTGTTTTACAACACTGCATAAAAATTTGAGTTGGTCTGAAGAGGTGAAAGACAATATATTCCTATAAAAATGGTTTTTCCCAATATAATAGTCATCATTCTCTAGAAAGTAAGCAAAGCTCCCCTCTCACCTCCCAAAATGATGAACAATGTATCTAATCAGATCTCCTTGCTTTTCCATCTTGTTGTCAGTTACCATGGGCATTAATTTATCGTAGTACTTTGCAAGATAAAAATGTCCATCTTCCCATTCTGGCAAGAAAATTGTAACATCCTGCAACAAAATCAAAATGAGATAATGACTTTTGAGAGGATGCTAAACTGAAAATAAAATAATGATCCTCAAGGAACTGGAATCTTGTGTTAGTTATGTTGTGCACAGTACATGCAAAAAAAGTACTAATTGTTAACTCTGTAACTCCAAAAACTGTAATTTTGCCCCAAGACAGTTGCCCCTACAAACTAGAAGTCTGTTTCTAAAATAACTTTTGGATTTGGAGACGGCAAGATAATTCAAGACAGGATGATATATGATTCCTCAACTAGGAAATATGCTTTCATTAATAAGATAATAATCAAGTTCCTGATTAACTCAGTACTGAGCTTCTTTTAGCTTTTTGAAAAAAGGAAACAGCAGGATTTTAACAGATGGACTTGATGATCTTTCTGAGCTAAATAAATCTATGGTTCTACATTTTCCCTGTTTCTGTTTTCCTTCTAAATCACGATGTTTAAAGAAAAACAAAAAAACTGTGTAACATATATTAGGAAATAAATAACTTGGCAAGTGGCACATCCATCCTTTAATACCACTGGCTTGTTTCCAGTGCAATGCTTAGACAGCAGAGAGTTCTGAGCATTAGTATTTTCACAAGAGCCAATTAAATTTCATTTCCATTATTTCAACCTTCCTTTATGTTGATACATCAGTTAGATTTTTTCCTAAATGGCTGTTACAGAAGGGTGTTCCTCAGTAAGACAGTAGCAACAATTAACAGCATCAAATGCCAAAGCCTGGATAGGAGACACTGCTTCAAAGGACTGTAAAGATCTGCATCTCCTGCTGGGTTAGCAGGCAATATTAACCATGTCAAGGAGTATTTCACAGGCATCACAAGGTTTCCCTTTTCCTCGTTCTTCACAGACTGAAAGCACATTTAAAGCACAGCTGTAAGTCACTACCAGAGAGAGAAGGAACACTGAAGGGCAGTGCATGTGTCACTGAGGCCACTCTGGGGATTTGCAGTAGTCCACATTTTAGTGAGGAATTGTAATTTGTGCAAGCATGAGAAAAAAGCCATGCTCCTGTAATTTGTTTTTTTCTTTTCAAAGAGTTACATTAGGTATTTGTAGCTCTCCCTGATGGGAACTGTAGCCTTCCCATCAGCCTGTATTGATGTGCCACATTAGAGCTAATTAAGAGAGTTAAATCTTTACAAGAACTACTTCCTTCCCACACACTGATACCCATTAAATCCCACTGTTGTTGTACTCAGCTGACATCATCGGGAGCACAACGATAGCTCACTTAAGGGACTCAAAAGCACTGTCTTGTTAACACTTCTCCAAATTACCTTATACTTCTTCATGACTGCATTGCTCTCAAAGTTGGCAGTCTCCTCCATGAACCTGCCCACCAGCAGCATTGCCCGCCCGTGGATGAGCTGGTTTTTGCTGTCACAGGGTGCTTTATTCTCAGGGAAACATAAATCAACCCCCTTCTGGAGAACAATGAGCGCTTCATGAACCTCACCCTGAGGGAAAGAGGAGAACATTGTACACACTTTCAATGGGAGAGATGCAAAACTTCCCTCTTCCAGTTGTTCTGAAGGCACAGCTACGTCCCCAGGTGTGCTCTAGGCCACTCTGGCTGTGGTAACTGAATTTTAATGGCTTCAAATGCTTCTTTTATTCCCTGGTTATCTCAGCACTGTTGTGCCTTTAGGTGTACCACAATAATTGCTCTCATGTTTGCTGCTTCCCTCTGTTAGTTAAAAGGAAGCAAATTAAGAAGAGGTCTACCATGAAGATAATTTAAATTTGCCTGGGCTGCTTTGACAGAGCCAGGTAATCCACCGGTTTTATACACAGCTGCCAGAAAAGAAATTAAATGCAAAGAAATTAATGTAAGAAATTAAGTTCCAGTTTTATTTCCCTTACCTTGGACCAGAGCCACTTTGCCCTCTCAATGTAGAGTTCAGAGAGTGTGGACTCCCCAGCGTTCAGGAGGGCATTGTAGGCAGTCTGGTGATGCCCAGCTTTCCTGGCCACTCTGGCACTCTGGAGCCAGCACTGGCCAACCAGCTCGCTGTGATCCTGGCTGCAGAGACATTTTTGCAGGGAATGGAACATTTCAGTCATGAAAGCTATTTTAAAATCCAAAGTAAATATCACAGTGTGCTGAAACAGAAAGTGGATTTCTCAATAAACTCTATACTACATAATGATAATTTAAAACTATTTTAATACATTTGTTTCACCTTTTTCCCCACTTAGGCCTGGAAACAAATACACTTTCTCCCTGTTTCTCCCTTATCTTTCCTACAGACACCGTTTTTCCTCCTTATTTTGAAGGAGAGAGGACCCCTTTTGCCTCCAACGAATTTCCAGAGTTCTGCCTCCCCTCTTCTAACACATCCATGGAATTATTTCTGAGAACACAACGTACCACAGGCAACAGCCACCTTCTCACCTTTTACTGAGGCTGAGCAGAGCCCTTCTCAGAGCTAAGATGGGTTCCTTGGCCCTGTAGGAGTTCTGGGTCATTTCAATCCGAGCAGTCCAGTTGAGGGTGTCCCTGCTGAGCTCACCGTCCGGCTGCTGGAACGCTGGCCCGATGCTGTGCTCCAGCTCACACAGCATGTGCAACCTGTGCCAGCAAACAAAGGCAAAACAGCTCAGGATCCACGCCTGTTTGAGACACATGCAGATTTTAAAAGTTCTTGCCCTTTTCTTTCTCAAAGCTGTCCTCGAAGCAAAAATGCAGCAAAACCAAGCCCAGAATCCAAGATCTGTAAATTGGTTCTATTCCTTTGGCAAGCTGCTGAGCACAGACAATGAGGATCACTCAGAGGAGAAGTCAACCTTTAGAGAGAGTATTTCTATCCATTGCTTTCAGCAGCAATTCTTCAAAAAGTCTAATATTTTCAATAAATTCCATTTTAGAAACAATGCACTGTTAATTAAAGTTATGCCATTTATTTCAAAATACCATTAGTGTCATTAGCTGTCACTCTGAAGCTGCAAACCCAAGCTTGGAAATGCCTCAGAAATATTAAATATTTTCATTATAAAAAGCCTACTACAGCCAACTTGAAAGTTTATTAATAAAGGAAAAAACAAAACTACTGGAAGGGATGGGCTTTCAACAGATAGAGCAAGGGGATGCTCTCTGGCCTCCATGCAGGTTAAAAGCAGTGCTCTTAACTTAGTGGAGTTACTGGCCTATATGGATCACTCCAAGCATGGCATTAGATTGCTGGGGTTTATTACCTGATGTATTTTTATTACATAGAAATGTTTACACAAACTTGCTTGCTGATTTTGAAAGGCTCCACCCAACGGTTTTATTGCGAATATTTTTCTTGGGGGATAAGAATAAATTCCCAATTAATCAAAAGTTTTCAGTTGGGTGAGTATAGTAAAAAAAAAAGGTGATAAAAAATGCACATCAGCAGCATTTACTGTGGAAATGCAAAATTCTTGCTGCTGCATGGGTGGTTGTGGGATTTCTGGGTTTGAAAACAGCGACATGCAGATGAGGAACCTGATGATGTGTTCGTATCCTCGCTGGTAGGATCCTCTCTCAAAGCTCGCTGCTGAAAGGGGCACGATCTGTTCTGCCCGAACCACCTTGAGTGTCTCATAAAAAGCTGCTTCATTTTTCTTCTTGGCTGATAACAATAAATTTCCCAGTCTGACACTCCAAGTAGTGGACTTCACATCTTTGGGGAGGAGGAAAAAAAAACAAACCCTCTGGTTTTTTTAAGCAGCTTAATCTGACCGTGCTAATTTTTCTTACCATACTACTGGAAAAATAAGCCTCTCTCAGAACTAATTAACTGAATTTTAGTAACACTAAATGTATAATCCCACTCCACAGTCCACCCATCCAGAAAAACCCAAAATATATTGGGCCTTACACACACTCAAAACTTCTCCTCAAAGACTATACAGTTTACAATCAAATACAGTTACAAAAACCAGAAGACTGTCAGGACCAACCCTCCAACCAGCAAAATCCAACCCCCAAAAAATGACAATAGCTGCCCCTATTAATCAAGATGATTAAACAAAAAATACACACATGAAGGATTAATATTTTTATATTACCTGAAGCTAAATAATTTTCCAGTAAATCCCATCGGGACAGTTTCCAGGCTGCTTCCACCCTGTAAGTGTTCAATTCAGAAATCCATTCAGACCTATTCAAAGAAAAAAAAGGCAGTAAAACTGGGTGCTGTCTCCTCTGTTAATCCTGCATTATACTAGCAAATATTCTTATATAAAACTTCTCTTACTTGAAAGAAGCAAGGTAAGCTTGCTCCTAGTGAAAGTCAATAAAACCAAAGGAGGTGCAGTGATAACAAACAAGAGCTGCAACACGACCCCACAAATGCAATCTCCAAACAGCTAAATACTTCCATGGTCCACCTTCAAAATCACCAGTTTTCAATCTGTTTATCCTATTAGACTACAGAATAGCTATGGAATCAGCAACACAGGAGACCATGAAAGAGTCTGTCTAACAAATCAAAGCACATCCCAGCACTGCACTCAGTGCAGACAAGAACTACGAACATTTCTGGACATCTTGAAAGCAAAGATTTGTAGATGAAGCACTCACGGTTTTGTAGCTTCACCCTGCCAATTGGATATTCCTGACAAGCCTCAAATGCTGGATAATGAGCAGAAATGGCTTTGTGTCACTCAAAGAAACCTCGTATAGATGCTCACAGTACCTGTTTGCCAGCACTCCATTCACCTGAGTGATCACCGTGGATAACTGACCAAGGCCTAACATGGACTTCACCACACCGTGGTAGTGGATAATCTAGGAAGAGGGAAAAACCCACAAAACAACAAATAAAAACCTCACATATATACCTGAATGAAATTCATGCCAGTCTGAAGGAGGAAAGATGCCCATTTGGGTGCTTTTTAGAATAGGAAAAGGCATAACTAATTGCACCACAAGCTACGTGAATATTTTTTCAGTTCATAAGACACTTCCAGTAGCAATAATTATTCAGCAACTATCACAAAAAACTCTTATATTCCTATTATACTTAAATATTCTGAAGAGGTTTGTTTGACTTGGTCTTCTGTGAGTTAAGATTAAAAAATTAATAATCATATATATTATTAAAAGGAAAAAATGAAGTCTTCTCTTTACCTCGTCAGGTTCCAGCTGGATGGCTCTGTCATAGCAGGCTGTGGCATCTCTCAACAAGCCAATACTTTCGTGCTCCAGGATCTGCTCTTTGAGAGAGGGCTCTGCCTTGCGGATGGCACTGACCCCGGCCACTCCATCAGGCTCGTGCATGGCAGCGTACAACTTCTGTGTGCAAACACAGCGGGGGCATTAAAAACAAACAGCACTCGTGAGCTCACACTGCAGGCAGAATAGCACACGAGGTGACCTGAAATGATCTGCACAAAGGGCAAAATAAAGAGGCTGTTCTGACATAATATATAATATGAAGATGCAGATTGTTGCAGGGGGAAAGGCAGCAGACAAAGCTTTTTCCAAATTTGAAATGTCACTGAGGAATATAAACCACAGAGAACCATAGACAGGATCGTGTCACAGGTTCAAATACTACTTGAGAATGATTTAAATAACTTTCAACACCCTTATCAGTAGCTCTTTTTCTACTTCAGAATAAGCCCCTTGGATTTTCTTCAAATGTGCTTTGGCTTTTTTTTGTTATGATAGTTGGCTGTGTTTTCTCTGCCAAAAGGCACAGAGCTAACTAAACCCAATAAATGTTACACTTTTGACCAAACTACATTGAATTATTTTCAGGATTTTTACAACCTTTTATTATACACTAGAAAGCTACTCATTCCTTTTCATGTCAAAGCATGCCAAGTAAGAGGAAGCCCTAAATATTGCTCAAAGACTAAACACTTGTACCCAACAGCAAGTGCCCAACTCCAGCTTTCCTTCTTCCCATCTCGGAGAGGAATTTCACAAAGCTTTATTCATCATGCACATTAAAATAAAATAAAACACATTAAAATAAAAACCAAAAACCAAAAAGAACTTTCAGAACCTGAAGGAACCCCAGGTGCTCCTGGATGTTCTGTTTCTTCTCCGTGATGAACGACTCAAAGTGCATCACAGCCCTCGTGTAAGCCTTGGAGCGAAAGGAGGCCACAGCCAGCGTGTCCTGAGGGATGAGGTCCAGGAAACGGGTCACATTCTGATACTCTCCATAGTCCTCACTGGATGCTGGGGAAAACAAGGCATCTTAAAAATCTGTCAGCTCAGGTTCCATTTAAAAGAATTACCCCGTGCATTGAAATTCAATTAAGTCATTCAACAATCTAATGAGATAGTTGTATTAATTTAAGAACACAGTTTTCTCTTCTGTCAACAATAATTTATTTAAAACAGTCCTGGTGAACTTCCTCCATCTTGCAAGACAGCACAGAACATGTTAAACTGTTTAGAAAATGATCAAGAAAGTAATTCCACTATTTAAATTTTGAAGCTTTACTTCCTGTAACAGGCATTCAGAACAAGGCTTTTGGGATGGGAGGGAATCACAATATGATATTAAGAAGTCATAGAACAGACTTACATATCATATTAATGCTGCATTCTTAAATGGTCATCATGTGAAGCCCCAAATGCAAACACCTATTTGAAGAATGCCAATGTCATTTTAAATCAAATAAGCCTCACTCACTCTTTAGGTCACTCCTGTCCTTGCTGCACTTGGCAGTGTTTTTCTCAGCAATGAGTATTTGGAACTTGTGCCTTGCCCACTGGGTGAGATGATCGAGCATGGAGAACACTGTCTGAGTGCTCAGCTGGCTGAGGTCAGAGGCACTGTCCTCCAGCCTCCTGCTGGGCTGGTCATCATCCTTCAGAACTGCCATGATCTCCATGTAAACCTGCACAGGGATCAACATCAAACACTGAAGGGTCCTACCAGCAGCAAAACAGTAAAAAGGGCAATGAACAAAACTCAAACTAACATACTAGATATTTTAAATGTATATTTTAATAATTTAGGGCTTAATTCCAAGCTCTCTTTGTCCCACAGTCTCAAGAGGGCAAACCAAGTAGGAGTTGTTGCCTGGGTGTTCCATACAGGGAGAAAGCCTTCAGGTTTCAACACACAACAAATGCTACTGCAGCCCTTCCACAAATACAAACCTTCAGGTTTGATAAGAACAAAGGTATCTGCTGGCTAACAGATCAACCACAGGTCGACTTTTTTGCTTACATTTAAGTAAATGCAATGCCAAAAGACCTGTTTCCTGTTGGGAGAGGAAAAAATTATGGGTCTGAATTCTTGGAATTATACAAGGTGAATTCATGGCTTGTTTTTGTTGCGCTCTTCCTCTTTGTAGCACTGCAGCTCCTGGTGTTCCTGCAGTCATAATTAACTGCATAATTAACCTCAGCCCAGGCCCAACTGAAGGGAGAGCTGGAAATGCACAGAAAAGCAATTCCAACACAACCTTGTTTGAGCATATTCAAAATTTATGTTATTAATAGACAAAAAGGAGTTTAACACTAAAACAATTTACTCTTGTAGGTCTGCAGTGATTCTGAACAGCTCTCAGGAAGAACAGCTCACCACTCCTGTAGAAAAGGCTACCATATTACACATCTCACCTCTTGCTGATCCTCTTGACTGCATCCCAACAAAACATAGACAAGGATGTGTGGAAGCAGATAAATTGTCACCTTATAGTCATTTTTCATCATTATACTGCAGCAATCGAAAACTTTCCTGGCGAGATCATGTCGCACCTAGAGAAAGATTTCCAGAAGTATCATTACAAAAATGCAAATAACCTGAACAGTTAATAGATTTCCTTTGGTTGACAACCCAAATTCTATTCCATCAAACAGTTTTAAGATACTTGTCTCATGCAGAAGAAGGTTCATCACACTCAAACCTGCAGCAGGGATGCCCAGTGACAGCTGCCATTGCACATCTCAGCTGCTGATCCCACAGGAAGCCAGGTGAGCACTGCTCACATGTTCCACTTTCCCACGTTCTCCACACCACTGGGACCTTGCACTGGCTAACAGAAAAAGCCTGCAGGCTGACAGTACCACTGCACTCAGTCTGCTGCCCTAAAGAGCCTCAAAAAGTGGGAAATGAATGAAGCCATTCCATTCCTTCCTGTCTGAAAGAGGACAGTGCAGCTCCTGAGCTATGTAATGTAACTCACATTTATTCTCTTACCTTTGTTATAAGATAACCTGCCCAAGTTGCTGACCATTCTGCAAAATTATGACCCAATTTGCTTAAGTAAATTGGCTTCTTCATCTTAGACCAATTTACAGCCTTTTGGTAACTCTTGTACCTGCAATTTTAAAATATCCATTTAGTAAAAGTAATGTTTTTATTTATAATATACATATAGGATGTTGTAATAAAATGCTATAACAAACAATAGCACATTGTTAATTATGAAATTCCTTGACTGGAATCTTTAGAAAGAGAATTAAGAAAACACTTTCAGTAGCCAACATCTTTTATTCTAAAGCTTCTGAAAACTAAACACAAAATAAAAATTCTCATAACATGTTAGGTTGTTTGTTAAGTATATTTCAAAGTGCTATTCAAATCAGTTTTAAGAAATGCAGTTTGATAAATATTTCAGTACTATGTTCCCAACAGGAAAAAGCCAGAGCATATATGAAAGGCAAGAAAGACCAAAATAGGTTGTTTTCTGAAAAGGTAAAGCTTATCACAGGTGAACATGACTGTGTTCATGAGGAAACCCAAAGGAATCACCAATGATTTCAAAATCAATACCCCTTATAAGCCCAGTGCTCCTGGGACAAACAGGCAGATTTGGGCAAAGTATGAACTCCTGACTTTGCCTGTTCAATTTACAGAGGATTCCATCCAAGTGAGTGCCAATTCAGCTTTATGCAGAAAGCCCTTATTTGAGTTTTGCATCTGTACATATCACTCTTCCCAGAAGAGTGACAATCACAAAGCCAAATGAAGTTAACGGTGGCCTGGGGGGAACAAATAACTCCATCTGTTATGAACAGAAATTGCTCGAGCTGTCGTGTACCGTGTGTTCAGGTGAGGTTCCAGGATCTCCTGCACGTGCTCAGGAAAGCTCCTCCAGAGCCTGGAGCCAGCGCAGTCAGTGTTGGTCTCCCTGCACTCATAGATCGACAGCAGCTCCTGCAAGGGCGAGTTTACACGACCACCTCAGCACAGCAGCACCCAAACCTGCTGGATATCATCTTACAGGCCTTTCCCAGCCTCAATGATTCCATGGTAAGTGATGAGATGGAAGTTATGGAGGGCTTAATTCAACCAACTGTTGATTCCCCAGGTTCTCCAGTTGTTTGGACCACACTGCCCCGTATTCTTCACATCAGCCAATAAACCAGGACTACAGGTTAAGTCTGATTCCTCCTTGTCAAGCTGGGACCAAAGACCAGAGTCTGAAAATATGGCTACACTCCCTTTCAGTTGCTTTTCTTAAAAGTGTAAGCAGAAACTATCTTAGGAATCCTTACTTCTTATCATTTCTGCCTGTGGAACCTGCACTGAATTCTAAGTCACCCTCAGGATTACTCCTTGAATCATTATGAATGACTCTTAATTACCTCTCAAACACCAGATGTCTCCTAAAATACTGTGACACAGAAGCAAACAAATCCATCTTTTATTTGACAATTCCCCAGAATTTTAAGTGTACCTTCTAATTTAAAGCTGCACAGGATGAACTTGCAATTATTTAAACATGGATCTCAAAATGCACATTTATAGTGCATAATTTTAAGTTCAGTGTTATAGAAATAATTTGTGATGAAAAAAATAGGATCTCTCGTGTGTCTTACCTGAATTGCATATGCTGCAGAATCCTGAGCACGAACATTATCAGCATAGGCAAGGAATGCTCTGGTCAGTTCCATTAATAATCCATAGGCAAAATTTGGATCTTCCACACCAGCCTCAAACACAACCAAACACCAGTTTTATTAAAACAGAGCAATAGCTGTGTCTTTAATCTCTAAATCATCACTTGGAAGCACTTGACTCTAAACTGTTTTAGGTGAGAAAGCAAGTACAGATTTTCAAAGGGTCTAAAGATAAGAGATTCCCTACTCCCTCCTTGTAAACAACCCTTCATGCTAAACAAAACACCCCTGCAATGCTCCTTACCACAAATGTGAAATGTTTTCCCTGAGTTTCACTGGTTGAAAAGTCGAGCCTGCCAGGATCTATGGCCCCCAGCTCACCCAAACACTCTCCACAGAGCAGTCGAGCCTGAGGATTGGCGTCCTGGCAGCCAATGAGCAGCACAGTGACCAGCTGGGAGATGACTGGCTCCACAGTCTCACTGTCTGTCACACACTTGATCAGTTTGTCCTAGGAAGTCGAAAAATAAAGCTGAGTTACTCTACAACCATATTTCTGGTAAATAATCATGGACATTTTCAGTCTGTAACTCACTCTCACTTCCAATTTCATTTGGCCATGACCTGAGGTCAGTGATTCCAGTCCTGCCTCACTGGAACTACAGCCCCATGGCACTGAATTGCTTGGAGCCCTAGGAAGGACTAAACACATGAATGAGGGATTTGGGCCTTAATTAATAATGCTGTCACGGCCAATAATGTGTTTCATTATCACACACCTCTCTACTACGTTTTCTTTCCTTGTCTTACCCAGAACCTCTCTTATTTTCTACATTATCTTTTCCCTTATTTGTCCCTTTTCTCCATGTGTTCCAGAATTCCTCCCAATTTCTTTCAAGCAGCTGTTGTCACACTTTCTGGTTCTGCTGCCATTTGTATTCTGATTTGCCATGTCTTGGCCATTTCTTCACTCTTATGTGCTACAAAGCCCAGGCTTTCGAGTCCTTTGATCAATGTCCAGCATTTTAATTGGGTGTCCTTTCTTTTTTGTTTTGGCCCATCTTTTATTCCCCAGTTCCACATTTAGTCCAAATACAGAAAAAAACAAACATGTTTGTCATTGTTACGTTGAATGAAAACTGAAACCACAGCCAACATAACAGAGCAAGCAGTTCCACAAGCTGTGGAACTAATGAGGTTTGATTTGCCTCAGTTATTTTGCTAGACCTCTAACTAAGCAAGACATGGCAGGAGTTTGCTGACCTGAGCCACAAGAATTACAGATGGGCCAGGAATTTACACAATGACTGTTCTTTCAACTAGAATTGTTTTTTTTTAATTTCACAGTAAAGAGTGTTCCACAATTTTAGAGGTACTCAGGGGACAGATCTAATATTTTTTCCTAATAGGTTACCCTTTGAGATAATAACCACACAGATTTGTAAAGCAGTATCTTCAGTTTGTACATGGCTATAAAATTTATTTGAATATGGATCAAAGGATTCAAATTTTTGAGGGTGGAAAATAAAGAAAGAAGAGGAAAAAACTGAAGGTGTGAGGTGGTCAAACATGTTAGTTCTTTCAGATATTACACACACACAGTGCTGGCTTTTATGGATTAAGCTCCTGATGCAAAAGCCATACATGTTCTAACAGAGAATAACAGATTGCTGAAAAAGACTTCTTAGGTATCTCTTTCCTCAGAGTTGAGAAAACCAAGGAAATGCACCACCAGCCTTGCTGAATCAGCAGCCCAAAGATCTGGAAGATTTGGAAGTCCTCCTATATGGAGATGTCATGAGAAAGAACCCATTTCCCCCTTCATGTGAAGAAACACCTCAGTGAAGTGGGGAGAGCGACACATTCATGGGGACACCCTGCAGCAGCGAGGAGCTTTAGGTTGTTGCTGCAGATGCTGCTTGGCTCTGGCTTTAGCTGTGCTGAGGGAGTTTCCCCACCTGATTCCTGTAGAGCGTTTCCCTCAGGCTGCTGAGCGCGTGGATGCGAACGTCCACGTTCTCGTGCTGGATGGCTCTCATCGACAGCTGCAGCGCCCTCTGCAAGTCCGTGCTCTTGGAGGACTCCTGAACAGGGCAGGACACAACAAGTTCCAGTTCAGCATAATCTGGTTAAGCAGTATCTCAAAGAACACAAGTGAGAACACACAAACCAACTACTTTTTTGCCTGTGTTCTCACCTACATCCATAACCCACTGTTTTTCTGCCTGGCTTTTAAAATGTTTTCCCCACAAGGTGCTATATTTGCACTTTTGGGTAAATACAATGGTGGTACAAATAAAAATTATAAAATCAGAAGAAAATGCTTTGCTTTGAGTCTATCTAAAACCAAATCAATTTCTACTTTTTCATTCCTACCAAGTAACTGCTGCTTCCCCCCTATTATTCCTTCTGAGGGCAAGCAAAAGAAATGGCCCACAGAGTACTGCTAAAACCAGACCAACTCTGCTCCCTGGGCAGAGAAGATGGGAAAAGGATCAAATGAAAAGTGGCAGCTTTTTTTGTAACACAGTCATGTTTGCCATAGCTAATGCTGCTGACTTTTAACCTTCTAGTCTCTTTAGCCTCACACACAGATGAAAAGTCTGTGTTCAGGTGATGCTACAGAAACAGCAACATTGAATTAGTTGAACATTTCACTCCTAAAGAAGAATCAGAACCTGCTTCAAACTATCCCTGTGATACACAAAACTTGTTTTGTGGTGGAAGCAGATAAATACTATTTCCATTTAGCAATAAACTTTAAATGTTTTCCTCAGTTGTCACAAATTCATTTGAAGCATTCAAAGCAACCAACTAAATACAAGAAGCTGTACCTTTCTGTATTCCTGAAGGACAACCTGAATTTCTTTTAGTTCAGGAAGGTCAGGCAGAAAATATATTTCATGTAGAAAGTCTCGTACTGCATCCCTAGTAGTTACCAAAAAATATTGCAGAGAATATAGTAAACATTAGTTGCACCAGAAAATACTTAAAAACCCATCAAAGAAAGCAATGAAGAAACCTCTTTCAATTTTGCTACTATGGCCTTACACAAAAACCTTATTATTCCTATTGCCAACTTTTGTTTTGAAAACTGCTGGCAATGCAAGAAAAAGGAAAACCCAACAAATGCAATCAAGATAATAACTATCAACAGTTCTACCAAAAACCCACCCCATATTTTAAGCTTATATGTTAAGCTACAAAATATAGGATGAAAATTAACTCAACATTATCTTCAAAAAGGTTAAGTCACCAAAATTATTTTGTATTAAACTTTGATTTTATTTTCAGTTGGTGTGACCCCTTGAGAGAATGCATGAAATCTTACTGAACATTATAATCTGTTTTATACAGAGTATAATCTTCATACTTATAACTCTAACTATTGAAGAAAACAAAGAACTCATTTCCTCCCCATTTCCAACTGTGTACACTTCCCTCTAGCTTGGAGCACATGGGAGCAATCAGCATCATTCTGTGAGGGAAGGGATTTTCCATCCCAGCAGAAACAGCACAGACTCAAGGAAACCTGGCAGGGTGAAGGCTCTGACTGGGTTTTAACTTTGTCACACCATCATGTATTTTGATAAGGACAATGTAAAAACACCTTTTCAGATGTCAGATTTCAAGCTCTAGATTTTAGAGAAGTGGAAATGTACAGAAAGATGCACTATTTAGCAGAAAAACAAGCTTTCTCATCTCAGTGCTGGCCACTTGAATTTGGGGTTGTCTCCACTCCTGTGACAGGATTTCATCCACACAACTGCAAACATTTGGAACAGTACCTGTTCTCCACTATGAGGAAGTGGAATATTGCTGTGGTTTCCTTGGGCTGGATGTGAATTAGGGGCAATAACACCACTATCACATGGCTGAGCAAGGAGCCCAGGTAGGAATGGTCCAGGCTTCGAACGAAACAATCCCAAGCTCTGAGCAAGGAAAGACAACAAAACAACAGTAATCAGTGGTTCTTCTCTGCACAGCACATTTTGGGTGAGTCATGACAAGCACTTGAAGCTGTGTCAGCTCTGTGGTTTAGATTGCTGTCCAGATCAAACCAAAGCAGTGTACTGAAGGACAGAAAGAGCCACTGCTTTGGGACACCATCAGTTCACCTGCAGCACAGTTCTGGAAAGTCATCCTTGTATCTCAGAGCTGTCCTCAGGGTGGTCATCATCTTCACTCTGACCGAGCTCACGTGCTTGGGACCCATGAGCTTCATCAAAGACCTAAGACTGTTTAAGGCCTAGACACAGAGAAAAGGCATTTTAGTGTATTAGGTACTCAGGAAAACATGTACAAGCCATGTTTTCTAATAAAATCAGGCTACCCTTGCTGAAGAAATCATGCTCTATAAGACATCAAAATCAGTCTCATGTTTCAATGCAGAATTTGGGTTTAGAGAAAGAGAATGAAAGGGAATCTCAAATGACAGAACTGTAACAAGAAACCATGTTATTCAGGCTGTTGACAAATTGATGAGGGAAGAACTGTGGACACCAAAGGGGTTAGTTATTAGAGATGTCTGTTCTAAGGCATGATTGACTACATATCCACAGCTGAAAAGAGCAGGCTTAGGAAATAGAGAGAAAATAAATAAACTTGCATTTAAGAAAAGAAACAAGCCCAAACCCAACCAAACCAAAACAACAAAACACCAACAGAATTGACATACAACTTGCAGCAGAAGTGACTGCCAAGCGTCAGGAACAGGTAACAGCTCAGCTGTCAATGACAGAAGAGAAACACTGAGAGGCAGGAGGTATTTCAGTCCCAGTAACACTACCCTGAACAAGGCAGGACAACGTCCAGCACGACAGATCAGTAACACAGGAATAAACCTGAGCTTCAGGAAAGGTCATGCAAGGGGAACTCACCAAGCACAAAAAACTGAACAAGAAAAGGTAGAAATAATAGCAGGTGCAGCAGAAGAAATGTTACACAAATTAGGAACTTCATAAAGCGTGAAGACACGAGGCTATGAAAATGAGAGCATCTCAACGTGAATATCTGAGAAGCAAAAAACCACCAGAGAAAATGCAGTCTCTCAATGTAAAGGTTATATCCATTCTAGCACTGAAAACTCCCTGCACTGCCTCTGTGAGGTGGCTCCAAGGCTTAGAAATATCTGAAATATCAAAATAGCCCTTGCTTATTTTTGTTTTAATATTCAAGATTAATTTTACTCACCATTTTTTTATCTTCAATGCCAACACTGGAACTCAGTAACTGCATGTTAAAAAAAGCCAAGATACCAAGCAATTTAGGTTGCAGATAATCAGCCTGTGGAGGAAAAAAAAAAAGGGTAAAAACCCAAATAGTCTTACTATGAACACATTCCTAAGCTTAAGAAATTAAAAAGCAGGTATGAAATGCTAATTCTGAAAGACAAATGAGAAGAATCTCAAATACACACACTGCTACTTAAGAAATATCAGTGTTAATGACAGACCTCCCTACTAGGCTGTGGGGTTTGCAGTTTCCACAGGAGCTTGGGAATTGTATGTGTGTGTTGTTGGTCTGTTTGGGCACTTTCTTGGTTTGATTTGGGTTTATGCATACTTGGTAGGTATCTCCCTGTTCCAGGAACACTCCATAGGAAATGCCAGCCTTTCCTCCACTTCTTGTCTCAAATAACATCAAAAGGCCTTCACTCTCACAGCGGATAAAAAAGAATCCTTACTGAACCAAACTGAACCTGCAAAGTGTGCTGTCCTCACCATCTGTTCGGGGGATGTGATCTCCCTGGGGCCCCGGTAGGGATCGTCGTGGGAGGCGAACGAGGCCAGTATGGCCAGCCCGTTGAAGACCTGCTGGTAGTGCTCCCCTATGCGCAGCAGCAGCTCGTTGTGCAGCCCCTGGTAGTCCTGCCTCAGCAAGCTGCCCAGCTCTATCTCAGTCTCATTCTGTAAACAAACAGAAACCCAGCATTTAATCACCCTGAAATCGGCACACTGAGAAACGGGAGGTGTTGGGCTCTGGTTGATTTATTACGGAAATCAAAAGCTTCCATTCAGCAAAGTGCCAGACAAACCAAGCTTTTAGAATTTGTTAACTTCATAAAGTATCTTATAACCATTCCTCAGAGCCAACAGAGCTGACTCTAAATAACAAGAACAAAATTTCTGCATGTGCAATCTCCCAACCTATGCCTTGCAATGCCTTAACTTAAACAAAGCAGAAAGGTCACTCTGCATCAGGTGTTGGTGCTCATCTGCAGGCAGAATGGAGCAAACGCCAGTTTACCTTGAGGTAATGAAGCGCCCGCTCCAGCTCGTCCTTGGTGCAGGAGCAGACCAAGTGAGAGAAGATGTATTTGAAGTTGTTGATCAGGATCTCTCTCCGGTTGACGTTCAGCTGTTTGGCGATGGTTCGGATGAGCGTGGAGGCTGCAGGACTGGCCTTGGCTGCAAGGTCAGGAAGCAGAACCTGCAGGGTCCGCTGCCAAATTAAGAACAGCAGTTAGTGGGGAGAAAACAAACCAAAAAACCCTCCAAAACCCCAGGATTAAGCTTAGTTCCATTTGTGTCAGCATCACAACACACATCTCTGGTCATAAGAATGACCACAGGTATGAATCAAGAAGAACTTTAATAAGATGGAAATACTGAGTAAAAACGCAGATAGAACTAATTACTTCAGGAGCTGCTTCACCTAATCAATACTAAGAAACAAGTAAGCAAGAAGTGAGCTGGTGTTTTTTGTGTCCATTCAGATTCTCCACATAAGGAAATCTTAAAAAACCCCCAAACAAACCAAAAAACCAACATGCCCACACACAACATGTATATGGACTCCCCCAACCTACCATTCAATTAGAACACTGCTTAGTTAACATTTGTGCATTTCTCATCTATTAACAAGCAAAATGCAAGCATGGTTATGAAGCTGCTTGGTCTCCCAGTAAAACAGATATCTAAGCAGATCAGAAGGAGCTGGATCCACAGAACATTTCCTCATTTGAAACAAGAAAGCTGACACCATGCAAACATCACACCTTACAGAGGATCCTTCCAAGCGCACCAGATCACTAATGTAGATATAATTAATGAGTACTGTAGATCTTTGCTCATTATCTGTCACACTGAATCAGCACCATGGCCATCCCCCTAACTCCCTGATAAAACTGATCCTCTGCATTTCAGCTCCCAGTTCCAGCAATCACAAAGTACTCTATATTATAACAAACACCAGTAACTAGAGAAAAAAAACCCAGATCTTTGACAACCACAGAAAACTTGTGGATTAAAATAGAAATTCACAAACACACACACAAAATGTCAGAAGTAGAAAGGACTGACCAACTTACCGACAGAAAGCGATTTAGGTCTGGAAAATCAAAGACAGTGGCAATCTCAGTTAACATGTCCAGAGCCATCTCTCTCTGGTGATCAGCTGTTTGTTTCTGCAGCTCATTGCCCTGCCCTGGAGAACTCAACACCACCATCTGGCTGGAGTGCAGGGACTCCACCAGAAACTGAAATAGATATTTAGTGTTATTTTCCCCTTGTTCGCTCCCTAAAACTAAACACAAGAGTTTCACTCCTCTTTCTATGCATCTGGTTTTCTCTCATTTATGGCACAGAGATCTGTGACTATTACTTTGCAATAGAATTGGATTATCATCCTCTTAAAAATTACATTCAATTTTGCAACCCTGGATTCAAATATTGCATTATTAAAAAAAAAAAATTCAAAATTAGAAAAGTCTGCTTGTGACAATTTTTTGGTTTTTTAAACTGACCTTTTGTCTTTAGGTACCGGGTAGAACAAAAACCCCAAATCAATCACGTCAGAATTATGCCTGTAAAATGCTGACTTCAATTACAATTTTAAATCATGGTGTCTTGCAGCAGTAGTGCTACATAATGCAAGCAACTATACAGATGCTCTATTTCAGAATGACAGCACTGAGGCAATAAAACAGAGAAGCAATACTGTTGAGGGAAGATCAAAGTCAAAAACTTCCCATTCCTTCCTGAATATTTATAGGGTTTTTTTTCTTTCTCATCCCATGAGATTTCACCTCGTAAAAACGCTGCAACTTTTACCTTCGACACCATTTTCAAAACACACACAAAGAAACTGAGCAGGTGTCTTTGTAAACCCCCAACTCTTATCTTTACCTGGCAGATGGGTTTCTTGTACTGGCTGAAGAAGGCCTGCAGCCGGACGGCCCTGGCCGCTGCCAGCGCGCGGATCTCTGCGAACGCCGCCCCGGCCACGGCCGCCGACTTGGACAGCAAACAGTGCAGCAAATGCAGGAGCGCAAACGGGACCAAATCTCCCTTGGATGCCCTTCCAAAGCGAGCAGAAGGAAAAAAGAAGTGAAAAGGACAAAGGGATTGCTGCGTTCGTAAAACGAGTCGGGAAAAGGCGGCGGCCACGACGCGAAACGCGGCGTTGTATTTGTGTGGCTCATCTGCGCTCCCTGCGACAGGCAGAGGAAAATGAGGAGCATATTCCACATTCATCTACAGCTCTGCACACCTGCAGCAGGCCCTGGGCAAAGGCTGACTTCAAAATAAATCATTTAACCTTTCACTTGAACTAAACTTAAACTTTGCAATACAAACTGAGGTGATTTGGCAATTTTCAAGACGTTATCAAAAATACCTTCCAATATCTCCTGTCGTGAGGATCAAGGTATCTTTAAGCTCATTATTTCTTGATAATTTGGCATTTGTATAGGCTTCTTTCATCCTTGAAACAAACAGCTGGTACAGGTGAAAACAAAAAAAAAATCATTTTAGTGTTTGACATCAGTGAAACAAGACACAAAGTAACTCAAAACCCCCAAAATAAATATGAATTCACCTCTTTTATGAATCCTTCCTCAGAGTCCAAGGATTCCAGTATGTTCTTTATGCAGTCACTGAAAGCCACTCTTACATCTTTGTCTGGATCTTCCATCAGATTTAATAAAGACCCAAGAAAAATCTTTACACTGGACTCATCAGTGTTAAAATCCAGATGTTTGCAAAGATGAGGTATATTTTCTATAAATGCTGGGTGGCATGGTTGGAGGAGGAAAGGAAAATATATTTTTAATGCTTTTTCAGAATCTATTGAAGTGCACAAAACAGTGATGCAAGCAAGCCATAAGGCACACTATACTTTTTTTAATCAAAAGAGTCAACATTGTAAAGCGAAAAAGCTACTTAAAATTCAGATTTTATCAATTATTACAATTCTAGATACAAATCATAGCCCAAAATTAAGCCAAGGTAGTTTAAAGGAGTATCAATGACAATATTAAACATCAGCAGTGATATCAATTGAAATACAGCACTCTGAGTTACAGCTGTAAAAAGCTCAGTATAGAATAAAAGGAACGGAGAAAGGCACAGAAGTAGCACCTCAGTCCCTCACATGGAAGTGGAAAATGTTAATCAGGGTAAAGCCACATACCCAGCTTGACTGAACTGGCTGCTTCACTCTCCAGGAGAACAAGAAATGGCTTGAAAACACAGGCTGGCACTGAACAAGTTCTGCCATGAGCAGCAGTCCCTGTGAGGCTGCTGCACAGAATATCATCAGTAAGATGTTTGATGGCAGAGTCTGCCAAGGAGGGCTGGACACAGAATGTCCCAGAGAGGCAGCAAGATAAGTTCCCAACTATAGCAGCACAAGCCTCCTTGACCAGCTCAGACTCATCTTGGATTTGATTTCTGAAATGGAAACAAAAACGAAATGGTTTTAGTAGATCATTTACCTAGAGATTTGTTTTTCTACACTGTCTGAATTCTCTAACTGCACTGACAGCGCTATCAGGACAATTTAAGGATGTGTCTCACTAAATCATCTTTGTGCTTTGCCCTCTGTCCCTCAGGTTCTGCTGAATGTTTGCAGGAGCACTGGGCATGGTGGGCCTGCCACATCACACAGAAACTCAGGACTAACACAAAAGGACAGAGGACACCGAGACATGAATACAAAAAGTAAAGAAACTGGAAAAATTGTAAGAGACATATGGACAAATACAAGATAAATTTCACTGGCAAAGATATCTCCTTCCTCCTCCTTCATTTGAATGGGGCTCTTCAGCTCAGGAAGGAACTCACACGGTAACTGAGCACTGTTCATACAGACACCATCACATACACCTATCCTGTTGATACCTTAGGATTCCTGTAACTGAGATCTAGCAAATTCTGCATTTCATGGAAATAAACTTTTTTTGTGCTTGTACTACACCTCTTATTTGCCTGGTTTGCTTCTTCCCACACCCAGAAAAGCAGCATCAATACCTACAGGAGTGCTTTGGGAATCGTGCTGCAGGACTGCACACCGGGGGGATGGAGCAGAAGGGAGAATCCTCTAACACAGGTAGCCCGAATTACTTCATGGGGACTTTGGAGTGCCCAGTGGTAAATGGATTTTCTCCAGTCCAGATGGATGTTTCTTGGGAAGAGAGACAGAAGGAGCACGCAGTGTGACTGAGTTCGGGGTGCTAAAGGCAAAAACCAGAGCAAACAATTACTTGATTTAAACTTTCAATACCATCAATCATCACAAGAGGGCAAAGAATATTTAATTCTGCTTTAGAAAAATCATTTCAAAGTGCTATTAGGTTTTATATACTTTAACATACTTACAGAAACTCTGGGCAGTTTTTTGACTCAAAACTAGAGGATCAAACCCCAAAAGAGATGGCTTAAAACAAGAATCATCAGGATGGCTGCAAATCCAGGGCAGAGACAGCAATGCACATAAGTTATCCAGAGTCTGATCACTCAGTGGAGTTTTCCCTAAGGGAAAAAAACCAAAACACAACAACAAAAAATATACTTTCTCAGCACTGTACAGTTTATAAAACATCCTATGATCTTAATTTGCTACAAAATGTTACTTTTTCTATCAACAAAGATTAGTATCACTATTCCCACATGTCGACATCCTACATTTTAGACATGTAATGATAAATCTTATAGTGCTACATCAAAATAACCTAAAAACCTGATGAGTCAAACAGGTGACAGAATGTCATCCATGAGCAGCAGAATGAATGAAAAGACATGTTAGTTTAAAGGATTTCTCACCTTGTGCATACAGCAGGGCATCAAAGATTTTCACTATTCTGTCAATCACTTGTTCTAGATTAACAAGCTGTGTAGCAGCCTCTAACAGCTTTCTGCAGACTTTCACTACTCTTGTGATAAAATCAGAGGAAAGCCACTTGAACTGTGTATTCACCACGGAATCTGAGGAGCTTGGAGAACTCTTACATGCGCCAGAGTTCCATGGATGAAACACTTTATGATCTACACTGTTAAAACAGAAATCACACGATCAATTCAACAGATTAGAAACATTTAATATCGTACTGCTTGCAAGCAAAGTTATTATGAAAATGCACTTCAAAACATACAGGACTTATCCAGCATTATCCTGATACACAGACAAGCAATAGAGTAATTAGGCAAATCTTGCTGACAGTTCCAAGCAACTGCTGGGCTCCCAGGCTCTCCTTGGAAGCTTTACCTGGCAGAAGATGCTGGGGGAGAACAGTGAACCATGCCCAGAGCAGCCACTCGCACAACCACGGCAATGCCCTCCACGGGCTGCACAACATCCCCTGGCACAGCTTCCTTCTCGAGGAGGGACAGTAAGGATGCAGCTTTCCTAGTGACAGCATTCCAGAGAGAGCTCTTCTGCCTCATGTTCACGGGGCTACGGCTGCAATTTGACCACATTCGTTATTTTCCAACATACATCTTTATTTTTTAGAAAAGATAAATCACCACAGCAAAACCAGTGCTAATACACGTTTGATACAGGATGAGGAAAACATCAAATGAAGCTTTAGCTGAAATGTGCTCTTTGGGAGGAAAAGAGCCTAACTCTGAATTTAAGTATGACTCAAATCAGACTTATGGTAAAGGCTATAAAGCTAGAACTCATTTTGTAGGGATGCTTCAGCTTTTCTGTTCTCAGCAGGTAAAAATGAAAATAATTTCCACTGAACATATTAAAAATACAGTCTCTTTAACTAAAGCTTGGCTTAAAAATCACCATAGGTTTTGATCCTTCAAAATATCACTTGGATTTTTTTTTTCCCCAGAAGACCTTTCAATCTGGCTGTTAAGAATAAACTAAAAAATTTTTGAGGCAGTTTATTATTCAATAGCCAAATTGCTATAAAAGCACTTATTGAGTAAGTGTCCTACGTTGAAGGGGGAGGTGATTTCTTTGGATGCTTTGAGGGGAGGCTGAGCCGTCGCCTTTTCTCTGGAACTTCCTCGCTGCTGCTGCTCCAGCCATCGGTGTCAGAAGCCTCGTGCTGGTTCTCTTGAAGCTCCTCGAAGATTTCTTCTGTTTGTGTTTTTAACACTGTATAAAGTGGGCTCACCAGGTACTGGGATGGACAAACAAGAGAGGTACCATGATGTATGCTCTGCCTTAACTCCCCAAAGATGTGCTAGAATTGTTTCTGACTTAAAGCACAAAATGTCCAAATATTAAGGTAACAAAGTTCTTAAAAACCTTTCTGTTCAAAAAAGTAGCCATAAGATGAAAGCTCTTCTAAGCAGTGAAGTTTCCTGCGTTGGGAGCAGAGAGGATGCAGCCTGTACAGCTGTTTCCCAGCTCCTGCCACAATCCCTGGCTAGCAAAGCCACCAGGACAGACACACACAGATTGAGGGACAACAGATCCAGGACACACACGGATGCATGGGATAGAGGGAACACTCAGCACATCAACACCCTTCTCTCCACCTGTCCCTACCAAACATGAGAAAAGCATGTGGTTAGAAAGTGAGAGCTCAGAAGAATGGAAATCATCTATAAAGCTGCCCTCACATGAGTGTACTCTGGGTCTTACTCCCATTTATACTCTCCTGATGTTATTTATGATTACAGACAGCTCTGCCTGCATAGCTTATCAACAGTTTAATACATCTAAAAAACGTAAGAGTCCAGCTACATCTAACTGATCAAAGAACTCTGGCCTGTGCAAACATGTGAAACAGTTAAAAACCAAGGAGTATCAACTTCAATATACAACTAAAAATAGCATTTCCTGAATTTTCTTCTTTGTACAGGTGTAGGTTTTTGTACATGATCTATTCACACAATAAATACTGTTTTTAAAATTAACCTACCTCTTGCTCCTCCTGAGTTCCAAGCCCGTTCACAAAAATCCCACATATGGTACTGATATGGGCTTTTCTTACTTGTAAGGCAGATTCGTAGCCAGCTGGAACAAATTCCAGAAAGTACTGCAGGATATGGCAAAAAGCAGTTTTAAGCTTTTCAGACCGAAGACACCTGAACACATCCCCTTCAAACAGTGCACAGAGCTTCTCCAGCAGCATGTTCAAGTAGACAGGCTCAATCTTCCTGTAAAAATCTGCTTCGAAAGGCAACAGTGTCCTCACTAACAGTAAGAGTGGCTCTCCAAAGAGTTCTGATTCCTCAGTATCCATTTCAAGGGTTGACTGCAGGATTTCAAAAAAGACTGCAAAGAAAACACTGGCCAGTTGTTCCGGAGGTCCTCCCAGATGAATTAATTTCACCAGAAACTTCATTGCCAACGTTTTAACTTTTGGGCTGCCACACTCCAACAGGGAGCAGCCTATCCCCCAGAGAACAGTATCCTGTCTGACAAAAAACACATCTGCAACAATATCTGTCAGAACAGACATTAATATAACCTCCAAACACTCCACGTTGGGCATGCCCATCAGCTGCAGTGGTGCCAGTCTTAAATATCCCACCGTGTCACTTATACTGCTTGAAAATCTCTTCACAGTCACTGGCCAGGTCAGTCCATTTCCCCTGAGGTGTTTCTGTGCATCTCTTTCGTGCAAGATGATCAAGTCTTGGAAAAGCTGCAGCAAGTCTTTAGTCAGTACTTCAAACACGGAGCAGCTCTTCATTTTGAACAGGAACAGCAAAGAGCAAATGACCTCACGGATGTTCCTGTGCAGGGTGCTGCAGTTTGGAGCTGCAGCGATTCGGAGGAGCCTCGTGATGATCCAGTTACTGAACTCTAGGACCAGGAAAGAGAAAGAGCAAACGGAAAGTTATGGAGATAAAACCCACAGTCTCCTCATGAGCACTGCCCAGAGAGCAGATTGCTTATCAGGAAGACGAAGGGAAACTCCTGGAGGTAAGTGTATGTAGGCCCAGTACACAGAGCCTTCCCTGGGACATTTATCCTGCAGATGCCACTGGAAAACAGGAAAAGAGCAGGGAGCAGCACACACAACATTCCCAAGCAACTCACCAATGCAGCTGCATTCTGTTTCCTCCTGATTCCCATCCACATTTACAAACATAAGGGGGGAAGATTTCATGATATATTGAATAAAATCAAGTAACATCACAGAACTTGGCTGTGAATCGGATTTCTTAATTAGCTCCAAAGCAACTTGAAAAAGAAAGAGAAGACAACGACACTTGAATTAGCATTGCCATGAATCAACTGCACAAGTTTTGTTCACACCTAATGAGGATATTTTTATATATATAAAATACTATGACAGGGTTCTGAACCTCCCAAATTATTTCTTTATTAAGAGTATGCTTTTTTAATCCATGAAGATGATTTTGTGCATGTGTACAACCCTCTGTGTGCCTCCAAGCTGTCTGAAGGAAAAGACACATTCCTCAATAAATATTATTAACACCACATGCACTAACAGTCAGTTAACATCCTATCCAAGTGTGTGATGAGTGCAGAACAGCAAATACCCAACATTTGTGGTGAACTACTGTAATAACTGGAACCTTAACATTATTTATTTATTAAAGTAAGGCTTTGTTAGAATTCCAGTATTAAAAATAAAGCTGTTTACATCCAAGTATTTTAATTCTGAAAGACACATGTGAGTATTAAGAATTGCAAGCTATATTATCGATTAACAGTCACAGTACATGATGCTCCTGCTTTTCCATGTTGCCAGCACTTGTATTCATACAACTCTGCACTGCATTTCCCCCCTCTTTTTTGGGGGGGCCTGTACATGTGTGTATGTGTGTTTAGTTTTTTTTACTTCACATCGTAACAGAAAATATGGAATTTATTAAAAAACAAGTCAGAAATGGTATTGTATTCAACTAAATCTTTCTGGGAATGAGAGCTGTAACTTGTATTTTTGGCAGGAATTACTCAAAGCATAAAGCAGAAGATTTTAAAAGAACAGGGATGTAATGCTTACCAACATCCACATCTGTAAGAATTCTGTCAATGAACTGGCAGAGGATTTGTCTTGGTTTCTGCACAACGGCGTTGTATTCTTCTGGGCTAGCACTGAAATTAAAAGTACAATATTTTGATGTTATCGATTTTTAAAGTACAAAATAATTACTTGAAGTTTATCTCAACAACGCAGTGTTAAAACACTGATTTATTTTTTTCCTTCTAGAAGCCTTCCAAAGGAAACACAAATTGATTTCTTGGGTTTTGTTTTTGTTTTGTTGGGGGGTTTTGTTTGTTTGGTTTTTTGGGGGGTGTTTGTGTGGGGGTTTTTTGTTGTTGTTTTGTTTTTTATTTGCTTGTTTAGTGACAAGCCTGTCACTCCTTCTCTTTAGTCTTCAGAAGTACAGAAGGTTTATAATGACCTGAAGTGCCCATAATTTTGTTATGCAGTTATGTTTGATATATACTAAATGCACACCTGACATACCAAGGGATTCATTCCCATGCTACCACCACGCAACAAACCAGCGCTGGTGCAGAAAAAAAGGAAGATCAGGAACCTGCTTCACTTTTCGAGCTGACCAGAACGATTCGGCTGGACAGGTACAGACACCGCGGGCAGGAGGTGCCAGCAGCGGCCGCCCAGGGGGCTGAGGAGGCGCTCAGCTCTATGTCCAGCACAGAACTGTGCCTGCACACCAGCCCCTGCCTGGCACAGAGCAAAACCGCGCCTTTCGTGCTGCCCCTGAAGCCCCAGAGCCAAACACGCCGCGGCCGCTGGACCCGCAGTGAGCGCTCACGAACCCGGGCAGGGCCGGCACGGGGGACGAGCTGAGGGGGGCCCGGGCCAGGACACCCGCACGGCGGCGGGACGGGAACCGCCTCCTCCGCCTCCCCCACCACCCGCCGGACGCGCTCCCCGCAGCCCCGCAGCCACAAACCCCCCCGCACCGCCGGTCCGGCGTACCCGGCGAGCTCCCGCAGCGCGGGGATCATGGAGGCCATGCCCAGGCCCTGCTCCGCCATCGCCGCGCTTTGAATCGGGCGGCGCCGCGCGGGGCGGGACGGCGGCCGGCACGGCCCAAACCCCGCCTGTAACCGCCTCGCCGCCGCGCGCGCTGCCTCAGGGCGCCCCGCAAGGACGGGGAGCCCCGCAGGGCCGGGCACGGAGGGGCCGCCAGCGACAGCCCGGCCACGGCGGCGGGGGCGCCCGGGCACCGCAGGGGAGGAGCGCCGCAGAGTCCGGGGGGGCTGAGAGCGAGCAGGGGAACGGTCCCAGTGTGAGGGGCGGCCAAGAAGAAACTTGGGCGCACGCTGGGGAGGCGCCGCTGCAGCGCTGGCTGCTGCTCCCACCCCGCCCGGCCGGCCCCGCGGGGCGCACCGGGGTGTGAGGTGCGGGACAGCCCGTGGGCGCACCGGGGTGTCAGGTGCGGGACAGCCCCGCGGGGACCGCCCCGAGCGACCCTGGCCCGGCCCGCCCCTGCCATCGCCCCGCCCGCCCGGCCCGGCCCCGCGCCAGCAGCAGCGGGTGCGGCGGCGCTGCGGGACAGTGCGGGACACGGCGGGCACAGTGCGGGACACAGTGCGGGACAGTGCGGGACACGGCGGGCACAGTGCGGGACAGTGCGGGCACAGTGCGGGACACTGAGGCCGGCCGGCAGGTGGGCAGAGCGGGGCAGCGGCAGGGCGCGCTGGGCAGGGGTGCGGGCTCGGCATGGGTGCGGGCTCGGCGCTCCGCCCCGCAGGTAGCGGTGCGTGAGCGGCGTTGAAAACTGCGGTGTTTCTGGTTTATTGCTGTAACTTTTTTGTTGGTTGGTTGGTTTTTATTTCACCATATGCCGCGTTCTGTTTGTATTCCTTTCGCGAAGCGTTTCAGGGTGTGCAGCTCGGCGGGTGGCGGTGAAGCCCCCAGAGCGGCTGGGGGCGCGGGCTCAGGGGCGGGCGGTGCGGGGATCCCCCGTGCCCAGCCGGGCGGCGATGCTGAGGGAGCGGCACACAGGGTGAATGAACCGCGGGGCTGTGCTGGGCACGGACAGCAGGGACGGCGTGCCAGGAGACACCGAGCTCTGAGCTCTGTTGTTGTCAGGAGGAGCTACGGCTCGTTCTGCGTTCGTTTGTGAAGTTTGCTTGGTGTTGTTTCTGGGGTGAAATAAAATCCTCCTGGAGGCTTCTAGTGGTGCTGCTGTTTCCACTGTGCGAGGGCCGGGACTCGTGCATGTAAAACAGCTCACAAGGAGTGCGTGTTCCAGTGACTGACCCGTTCCAAGGGGATGCTTTGAGGGAACCTGTTACTACCTGTTCACAGATGAATATTTTTGTCGTATGGAATGTATGTACCTCATTTTATTAAAATTCTACTGGCCTTTTAAGGGCTGGTAACTTGACAAGAACCTGAAATACTTGGAGAAACTTCACCAAACATCACTGGGTTTTATTTTAGTTTGTTTTTCGGTAGATATTGCAATGTTTTCTACTGGCTGACTTTATAAAATGCTAGTCTTTCCAGAGTCCTTCCTAGAAGGAGAGCAAGAACCGTGTAGCTTTATGTGTTCTGTTAAGCAGAACTTTAGTGGTCCAGGAACAGCAAGTACGCCTGGGTTTTGTTATCAATGTTATTTTGAACACAAAATTTTCTACGTACTTTCAATTTAAAATACCTGTTATTATGAAAACAACATTCTTAGTGTAAATTTCCAAGCCTGAGACAACAATCACACTAAGAAAGGTGTAAACTGCACTGCTTGCTAAATGGCTGGAGAGTTAAAATTCCAGTGTCATCCTCGATGAACTTGAGAGCAGGGTGCTGTTGCTATCTTAGGAGAGTTTGAGCAGCCTGTATTATTCTTTACCTTTCAATCGTAAGAAATAGGCTAAATTTATTGAATTATAGGGTGATTTTTTTTGCTGTTATTATTGTTCCTAAAGCATAAATGGGGCATCTGAAGTACTTAATAAAAAAAAAGATGCTTTGGGTTGGAACTGCCCTGAGTCACCGGTGAGATCATATTGATGTAGGAATTGTAGAAATGCTTTCACTTGTGATAGGTAGAATGCTACATAAATTTGTGGTGTAGTTTCTTTGAGCATTTACCAAGCATGGAATTCAGGTGTTTGTTTTTTGGTTTTGTTTGTTTTTATTTGTTTGTTGGTGGGTTTGTTTATTTGGGTTTTGGTGGGGTTTTTTTGTGATGAACACTTCTAAAAATTCACTAAAAAGACATCTGCTCCCCATTCTTCACTGGGACTGAAGTTAGGAGGCTTATTTTCCCTTGCAATTGCAAATTCCCATCTACTCACTTTGCATCAATCATCAGATTTCCTCCAGCTACCATGGTTTTGGAAGACTCTACAATTCCTTTCCTAATTATTTTGTACTTTTAGGTCCCTTGGCCCCCAGCAGGAGAGGCAGGTGTGTTATCATCCACCTGGAGGGAGTGACTTAATTGTTGATGAAAGCAGTGTGCCTCGAGCCCCTTGCCTGCTGTCCCCTGCAGTGCAGTGCATGTTTGGTGGAAGGAGTCTGAGGTGTGCAGAGCTCTCAGCCGGCAGAACCCAGGCTGGGGCTCCTGCAGATGAGAAGAGCTGAGAATCAAAGTCAGAGTGTGCAGCACTACCAAGATTTCAGCTGAGGCTGAGGTTACTCTTTTTGTAATTATTCTTTTCTTCTCCATTCTCCACTTGGGCAGTCCTCTCACTCTGTAGTTGCAGGATTCTTCCCCACCCCAGCCTCTGTCTTCCCTGGCTTTTCGTGGCTTCCCCACGTGCCTTTGCAGCTCAGTGTACTTGTTGAAGACACTGAGAGACTTAGCCTGGGACCTGCAGGTCCGAGAGCACAGGAGCATGAGAACTGTGCTTCTGTTCCCTCTGCTGTTTAATTCTGAGGTGTAATTGCTGTTGTTCTTGGAGCTCCCCCACTCTGGATGTGTGTGAGACGGTGGTCAGTGTAACTGCAGTTGGATGTCAGCTGTCTGCAGGTAGGTGGTGAGTGCACTGAGACATGTAAATGCACCTGTGTGCTCCTTGATGGCTCCTGAGCTGGGAGATGTGGTCAGAGGAATGCAGGGAGGAGCTGTGAGCTGTGATAAGTAATTTCCTTCATTACCAAGGTATCTGACAGCTTATCATGCTGCTGTGCCAACACCCACAGTCTGGATGATGACTCAAGGACCAGTTTCTGTCTGTAGTCATGCGGGTGGTTGTCAAGAAGGTGCCTGACCCTTGGACACAGGCACTGCTCCTGAGCACTGTGAGAATGTCACTGCAGCCCTGCAGCTTTGATCTGGGCCTGGCCTGCTTCCTCAGCTGGGCTGCACTGGAGTGGCACAGATTCAAATTGTGTCACCCTCAGTATTGGTTTGATGATTAAAAAAAAAGAGTCAAAAATTGAAACAGTAAATGGTGGTAAGGACAGCAGGCAAGCCAGAAACCTAAAAGCAGATTATGTACATCCAGCTACTAAGCAAAAACTAAAACAGGTAAAAGAGGGGGGGGGGAAAGTGAGGACAGAAAACATATAACAGAAAAATCTGTTTGACTTCTGTGTATAATCTCAACAGGTGCTAGTCCTACAAGCTTTTATCCATGTTTTTTCTGTGAATAAATCTGGTTATATACTTGAGACTATTGATGATGTAAAATAATGTGAGTGTTTGAGAGATAGCTCTTTAGAGTATACATTCCTCTGAAACGTGGTGTTATTATTTGTATAGCAGCAGTGATTGCTTTTTGCTTATCTGCAAAAAAATCTGAGGATTGTGTCAGTGAAATAGAACATCACCTTAACAGCATGCAATCCAACACCTAAACTAGAAAGTGCAGGCACCCTTACACTTCACCCTTCACATAAAGTCTGAGTGCAATGTTTGGTTCCACTCTTCTTATTGCAGTAATTATTCCAATAAAATACTTTCACAGCATTCACCGTGATGTGTGAAATACTTCCTATCCAGGAGAACTGTTGCCATAAGAACTCCAAAAGTCACCAGGTCTACATAAATGGATGAAATAAATGTAGAACAGCAGTGCCAGTGAGTAACAGGATCTGACCCCAGCAAACAATTATTACTGGGCAAGGCTCCACTGCACTCTGCCAGATAATAAGGAAGCAATAAATTGTAAATGAACTTCTGGGCAAAGATATTGAGCTGAGCAGCTGCAGTTGCTGTTCAGCCTAAACTGCAGGTTTGAAGATGCTCTTTTATCAGCTCATCGCAGCCTTCCATCACTCAGAGGGAAACAGCTGACTGGTGATGGTGTGACCTGCAAAACAGCATCAGCAGTGGAAAGAGCAACGGCCATCAGTCAGCTCAGGATGCAGCAGGAATTCCAGGTTTGGGACACAGCCAGTTCTGCATCATTGGTAACTTTATTACAGGGCTTTTTGACACTGCTGTGGCTAAATCTTTCAGAGAGGGCTTGAAAATGAAGCAGTAAGGGTGACTTCTCTATTCTCCAGAGTATTATGTTCGTGATAAAATTACTAATTAAAGGATTTCAGCTTTGATTCAGCTGGTCACAGGGAGGGAATGCTAAATATATGTCCTGGCTTTACTGTTTGCATCACTGTTTGTTTTGGTGCTTCTAAATGCAACTTGAATTTGTAGCTTTTTCTGTGGAGGTGTGTGCTTGGTTACTGCTGTTCCATCCAGGTGTGCAGGGAGGATACAGGGAGTTCATCACAGAGACTGCTATTGCTGAGCCTCAGGAATAAATGATGCATAAAGCAGATTGTGGGCTTCTACAGGCATGCTTTTGGTGGGAAAAGGATTATCAACCCACTTGCAGGGCTCTCTTGGCAGGTGTTTCCTTAATAATAATAGGCACTAGCAAAAAAAAAATAATTAATGCTGGATCCAGTTTCCCCCACTTTCATTCAATTAGTGTGTTCATCCTTTCACCCCGTTAATAATCAGTGGTAGAACAGACTGATTAAAAACATTGACATTTAGAAAAGCTGAGATATCAGACTGGATGTTATCAGCAAGATTATATTTACTTGAATGCAATTTAAAGGAGGTATCCCTATGTAAGAGTCAGGACCTAGCCTTTTCTTTTCAAACCAGGTGTTCCCTGATAGGTTTTCTTTTCCAGATTTTTTATAGTTTGCAATTTTTTAGGATGTTTTTAAGAAAGATGGTAACGTTTTCACTGAAGCATCAGAAATAGTTTTAATTTAAAAATATGATGTTATCTACTAATCATGTGAATCCTAAAGGCTGAGATTTTGAATAGTTTAGTTACAAAAAAATTTGCTCAGGAATTTCATCATTTTTCACCTTCAAAATATGATTAAAAATGACAGTTGGCAACAGCAACCGTAGCTGTTTTATCCTGGCCTAATTATGAAGAACTGCAGTCCCAGCAAATGAACCTCATGCATGCCCCAGATAGTGCTGTGGTTTGGAAGGTACCAGCAATGCTCTGTGTGGTTCAGTTGTCAGATTTACTGCTCTCTTATCCTCAGCACTCGTGCAAACACAGCTCCTCGAGGCTCTGACAACAGGCAACACTGCTGCATCTCTGGGCTCTGCAGAGACAGCTCTGGAAATGCTGCCAGTGCTTTTGCCATCTCCTGCAGAGGACCCTCCTTTTTCCTCCAGCCTGACCAATGAAAAAAGAAACCCAAAAATAACCTATGAATTTTCCATGACAGAAAATCCTGGCTTGTTTGCAGTATAGTGGCTGATCAGTCTAATCTAATAATCTTTTGAAGCATGTGCAGCTGAGGGAGGCATTAGTGGGTGTCAGAAGGCCACACTGCCATCTGATAATTACTGGAAACAGGGAGAATACTCTGGCAACACACCTGCATGTGGGACTGTTTTGTAATGGCAATTAGCTGGAGTATGAACAATATGTGGCTGTAAATTCAGTTGCTGAGGGCAGAATGAATGCATTCCTATTGTTACTCTTAATGATCTCCACATGATTAACTTCTGGGGTGACCTTAAAGCTAAGTTCATTAGTAAGGGTTAGCCCGTGTGTCTGTGCTGCAGTTGGACTATTTGTAGCAAGCTGAGGTTTGCTGCTCGGGAGCAGCACGGGGGGCTCAGGGCAGCACTTTGCTGGAGTGTTGTTCTGTGCTGTTTGCAGAGCTCCCTTCTGCCTCTGGGGCTGTTTGTTCACCACCAGCTCTGTTCGTAGTTTTGCTTTTCAAAGCTAACTGAATGTCATGTTGGTGCTGAGAGAACTGAAAATGGTTCAGGATGGTCCAGTTAGCTTAAGGAAAGGATGCTCTGCTGAAGTTCTGATGCCATAGGAGGATAAAGCCTATTCCTGAGCAAGGAATAGAGAGTACAGCATGTCCTGCCTCTCCAGCAGCACCGGATCGGGAAGAAACAGAGGCTGGGGACAAATCCTGCCAGCCTGGCAGAGGTTACTGTGAAATATCAGTGGCACTGTGGCAGATTAAACAGCCCAAGGTGAGTACACTTTGCTTGTAGTAGATGGGATGCAAAATCCAGCCAACTCTGAGGAACTGTGAAACAACTGAAACTGGAATTTGTCACAGCTTCTAAACCAAATTTCTAGTCCTTCAAGTTACAGAGAAAAGCTTGGAAAGTTAATCTGCTAATAATGGGAGATATCTGAAAACAGAAGACAGATGTCATTCCATATTTAATGTTTTTTTAGTTGCTTAGGGTCTGACTTGTGATTGTTTTTGGAAAGTTGTGTTTGTGACTGTTGCTTCTGGTTAGCTTTTCCTTTTAGTAATTAGCTAGCAATGCTATAGCTTATTAGAGAAGTACAAGAATAATTAAAACATAACCCCCAAGTTGTGAATCTTATTTGAGAGCACTGGGACACCCAGAAAGCCCCTCTGTCAAACGAGGGTCCTGTCATGAGATCTGAGCACGAGATTCTTGCTGATGCAGATATTTGAGTAGAACTTCAGGGATTTTTTTAAATTGAAATTTCCTTTAAAAATAATGTAGTTTTTATTTTTCATTGCAGTTGCATGCTAACAAAAGCTCCATGTTCCTAAACCTAGACAGAGGAAGAAAGAGATTAAATATCATTTGCTGGTGTGTCTTTTAACTCGCTCTCTTTTGCTGTTGTAAACTTGATATGTAACATCAGCCTGGGCACAAAAGAGTGACTTGAGGATGGAGTGCCTGGATGAACCTGCTTTTATTAGTGTAGCCTTTCCATTTATATTTTAGTGTGTTTTACTCTAATGAAATGCCACAGAGACACCAAGGTTAGACTCAAAAAGCCCAATTCTGTTCTTCCGAGCAGTTCATTGGTAATCAGATGGGATTTATGAGAAACCGTTTCCTGGTTTCTCATCACATTTTCTCCATGTTAATTATAGACTCTTTCCATCTCACATGCATTTTGCCTGCTAGGATGCTTAGACCTCAGTAGGAGCTGGTCTTGCCACAGTTCCTGGCTTTGGTGGCTGTGGTGTTGGGACAAACTGTGTTTCTGCCTTGCTTTTGGCCCCAGCGTGTGAGGTGCCAGCTTCCAGTGCTGATTGCAAAGCAGATCCTTGCCAGCTCTGATCCTGCAGGGCCAGGGCATTTTCCTGCTCCCTGGTGGAGGCATTGAGGAGCAATGTGCAGGCCAGGGTACTCCCTGGGGGGAGGGTGGGGGACATGGGGACAAGGCCAGGGCAGCAAGGGCAGCCCTGGGAAATAGGAGGGGCCAAAGAGGAGCTCGGAGGGAGCTTGGACAAGTTCTCCAGGAGGAAAGGGCTGGCACACTTGTGCACAGGGAGGCCAAAGGATGATCAGCCTGGAACACAGGGGTCAGTGTAAGAAATGATTTCTGGAGAGGAGCAAATGCTCCATCCGGAGGGCCATGATATTGGAGATTGGTAAGGAGATAAGAAAAGGTCACATAAAGTGAAGCAGTTTGTTAAATCGATTAAACTTGTTGAAATAAAGACAATTTCTGCTCCAGGCTCAGTCAGATGCTTCTGGACCAGTGTAAACATTACTGTGTTTACACATGTAAAGAAACTTCTCTCCCGATTTCACCTTACTCCTGTTATTCCTTGCTAATTAATTTGACTGCCGTTCTGCAGTCATGGATTACTTGAATGCAGACACTGGCATATGTGAAATGGAAAAGCGTGATTTTTGCTTTCAGAACAGTGTCTTCAAATGCTGAGTTTATGTTCAACACCCCAGTTCAGATTCTTGGATAGAAAGATGAGATGATGGCATTGCCTCACTTCTGTTACCAGCATTATTTTGGGTTACAGTGGGCAGGCTCGGTAGTGCTTTTGAGCTGTGTAAGGAAAACACATTAATGATTCATGTGAATAAAGTTTTCTTTGTACATACACGTGGCTGCAGTTGTGAGTAGCAACAGTCTCAGTTGTAACTGTTCCACACCAGCAGCACAGAGGTGACAGTGGGGCTGTCCAGCAGAGCCACACCACGCTCAGGAACAGGGGCAGGTGTCAGGGGTTTTGTACCAGCACTTGAGGGTTTCCTTTGTGAGCACTGGTTTGGACTGTCTCAGTACAAGATAAAAATTATTCCAGACTCTGTAGACAGTAAGGTGAATGCTAAAGCAACACTAAAACGATTTACATTGGGAGGGTCAGTCCCACACCCACAAAGGTCCTGTGTGTTACAATCCTAGTGGTTTCTGCAGATGTGCACTTTCCAATAGGCTTGAGGAGACACCTGTCCTAGGATTTCCTCAACAAATGGCAGGTCTCCTGCATTATCCTTTGTCTCCCAGGGAAATCCCCAGGCCCACTTCTCCTGACACTGTTTTTACCCATTGTTTCCCGTCCTTGTGTGCCATTAACACTGTGCAGGTTTTACTGCTGGGTGCTGGACTTGTTGTAAAATCAGAATGTTAGTATGTCTGTGACTTCTGTGTGCAAAATGAACTACGGAATTGAGACTTTGAGGAGCCTTTCTGTTTACACTTGCACTTCCATAGCAGCACCAAACAAGAGCTGCTTCTCTCTCTCCTGCAGTTGCAGTCTCCTTCTAACTGCAGTTATGTTGTACTTGAGCTATTTTTGTTTCTAAAGTTTTTCACTGGCTTAGTTATGGTGTGACTGTTAGAGATGCTGAAAGTCACAAATCCAGCTGAAATTGTTGGAATACAGCTGAAAAACTTGTTGTCAGTGCTCTGGTAGTGTCTGATAGAGTGCCTGGTGAGGCTCTGGTGGCTGTCCTGTCCCTGAAAGCAGCAGTCAGTCATCTCCTCCAGGCCAGCTGGGAGGTTTGCTGAGGTGTTCAGAGCTGAGCTGCTGTGGGGTGGTAGCACAGTGTCAGTGTGTGATGTCCAGGCTTTTTAACTTGTTTCCAAGCTGTTTGCCTGCAAGTAGTAGGCTCAAACTTCTGTAAAAGGCAGAACAGGACATTTGTTTCCACTGTACAATGTAGCAACTCTATTCTTGTTTATTCTGTTTCATAAGCTGCTTTTATTCACAATGGCTTCTGAAAGCACTTTTTAGTGAAAACAACTAGAGAATGGCTGGTATGTTTATGTTAAAAATAAAGTCCTTATGCCTTTTGTGTTCTTTTTCCTGATTAAATATTTATGTTGTTGAAGAATGTATTTATGTTGTTGAGGAATGAAAATCGTGCAAAATGTTGAGATAGCAGAGAAGGTAATTAAGATTTATGGTGTGAGTGTATTCAGGTTCTTACTATGCTTTCATTTTCCCTGTGTCTGTACTTCTCCTGACAGAAGCTGGGTACCATGTACATGCTGGTGGTGAACTTTCACCAAGGCAAAGGTTCCTGGTAATAAAACTGAGAGCAAGAGCTGCTTTAGCAGATTCACTGTATCCAACCCTTGCTTTGGATAAGAGCTTTTTGGATCTACCCATGTTTAAAATTCTCTAGGGATCATTTATTTTTGTGTCCCTTAATTTGTAATGTATTATGGCAGACATGTTTATTATATACACTTTGATTCTGGACTCCATAATTTACTGGAAAGGTAATATATTTAAATTACATAAAATGTGCAGATGGTTCAGAATACTGAGTCTTGACACTTCCATCATGTAAAACATAAAGCTCCTCTCAAAAGTAGGATGATTTTGCTTCAAATTAAGGGGTATATTGGTTTTGCAGCCAATCTGATTTTGTGTTCTGAAAAACAGAAGTGTTGCCTCTTGTTGAGATTTCCGTGAGAAAAATCTTGGGTTTGTGTTTCTAACATTGATTTGCCTGGAATTGACAGCTACCTAAGAAACATCTGCCTGTGGCTTGGAAGCAGCGTTGTTAGTATATTTTTCATCTGGAAATGGTTTGCTGTTCGTAGGGAGCCCTGGACACACTGTACTGTGGAAATACCCAAATTGAACTTATTGCTGTTCTGTTACCCACAGAAGTGATCAAAGCACAACCAGTGTGAGGAGTGACTGTTTACACACCTCAGCAATCCCAGTGAGAATGCAGTGACTCGTGCTCATGGCTCTGCAGGGCTGAGGGTGCTGATTGTGCCACCTCAGTGTCCCCATTTCACAGAGGATGGCACTGTTGCAGAGTGGCTCTCCATGTCCCAACAGGAGATACAACACTCCCAGCCCTGTGCTGGAGGTGAAACTTGTGAACTCCTAGTTAGCCAAAGCAGAACGGGCTCTGACATCATCCATCTGGCCACGTCCATCCCCAAATGTTGGTGTTGCTGGAGTGTAAACATGAGCTTTGCAGGACACTGAGGAGAGCTGCTTCCACAAACTCTGCATGCAGCAGCCTTTTCCAAAAGTGCTTGCCTAGCAGTGGTCCCTTTGGCACGGGTGAGGTTTCCATTGGTGTTTTTATTTGGAGTGCTGAGTGCAGCAACACAAAGCACAGGCAGTTGGAGATGCTCGTCAATGATGCATGCAGAGGAAGCTGCCTGAAACCGATCCTGTGGCTACCTTGCAGGGCTGTTCTGTCTCCTGGGCAGCCAGAGGAAGCTGGAGGTGTTTTGTCTGGATGAAAAGGTATCTTTCTGAAGTGAGCTTTTACCTGCTTTGTAAGAGAGTTCCTCTTAATCCTCACCTGAGCCTCATGAAATTAATCTGCTCCTATACCAGAGGAAGTGAATTCAACTCAGACCCACAATGAGTCTGACAGATATCTTGGTTTTTTACTGTTTATTCACAAATCATCCAGGATTATCCTTAAGGCATGGGGAAGATGTTGATTTTATTATTCACCAGAGTTAACAGGTTAAACCTGTTAAACTCAGAGGTTAAACCATGTGTTTTTGTGGGGATTCAAAGCCCAACAAGAGGAGCAGAGTTGTCACGTTTTGTAATTGTAGACAGTACCCAGTAAACCCAGCTGGTTATTGACATAAAAGCACAACCTGTATGTGCAAATGAGGCTATCTTGACTGTCATTAGAGACAGCAGCTCTGAGGATGATGCAGCAATAGATGGTGTTTGCAGCAGGGACAGAGGAGGTGTGGCCCTGATGCCAGACAAAAAGAACAACCACAAAAGAAAATGAGCTCTCGAGTCAGCATTTGCAAAGTCCATTGTCACTGCAGCAGCAGCTGCGTGTGGAAATGAGGCAAACAGAATTGGAAATGAAGAGCTGGGAAAGAAATTGCCATTTGCCTGCAGGGATGGAGACAACTATTGGGCCTGATTGCCAATTAACTACTCTATTTTTTTCTGACAGCTTTGATAACGGGTCAGAAAAGTGGCAGGAACTGCTCCTTGACCTACTCACTTCAGCCTCTGTGGTTGCTCAGCCACAGGTACTGCTCAGCACACGGAGAAATACCACGATGGTTGGGATCTGCATCGTGTTAGATGTGGACACTTTCCAGGAGGCTCCAGGGAAGTGTCTAAAAGAGCCTTCCAGGTGTGGAAGGCAGGCCAGGGATACGTGAATATTGCCAGTCCACGATGAGCATGTTGTTAAGGTGAAAAGAGGATCAGGGGCACTTTTCCAGCATTAAAGCAGTGTTTGTTCCTGCTCTGTCCTGGGGCAGCAGGAGATGGTTTCATGTAAGCACAGACTGCAGACAATCCAGGTGTCATCTGAACGCCCCCAGAGGACAGAGGAGTTCTCTCTGAATGAATGAACCTCTCAGCAGGCAGTCACAGTTCCAAAACCCCCGTTCCTTTGGAGGCTCACTCCCAGACCTGCCTGTGCACTGAGTCACCCTGGCTGCTGATGAGCCTGGTGTGCAGGGTATTTATTACCTTCGATAGAAGGTCCCTGTTTCTGTCCTGAAATTGCCTGAAATGTCTGCCTGCTTTGGGAGCTGTCTCTGATTGTTCAGACTGTCTCTCCTGAATGCCAGCACCATGATTGCAGTACTTCTGCCGTTTAATTGACCAGCTGATTTACCCTGTAATGATATCATAGGCTATTTAAGGCTGTCTCTTTAGAGCTGAATTATTAGCTTTATTTGTCTGCTTCATTCAAGAACAGATGTTTCTACTGTGTAACTGAAATAATCTACATCTTTGGAAATCAAAGGTTGCTATTTTCTGAAGTAGAATATGATGTGAAATGTAAATCATGAATCATAAAAGGGCAGCAGTGAAACTAATTGCATTGCAACTTTTCAGAAATTGTTTCTGATAAAATCTGACTCATGATAATGGTAAATAGTTAAAATCATTAATAGTACAACAGAAGTGATGTTGTCTTTTACACCTGCATGGCTAAATATTTCACTTATGCTTTGTCTTGCTGTTTCTGTATTTCAGAGAATTGTCATCTGGTTTTATTTGCAGATTTGGAGTCCTTTAAATTTCCTTATTAATTTGGATTTAAATGTTTTATTTTTTCACCAATTTTTCCACAGTTCATTATTTCTTTAATTGCCACACCAGGTTTCCAGTGAAGGTACTTGCACTTCCAGAAACATCTGTGTGAAGAGTAATTTTTTTTATATATATATATCTTAAATATCTTTTTCCTTTTGAGCACGAAGACTGTACATGCTGTTGGTAAGCTTAGCAAAATGGATAAGTAGGATTTTAGTACTTAAATAAGACCTAGTGACATGAGGGAAAAAGACTTAACTTGCCACCCACAGCCAGGGCCACATCCTGTGTGACCTGCAGGAACAGGGCAGACACAGAGCACACTAACCCAGGTAAAGCAGACAGGAGATATTTGGGATAACCCACTCATGCATGTAGCAGGTCTGATATAATTACTCTGAGCAAATGATAGCCTGGTCACTGCAGGACTGTTTTCCTCATCGCTCTAAAGCAAAACCACTAACCCAGAAGGGGAAACACGCACAAGTAGAGAGCCACTTGGATGGAAATACTTGTGGAAGGTGGATTTTTGCCCCCTTTGGGCTTATAAAGTAAAAGCAAAGATTGAACTTGGATGGTTTGGGCAGGCACAGCCCCAGCTGCAGCACGCTGTGCTCCCTGTGTGTGCCATGGCACTGCCCAGTGCCAAATGGCAGAGGCACAGACGAGTCGTGTACTGAGACGATGGTGTGTGACTCCTGTACACAACTGCACTTACTGCCAGCAGCTCTGAATCATCCTGCACTGCAGCTTCCATAAGGAGAGGGGCAAAGATCTGTCAGGGGGATTTATTGACCTCTTGCAGAGGTGCTTTCAGTTTTGTTTTGCTTTTTTATGGAGGTCAGTAGAGAAAGATTGATGCTGAGACCCCAGGTCAGTAGAGAAAGATTGATGCTGAGACCCCAGATCAGTAGAGAAAGATTGATGCTGGGACCCCAGGTCAGTAGAGAAAGATTGATGCTGGGACTCCAGGTCAGTAGAGAAAGATTGATGCTGAGACCCCAGGTCAGTAGAGAAAGATTGATGCTGAGACCCCAGTCCTTGCTCAGGAAAAGCCTTCCTTTGGCTCTCTGACAGTGTTGAGACAACAGGGTGGCACAAGGGTGGGGAAGGTCAGGAGCTGTGGAAAGGCTCCTCAGTGTCACCCACAGACTGTAGAAAGTGTCCCCTGAGGTTTGTTGCTGTGTAAATGCTGGAGTGCTCAGTGCTGGGCAGGACTGGATCCTGGCCCTGAGCACAGCTTGGCACTGACACTGCACTGCACTGCACTTGGGAATTATGTTTCTAAAAACTCTTGGTTGAAGTGTAAGGAGACTTTAGTGTTGGAAAACACGGAGGTAGATTGCTGGTCAGTGCTTATTCTGTGGAAATGGAGACACCAAGTGTGTGTGAACAGGTGCTGCTGCTGGGAATTCTCAGTCACTGTGAGGGTGGAAAGGATTGCTGGGTATTTGATGTATTTTAAAGTGTGATTTGTAATGATTTACATGTGCTGGGCCTGGACATGTCACTCAAGTCTGGTACCTCGTGTTGAAAAGATCAGTAACTTGTATGTGTCTGGAATTACAGCCTTACATCTTTCCTGTTATTATTATTAGATATAAACGATTGAGGACGACACTTCCTGCTGTCCAGAGATGGAAAACAACATAACTACCATATCTCGTGAAGAGCTGGAAGAACTAAGAGAAGCATTTGGCAAGATAGGTATGTTTTAAATAATAAAACAAAAAGGGTGCCACTAACATTGCAAAGCTGTTTAGGATTTGTGGAAGAAATCTTTATGGATCACCTTGTTCTGATAGGGACGTGTTTTCCCTCTGTGTTGCCAGTAATATCTAATAAAATAAGAATGTTTACATAGAGCCCCATATTTTCACTAAAATTATGTGTGTTAATTTCTTTCACCCTCAGCACTCAAAACAGATGTATTTTCTTGCTGTGCCATTGTGTGTGCTACATAATAGCTCTCAAAATGCAGCTTTTTTATTTCCTTAAATCTGAAAAAAATGTTTGATTATGCTTCAGGTGATGTATATATTTTTATATATATTTATATATTTATATTATATATATTTATATATATTATTTATATATATTTTATATGTTTTATGTTAGATTACTGACACTTGGTTTTGACTTTACTTGCATGCTTTGGTGAGCTAATAATTCCTCTTTCCATTTATTCCATTGGATTTTACATTTTAAATAAGCTAAACTTGCAGATTTTTTAATCTTGCTTTTGCAGCTAGCAGATGTTAATAAATAACTGTACTATTTTCTATGTTTGACAGGATGTTTACAGATTAATCAGAGTAAACAGAGTGAGAAATTAGATAGCAACTAACCCTTATTTCCAGATTGCACTGCTGCTGTTGAAATTCCTTTGCTGCAGCTCAGGGGTGATGATGTGGAACAGTGTGTTAGAGATTTGAAACAAGGAGTAGGAAGGAATTACTCTGGTCCTGTCAATGCAGGGATCACGTGATGCCCAGTAGAGTCAGAAAGCTTCAAATAAAGAGAAGTAACTTCTCTTCATTATAAATAATTAAACCATGAACCCCTTGACTCGAGACCAAAAAAGAGTAGAAATCCTAAAGGGAGAAAGCTGCATCCATGGCAGGGAATTCAGGAGTTGCTGTTATTTATTTATAATTTTTACTTCCCCAATGCCTTTATGGATGAGTTGCTTGCAGCTATGTTGGTAAACTGAGAGAAGGCAGGTATTGAACTCTCAGCTGTCATCATGGAAACTTCCCCCCTGTGAAAGATGACCCTGGAGAAATAAAAGAGCTGGTAATCTGAGTGAGCTCATGAGCGTGTCCTCTGCTCCTCAGACCATCCCTGTCAGTACCTGTGGGTTTACATGTCTGCAAGCCAGTGGATGGATTAACGCAGTTGCAGACGTAAAGTTTGTCTGTGTACTGATGGGTGAGTTGTTGATGGTATTGAAAACACTGAATTATTTTTTTTAACCAGGTGTTTTTAGCCTTTTCTCAGCAGTGGGATGTGGCTGTCCTGTGAAGCTGTACAGAAGCAGCACAGGGTAGTGTGAATTACAAGAAAATGAGTGTCCAGCACTCAATGATGGCTGGTGATGAAAGCATGTTTCTCTGCTTGCCTGTCTGCAGTGAGAGGCATTTTCATCCACTGGGGTACCATTGACTGAGTTCTGATACCAGGGTAGTATGAAGAGAGGTTTGTAACTAGTAAACAAAAAAAACCCCAAAGTAGGAGCACCTTGGTAAGTCAGAAGGGTGGTCACATCATCTGCTCCTCTTTCTGACTCACTGTGATCTTCTCTTTAATGGCTTCCCTTAGATGGATTGTTGGCAGAGCAGGGAAAATACTATTAGCTAATATTTTTCAAGAGCTTTAATATGAGCATGAAAGACATTGTAATTACTGCCAAACATGGAAATTATTAGCATTGAATATATAAAATGATGGCATTATATCCAGCATTACTTTGGCTGGATATGATTTCTTTTTCCTTTCTGTATTTGGTTGAACTTCATCTACCCTGTGTATGGACTGTAGCTTTTCTGCTTTTCAAAGTTCTTTTCTCCACTGCACAGCCAGTGCACTACAGGTACAGGGAAGGCTATTTTACTGGCATTTTCAAATTCTGCTTGTATAAATATGTGTATATATGTATGGAAATATGCATAGATTAAAACAAACAGGAACAGTTAATGTGTTTGGTTCATTTATGTGTTACTGTGGGTAAAAACACAGGTGTAAACTGATGCTTTCTTAGATGAATTCAAGTCAGTTTTCTGCACAGAGCTTGGCCTGAGGTGAAAGTACAAAGGGTATTTTTGATGGTTTCTCTGCTACTGCTGCATTACTCATGATGAGTGACACAAATCATACTCCATTTTTCCTAATTTATTTTTATGCTAGAGCCATTCATTTCCTTGCACAGCTGGGGAGCTGTGCCATACCTCCTTTTGACAAAAAGCACTCTGATGCTTTGCTGTCCAGGAACATTCTTACTGTGTGGTCTCAGGAGCCAAGTGCAAGTGAAGGTGGCAGCACAGATTGTTCCCAGCACAGCTAGTTAATAGATTAAGGAAGGTCACCTTTAATAAACAGATAGAGATCATCCTGGATTTATTCTTCACAGGTAAGCCTAACCACATCAAAAGTTCTGAAGAACAGAGAATATCTCTCAGATACTATAGGATAGGAAACAAAGGACAGTCAGGCAGAGTTCTGGTGTAAGTAGTTGTTCTTGTGTAAGTGTGCTCTTCTAATAACAACGTGCACCATGTCTGAGTTCCCTGATTGCAGATGGTGTCACATTGACAGGAAGCACATATTAATTGATCTCCCTCTCACTGGGAGGTTTATAGGTAATTTTGTTGGGTGTCTTGGGAAAAAGCTTCAGCTTCACTATTGGAAACTTTGCTGTGTTGTTCTGGCCGTGCTTTGGGATCAGCAGAGAGTTCCTGAGAAAGTTCATCCCAAGATGGCACACAAGTCCTGGACACTTGTCCCTCTAATCCACAAGCATTCCTTCATGCTTACTTACCTCTGTCAGGGAAATCAATGCTTACCTGCTGCAACTGCATTTCTCACTCTTTATTTATTCTCTACAGTTCCTACCCTCAGTTCATTAGGAGAGTGTAACAACCTTGCTTTCATTTTACAGACATTGACAACAGTGGCTATGTCAGTGATTATGAACTTCAGGACCTGTTTAAAGAAGCAAGCCTGCCCTTGCCTGGTTACAAAGTCCGGGAGATTGTAGAAAAAATCATTCTGGTGACAGATAGCAACAAGGATGGGAGAATCAACTTCGAGGAATTTGTCTCTGTAAGGCATTCCCTTTGCATGTTCCTCTACTGTCTGCTCCTTGTTGAGAATTAGGATGGAAAATTGAATTAAGTGCTAGAACTAAGCACTATTTTTAGATATAACTGTGACAATTTAGGATATCCTGTATAGTTATTTTACTCTTTCACTCTCCTTTTTAATGGAATAGATCTGATTTGAGAAGGCTGTGAGAGTTGGACTCAGTCCTACTTTGTTTATTTAAAGGTGAGGGGATGGAGAACATGTTGTACATGTACAAGTTGTAGGAGCTGCTGGGCCAGGCCTTGCTCTGACAGAAGAGCAGACAGTGAGACCCCAGCCTGGGAATGCTCTTGGCAGTGCAAACATCATCACTGTGCTTCACCTCTGTGCTGAATGCTCTTTAGTGCTGCAATGAGGGACAGTTGTTCCCTTTCAGTGAACAAATTTCAAAGGTTTGGACTTTTTAAAATGAGGATTACTCACTAGTGGGCTTTAAAGGAAACAAAAGCCTCTCAGGCCGTGGGTTGGTGTGTGTTTGGGGTGATTACTCTCTGCTTTGAATTTGGAGCAGTGCAGCTCATTGCAGCAGGTTGCTTGTTAAACTGGCTATTGATTTTTTAGTTACCACAGCTTAATAAAGGTATTCACTGAGAAATAATATGTGAGACATCCACTATGCAAGTTTCATGGGAGGATTTAAACTAGTTTTACCAGTACAGTACATTTTGTTTAATAACAAAAATCAGTGTAAATATCAAATAAAGGCAGTCAGGTTAACTACTGACTGTAGAGTTCTTACATGAATTAACAGGTAGTTATCTAAAGGTATGATCAATCACAAAATACTCTCTGCTTTTTTAATTTCAGATAATTCAGGAATTGAAAAGTAAAGATGTCAGCAAATCTTTCCGAAAATCAATAAACAAGAAGCAAGGCATTACAGCGATTGGAGGAACATCAGCAATCTCTAGTGAGGGCACACAGCACTCTTATTCAGGTAAGAAAGGATTAAACATGGGCAAATTCTGCATGGAGGAAACTCTCTACATTTGCACTATGGACAAAAACCCAAACAGCTGGAAAATGTTGGTGTTGAAAGCAAATGAACACAGAGTACGTGGGGACAGAGGAGTATGAGCAATAGTTTAGTAGCTGTGTTCAGCTGTTACTGGTCTCATGCTGCACTCAGAGCCAAGCTGGGACTCTGCAAGGGCAAGAGAGGAAAGCAAGCACTGACAGCGTGTAAGGGGAGAAAAATGGCCTCTTTGGTGCTCTTCTAGTAATGGTACTCAAGCTTTTGCCTTCATCACATGCTCATCTACTCTTATTCCTATATTCAGATAAAAATGAATTCTCATTTTCGTTTCCACAGTGTTAATAGCTTAAACTAAACATCCCCTAAGAAACCACCATATATCCTTTGTGGAAAGGCCCCCTCAGCTGTCTCTGCCCCTACAGAACTGTTCACTCCTGCATGGTTTTTGCACAGCCTCTCTCACACTTCAGAAGCTGCTTTTAATATTTGATCTGTTTCTTCCTGCCCCCCTGCTGCGTGTAATTGCAGTGGGTAATTGTGTCTGATTGCACTGCAGCTCCTGTCCAGAGTGTTCCCCACCCTCCAGGCTCGCATTGCTGTCAGCAGTATTACCACTCCTTGGATTGAGTCTGGAATGTGCTGTGGTTCCAGGCTGTGTTAGGATTCCACACCTGAGGAAGGTTCACTTTGTTCAGCCAGAGGTGGCAGTGCCCTGTGTTTCAGGATGGTTCCTACAGCCCCAGCTGCACTTGGTAGATCTCCAAAGCAGGGACTCTGTTCCATCTCAAAGGATGCCTGCAGGGCATGGTAATGGTTTAGACTCCCTTTCATTTCTGGTGGAGAGGAACAGCCCCCAGTGCAGTGCAGTTCACCTGGCCTGGCCTCATCACCCCTCAGTTACCGTGACATGAAGGGTGACGAGAATTTCACGTTTCCCACTGACAGGGGAACAAGGGTAAGCATCAGGTGTGGGTACCTCTCCTTTGCTCCTTGAGGGGAGTGAGGGCAGTCCCACCTGTGCTGTGGGGGATGTGGATACTGAGACCTGACTGCCTGTTATCCCAATAAGCTTTCTTAGATCCACAGTAATAAATTCTGCACTAAATATGAAAGAAAGTTTAAAACTTGTTCAGCTCAGCATCCAGATCACAAAGACCAAAAAGATTGCCAGTCTCTCAGAATGACATGCTGTGCTTTAAAGCAATGGTGTGTAAATTGAGTTGTTGCATGTTTCAGATCAGAAATCCTCCTCTTTTCTTTGTTAATGCTGAGAAGCTGAATTTGAAGTCAGCCATGAGGATGCCTTCCCTATGCTGGCCCTATGGTTTTTCTGTTCTTCAGAAAATCACCAGATATTTAGAGGGTGCAGTAGGAGAAAGATCAATCTGTACTTGCCATTCCTGTGTTCTTTCCCACTGGTGTGATTCTTTTCATACCTGGCCCCTGTGGAGCTCAGGGGTTTTATTGCAGATGAACCTCTTTGACCCAAGTATGATGTTTACTAGTATGTGTTCTTGGATATGATAATCCACTATTTTAATGCTGTCTTGTCTTTCAGAGGAAGAAAAAGTTGCCTTTGTTAATTGGATAAATAAAGCTCTACAAGATGACCCAGACTGTAAGCACCTCCTCCCCATGAACCCATCAGATGCCAGTCTGTTTAAATCCCTCGCAGATGGCATCCTTCTTTGGTGAGTCCAAGGCTGTGGGAACGAAATTAGTCTCAAAGGTTTAAATGCTGATCACTGTGACATGGATTGGAAAACTTCTGACAGGCTTTAACATCGAGATTCCACTCTGAAATATTTCAACCAGTGTGTAAAACGGGGAAAACCTGTTTGCCCATAGAAATGTGATTTTTAGCAAATTTTTGATGTGACTTTATGCATACGTTATGGAAGTGGGTTTCCACTTCAGACTGTAATTATGCACGTCAGATACGTGCAGGCTGTTCATAAAGGAGATGATAATTACGCAGCTCATATAGTCATTAGTGGAAATAATGAGGAAATGTTTCAAATATTTTTAGAAGTCACTAATTATAGTCACTAAGCCATGGAATGGGAGGAACAGAAATGTGAATTAAACCCATGGCAAAACAGAGAGCACGTAGTAGGTGGCTTAACTTCAGTTGGCTGTAGCTCTCTAGTTAGTTAAAGTAGATGACTGGTGTTTCCTCATACACCGTGCTAACAAGGGATTAGCATGTGAGTGTTGATGTGAATTAGTCTGAGGTAAAAGCTACTGTAGAAATGCAGGTGCAGAAATACACTGATTACAGTACAAAATTTGTCAGCAGGGACCATTTAACTGACTTGGGTTTACAGTTTTAATCTTCTCAGGACCTTTTTTTGCCAGTACAGACATGCTCCATTAATTATAAAAGCCAAACGCTCGAGCTTCTTTTAGCAACGTTATCTGGGGCATTCTGAATGAATGTGCAAATATTTAACAGGGAGAGGAGATTCAGAGGATGATGGGGGTTTTTATATCTTGTCATAAGTATTTTGAGCTAGTTGAAAGTGTTAGGAGTTTATAATCAAATAGTGTATTTTCTGAGAAATGAGAATTTGAATAAACTCTTGACTTTTCTTCCTTAGCAAAATGATCAACTTTTCACAACCAGATACAATTGATGAAAGGGCTATTAATAAGAAAAAACTCACTCCTTTCACTATTTCTGTAAGTACTGCATGGACAGGAACTTGCCACAAATGGAAAAGTATTTCTCTGGTTTAGTGACAGTTCTCCTGGAGGAGAAAAAGAATAATTAAAACTTCTATGTAGTAAAAAAATCGTAAAGTGTGACATTCTATTTTCTAATAAACTCTGCTGAATTCTCCTGGTTTTTAGATGATTTACAGGAAAACTTGTATTTTTCAGGTTTTCCCTGGTTCTTTGCATATTCACTATTTTTGTTTTGCTTTACTAAGTACCTGAACAAAATAATTTTAGACTTCTGAGTAGTTCCTCAGTGATCCAAGCTGCAGAAGGTGGTCCACAAATTTTTGTGGGTCCCTATTAAACAGTGTCAGTAATGTTTTCTACTGAATTTTGATAAGATATGAGGTAGTTAACAAAAAGTCTCTGGAGTGCAGTTTTCTATCGAGCTAATGCATTATTTCTTCCAAAGTTTGGTATGAACTAATTCACTAAGAATTACAGCCTCACGAGTTCGTTAACCAGTGATATTCCAAACAGGAAAACCTAAACCTGGCTCTGAACTCAGCATCTGCCATTGGCTGTACGGTTGTCAACATTGGATCCCAGGATCTGCAGGAAGGAAAGCCACACTTGGTGTTAGGACTCCTGTGGCAGATCATTAAAGTCGGCCTTTTTGCTGATATTGAGCTCTCCAGAAATGAAGGTGAGAGCAGTGCCAGGTGCAGCAGTGGCAGCCATTTGGAATCACAGTAGCAATGATTTCAGCTCTCTTTCAAACCTGCTTTTAGCCCTTATTGCCTTGCTAAATGAAGGGGAGGAACTGGACCAGCTGATGAAGCTTTCCCCAGAGGACCTCCTGCTGCGCTGGGTGAATTACCACCTGGCCAACGCAGGCTGGCAGAGAATCAGCAACTTCAGCCAGGACATCAAGGTATGGAGTTATTGCTCTGCTAATGAAACATAATGCTATTAAAACACACTGTGCATAAAAACAAATCAGATCAGAAGAATTTAGATACAATAATGATCTGCTTTTCCTAGCTGTGGGTTCACCCTGCACTGAAAGAGCATTATTTTTCATCTCTCACATCCTGTTCAGTTGCTCATCCTGGCACATCCCAACGGGGACACTTCCAACACACTCATATTCAGGGAAGTTCCAATGTTCTGAGGTGCTGATTAGAGTTCTTTAGGACAATTTGCACTACATTTTTAGTTAACTAATTGCCAGCCACTGCTTTGCTGGTGTGCCAGGGGACTGACACGGGGGCTGGCACAGGGTGTGCTGGTTCCTCGGGCAGCTGGCAGGGCTGCACAGTTCTCTCTTCAGCCACTCTGCATCAGGGTGCAGGGCTCTGTGGTAGCACAGCTGAAGAGAGAAAACACCAACTTTTTACAACTAAAAACAAAGGAGGAAGATTCCCTAAGGTGACAAAACCTCCTGTCACTGAAGAAAACCATGTCATTAATTGCTAGGTAGGTATTTTGAAAGGCCACCAAGAAAGTTGTTATTTAATTTCATATAAATTAATGCTTTATATGAAAACTGCTACTGTGGTAAAAATATATGCTGTTTAAGAGAAGTATTAAATAATGCTAAAACTCTTAGGATTTTATTTTTTCTCCTGGTTTCCTACTGGGGCAGGGGGACCCCAGAAGCACACTGAAAACTGCATCAAATTCATGTAATTTCTCCTGTCACTGTAGATTCATCCCAGAAGGGCCACCTTGCTCTCCTTCTTTAATTTCCATTACCTCATTGATTAAGAAGAGAAATTTTTATAAACCAGTCTATTTTATAAGGACAGTAAAGGAGTAAAATACCAACCCTGAATATAAGATGCAAGTTGGGTATTTTTCTATATAAATTTGCCCTGAATATCTGAATTTCAACAGTCTAGTTAATATTCAGCAGAATAAATTGTGAATTAGCATTGTCCAGTATAATTAGCAGACATTCCTTTCTTCTGTCATCTAGCCTAAGTCAGTTCTGTGTGAAATAGTGTAGTAAAATGGCTGTATGACCTCATCCAGGTTCACTGAAATGAGGGTGCTGTATTTTTAACTTATGTGGCTTTTGACTATTGGAGCAATAAATGGCTAGGAGAGGCTGCATTACTTGCTGCTTTTTAATTGTTAAATATGACACTGCTTGGTTTAGGATTCAAGAGCATACTACCATCTGTTAAATCAGATCGCACCCAAAGGAGATGACATCGACCAACTGCCCATTCAAATTGACTTCTCAGGATTTCAGGTAAGCACCCAGACATGGAAAAATAGACTGGAATTATCTGAGACCTCTGTGTGTGTCCAGCATCCTGGTTACCAACCTGGTTACCAGACTGCCCCTGAGGCTTCTCTTGTTTTCCAACACGTGCAAGAACTCCGATTGCTCAGCGTTACAAAGGCTGAAATGGGCAAATTTTACAAATTTTACAAATATTACAACATCCTGCTCAGTCTTCCTCTTCTGGAATTCAGATGAGGAAAAAGAGTAGACTCCCCAAACCTTGTGATCCTTCCTCAAACCTTCAGAAACAACATGTGAGCCCCTCCAATAACCAGCAGGACAGCGTGGCACCCATCAAGCCTGACCTTGTAAAGGGACAGATTTCCTACAGTTCATATGATCATGTTCTGTAATGAGTTACAAACCTTTATACTGCTAATGAAGACCAATGAACAAAACACACAGGCTGCTAACTTCTGATTCAGAGGCAAAAATATTAAAAGGAAGGCAAGTCTGAAGCATTCAAACTTTCACTGAGGATTCTGGGCATCATCTGTAATTACTGTGCTTGAGAATATCGGTTTAAAGCAGTGATGGTGAACCTTTGGCAGAGTATGTAATACAGGAATCAACAGTCTGGAAATGGAAATACAATCACTACAGTTCTGGCTGCAGTTTCTGGGATTCATGAGGAATGATGAAGGACGGAAAAAAAGGTGTCACCTCATCAGGAAGAGGTAGCTCAGGCATTGAGGAATGAGGGAGGAACTGCCATGGGTCATTTCAAGACTGTCCTACCTGAAGATCCAGTAAAAAAATGAAAATGTGCTGGTACTTACTGCAAATTAACTGTTGTTTGTTTGTTTGTTTCTTTCTCTTTTAGGATAAAAATGACCTGAGGAGGGCTGAACACATGCTCCAACAGGCAGATAAACTGGGCTGCAGGCAGTTTGTAACTCCAGCTGATGTGGTTGCAGGCAACCCTAAACTCAATTTAGCTTTTGTTGCAAATCTCTTTAACACCTACCCAGCCCTACACAAGCCTGACAATTCATCTTACGATCTCAATTTATTAGAAGGTACTCAACTTACTAAGCATACAGAAGATAAGAATATTAGTGATTTATAATGAAGTATTCCTCCTAGGTTGTGATGTAGGATCCCTGTGTGATGGTGCCTGTCTGTTCTCACTAGCAATCAATATAAGCCTCGCTAGAAGTGCCTGTTGCTGTGTAAATTGTTCCCTTGTGTTAGCCTGACCAAGTGGTTATTCCTAAACAACCTTCTATTATTCATTTACAGGATCAAAAGCTGTCCTCCTGCTTTCCTTCCAGTTTCCTGTGCTTCTTTCCATGCTGTTTCTATTTTAGCTGATGTACAAATTCTAGCTTTGCCCAATTTGCAGTGCCATACTGTGCAGCCTGTGGGAACAAGTGAAGCCAGCAGCACGTGCACTCAGTTAACCAGCACTGCAAACTCGATGCTCTGATTCACACACTCCTTCTCAGCTCTGAAACACTCCCTTTTGATTCTAATTAACTTTATGTAGGTGCTACTGGCTTAACTTATTTCCACAGCAACTGTAATAGTCTTTTAAAGTGCTTTTCCCATCCTTCATTGCTGTATGTTTGTGTGTGTTTGTTTGTTGCCTTTTAAGGCAGGAAATATTTTTTTAAAAAGGCTTCTGTATCAACAATCGATTTTAATGTGTTGCATCGACAGCCTGTAGAGACCCTCTTGTGTCAGGGAGCTTGGCCTTTAACTGCAGTTCAGGTCTCTAATGCTGGAGATGAAGGGATAATTGGTAACAGGCTGTGGCTGCTGCCCTTGCTGTGGACCAGCTAATCCAGGATAATGGAATGGCTCCTGCCAGTGTGTTCCCAGTTGTTCACTGATCTCAAAGGAATGTGAGAATCAGGGGTGCTGCACTCGGGAGAATCCTCAGCAATGCTCACATATTCCTCTGCACTGCCTTCTCCTGCCTTCCTCTTACTGTTCCTATCAGGTTTCCTTTCCATCTAGGTGAGTCCATCTTCCTTTGCTCCTGTTTTTTCACGGTTTGTCTGCGCTGCTGCATCCCTGTGTCCCAGATCTCTGTCCCTCAGAGCACTCCTGTGCCAGGCTCCCTGCTCTTGTGGCTCCAGCTGGTGCCAGCTGTGCCAGAGGTGTGAGAGCACAGTGCTCCCTTTCCAGCTGGGATGTCCCCAGTCACTGCAGTCCCTGCTGGCCACCACAGACCATTAAAGGAAAGGTCTGGGCTTCCCCTGCTGCAATTTTATTAGAAATGGGTGCTCTTGCAAATTTACAGGAGCTGTGTGGAGGTGGAATATGTTCAGCTTCTGTGTTCTGAAGACAAAGTTGCTGGTGTGATTCCAAATACTGAAAACTTGGACAAATTTGGAAGTTTTCATTGGCACAGCAAAAAAAAAAGAAACAACAAGTAGTTTCTGGACTTTCTTGAAATAGTTACATGAGATCAAATCTCAACTAAAACAGTTGTAAAAACTTACAGTCACCTGAATGCTATACTGTGATTTTGTAATGGTAAATACTGGCCAAAATTAACTTACTATTTGTAGTATATATTTTAGAGATGGGTAATCATGCCAGTGCTATCTGTTCAAAGGCAAGTAGATGACTCTTCTTTGCCCCCAAATAATAACTCCTGTGGTGTCATGTAGACCTAAACCATCAAAAGAGTTATTTTAGCCAAAAGACAATGTTGTTAATGTGTTTTTTTCTGTTAATATGTTTTTATTTTCTTTCCATAAAATCCTGTGTTTTTACTGTTGTTTTCTCAAGGTAGTGATGTAAAATATGACATTAATTTCTTTATAGTTTCATCATAGATTGTCTGTTGAAATCTGACTCATAATTTATAATGCTTTCCTGTTTTGCTTCATGAAATGCAGATTTGACCCCTCCTAATGTAGGTACTGTATTTAGTACTTTTCTGTACTCCATAAAAGTGTTTATTCTGCAATTTTTCTTCTTTTTTTTTCTTTTTTCTTTTCCTAGTGTTTAATCATCTCTGTCCTTTTCTGGTTGATTTTTTGCATTGTTCTTACCTGTTTCTATTGTTTTAATATGCCGTCAAAAGTAAAAGAGAAGGAAAAACCCCCAGGTCTGATGCACATAAAATGGGGGCAGGAGTGGCAGTGAGTCGAGTGCCACACAGTTATTGCAGTGGGTTTAGCCAGTAAGGGATGTCACCCACGTGTGGGTGAGTAGAGCTTTCTGAAAGTCTTCATTTTCCTGCAGAAATTCCATCTTTTCAGTGCCTGCTCCACCCAAAGGGTACGATGTAGCAGTTCTCCTGAGTTTCTGAGAATGAATTCTGTGCATTAACTGCCATCTGCCCTGCTAATACTCAACAAGCCTGGTGATGTGCACTTACATGTGGAGAGTGTATCCCTCAGGAATACTGACACAACCAAATGAACACCCGACACTGCGTGGGTGGAGGGGACAGTCCTGACTTCACTTAAAGCACAACCTTTGCATGTTGCTCCAGTTCTGAGGAACCTCTTGCTTGTGGGGAAAGCAGTTGAGGTCGTACAGAAAGCTGAGCTCGTGGGGGAGGAAGAGGAGGGAGCTGTGTCCACCCCACCCACCTTTTCTCCAGTGTCGGTGTCCTCTGCCGTGGCTTGGATCGCTGCAGCCTCCATGGCTGTTACCCTGGGTTAACTGCTCCCCTCAGGCTGGCTGAATTCACAGTGCAGTGGCATCTTGAGCTCTGTTATCTTCCAGATATTTGGAGCTCTTTGGATTCTTGACCCCCTTGCTATGTCTGCTCCCCACTCAGTTCCACAGTGTAGTGATCTCAAAGAAAGAGATGGCAACAAATATAAAGGATACTACCAAATTTGCTCCTCTCTCTTTTGTGTAGCTCTGCCCCCTTTCTGCAGTTTTCCAATGATTTTGGCTATCTGCTGCACCACTCAGCAGAAGATATGCTCCTGATAGGATCACAAGGTATATTTTGAATAAAAGAATAGAGAGAAAAAAATTGATCAGTTCTCAGCCACCTGGAAAACTTACAAACGCTTCTGTGTTGCATGCTAAAGGGATTTGTTTAGAGTGGCATATTAAATGTAGGATGCTGGGGTTAGTTCCTGGATTCCCACTGTCCAAAAAGGTTCAGCCCAACTTGCATGCTGGTGCTCCTGCTTGGCTGCTCTGGGTTCTTTCAGCAGTGTTAAGCATGCCTTGTAAACTCTGAGTGCAGTTGCTGAGTATCTGTTTCTGTAGCTCTGCTCTTCAGTGAGAGTTCATGAAATGACCCTGGTGCTGTCCTCGCACTGGACAAGTGTTCTGAAAGCACTTGGCAGTCAGTACTTCAGGTACTGCTGCAAATGAACTCAAAGCTTAGTAACCCTAAACACTTCCAAAAATAAAGCAGAAGGTACTTGCAAAATACTATAATCTCTAAAGATACTCTTTAGAAACTTAAATTATATGTCATTCTTGAGTTGTGATTGTTATTTTTTTTAAATGGGAAAACTGATATTTTTAAAGCTTTGTCACAAAATGTGATTGTTCTTTTAAATTTTAATATGGGAAGAAATATGAGACACAAAGCTGACTGATGAACTTGTAGAAGAGTAGTTTTCCTTATTTCAGCATATATTCATCAGTAACTCTGGTTATTTTTACAAGTAAATATTTGAAACAAACACTAGTTCAAATTGCATATGAAAAAACCTCGTAATTTAGAGAATGTGTCAGTAGGATGAATATAATCTATTTCATAATTACAGGAGAGTAACTGGTAAGCTGGCTGAAACTTTTTAAATCACATCTATTCTGTTAAAAATTGTAAACTACAGCTGAAATTTCTGAAGCCCAGAGCTTTTTGTATAACAGGGTAAGAGACCTCAATTAAAACTGTAACCTCTATCTAAAAATCAATGTTATGACAACGTTATGCATGGAAAAATAATATTAAAGAGGTTTTCTTTCTCGTCTAGTGATAAATACATGTTTACACAGTAGTTTCATTTTGCAAAAACATTGATTACTGTGTAGTCAGCCTAGAACTGCAGCCCTAAATGAGACAGTGGTCATGCTGTATAAACCTCATCAGACAAACCTGGTAGCATTGACCTCTAAGGAGCAAATGAGAACAGCAGAGAAAAATCTTACTGAGGTATTTGTGCTTCAGTCCAGACAAATCTGTTCTTTCACTGTTTGGGGAGCTTTTCTCCCTCCTCACTGTCCTGCTTTCTTAACTGTGGGAATGAAGTGATGAGGTTATTCCAAGCTCACATATTCAGGCAAAATATTTTCTTACATGTGCTTCTTTGCTGGAAGAGAAAACAGCTTAAAGCAGCACTGATTCCCAGGCAGCTGGCCACAAAGACATTGTTAACATTTAGGGAGTGTTGTGTATAGGAAATCAATGTATTATTGCAAGCTGTAACTTCATAGAGAAAGTTGGTTTAGGACTCATGGTGGCAAGGGATAAAAGCGATCTAAGGCAGGAAAGGGAAGGTTGGGTTTTACTTCCTAATTACTTTTCTGCAGTTCCCATAAGCAGAATTGCTGTTAAAACTGTGAGGATAACTGACCCCCTTGACAGCTTCACAAATTTAACCAATACCTCACTGCCTTGCTAAGTCTCCAGTGCTAAAAACTAAAAAAAGTGAATTTTGTTGCTTTTGGGAGGCCCCTCACAAATTAACACTGGCAGCTTCTGTGTGGAGAGAGTCAAGCTGTAGTGTCAGCAATTGCCATAAGTGTGTTAGTACTAACTTTTAATAAAAAGATGCCATTTCTAATAGAGTTAACCATACTGTTGAATGCAATTGTCACTCTAATTTTAGTTTTAGGAAATTATTATTAATCATCACTGTGTTCTTCACGATACATTAATTACGTAAAATATAACAAAAGAAGTCTATTTTATTTCATCAAATTGCATTTACTCAGAAAAGTGTAGCCAAACAGTACTCCCTGTAGTGCCTCTGTGCCTGTGGGCAGAATGAAGGGAGTCTGAGTGGGACAGGATTGCCTCATGACACTGTCAGGGAAAGTGGGAACTCATTTCGGGGAGGGAGGGGGGTGTGAGGATTAGGAGAGCCATTTAAACATTGCTTATTAAAGTGTTTCCTCCAATAATTTATTGAGAGTTGTATTTGTCACCATAGGAGAAAGTAAGGAAGAAAGGACTTTCAGAAACTGGATGAATTCCCTGGGTGTAAGCCCGTATGTTAATCATTTGTACAGGTAAGGGTTTTTAAAAACAATTAGCTGACTTTCCTTGGATGACAGGGCAAGAAACAAGGGGAGGAGAGAGAGAAGTTGTATTTCTACCAGAACAGTGATTTCCAGGTTTCCAGACAGTGTGATGGGAACTTCAAACTAATCTGTAGAACCACATTAAGTAGTATGATACTCAAATACTGCAGTCATCACCTAGGAATACTGGAAAACCTAAGAAGTGTTTTTATGTTGTCCCCTCATGCATTTGTACTTTGAATTATGTTTTTTTAGAGGTTGAGATAATTGTGTTTTATGAGGCATGGGTTTTTTCTCAATAGACTGTAAGGAGCAGTGCAGAGTGGGGCATTCCCTCAGAGGAAGGGCTTTTATAACATGCTTTTTAGATGCTTCTGGTCACTCTCAAATTGTGCCAGCAGTTGATTCAGATCTTGTCAATTAAAGATGAGACAGAGAGAGCAACTGGGAGCATCTGCTTGCATGTGTATTTGCTGTTGGGTTTTGTTGTGTTTCTTCTCTGACCTCTGTAAAGTGATCTGTAGGGAGCTTAACGTGGAGAATTGCACTCAGTAAGTTACTGCTCAAGGGGATTAGCAGGAATGCAGTATATAATGGGAAAATAATACTTTTTTCACAAGATAAGTACCTTGGATTTGATTATTCTTTAACAAAATACATCTGAAGGCACAGATAAAGAACAGTGTTTAACATTTGGGAAAGTCCTGAGGAAACTAAAACTAGATCAATAAATTAAAACTCTTTAGCAGCTATTTTGTCTGTGCTCACTGTATGAAAGCAATTATTTAACTGAAGTTGGTAAAGCCTATGGCTGAACTTACTTCATGAAGATTTGTGAAAATAATAAAATTAAATGCAGAATTTTATGTATTTAGTTGCAGAAATCAAGAAATAGAATATAATATTCTCTACAGAATGACACCCATTCTATTTAAATGTCTGGGGTTTTTTCAGCAACCTAATTACAACTTTGATCTCAAGTATGTACTTCCATACTCAACATGAGCTTTTGTGCCTCAAAACGTTGTTTTCCTCTTTTAGCGACCTTTCTGATGCTTTAATCATCTTCCAACTGTATGACCTGACTCGTGTGCCGGTTGACTGGAACCACGTGAACAAACCCCCCTACTCGCTGCTGGGTGGGAACATGAAGAAGGTGGGTAGGAGCCCACCCCAAAGCTGCACTGCCTGCTGTGTGCGGAGCATGGGCTGCGTTGGCTGCACTTGTGTGCTACTGGGACAGTCCTGCAGGGGAAAACCAGATGTTATCCCAAGGGAAAAAGAGTAGTTACAGCGTGTATCACCTCATAAACGTGCACACCTTTTGGCAGTGTTTCATTTACAGGCTGGTTTGGATATGTAAGTGTGCCAGGTCTGACACAGCGATCCTGTTGCTGCTCCTGTCCCAGGAGGGGTTTCCTCACAGCTGCCCAGAGCATTTGTGCCACACTTGCAGAATCCAAGTTTGCTGTTTGTTTTGTGGCCATAGAGAATAAAAATTACTATCTAAGTATTTTTTAAGTAATTTTTAAAGTAATTATTTAAGTAATTAAGTATTTGTTTAAGTAATTTTTCCAAGTATATAGTTTTGATATAACTATATTTTAATTCACTGTCTTAGTGAAAGTGAACTTGTTTTTTTGCAAATGTGGGAAAAATCCCATCATTTGAATATTGTACACTTGCATTTATAGCAAAAACTGTGTTATTTTAATCACGGTGCAGGTAGACTAGAAATCTTTCTCTAGCTTCAAATCTCACCACAGGTAACAGTAAGCCAAGGTTATTCAAAATACACGTAGATGATAGATCTGTATTGCAGAAATAATGAGGTGTTTTCATCATTTGCACACAACGTTTCTCTTTAGATTGAGAATTGCAATTATGCAGTGGAACTTGGGAAGGCAAAAGCCAAATTCTCCCTGGTTGGTATTGCTGGACACGATCTAAATGAGGGAAATCCAACTCTGACTTTGGCTTTGGTCTGGCAGCTGATGAGAAGGTAAGTTGGGCATAATTTATGATAAATAAATATAAATAAATGATAAATAAATAAAATAAAAAATGTTCTGTGCACGTGTATATGTGTTGCATTTCAAGGCAAATTAAGGCCAGTGGTCAGTTCACCCAACAGGTATTTTAGAGAGCAAATCTTTCCTGTTTGAAGAGTTGGGTTCTAGCACTCATTTTAACCTGGGCTCTTGTTCTCTTTACTGAAGGTACACTTTGAATGTGCTCTCAGACCTTGGAGAGGGGGAAAAAGTAACTGATGAAATTATTATTAAGTGGGTGAATCAGACACTTGCAAAAGCAGATAAGAAGGCTTCAATTACAAGTTTCAAGGTAATCAGATTTATTTACTCTTCTGTTCATATACAGTCACACCTGGGATTTTTAACCTGGTCTGTTAGCAGTTTGGCTTTAACGGTGGCTCTCCCATCAGCTGGCATAATTCTTTAAGGAAGTGTTTCTGACAGTCTGTGAATCCTCAAAAGTATTTTACTAATCTATTAATAAGAAAAGGAAATTTTAATAGCTGCAGTCAGATAGAAATCAAAAAACCCAACAACCAAAAAAAAAAAAATTAAACTTTCAAAGGGGCTTCTGCCTGAAGTTCCCGATGTTTGGGCATGGCATGTTGTATATCTTTCCAGTTTTTAGATACAGGCACATGCTTGTGCAGGCATGAAAAACAATTTTGGCAATGCTGGGGGCAGCTCAGTACTTTCCTGACAGCTGGTTAAAAAGATGTTCTCAGTGTGGCAGAGCCAGGAGAGGGAGCTCAAGGTAAGCAGTGACACCTCGTGCCTTGCTGGGCACCGCCGATGTGCAGCAGGGCTGTACCAACCGGGAGCTGTGCCAACCGGGAGCTGTGCCCGTGCAGCAAAAACCAGGAACAGACTGATAAAGGAAGTTTTCCTTCCACGTTGTTAAAGTGTCAAACGTGAAGGAAGCCGTGTGTGTGCCAGGTGTGTTACACTGTGTGAGTCTCTAGAAATGGCAGATTGATGATTGCACCTGCATGCAAATGGAACATTCTCATCCAGGCTCACTGTATCATCTGCAGCAGTTATGTGGGTGATTCACAACAGGGACATGAGCTAAATATTTGAGAGCTCACTGTGTTAGGAACTTTATATTAGGTAAGCATTATTAGGCAAAAGATAATATAATTTGTAGAGCAAAATATTTCATTTTCACTCTAGGAGGCAACTTAGGTCTTTTCCTAAGAGAGATTGCTGCTTCTCTTATTTCTGCATAAATTGTAATATTGTTGGTATTAAATAAATGAAAGTCTGAAAGGAATCTGTCCCACTACCTTGCTTTTGGTATGCCTGTGTTTCTCGTGGGACACAGCTCGTTTTTAAGGTCATTCAGCTGGTGTTTTTAAGATAATTCAACTGACACTTGACCAATAAAGATAAGGAGGTGCTGCTGTAAAGTGACATTATTCAATATTCCTTTTTTTACTACTCATTCTTCTACAATATTCACGTATATATCTGTCTGTCACTCTTTGGATTTTGGCATTACTGTGGCAAACAGATAGTAGGGAATGCAGAAGTGCCTGATCCTTCACTGTGGACTGTGAAAGCCAAGTGCTGTTGACATCAAATAAATTTAAACCATTGGTGTAATAACATCAGCACAGTGAACCTTGTAATTCTAATTGCAGAAAAGAACATTAGATCTCATAAAGGGTGAGGAAAACCTTCACGCCATAGAGGAACAAAACAGGCCTCTGTCTTTCAGTATGTATGCAATATGTGCTGTAGGGTTTTATGCATTGTGAAGATGGAATAATCAAAGCAAATTCCTTCAATTAATCTTTGAGTCTTTTTCTTTTAGGACAAATCAATTAGCACTAGTTTACCTGTCCTAGATTTAATAGATGCCATTGCCCCAAAAGCAGTTCGTCCAGAAATGGTCAAGAGGGAAGACCTTTCTTACCAAGACAAATTGAATAATGCCAAGTAAGTTCTAAATGAATGCATTCTATTTTCCTGAGGTGCCAGAAATGCATGAAATCATGGTGTAATTAGCGATTTACTGATTTATTAACAGAGAAAAATTACACTAATATTAAGTGATTTGTTTCAAATAGAATATATTATAAATCCTAACATTACTGAGTTATTTTTCTAGCATATCTAAACTATGAACTCAAATTCACAGGTGATATGACCTGCCACCACTGCACTGCAGTTGGTTTCTGAATAGCCCACCATAACCCTTATTGGTTTGGGCAAAAATAAATGCTTTGATAGCCAGTAGGGAAACATCTGCCAGTGGAATTGCTGATACATGCTCTCTTCACAATAACCTCCATTTTCTAGTAGAGCCCAAGCAGTGCCTGAACAGATGTGTCCCACTGTTCAAATCTGGTTCTGTTGCTGTGAACAGGTCAGAGGTGCCAGCCCAGTGACAGTGTTTGTTTTGTCCCGTTCTCAAGGTACGCCATTTCGGTCGCTCGAAAAATCGGTGCTCGTATTTATGCTCTCCCGGATGACCTGGTGGAAGTGAAGCCAAAAATGGTGATGACGGTGTTTGCATGTTTGATGGGAAGGGGACTGAACAGAATAAAATAACGCAGACGTGTAATATAAACTTTCTGCCACGTTACACACGATGAATGCCTCGCAGTTTACAGAGTTCTGAAGCTTAGTATGAGATGAGAAAAACTGTATGCACAAATATACTCATCAATTACCTTTTAATAATGTGTTTATATTAGTTAATTTTATTCCATTTCATAACACCTGGATTATTTATGGCTAATACTGTTTTCAGAACCCATTCATTACCAACTTAACATCATAGATTTGTACTGCTTGGAGAAAACCCTACCACATTAATCAAGCTTCATTTGTATTAGTTTTCATAGCGTTGCAAGAATCTGCATCATTTTACACGTGTTATTTCAGGACCAATCGCGAAACACTGTTTGATTTTTGTGGGTGTTACTTACACATAGTCATACCCGTTCCGAGGTGCATTCCAATCCCCTTGTATTACTCCAAACTGCACAGAAGTTCTAAGTTATCATCCTTGCCTTATTCTTGGAGAGCTTCACTCCTGTTGGAGACAATGAGAGTCTTGTCATTGACTTCAGGGAGAGCAAGTGAAGGCCTGTGATAATGTCTGGAAACTAATGAATACCGATGAAGCTGATGAAACTTTTTTTTGTGGGAATAATCTTTAAAAAAATGTAGTAGTTCTGTTCTGCAGGAACTCTTACAGTCTGTGTCATATGAAAAAACCAGCACTAGAAGGCAGAAATGTCATGTCATCATTAGGTCTGCGTATGTGTTAAGTTTTGCAGTTGGACTAAACACCTGTTGGTTGGGTTTTTTTAATTTTTCATAAAATATACTGTATCAAGAAAACAATAAAGAGCTGGCTAGTCCAGTTTGGGGCTTCATGTTACTGTATGCATTTCCTTACAGATCACTCCTCTGATTTTCCTAAATTGTATATCATGGGTGCAGAGGTTTTGTGTAGAAAGACTGCTGCATTGTCTGGATGAGATGAAGTCCATCATTATTTTCTTAGCAGTTTTAAAGTATGTATTTGTACTCCTTTCTCTACAGCTGTAAATTTTCACTTTCTGGAGCTGAACAGTTAATAAAGTTGTTACCAGAAGCCAAACACTAAGAAACTAAATTAAAATGACAGAGGTGTTTTTAAAGTATGAAGCTGCTGCTTTCTCTCAGTTCCTGAAACCAGTTCAAAGTGTGGCAAAACCCAAGGATCATGATGAGTAAACACCTGTACTAAGCTTTACATCTTCAGTATCTTGCACACAACATCTCAACAGTAAGAGATGCATCCGTTCAGTTTCTGTTATGTGAGAAGATAAGTGGTACTTGAGAAAATTAAGTGCTTGGATTTTTCACTGTTTACTCGTTTGTATTGTTTGGACAAGATTTGATAGCTACTTTGTTTCCATTACCAGATCCAGAGTTTTGTACAGAGTTTGAATTCTTTGCCCTGTTCTGGGATCCAAATCAGCCTCGGTCCTCATTCAGGATAGGCTAAAGGGAGACTTACTTAGTGTCTATCCCACAAGAATAAATGATCTTTTTGTAAGATATACAATCCTGAAGTACTGTATTTACCTGCCCAGGAATGTGGTATCTTACTCTGTAAGGGCCAGTATTGCCTGTTTAGTATAAACAATTGCTGAAGTGTTTTGTTCCCCTTGGGGAAAAAAAGAATTGCTACAATTACATGGCTCATTATTGTACTTGATCTCATTGAAAGGGGTTTCACGGGCAAGCAGAAGATGCTGGGGTGAGCAGGGCTGCAGCTGCTGTAGCAGCTGGGATAAGAGAGATGCAGGAAGGACAGGGAGTGCTGGAGTGGGCCCAGAGAAGGGCAGTGAAGGTGGTGAAGGGGCTGGAGCACAGGTCTGAGGAGGAGCGGGGCGTGTGGGGCTGCAGGAGGCTCAGGGGGACCTCACTGCTCTGTACAGCTCCCTGAAGGACGGGGGTCCCGGCCTCTTCTCCCACGCAACAGCAACAGGACAAGAGGACACGGCCTCAAGCTGCACCTGGGGAGGTTTAGGCTGCTCATGGAGAATTTGTTCACAGAAGTGTGAGCGGGCTGCCCGGGGAGGTGAGGGGTTCACTGTACCTGGAGGTGCTTAAAGACTGGAAGAGGCGCTCCGGTGCCGTGGTGTTGTTGGCATGGTGATGTGGGGCCATAAGTTGGACTCGATGAGTTCAGAGGTCTTTTCCAACCTAACTGACCGCGTGATTCTCTGAGGGAAAACGCGCACACCTGAGGGCGATCAAGCGGCGGGCGCGGCGCGTGCTCCCCGTGCCTCCCTTTGAGGCGGGGCGCGAGCCCCTCAGCGCTGCCGTGAGGAAGGGGGCCGGGGTCCCGGGCCCTCAGCGCTGCCGTGAGGGAAGGGAGCCGGGGTCCCAGGCCCCTCAGCGCTGCCGTGAGGAAGGGGCGCCGGGGGGTTCCGGGCCCCTCAGCGCTGCCGTGAGGGAAGGGGGGCCGGGGGCGTGGGCCCCTCAGCGCTGCCGTGAGGGAAGGGGGGCCGGGGGGTCCCGGGCCCCTCAGCGCTGCCGTGAGGGAAGGGGGCCCGGGGGGTTCCGGGCCCCTCAGCGCTGCCGTGAGGAAGGGGGCCGGGGCCCTCAGCGCTGCCGTGAGGGAAGGGGGGCCGGGGTCGCGGGCGGTGAGACCCCCGTGCAGGGGCGCTCCCCGGGGCCGCAGCCCCCGCTCCGCCCGCCTTCAGCGCTGCCCTCAGCGCGGAGCCTGCGCAGTGCGGCGGGGAGCGGCCTCCCTGCCCTGCCCTGCCCGGCCCTGCCCGGCCCGGCCCCGAGCCCGCCGCCCGCGGGGTGACCGGGGTGCCGCCGCCCCGCTCCCCGCGGGGCCCGTGGGCAGTGGGGGCCGTGCCAGCGCCCGCATGGGCCTGGCTGAGCCATGGCCGCCCTGTACCAGAGCGCGGACCCGTCCGCCTCGGCCTCGCCCAACAAGCTGCTGGCGCTGAAGGACGTGCGGCAGGTGAAGGAGGAGACCACGCTGGACGAGAAGCTTTTTCTGCTGGCCTGCGACAAAGGTACCGGGCCGGGCCCCCTTCCCCCGCGAGGCCTGGGCAGCTCGCCCCGAGGGCCCGAACCCCCCCGCCGGCCGGGGCCGGGCCGGGGTCAGCCCCGCCGTGGCCGCGCCTCTTGCCGGGGCGATGGGACCCCCGAGCGGGCCCGGCCCCGCCGCCTCCCGCTGTCCCAGAGCCGGCGGCCCCGGCCCCTTCTGCCGGGAAGCAACTCCTGAGGGAGTTCGGTTTGTGCCGGGGGAATTCATGAGGTATTTATTTGCTGCGTTCGCTGTTAAAAGAGCCTGTGCGTGTGGAGCCGCTGTAAAATCGGGGCTTATCTGGACATCCCCGGCATAAGCGCGACCGGTATCCTGCGATTTGTACCCGTGGTTGTGGACGGGTAGAGATTTTCCTTTCTAAAATATGCTTCTTTATGCCTATATTTAGTTGCCCTTGAGTAGAAATGTGTTCTTGAGTCAAACGGATCTTAACACATCTGAAATGCTGGATTCCGAGGTCGGGTTTCGCTGCTGTGCTGCAGGGCCCTGCGTGCTTGTTCACAGGTTCTGGGGGCTTGGCATCTGTGCTGACCCTGAGTTCAGGTTTGCTCGCACCCGGGGCAGTATTTCTGCGGTGGCATCAGCCAGCGAGCTCAGGAGCTGTGCTCTGGGGCTCTCGGGGCTTGCTGGTACACAGCCCCTGAAGTCTGTCCCGAACATCGGGCGAAGCCACAGCTTGCTCTCTTTAAGTATAAGCAGGGGTTGAGCGAACTAAAATGATGCACGATAAAAAATGTAAAAAACCCCAGTTGTCTGTATAACAGCTGGTTCAGTGCTCTTGCAGGCTCTGTATGTATTTTACTGCACATAGAAGTATTCTATGTATATTTCTGTAAATATTCTACACCAAGTTCTGTTTTGGTTGCGGTCTTCTATGTTGCAAAATAATTGGTCTACCCTAGAGACAGTTTTGAAAGCTGCCCATGCCTTTTTGTGTGTTTGGAACTAAGGGGGTGGATAAAGTACATGTCTGTTGCTTTCCTGAAAAGACATAAATCTTTAGTTTTCTGCCTGCTTATCTGCCTTGACTTCGTGCTTGTCTGATGCACTCAGTGTCTGTTGTCAGGTATGGAATATTGTCTCATTTGTGGGTAGCTGCTACTTAAAATGTTCGATGATACGAAGTGATACCCATGTGTTACTTGTGCAGGTGACTATTACATGGTTAAGAAACTCTTAGAGGAAAACAGCTCGGGGGAAATGAACATAAATTGTGTGGATGTGCTTGGACGAAATGCTGTTACCATAACCATTGAAAATGAAAACTTGGACATTCTACAGCTCCTTCTGGATTATGGCTGCCAGGTATACAACACATGTTACTGGAAATTTTCTCTGTTAATCTGTGAGAATTTGGAAGGGAATACAATCTGCCTTTATAGGCAGTTATAATTCTTTTTCCATTTAGTAATTGCTCAAGTGGGGTTTTTTCACAAAAAATTACTTTTCTGTAAGTATATGTAAATGTATTTTCAATGATATGAACAAGTCTGAATTTTATTTTAAATATTATTCCTGTTGCAGATAAAATGCACACGTTATCTTTAAGCAAAATAAACAGTGTATAGTCAGAGTGCATCATATTAGAAAGTGTAAAATGCAGATATCCCTTTCGCTGTGGAGTATAGTAACTTTTTAAATGGTAACACGGAAAAATGCACATTATATTAGCTGATTTTAAGTTAAGACAAATGTGCATTTCTGCGAGTGCTTTCTTTTTAAAATTGATCTGTGCTTGACGGCAGGGCAGTTCCCTGCCAGCAGGATGCAGCATCTGTGCTGCTGCTGGGAGACTGGGAGCTATGATGGCTGAAGTATGAAAGACAGGGCGAAGTAGCATCTCTTCCTACATTGACTTGATATTGGGCATGAATAAAACAACAAACTTTCAGCTCCCTGAATCAGCGGCAATAATAAAAACTGTGTCTTTGTCTTTTATTTTTTAAAGTAAAAATTCGAAATTTTGGATGTGAATTAAAAAGAGTAATGTCAGCTGTAGGGAAAATGAAAAGCTGCTTAGCTCAGCTTAGGAGGAGTTGCAGAAGGAGTTACCAGCCAAGAAGAAAAAGCTACTACAGAATGGAGTTTGTTCTTTTGCTGTTTGTGCAGTGAAACAAATTGCCAGTGATGCTCTGTGAACTCCTGGAAGGACAGCCTGCATTTGTGTCCTGATGATAGGCACAGTGATAATGCAGAACATTGTTTAAGTGCTTGAAATATAGATTTAAAATAATATATTAAAAAATGCAGTTTGCCTTGCATTGGACTCTTTATGCTGTTCAAGTTGCTGCTGTTTTCACATGGTTTGTTTTCTCTCCGTAGTCATCGGATGCGCTTTTGGTGGCTATTGACTCGGAAGTGGTGGGAGCTGTGGACATTCTCCTGAATCACCGGCCCAAAAGATCCTCCAGACCAACCATTGTGGTTGAGTGTTGTTAGTCCTTGATTTCTGGTTGGGGACTGGGGGCTATCACACTCTGGGTAGCTGTGGTATTTAAAACAATGTCCTTAAGTTCTACATCTCTGAGGTGATGGAACCTGCACACTGAGGATCATTTTTGTAGCCTAATTCTGTCTGAAAGATGGGATACGTTGTTTTGCTTTGTGGCCTAAAGAATACAGCACCTTTATACCTGCCAGTGCTAATAGGTGCCTAGTTGGGAAGAGAATGAAAACAGTGGTTATTAATCTTTTCTTGTAGCCTACTTGCAAGGAGGTTAGCAACCTTGACCTAGAAAGAGGTGTTTGAATGTTTTGGGAAATTTTTCCTTCTTTTCATGTTATGAAACATTGGAAGGCATTTTGAAGAACAGATTCACTGTTAAACAGTCAAAAAAGCCCTTACATGTAAGCACTGTAGTAGAACTGTAGGTAATAAATTTAGACACTTGCTGTGTTTTATTCCAGAAATTAATGGAACGCATTCAGAACCCGGAGTACTCAACGACCATGGACGTGGCACCAGTCATTTTAGCTGCTCATCGGAACAACTATGAAATTCTCACCATGCTGCTAAAGCAGGACATATCCTTGCCCAAACCACATGCTGTAGGCTGTGAATGCACCCTGTGTACTGCCAAGAACAAAAAGGACAGTCTGCGACATTCCAGGTGAGGCTCAGCAGGCACAGACCGGAATGAGAAACCTCTCAGTCCTCAGGTGTTGCTTGTGTTGGATTCAGGAGGTTCCCTTTGTCTTTTTAAGGTGGAGTTTATCAGTGGATTCCTGTAGTACGTTGTAGCCTATCTTGTGAGAGATGGTAGTTCTGGGGAGTGGGTTGTGCTTGGAAAGGCTGCTGGGAGGCAGTGGCTTTTTTTCTATTTTGGTTTTATTCTCTTAGTCACTGTGCATATTAAGCTACGTGCCTTTTCTTACTACATTGTGTCTCAAACATTCTGGCTACCTTTGGCTCGGGAGCATAGGGATTATGCAAGTAAAATTTTTCTGAAATTACCGAACACTTGGGGATTTTTGAACCAGAATGAGGAGTTGGATAATTCTGTGTCCTGTTTCTAAAACTGTTTATGTATGGAGGATTGATATATGCAAATACTTTTTTTTTCCTGTATTTTTAAAAGTAGAAAGCTTTTTAATAAAGGTTCAGGTGAGGAGAAGGATGAGGAGTATTTATCAATCTGATAAATATTTTGCCTGGTTAACTTGACAACATGTTTGAGGGTTGAACAAAATTTATACGTGAGAGTTGAGATGAAAAATCACAGAGCTCAAAGATCATCAGGGTACTGCAATTACAATATGCAATTAATTACTGTGTAATTACTCAGTATGTAAAAAATACTGAGCAATAAGAGAAGTGAAAACATAATTATTACTGCTGTCCTGCTACTCCAGGCCACATTCTGGCATCCATCCTATACCTCGTGTCATGATCTTCAGTATGAGAAAAGGTGTCAGGGTGCCCCAAGCCCTCAAACAATGAGTGACTGAATTGAAACACCTTCAATTTACTTGCTGTCCTTTTGTCACAGGTTTCGCCTTGACATTTATCGGTGCTTGGCCAGTCCTGCTTTAATAATGTTGACAGAGGAGGATCCAATCCTACGAGCTTTTGAACTTAGTGCAGACTTGAAAGAATTAAGCCTTGTTGAGGTTGAATTCAGGTAGGAATTGAAAATACAAAGCAATTTTAATACTTCTGAAATTACGCATACAGAAACGTGTAGGCATTAGAAAAGGTTTATTCTTAATTTTTTGTAATTGGAGTGTTTAAACTGACAGCTAGACATAATAACAAGTTATATAATTTATATGTAATTTGTGCCTCAGTATTGACAGTTTAATTACTTTGAATTCTTTCAAGTGTAGACAGTTCAATCTGTATAGTTGCACCAACAGTTCAAATTTCAGGTCTACTCTGAAAAAATAAATTATACTAAATGCTGACTTATTTGAAAATCACACCTATTAATTATATCAACATCTCACCAGTATTCTGCACTTTTTTTCCCTGTATCAGGATAGAAATATGCAATAACTTGTTTACACTGATCTGACTCATGGTGAGAGTTGTTTAGAGCATTGTTTCCTAAGTTTGCCTCTTATATTATAAGACTTTGAAGAGTGCATGTGTGTATATTTGTATATGAAATATGCATATCTGTGTAGGAGATTTCATGTTGAAAATGCCCTATTTAATGAACAAATGCTCAGTATAATTTCATGCTTGAACTGTGCAGATTTCTACCGTTTTGTAACTTACCAGCACAAAAGCTTTCCAAGAATGTCAAAGCAAGTGTTTGTATGAGGTAAAATTCTACTTTCCTAAACAACATGTGAATTTTCTGTATTTTAGCTGCTTGTCTTTCTTAATAAGAGCTCAGTTGTTGCATTTTTATGATACAAGCTGGCACTAAAATGGACTGTGTGCAAGGTGAGACAAGGAAATCATGTGCTTTCTTTTCCTGTGTTTATTATATTAATACATAGTGTTCAGTGAGTAGACTTGAATTTTCAGATTACAGGAATAAAGCAAAACCCAAAACAACTTCCTGTCAAGTGGCAAGTCCAAGTGCTTACTTAGCAGTGCCATGTTTTGTGCCTACCACACTTTCTTATCTCCTGGAAATAATTCTGAGCTTTCACTCTGTGTATGGAACTCATGAGATGAGAATCTGTACACTGTAAGTCTGTTTGTCGGTTTTTCTCTGGTGGTCTTGCAAACTAAACTGAAGTGTGATGGTCATGTTACATGGTGAGAGCTACTCAGAGTTGTCTTAGGAGTGCTTGGACTTTTGGAGTGGTTTCTTTTAATCTGCCTCAACATAACCTACAATCCTAACCTATCCTAAAAATGGATAGTTAATTATTTAATGGATGATGTAAGAACAGTGTAATAGTCGTTCTGCTTCTGTGTCTTTCAGGAATGATTATGAGGAGCTCGCTCAGCAGTGCAAAACCTTTGCTAAAGATCTGCTTGCACAGGCACGGAATTCCCGGGAGCTGGAGGTGATCCTGAATCACACATCCAGCGACGAGCACGTAGACAAGCGAGGATTGTTGGAAGAGAGGATGAACCTAAGCCGCTTAAAACTTGCGATCAAGTATAATCAAAAAGAGGTTTGTCTTTGCAGTAATTTGATAGACTTTCCTTATCATATTTAGCTAATAATTAATTTAATTTTTAGTTGGGTCTCCAGGCACAGAAATGGAAATAAATTTGCAGGAGTTATGGAAGGGATGGTTGTACACAGAGTAGCAGCAAGTAAACCAGGGAAGCGATGCTGCGAGACACTGAGTGTTTCTGTGCAGGAGAGTATAGCCTTTTCTGTACTGGGGTATAGACTACTGCTTTGTTATGAACAGCTGTGGTAGTGGGAATTGTTTGTTCAGATGCTCATTAAATCCTTGCCTAGGGAGGCATGGATCCTTAGGTGCCAAAATGATTTATCATCTTCTCACTGGTCATTAACTGTTCAGCTTTGTCTCGGGCCTTGCTGGAGCTGTTCAGTAATGAGGTTGGACCTGTGCTGGCATTACTGAATAGTGCCTCTGTTCCAGAATAGCAGTGCTTTTTATACCATCAATATGCAACTTATTTCATGCAGGAGATCATTGTCACCTTTGTCCCTTGGCAAATTATAACTCCAGTTTTCTCCGCTAGAAGGCAAATGGGTATTTCTTTGTGGGGTTCCCTGTACAAGGACTGAGGACAGGGTGGAAGTTCGCTTTCCACGCAAAATCCGTTTTTAGTTAGCATTTGCAGAAGGAGGTGTAATTCTGTCTGTTCTCCTTGTCTAGGCTTAAACTGTTTGTGGAACTGTTGAAACCCGTGGTGTTTGAAAGGCAGAAACCATAGTAATGGAATACCCTAGAAGCAGCATTACACATTTCCAGTGTGCATTCAACAAGCACGCTGAAGTGTTTCACATCTTCTTCTGGGTTCGAGCACAGCTTGTTTTTACCACAGGGCTTAGAAAATAACAACTGCAGAATGTGCTTCATTCTTGGCAAGTTTACTGTAGAGACAGTTTTTATGGTGCTTTATAAAATGTGATGATAACAGCAAGGGTTTTTTTGTTAATACTTTTTTGACTGAGGGACAGACCATTCTCTGGTGAAATATGTTGTTTTGTAACTCATGCAGATAAGCATCTGAAATTTGAAACTATATTTGCATAATATACTTAACCTTCAGGACAAAATTGCCTTTTTTTGAGGGATTGATATGTATAACTTACTGTGATGTAAAATTAACCCTGCTGAATAGAGCTATAGTGATTTTAAGAACTCATACGTATAGAACTGCGTGACCACTTTGGTCCTCATCTTACAGTGTGTGGTCCTTTACACTGTAGATAGTATTCAACAATAACAGTGTCTTATTCTTAGCAATGTGTGTTCAGAAACCTGAGACTGATTTCATGTTTTTTTCTCCCCCCCAGTTTGTTGCGCAGTCAAACTGCCAGCAGTTCCTGAACACGGTGTGGTTCGGGCAGATGGCCGGCTATCGCCGCAAGCACACCTGCAAGAAGATCCTGACTGTTCTGATGGTTGGCATTTTCTGGCCAGTTCTGTCCCTGTGTTACTTGTTAGCTCCTAAATCTCGAGTTGGTCGAATGATTCACACTCCTTTTATGAAGTTTATTATTCATGGAGCTTCATATTTCACATTTCTCTTATTACTCAATTTGTACTCCCTTGTCTACAATGAGAATAAGAAGAATACAATGGGACCAGCCCTCGAGAGAATAGACTATCTTCTGATAATCTGGCTAATTGGTAGGTGTGATTTGAGTGCATTGGATGGCAATTGCTGATGTTGATTGCACAGCAGTGACTTGTGTACCGTTCTTAGGAAGCCAGCATGTTGTTCACGTTGCATACGTTTCTGTCTGCATGCATTCCCCATCTTAGTCTAATAAATTAAAGGTGTGCATTTACCTCATGCTTGTTGTAGAGCACAGAAACAAGCAGTATTTTCTCAAGGTGTGGTTTTCCATTTCTGAATGTCACTGCCGCTGGTTATCATAACTGCTGGAGAGGCTGCATGTCAGTTCTGGTTGATGCAGCAGAGGGAGCACAGGTATCAGTTTTGTTGAGTTCTCAGGAGCCTGGGGTTGAAAATTCGTAAAACCTTTTACCGTGTTTTTGGTTGGATGGCATGTGTTTGGTTGTACATTAAAATTTACCTTGATGTTATGATTAGATATGTATCATTTGGTTGACCAGACTCATAAAAAAGCAATGACATGGTAAAAAAAACCAACAAAATTTTTATCTAAGTAGTTCTAGGTGATTTATTTGATATTTTAGGGTGGGGTTTCTTTGTGTAATGGTGATTCCTTTCACTGTTGAGCTATATGAAAAATGTTGAGTAGTTAATGCAGATTCTGGAAATATTCAGTACCCCTCCCCCCCAAAAAAAAAACCACAACCAGGTCTTAAAAATTGAAAATTTCAACATTTGAATGCAAAACAGATTCCTCTTTTGCTTTGAGATTAAATATCTGATTTTATAAATTATTTTGCTCCATCAAATCTACTGTAGATGAAGTGTGTCATTAGGTGGTCTTGGCTATAAACATGTTATTTTCTTCATGTAGCATTCTAATATGGATTTCAAGTAAGATTGAAAAATGACCTCTAAGTAACATGATCATTAAAATTGGGTTATTTTTCACATTACTGAATCTTAACAGATTTTTTAAATAGTAATTGCATTTCTAGCTTAAATGCTTACTTTGTAATGGCATATTGTACTTATTCCTTACAAATATTCAGTAAATTGAAAAATAATGTATTTAGAAAATGTGTTACAAAATCAACTGGAATAAAAAGAACCAAGTAACAAAGAGTCATCATATTCCATAGTCCCATTAAAATCCCATTCTGAAAATCAATGTCAGAATGGCCACAGCAGGATTTCTAACACATAAAGTTAGTAGCAAGTTTTGTGTTCTTCTAGGTTAACTTTCAAAATCAGGAATAAATTTATTGAGCCTAAATCATACATTGTGTGTCTTCCACAGGAAAATAAAGCAACAGAACTCCAGTTCTTGTGTATGTAAATAACATCAGCTGTAGCATCCTCTCCATCTGCTTTTACTGATTCTATAACAAATTCACTGTAAAATACCTGGTGATGTCTGTAAAGGAGTATCTGGTCAGTACAGCGGCTCCACGTCCCTGGTTCTTCTGTTTCTCCCGCAGGAATGGTGTGGTCGGATGTGAAGAGACTCTGGTACGAGGGCTTAGAAGATTTTTTAGAAGAATCCCGTAACCAGCTTAGTTTTGTCATGAATTCCCTGTATTTGGCAACGTTTGCCCTCAAAGTGGTTGCCCATAACAAGGTGAGCCCTCGGCCTCGTGGATCCGTCTGTGTGAGCACGTGTGAGTGCAGTGCTTGTGGGAACTGCCTGCTCTTCCATGGGCTTGCTTTTGTTAGGGAAGTGCATCCCACCTGATGTGGCACTGGAGCTTGCCTGGCTGCAGAGTACCATACAGAGAGCTCATAGTATTCTCTGTGTTGGATTGCCTAGTGCTGTTTTGTTACAGAAAGTTTTATTTAGCTTTTGATGACACATACCCAAATGTCCTAAGTGGTTGGGGGGGATTTTTAATTGGTTTTTGGCTTGGTGGGGCTGTTTTGGTTGGAGTTTTCTCTGGCAGTAAGGATAAAAGCCCCGAGACCATAGAGGAGCCTTGTCTTTTCCCTCTGAAAAGCCGTCTGGATTTGGTTGAAGATGTGAGTTTTGCAGACAATCATTGCTATTTTGTTGCTTGTGTTGCTTGCCACACAGCATATGGCAAGCTGCCAGACCAGTTAAATGGCGATATTTTAGCAAAATTCAAGCCAGAGCAGTAGCACCATTATTTTGTCTTGCAAACTGTAAGTTGGCAGCTGTCTGGCAGTTGGGAGGGAAATAAACTGGTTTAGTTCTTCCCGACTTGGTGTTTGGCTCATTTCCCTATCCTTGAACCGATTCAGAGGCTGGTAATCACTTGGAAGGGAAGGCTGCATTTCTTGGAAAAAAACTGGAGGGAGAATGCCACGTTGGGCTGCCTTCCCAGCCATTTGCTTTGCAAGCAGCATGTCTGAAATAGCAGTTCCTTTGCTGCTAATTGAAGTTGTAACCTCTGGGGAGATGCAGGACTCCTGTCCTGTGTAACAGGCACATAATGGGGTTTTGCCACTTTTCTGTGACAAAATTTATTTTTGTGGTTTATGAATCATTTAGGAATGCAAATAAAAGTGTTTGTCTTACGTCTTAGGTCCATGTTAGAGGTGAGACATCTGTGAATGATATATGTTAATTTCTTTCATGCTGTTGCCTGTTTTGGAGGCAGAAGTAGGTAGTGGTGCACGGCTACATTTCTGTATTTATAATGTCACTGGTCTCAGTTTGTCCCTTTAACGTTCCAGTTCCATGACTATGCTGAAAGGAAGGACTGGGATGCATTCCATCCTACCCTGGTGGCAGAAGGGCTCTTTGCCTTTGCTAATGTTCTGAGTTACCTGCGTCTCTTCTTCATGTACACAACCAGCTCTATCCTGGGGCCGCTCCAGGTGAGTGTCGTGTCTGCCTCAGAAAATATTCAACCTGACTTGCCATCAACAGTCTTACTGACAATAGGAAAATAAGGAAGAAAGTAGAAAGAAGTGACACTGCATTGAAGTTTGATTTTTTTTTAATCTCTCATGTAGAAAATGATTGAGATGGGAAAAGGTAAGAAAAAGAGTGGGAGACCTTGTGTAGTTCATTTTCTTATGGTATTTTCCCACGATAACTGTAGCTGTACTGTCTTTTTGTTTTCATCTGTGTAAATGTCCACAGTTTGAAAAGTGAAAGGATCATTTTCTTGTAAAGCTGTACACAAGAGGTGGGTGAATGAGGTGTGCAGTGAGGAAGAGCTACCAAAAGCCTTTCTGTTCATGTTTGTGATCTCATTGAAGCTGCACATTGAGTTGTGCAAATTGCCTTTGTTTGAAAAAGATAAATCTTTCAAGAGTACTGAAATAGTCATCTATTTATTGGCAATTATAAGAAGGGAGAACAGGTTTCTTCTTACTTGGAATTTGTTGGAGCCTTCCTGTGAGTAATGATGAGAGTAAAAACCCCCCCATTTTAATGACATAATTTTCTGTTGTACATTTCAGGTGGAAAGGTACTTGCATCCTTTGAAAAAATACTAAAATCTTGGTGTCGCATTAAGCATTAGGCTTGTTGTACAAATTGATTGAACGCTGAAGTCTCTCCACATTTTAAAGAGATTCTCTGTTTTATGTGCATATTTATTTATGTTTGAGAACTCACACAAGTTTTTATTAGGGGACTGTTATGAAATTCTCCAAGTAAATACAAACAGTCAACAGTGCCCCATTCAGAGGCACACAGGAGCTTATGTTATTACTGTTGGCCAGGGGGGCTGGTGCAACAACTCCTGCAGTATTTTCTGAAAGTAGGTCACAAAGTTCAAGTGGTGCTGATCAGCTGTGGCATGGAGACCCAGCAGTGGGGGTGGGGGGAGGCAGCCAGCATGGGCTCTGGCTATTAGACTTATTTTTAAGTGTTCAGTTACTTGACTCACTGGTGAGTAAAACCTCTAATAATACAGATTTGTGAGTCAGCTTTGTGTGGTGGTTTTTTATTATTAACAGAAGGTAAGATAATATTGCCCTAGATTAGATAATTAGATTTCAGATGCTTAGAAATTGTAAATACATAGGGCAAGCGTGAATATATGAAGAAAGCAACTGGCATTTGGGATGGGTCATTACACTCTGTTCCAAACAAAATAGTTTTGAGTGGTTTGCATTTCTTTGTGTGTTCCTGTTTCATCTGCTTTGTCCCTCTCGGCTGGGACCGTGTGTCAGTTAAAGGGTAAATGTTTTTGGGTTGGGTTATTTTCCATTAAAGGGTTACAACAGTACAAGGATATCTCCTGATTTTCAGATCTATTTAGCATATAAAAATTCAACTTAAATACTTAAAATATAAATAGATATTTTTTTACTGATTAGAGGCTGAAGGAGAGAATACAAATAATAATGACATGTTTTACTAAAATAGGAAATAAATCTATTTCACAGATTTCAATGGGGCAGATGCTGCAAGATTTTGGAAAATTCCTGGGCATGTTTCTTCTTGTCTTGTTCTCATTCACAATTGGATTGACACAACTGTATGATAAAGGATTCACTGTAAATGAAGAAAAGGACTGTGCTGGGATTTTCTGTGAGCAGCAGAGCAATGACACGTTTCATTCGTGAGTGATACCTGTAAAATAGCTGATTGGTGTAGCCCTTAATCCTTAGTAATTAAACAAAACTGGACTTTTTCAGTGAACTTGAGTTTTCCATGAAACACTTTTGGTGTTTGCTGTCGCTAAGCAGGTTTGTTTCCTGGTCTCTGCAGGTTCATTGGCACGTGCTTTGCTCTCTTCTGGTACATCTTCTCCCTGGCACACGTGGCCATCTTCGTCACACGTTTCAGCTATGGGGAGGAGCTGCAGTCCTTCGTGGGGGCTGTTATTGTTGGTACCTACAACGTGGTGGTGGTGATAGTATTAACTAAACTCCTTGTGGCAATGCTTCATAAAAGTTTTCAGCTGATAGCAGTAAGTGGTATCTGATTAATTTTCAATAACTGCTCTCTGTGTGTTGGATTTTGTACAAATTTCTTCCTATGATGTGTAGACTGATCTACAGACCTTCATGCTGAGCTCTGTCAGTGAGCTCACAAGGGTCATCTGTCCTTCATATAAGAACTTTTTACTTACTTTGATCCAAATGAAATGGGTACTTTGCATGTTGAGCATGTGCAGGGCTTTGGCCTGCTGGAAATTGGTGACTTTCTTGATACAGTGGCTGTTCAAGATGCTGTTCTTGATATGTGTGGTGCTTTGGCATCTGATGAGGGGGTTTTACCTTCGTGGCTGAATTTTGTACTTACACAGAGTGTATGGTGAATTGAAGAGACTGTACTTATTTTATGTCTTTAATATTATAATAAAAAAAGCTTATTAAAATACTGTGTAACCTATATCTTAAAATGCTATATAACCAAAGTTAAATTATGACCAGTTTACAGATATGAGAAAATAAAACTTACAGAATAGCCTGTTGATATTTTTGCTTCTTCTGTCTGTTAATGTTTGTGATGCTTTAGAATCACGAAGACAAGGAGTGGAAGTTTGCTCGTGCCAAGCTCTGGCTCAGCTACTTTGATGACAAGTGCACACTCCCCCCACCTTTCAACGTCATCCCCTCTCCCAAGACCATCTGTTACCTCTTCAACAGTCTCAGTAAATGGATCTGCTCTCATACGTCGAGTGGCAGAGTGAAACGTCAGAACAGCCTGAAGGTAGGGAATGCCTGGGAAAGCTCCAGGCTGGGAAGCTGGGAAGGTGCTGCTTGCCTTATGAACTGGCAGAGTGGTGCCTGTCACTGGGTGAATGCTGCTGAGATTAACACCAGCTGCAGAATAATGTGTACGGCATCCGAAATGTAAATAAGCGGTACCTATTTCTGCTTGAGGAAGGTTCTGTTAACTTTCTGGTTTGGGAATTTCAACCCCCAATTCCCCCAGAAATAGTCTGGAAAAAAATGCTTTGATTGAAACCTCAGGGAAGTATGTGCTAATCTCAAAAATGGTGAGGTTGGAGTATTCTTTGGGGAAGGTAATTGGTTTGAAACACATTACACAAGTGTCAAAATAAATACCCCAAAAACGATCACTGAAGCCTTTTGTTGTTGGGGAGAGGGATTTTTTTTTTTTTTTCTTAAATAAACATTTTTGGTACCCTGTAATTTTGCATACTAATTTTGCATCTTCTTGCTGACAAAAATAGCATTAAATAAACAAACTAAAACACTTCATGGAATTTGCACTGAGAGACATTCAGGACTATGGAACCTCTTAATTGCTCGTAGGACAATTACCAAGACAGGTAGATAAAAAATTTTCAGTTTTGCTGGTACAGCAGATTATAATTTAATTTAAATTTTGCAGGCAGTTTAGATGCATTGTGTATTTGTGCACATCAGCACGTATTTATAAAATAGCTTTGTTCCTGTGTTCATGTTTATTCCCTGGATAGTTGTATATAGGCTTCAGGGCTCAACATTCACTTTTCCATAGTAAACGTGTGATGTTCGTTCAAAGGAATGGAGAAATCTGAAGCAAAAGAGAGATGAGAATTACCAGAAGGTGATGTGCTGCTTAGTCCACCGTTACTTGACCTCCATGAGGCAGAAGATGCAAAGCACAGATCAGGCAACTGTGGAAAACCTCAACGAGCTGCGGCAAGACCTGTCCAAATTCCGCAACGAGATGAGAGACCTGCTGGGCTTCCGAACGTCCAAATACGCCATGTTTTACCCCAGGAACTGAGGCCTGGCTTTGGGCAGCAAGGGTGTGCTCGCAGGTAACTGGAGGTGAAAGTGTTGCCCTCATTCTGTTTCCAGGTCATGTCAACGAGGCATTGCACAAAAGTGCATTCCAGAATGCGTTTGCATGAGTGGCAGCTGCAGCCGAGGGCTTGGAATAAATGCAGACCCAGATACAGACATCTTCTTAGGCTTTTGGTGTGTATATCAAATCTGTATATAGGAGTTTTTTAAGTGTTCCTCAGAGCGTGGCTGTCAGGTGTCAGAGCTTCAGAAGTAGCACAACGCGTTTCTTGCTTCTATTTTTGCTGCTTGTTCTTTTTTGATACTTGCTTTTCAAGTGGTGGGGGAAGATAGGCTTTTTAAAACAAAACTCCAGCCTAGGTTTATTTTTTAATAGAAAAGTCAGATATAGAATAATAGAAAATTTCCAGCACAGTTGGAAATTATGTTTGACTGTAGGTTACAGTGCATGGGAAGACTGTTTGGCTCTGAAAGAGGCAGTTCTAGTTTTGTATGTTAATGTTGACTGTAAACTAACATTTATAGAATACAGCACATTAAATCACCAAGACTCTTCCCTTTCATGGGAACATTGACATTTTGAACACAAAGTAGACCAACTATTTCTTGAATGTTTATGATTATGTGTAAGACAATCAGTCCCTGCTTGGATTTTTCAGCAGTGCCTCAGTAGTACATTTTAATATATGTGCCAAGACTGGGAACAGAATTTCACCACTAACCGGTGCATGAATAATGTTTGATGTCTTGGGGTTTTAAAATCTGGATAATAAATTACTTGCATTATTAAACCTTGTGATTTAATGGAAGTGAGGTGGAGCACGAGTGCTGTTTGCAGTGCTGAACAATTCCTGTGAAACCTTCTACCCTTGTTTCTGTGAGGTCATCAGGTCTGGTCATTGGAGAGATGTACTTTAGAATGGTCTGCTTAACACAGGTTTTACATATCCTACTTTTAAACTTTTTCTTCTTTTTTCCTGTTTTTTACCACAGCTGTTGCCAAGCTAGACTTTAGTTTGTGTCAGGAATACTATGTTTTGTGAAAACACGTGATCTGACTTTGCTTACAATGGACAGTAAGGGCTTTGTGGATTTTCTGTGCTAGAGGGTCCTTTATATGCTTATATATATTATTCAAGCTGACAAATTGTACTTGAGTAATGTGAGATTCCTGTATTTTTAAGTACCATATATTTATGACAGCTGAAGGGTTGATTGACAGTGTTGTTGTTATGATGGTGCTGTTCTAAAATGGTTGTGTGTGCAGAAGGCACAGGCAGCCAGAGTGGTCTTGGGCCACAGGAGATCTGGGGAGATTGATGGAGTGGAGTGGAGGCTCCCACGAATGTTTACTTTTTTGAAGGAATTCTTATAAAACTCTTTCTTGTGAAGGTAATATATTTTCTGTACTATGACATTATGTATTTCTGAACGAGGTTTTAATACTCTGCTTCCAGAGGTGTTATGGTCTGGAGGGATTCTGGTACGGGATTTCATGAGAATAGGAGGTTACCATGATAAAAACCATGTGCTGTGTGTGTTACATGGATTCAAAAAAGGAAGCAGACAAATAAAAGCTCTTTGAAAAATGTGGTTGTGTTAATATTGCATAGTCATACTGCAAACACCTTGTATCAGGTACCACACTGAAAGTAATTTGTCACGCCAAGCTTGTAAGTTTAAGGAAGGTGGCTGGTGTCAATGTGTTACTGCCTTTTGTTGTCCTGGACCCAACCTGTTTGGTTCACTGAAATGGCATCATCCAGTGCCATAAGAGGTGCTGGATGGGCTGAGTGCTTTGCAGATGTTCAGCAGAGTCACTCAGAGCCAGCTTGGTCATTGCCTTGTGGCACGGTGTTCTACTGCAGTGTAGATGTCCTTAGGCAGAACTGTTGTATTTCCAGGCTCTTTTGGGGGGTTTGGGTTGGAACTGGGGGTCCTGGAGTTTTTATTTGTCACTGAAATACGTACCTGTAAAGTGATGGGGCCAGGGAGAGAGAAGTTTGTTCTCTGTTCCACCGTAGTTAGATAACATTTTGCATCTATTTTGTTTGAAAGCTGCTGTAGTCTTGCTGTCTGCTTGGCTACTACTAATCAGTACAGAGTGCTGGTCACCCAGTCTTGTGTCATTCAGATTTTCCTGGTTCGTGTGTGTTACACATTCTGTTGCTTTCTCATTTGGCAGTTTAATACCAGCTGTTCCAGTATTGTTGGGGATCCTTTATGCCCACTCACAGAGTAGTTCTGGACATGCACAGAAACGAAATTTTAGATGTCACCAAAAAAACTGAGAGAAGCTGCATTTACAAGTATGTTACTTGCAGTTTACAAGAAGTCCTTGTACAAATGTTAGTGCCAGTCATAAAAGTACTAAGTTGGGTTTTTTAAGCTGAAAAAGGTTGATTTTTCTTCCCCTTCGTATTAATGTCTGTTTTGTCTTAAAGCTAACTTTGCCTTGATGAATGAGAAATGGAAATGGAAATTCTCATGCCACCTGCATTTGCAACAGAAAGGTCAAACCCACTCATTACTGAAAGTAAAAGCTTATTTTATGCTCTTGCTAAACTGTGGTTTTGATTGTTATCTCTGTAGAAATTATTTCAGAAATGGTTTTGTGGTTAGATAATTTTGATCCTGTTTGGTTGCAGGTTGGGTTTGAAATGTTCGAAATTTAGAGTCACTACAACCTGCTTCCAAAAACTTGTAACAGTTGTTACCTGTCTCTTGTAACCAACTCTTACTTGCTAAAACTGGCAGTGCTCCGTGTTTCTGTTCCCTGTTTCAGGCCTGCTGCTGCCAGTGCATGGATTTGGGAAAGGAACTGGTCTGAAGGGAGAGGTGAGAAGAGCAGGCCAGAGCTTTCCCTACCTGCCATTTGGTAGATGAGGAATAGGCTGCCAAACCCTTCTGGCCTCAGTGCCTGACAGATGGGCATGTCATCATAAATAAAAATAGATTATTGTAGTTCAGGATAGCTCTGAGCATGATTTCCACATTGCTCCTCCCCAGGCTGCTGCCAAGAAATGCAGAGAGCACTGTGCATAAAACCCCTTAACCTGCATAGGAATCAGTGCTGGAAAATGGAAAGTTCAGAGTTACAAAAGCACATCTGCTTTGCAAACCAATGTTGCCGTCGGTTCCACAGGGAAGTGCTGTTTGGTTTGGGCAGTCAGGCAGCCTGTGAAGTGGGGTTGCAGCACTGAGCTGTTGGATGGGAGCTGCCAGCACAGCCTCTTTGTACCTCTGGGCCTCCCTCTGGTGCTTTTGTCCCCTGCCCAGCTGCCCATGAAGTCCTTGGAACAGCAGCTGCACTGCTGAGCTGCCCCGTGGCCGTGTCTCTTGGCATGACCTGTGGGAATCCAGAGTGGAGCAGAGCGGTGATCTGCATTCCACTGCTGAAATAAGCAATGGGCACTTCCAGCAGGGCCTGGGGATTCCATTAGTTTCCTGCCCGTGGTTGCAAATTGTCCAAAGAACTCTGGTCTGGTATTTATATACAAGGAAAGCAAGTACTTAAAGAGATTTTGGATCCTGTTCCATCCATGTTGTTCTTATTAGTATTCAGGTTTCCCTAGTTTGAACAGCATGTATTTCATATCTGCTTTTGACAAAAATATTCTTCAGCTTCTCAGTATTAATCTTCACTTGTAATCTGCTTCTGTTCCTCCCCAGAAGGTTACAGATTTGATTATAACCTTTCAGAGTAACAAATACCTGCATACAACAGACAGGCCAACAAAGGCACTGTCTAACTACTTCCACTCTGCTCTCTGTTTAGTCTCAGAATAGCATTTGTTCAACCTTTTGCATATAGGAATGAAATAAATTAGACAGAGATGCTCCCATTTACGCTGCTGGTGCCAGACTGAGCATTGCTGTGTTGTCTGTCCTTTCATGGGAGAGATGAAAACTCACACTATTGGCACGTGTACTTTACCACCACTAAATTAATTCCTGCCTTCCTCCTCCCTGGTTACCTTACAGAACTTATTAGTGACATTTACTCACTAGGCAGTCATCAGTGGGAAAAGCATGGTGCTGTCTTACAGTTCTCTAAGTCTCTGAAGGATAAATCCAGTTCCTGTTCAAATCAATGATTCACCGACTTCCCTGTCAGGAAAACCAGGCCCTTAATCAGCAAGGAGGTGTCAGTCAGACTGCATGACCCAAACCATCCAAAGCATGTCAGTTATTGAAAAAGAGTTTCTATGTTTAGCCTGCCCCACTTGATAAATAATAACTAGTTGGTGTGTGATTTAATCTTAAAATATTTTATTAAGCACAGGTAATAATGCAGAAATCCATGTAATAAAACAACTTCAGAGAAAAAGCGAAGTTAAAATGAGTTGCTATAAATATTGCACTTAGAATTTCTTATTTTACATCCACAACTCCTTTAAAAAATTGGACAGTTATAAATTAACGTCTTCCAAGTAACTGGAATTTGTATGTTTGAGATCAGATGGCTGTGCTGCAAACCTTCAGCACGGAGGCTCGAGGGGGTTTGTTCTCACCCTGTACCTGTAATGGATTTCACTTTGTGCCAGCTGTGCTTGGGTGGCTGGAGGGAAGGAAGGGGCAGCGTGGTCTGACTGCTGACAGTGAAAATTATTTTTCAAGACAGATGAGAGAATGCAGCTGCAGAGTTCAGGTTTAACACGTTTTGTTTTTCAAGGCATTTAGCATCTTGGAGTTCTTAGTCTTAAAACTCATGACAAAGCTGTTGGGAAAGACTTTGCCTCTGCCATCTTCTTCTACTTGGCCCATGATGATGTAGTTTAAACCTGCAAAGGAGAGAATGAGATTACAGGACAGAAGTCTGGGATGTCACTTGGTAAGTACAGTTCCTCCCCTGTGGTCTCTTCATTTGCACTGTTTTACACAAGCAGACACATAGCTAAACAATAAATAATCATCATTAAATAGGAGGATAGTCATCAAATGGAGACTGTCAGATGAGTCTGAAAGGCATTAGGAGTGCAGCATAAACACTGGATAATTTAGGCCCCACACCCAGAGTGGAATGTGTGTCCTTTATTTCAGTATTTGCATACTTTCTCGGATTGTAGGTTGATGGCCATGAGAGTTTATAATGCACTTAAATCTTTGCTTTCCCTTTTCCTTCCCAAAGACAGAAACGTTTTCTGGGTACATAGAGAGGCAGTCAGCATGGACTTGGCTTTGGGAAATCAGCTGCATTTGCACATTTTCATGGCTCAGAAGGGTTAGGGCTTGGCAAGGTCTGAGGCTGGAAGGATTGGAATCATAGGGATATAAACAGGGAAGTTTAGGTATTAAGGAAAGGCCATTAAATCACAGATATTCAGGATGAGAAACACAGGAGTGTGGTTTGGAGCCAGCAGTCTGTGCAAAAGGAGACAGCTGGTTCCACTAAGGACATTATGATGTCTCCCAGTGTCTGCTTTCCAGATAACTGCAGTCAAAAGCTAATTTCTGATCAGGATTTTTCACTTTGTTACTGCCAACCTTGAATTAATATTCCTAAACACCAGTACTGTCCAGAACACCATCAGGCCTTTTTTAATGCTTATTAAATTATTTGGAATGTTTCCTGCTATGGTTCCATTTATGTAAAACCAAAATCTATTTTGAGCTTGATTTGAGAGAACCAAATCAGATTTTACCTTGTATCACGTGGCTTTTAAAGAAAAAAAACGTTTTTTGAAGTCCTTTGATCTAAGTGAGCCTAATCCTTTTAAAGTAAAACTGCAAAATGCAACAGAAACCTGGATTACCGGTTATTTTTAGCTTAAATTGGTTATATTGGTTATACAATTACTGTCATTTTACTAATTTTTGTGGCCACATTTCAGAAAGTAGTTTTCAAAACTGCTGTCTTTTACCAGCACCCAGAGCAGTTACTGTTCTGTACTTACCTCTCCTGATGAGAGGGCACTGCTTACACACAACCAGGATCTTGGCACTCATGTTCTTGCCAGCTTGTTGAATTGCCAGACTGCCCTCCTTGTAGACGTTGATGATGGCTATGGTTGCGTGCAGACTGCCAGCCCGGGGGGTCGTGGTCATTACAGTGCCAGTGATGACTGGGAAAAAAGAGATCTTTGATACATGTGGTACATTTACATTTTAGACAGGACTTTTGTGGCACTTAGTAAATATATCAGTCCCTAATGAGGAAACAGTACTGGCAACAGTTACTAAAAATATTCCTATCACCTGTAATAACTAACCCACTACTGTCAAATTTTGGTAGCACCAAATGTGAGATTGTTGTAGAATGTGCCAGTCTCTTGCAAGCCCAGTTCTTGGGGTTGATAATTTCTGTTAAACAGTACAATTTTATCCTCCTTTAATGACTCATTTTAAAGCAGTGCAGAAGTTGAAAGTCTCGTAGCCAGAAGCTGAGTTCCCAGCTCTCTGACACTCCCAAATGAGTAGCAGGGAATAGTTCATGCCCTAGGAACTAAATTTGCATCTGTCTGAGGCCTGATATAAATTTGCCAACTTCAGCTAAATGTAGATTACAGATTAGACGTCCTATCTCCAAAGACCTCTCAGTGTGAAAATAAAGATCCTTTCTTTTCCTTGGGATGACTAGATTACCTCCTAAGCCATCTTTGTCTATCAGAAGGAAATGCTAATTGGTATTATCAATTTGTCTTCTTCTCACGTCAGCTTTTGTAAATTAGATATTCTATCCTGGGATCAATTAGATCTTCAGTAATCAAGTATGTACAGCCAGATTCATTTACAAAACTGCATAATACACATTTTGGTTATTTGTTTGCAAATTTGCACATTATCTTTCTTTAATACAGAGCTTTAAATTCAAGTTCAGTCAAGAAGAGAACTGTGGATTTTAAAATGCTGGGTATTGCAGCCATATTTCTAGAAACAATAAAAGTGAAATGCATGATGAATGAGCAATAGCTCTTACTTTCTAAATTCACAAAGTCAGCAAATAAACTTAGAATCAGTCATAATCTATGAACAGCAGACTTCCTATTCTTACCTTGGGATATGCTTACATTCACAGTAGCATATAAAATATTTTTACTCTCAGTCCTGCCATGGAAAAGGCTGAAAAATATCAAGTACTTGACAACAGGTGAGACAGGAGAGTGTGATTTATTTCCCTGATGGTAGAGGAAAAAACCAAGTTTTTTATAGTGTCATTTCCCATCAGCCACAAGCGAGATGTGGTCAGTAAGAGGAGACCATTTATGGGTTGGGATTTTTTTCCCACCTGCTTCTTTGCATCTTGGACCAGCCTGTACCAGTTGTGAATTAACCAGGCTGGTGGTGAGGGTGGTGAGGGGTCCCCTGGCTCCATCCTGCCTTGGGGAACAGCCCCAGCCCTCCCTGCTGCTCTGGCAGCACCAGCCAGAGCTGCCCCCCTACTCCTCACCCAGATTCCTCAAATCTCACAGTGAGCAGTGTGAGCCACAGGAGTGTGGCTCAAGTGAAAAAACAAAGGGGGGTGAGGGGAGTTCTCCCATCAAATTGTCAGGGAAGTTACAGGGGATTAAAAGAAGTTTCCAGTATTAGTTTGGGAAAATCCTGTGACATGTAACTGGACAGCCCAGCAGTGCCAGTGCCATCCCTAATGCCCAGCACACACCGTCCCTCCTCAGGGCTTTGTGTCCGTGCATACAGCAGTGCTGGGGAGTTCCACACCTTCTGAAAACACTGTGGAGGTGTACACAGTGAACTGTGGCACAGGCAGCAGCTGCAGCAGGCTGTGTGTTGGCTGCTTACAGACAAGCGAGGTGACACCACAGTGACCCAGTCCATGCTCCCCGGTGCTTGTCTGATGTTCTCGCTTGCTTTTCAGATGGAGAGAGACACCTGTGCAGTGCCTGTTCCAGAATATCTCCAAGAATGTATTGAGGGAAACACAGATACCGCTGCCAGATACACATAAGGTGGTGTAAAAACACAGCCTGTTATATAAATGATAACTCAGAACTACATCTGGTAAAACTCCCTGGAGTCTGAAAACACGGTGCCCAGTGAACAGTTAAAATGAGACTTTGCCTCCTTACCAAAGTTGCTTGAACAATAATTGCTTTCCAGAGTCCCACTCCTTTTACACTTCTGCTGGCAAAGGGCAACTGTAGGTTTTGCAACTTTTGGAAGAGAAGAAGTAAATTGAAATTGAAATCGAAATGAAGCATTTGGTACAAGTGCAAAGCAGTGTGTTTTAAAAAAAAAAAGAGAAGAAAGATGAATAATCCTGAAGTATACATGAACTAGATCTGGCATTGCATTGCAAGGCATGAGCACCACAGGAACAATATTCCTTTTCTCTGCCATCTCCTCCAATGATCATCTTTTCAGGTGTCCCAGCTGTGTCTGTTCTAGTGACCTGATGGAATGGGGTGTTACACAAAACTTACAGTGATCACAGTGGGGTCTTAAACAGCCAAGTGCTGTTGCCACACAGCCCTAGTAGTACACTTGAAATGCAATATTACAGTAATGCTTCTGAGGGAGGGGGTGGCTTTTATTGGAAATTACTGTACTGTGATGCAAGGGATCAGACTTCAAATTCCTGACTTTTTTTTTTTTTTTTCCAGAATTTTTTACATAGCTTCCTGACGTGTAGTACTGCATGGTTTTTATTCATGCCCTTTTGAAACACAGTGTTTGAAGTGTGTATTTAACACCAGGGATTGACATTTCCTTTCAGAAATGGAATGCTTTGTTTATAAACAACTGAATACACTTGGTATCTTTCTCCTACTTGGGTACGTGTTAATGGTGTCTGTACTTCACTCAGCTGACCCTTTCTACATAACATGTTGGGATGCAGTATTTAAGGCTTTTATAGCCTTTTCAGATTGGATGGAGGTGAGACAGATAGATTTAAAAATGTATTTATAGCATTTATTTCTTCAAGTACTAATATTTTTATGTAAGAGACCGAGGTAATTCTTCAAAGTGCCTACTTAACTTTAATATTTTATTCATGCCTGGAGTTCTGTGCAAGTTTGAACAGATCTGATTTGCAAGATAATAAGCTAAATCTATTTGAACTGGACACTTCTGAATGCAAATGATGGCTCAGAAATGTAACCAAACTGTAGAGGTTTGGTTTGCTGTGGTTTGTTTTTAAGATCAGAAGTGCCTACATCACGCAGAACTGATCAGACAGTGAAAGGACTTCTTGCTTTGTCTGCCTGACAAGTGCTTTTGAAACACTCCCTCTGTTGTCCTCTCTCAGATGAATCTGTGTGGTTTTATTTTCTAACGCTGATGTTGTCATAAAAATGGGAGTTAATTGGTAAAGCTCACCCCTCTCCCTTCACCCACCAGCAGCTTGTGATGAAATGATGGCAGACCCTGAACGTGGTGTGTTCTGAACTGACAGCCCGGGTTACTGCACACCAGGGCTTTGAATAACAACTGCAGTAAAGAGTGCTTATAGTGAAGAGGAGCCGAGTTATTTACTGTCAGAGCAGCAGTCACAGCAGAGTGATTTATAGGTCATTGTGATGTCATTTTTCTAATGTTTGTTTTCATCTACTTTAAATACCTTTCGTTAGCACTATTTAAACACCACAGCTCCTTGGTTTCCTGCTGATGGGCCACTGCTGTCCTGTCTTTGGATGCATTTGAAGTACAAATCAGGTTATGCCTTGCAAAAACATCATAAATAATTTGTTTTTCTGCTATAATTGTATCTTAAATCTCTCTCATTCAGGTTATAGAAATTCAAAGAATGTATCCCTTCAGTATCTCAGTAATGAGCTGGTTTTGGCAACACCTTCAGAAAAATCCTCCTCTGATCTTTCATATATGCTGTCTAGTCTAAAATATAAAAGGAAGCTTATTTTTAGGGTGACATATTTCTTTATATGTTCCAATCCCAGATTTTTTAAACATAAACATAATTCTAGGAGAGTGTCATATTGACAGGGTGTTGGCAGAATATGAAGAGGGCTCAGGTGTGTTCCACACCAATTCTGCTTGATGTTAATAACTATAGGAAGAAAAATGCAGTAAGATTTTTACCTATCAACTTCTATAGAAGAAAGAGTTCCTTTAAATAAAACTATTTCCTGAAATAGTTAGAACTTCTTACACAAAAGAAATTTACTCATCCATTCTTCTATGGCATTTTCTGTTTAACTGTCCCAAATTTAGAAGAGACAGGAATGAGTTACTGTTACCTTTAACTCTTGCCTGGATAGATTTCCTTTTAAAAATGATAAGTAGATTCTCCCAGGTGTACATTAAGGTACTCTTTTGAGTCTGTTTATTTGAATTAATTCCCTCAACATTTGAAATACTAACAAACCATAAAACTTTAATTTTTAATACACTTTCTATTACATAGTTCTGTAACCCTCTCCTTGTCCTGGAATAATTAATTTTTCTAAGAAATTATGTAAAGCCAGTAAAACTTACCTGAGGTAGCAGGGACTGTTGTGGTTGTAGGTGGAACTGTAGTTGTGGGTAACTTTTTTGGTCTAAATTTATAATGGCCAATAAAACCATCAGCTGTTAAGCTTAAATCAGACAAAAACTGAATGAGCAACTCGTTTCTTTCAGACAGAATAGGCCTGAAATAGAAAAACAAAATAAAACATTTCCATTATTTTGAATGACAAAGCCAAATAGCATTAATGGCATTCCTTAAGAAAAAACAGAGTGCTTCTCTTTAATGGGTGAATGCAGTGGCTGCCCCAGACTGGTACTGAGAAATACCTGGCATTTTGCAGGTGTGTCACACACTGCTGTTCTGAGCATGAAACTCATTTTGATGAATCACTGAAAACTCTGATTCCTGAGGTTATGCCAGTATGAGTATCCTCACATTCTTCAGTGTGAATTCACTGCAGCCCTCACTGTCATGGGATGGAAGGGACCAGACTAACACAGGGGGAAAATCCGCTGAAGAAACCCTCAGTGTGTAGGGGAGGTAAGGAAATGGGGGGCTCAGGATCTGGTGTTTAATGAAAAACATGTTACACATTTGGAAGGGCTTAAGAAAAACATTTCAATTCTGGGTTCTGCAACTCTTCAGCAAAACCACCACAAATAAAATGTTTGGGGTTATTATTTCTGTCACTTATTGGATATTCATGACCAAGGCTTTGAAAAGCTAATGGAGTTACTTTCTTAGGATCTGAAATGTCATGGACAAGCATTGCTCAGTGCATTAATTTTCAATTCACAACTGCACAGCACCTTCTGTGACACTGTGACTGCCTCTGGGTGTGGAGACAGTGCAGTAACACCTGACTCAAAGCTAGTGTGTGGGAAAATGATATGGAGTACAAGTCTAGCCAAAGCAGAACTTCTCTCATTGTTCTGAGCTTTCCCCAGGCCCTGTGTCAATATTCATTAATAATTAGGAACATCAAGTTTTCAAGCACAACCAGTTTTTGGAAAGAGGAGGAAAAATTAATATAGAGGCAAAAGAATCTTGGTTAGGAGAGAAGAAAATAGCAAGTGATTTTAAGTTGTAGCTTTACTAAAATGACTGTGTTGTTTCTTCCCAGCAAGTCTGAGCTCATGAGCAGGACTTCTTCGAAACACTTAATCAGGCCTTTGAAGTAAACACTTGTCATCATCTCCCATTTTTTGGGGCAGATTGTCCCAAATCAGTTTACCCTGATGGCCGAGTCTGACACAAACACTGAGTGCCTGGCTGGCTGGAATTCTCTGCATTTCCAGCTGCCGTGGTAGTGGCACAGCTCACTCTTTTCTTGTGCAGCACTGGCACAGGCTGGAGACGTGGCAGGGCACTGATTATCAGCTGCCCAGGAGCTTTGTTCTGCTTCCTGAACACCTGCAAGGCCAAATCTGAAAACTCTGAGCCAGTTTGTGTATCCTGTCTGCTTAAAAAGTGGCTGAGAGAGGAATAAGGCAGATAAAGTGAGTAAGGAGCCAAGGAGCCAGAGAGCTCAACTGGATCCTCGCACTTCAGTGTCTGTAATCAAACATACACTGAGTGATGGGAAATGTTCAGCTACCATTAGTACTGGCATTATACCAATGTGAATAGCATTAGGATTGGTCTTGGTGTTATTAGACAGTGGTCTAATGAGGCCTGGGGGACAGGAGAGAGCAGGGGTTGGAGCCAGGGCTAGTCATGGAGACAGAGAGAAAAGAGAAAACCTAGGGAGAGACAAGATACCAAGCAACTCCTAGCAGTTCAGCTGGAGGTAGAAAATGTCATGTTTAATTTAAAAATAGTAAAAATCTTTCAGAAGCCGAGTACCAAACTGTACCAGCAGTTACAAACAGTGACTGCAGAGCTATGTTAGGACCCCCAGTGGTGGTGAAGTTCAGAGTTGAAGGAAGGTACTCACGCTGGGGGACTGTCTCCGCAGTACTTCCCAATTCTTTTGGCATCATTGATTTCCCCACCATTAAACACTGCTACATAGTCATATCTGCAGTAGTTGTCTCTCTCCACATCAAACTTCTCGAACTTTAACTCTATTAGCTACAAGGAAAATGTAAATAACTCATTTATTGGTGCTTCTTGTAGTAAGTGACACATGAAGTACTATTTGATTTTTCTTTCCATAGTGGAAAGTCCCTAATGCACTTAATTGTAAGGTATTTGGATCCACATGACCTCTCCAACAAATAGCTCAACATATGGTTCTACTACTCTGTAAAACATTTGTTTCTCAAGTGCATGCAAGTAACTTCTGATGAAGTTATTTTTATGAGTGAATGATAACAAGATAGTAGGTGGTAGGTGTTACGTTGCTTTTAAAATAACTGTACAAGTAGAAACCCCAGAAAAGGGGTGTCATTTCATCATTCAGGATATGCTGAAGGAAAAGCAAAGGCAAAGTTGGTAGAGCCATTTCACTGACCTCACTAACAGCAGGGTTTGAATCACTGGTTGCCAGTGCTGTGTACATTTGATGCAGAATTAAAAAAGCTAGAGATTAAAATACTGATAGGAAAAAATTAGCAAATAGTAAGACTAAAACCATGAGAAAGTAAGTAGTTAAAAGAACTGTGTCTCCATGTCAGATTTCCTTAAATCTTGAGGCTTTACCAGTCATAAATGAGAACTCCTGTAACTCTGGTGTTTCCAGTGCTGATGCCATTATCTCCAATGACTTGTACTTATGGAATTTTTTTACTTAAGGAAGAAAAACAATAGACAAGAAAATAGAAATGGAATCTACTACTCTGAAATGCAGTCCTGCAGAATGACTCTGTCAGTCCTGTGTAGCAAGGAAGGGAGACACAGCCTGACTGCTCCATGGAAACAGAGGTAATATATGCATTTAGGTTGCTGCTTTATGTGAAGCACAGCAGGATTTAAAACATCTTCCCATAAATAGCACAGATGAGGCTTGAATGACAACACTGAATTGTGCTGATTGTAGATATGCAGGGTTTCTTTTTAAAGGTCTGTCTCAAACAGAGATGGTATTAAAACTTCTAAGACTGTACAAAGAAAAAGGAGGAATTTGTAGATGGCTTACACTTGATTTGATTTACTAACATAGTAAAAGTTATCTTGTTCTATATTCACTGTAATGGTAGCCTGTTATCACTGATGTCTTAGTTTTGCCTGAATATGCTTTTGCACTGTTCAGATGTTTAAGGCATAATTTTCTTTCCCACAAAGCATGAGCAGCCTTGGGGACTTGGTTTCAGAGATGACTAACAGGCTTGTTTCAAAACCCTCGGCATCATGAGGGAAAAATGCCCTTTAAATGAAAGTACCCATCTGAAGAATATTCTTGTGATCAAAAAGACAGTATAGAAAGAAGCAATGCTGGGAATAGAAATGCTAAATTCTACCATAGCAGGCAAAACAGCAGGCCAGAATATCTAATTCACTACTGTTCAGAAGTGCACTTTGCACTAATAACTATTTCATGATAGAATAGAAGCTCTTCATCTTCTGTAATATATAAATTATTGGTTTGTATTTGAAGAAACAAGAGAACCTTGTTTTATTGCTCACGAGCTTATGAAATGGAAATAGAAACAACAGCACCTGAACTTTGGCAAAAGAGAGATGCTTATTCACTGCTTCCTCAAAAATTGCTTTTGTCACTATCAAAATTCTGCCTTATTTGCATGCAGAAAAGCACTGTTGCAGTTCATGACTAATATATATTTGGAGACAGGTAGATTTATGGAACAGGATCATCAAAAGACACAGGATATAATGCATACATTTTTATGCTTATATAGCCTTTCTAAAATCTTCTCTGTGAGCTTAGGAGAAGTTCTGAGGCTTATCTAGAGACATTTGGAAAGAACTAAAGTAATCTGCAGTTTACAGATAAGGTTTTAAAAATAACTGCCTATCTGTAGGATTGTTACATGACCTGTATCTAGCAAACAAGGTACGTGGATTAAAGAGGAGTACAGGGAAGACTAAGCTGACATACTGCTTCAGTTCAAGGGAGAAACTATCCTGAGAAATGGAAAAGGATGAAAGATCAGAATATATTTATCTGGGGCAGCTTTTTTTATTTTGAGGAAATGAGCGGAAGATGAAGAGGAAAGTCATCTTTACCTGTAAATGAATTTAAAAAGCTGGCTGAGGCAAGAAAAGCCACCTACCAAAACCTTCAGTCACTGTAGACCTCCTGCCAAGGTACAGAGCAGATGGCTCAGCAGCAACCAGAAAATGTGGCTTGAGATTAGCCCTGTGGCACAGGGAACACACTTGTGTTTGCCATGTGTGGCACAGGAGCCCTCTCTGACTGCTGTCACATCTTGTCACATCCTAATGAAGTGGTAACATATGCTCTCATGGCACCTGGCTAATCAAGCATGTTATGAGATGGAGCCTTCAACACAGGAAATAAAACAAACTGTACTGAAAATCTCTGTCCAGGACACAGCCAAATGTATTCCCTGTGGTGTAAGAACAGTAACACAATTTCTGCTCTTAGTAAATTCAATCAGCTCTGCCTGGGTACCTCAATAAGAAACTGCAGCAATACCAGAGATGCTCAGACATTGTTAGACATAAATGTAGCATTGGTCATCATCGTGTTTGGTGCTGAGATGATCACCTGCCCTAACTTAATTTGCATAATGATTTGTGAATTACCAAAATAATCTTAAACCCTGGTGTGAGAGCCTCACCAGTCAGAGATGCTTTAAGAGGCTTGATCTGGGGGAGTGTGTCAGTGCAGGGCAGAGGATGGGCAGTGCTGAGGGAGCACAGGAGTTACTGGAGTGAGACAAGGGGATGATCCCTGCAGCGTGGCTGTGCCTGCAGCGTGGCTGGGGCAGTGCAGGCTGCATCCCTGAGCCAGCTGCTGCTGGGCTGGGAGTCCCTGCAGGCCATGCAAGCTGAGCCTTACCTGGTTCTTGGGGGCAACGATGTGCCAGGAGCAGGTCACTCCCGCTGGGTAGTCTCGCTCGGGCCAGTTGGGCGTCTGGAAGGACCCCGAGGGCTTCTCCAGTCGCCCCCCACAGTACTGGTCCCCTGCAATGCACACACCCAGCTGAGCAGGGCACAAGCATCATCAGGTCCAGCTCTTAACCCTGCACAGGACCATCCCCAAGAGCAACACCCTGTGCCTCAGAGCATCATCCAAACACCTCTTGAGCTCTGGCAGCCTTGGGGCTGTGCCCACTGCCCTGGGGAGCCTGTTCAGTGCCAACCACCCTCTGGGGAAGAACCTCTTTCTAATAACCACCCTAAACCTCCCTGACACAACTCCAGGCCATTCCCTCGGGTCCTGTCACTGGTCACCAGAGAGAAGAGATCAGTGCCTGCCCCTCCTCTGCCCCTCAGGAGGATGTTGTATCTGCAGTGAGGTCTCTCCTCAGTTATTGATGAGCTATTACCATTTTACTCTTAGGCCCAGTTCTTCCAATACTCTCACAATAGTCAGTCCTTCTCTTTACTGCTTTGATGAGCTAAGATGGGTAAACAGCTAAACTTTGCTATTTGCTAAGCAAGGTAATGAATGAATATGTTGAACAGCACAGTCCCTGATATCTCTGCCATCACATCTTGTTAATCATTAACGTGGCTCTCTATAGAGCTGTACATTTATACAGCATGTATGTAACAGTTAATTACCTCTTTCATGTGGCTCTGCTGCAGAAAACTTCGCAATGAATCCACTTCCAGCAGTGTTGGCATCTGAAGTCATCTGCACCAGCATTTTGTTGCCGTTGGATACGAGGGCGCCCGGCTTGGCAGTGCCGCAGAACCTGCCGATGCGCTGGCCCTGCGCGTGCCCGTTGTAAATGTCCACAAAGTCATAGCGGCACAGGGGGTCGCTCTCCAGGTCCAAGTACCGGAAAGAAAGAACCACCACTTTGCCCTCTGGGACCTGCAAAGAGACAGAGAGAGAGAGGGGGGAGAGGTGCATCTTGAGATGAGACTGACTACGTATCTGTCAGATCCCTCTGTTCCCTGACTGTTCCATGCCCTTCACTTCTCGCCAGGAAGCTCTTTTGGTCAATTATACTCCAGGCAAAGCAGTTTTTACACTAATTTGGACCAATCATAAATAGAAAGCTCTGGCCATCTCTTGCCATTATCTTATTTCTGATCTGCAGTATCCTCTAGTCAGGCTCGTGCAGTTAATGACAAACCATCACTGCCCAGTTCAGCTTGTGTGCTTCTCTTATTTTCTGCTGAAATGTGGAATCAGCCCTGCAGCTCCTTGTCATCAAGCAAGGTGAGGATGAGATTAACATGAAAAAAAAAAATGGAACAAGCAATTTACCATTTTGAAATGGCCTCTCTTTCTGATTTGGGTTATCAAGTTTCATAGTTTGAAGGATTTTTTTTTATTTATTGACACACATCTTACATTTATAAATAAAATTAGAAACCTTATGGATAACACTATTTAGTTATTGGGGTGGCTGCAGTGAAAGAATTATATTTGGAAAGACTATGTAAAACTATAAACAGAAGAACCATCAGTGGGTGTCCTCAGTACACAGAGAGTTTTGTTTTCTGAAATGTCTGAGGAAACATAAGGCAGGGCAAATCTTCTTACATATCTGCATCTGTGGACACTGCAAAAGAGACAAGAGTACTGAGGAGGATGTAAATTAAGACAGCATAATAGTTCACAAGGAGGAAACATTTCCTGGGATAGAGTTGCAAGCTTTTCAGGGAAAAAGCAGCATACTAAGAAGTGAAAATTATTCTAATGAAGCACTTAATGCTGTGTAACAGGACAGGAAAAAAGGAAACGCTATTTTAAAGTATAGAGGGACCTTAGACAGGCTAGTGTAATTATCTGCATTCAATCCATAGCCTGGTAAAGTGGTTAGCTATTAAAATAATTGCAGCTGTTCTGCTTTACTAAGACACTACTATAATTTTCTGCTTTAAACACACTTAATATATCTGCAGTAAGTTCATATTTAAGCCATGATATTTAAGAGTTCATGAATTTTTTTCATTCCTTAACAGTGACTCATTTTAAAACCCCAGTATGAGCTAAACTACAACTAAATTGTTCTTATATGACATTGTCAAACAGTGTTTTAATATTGTGAGTCTCAACAGTTAAAAATTACTTGTCAGGTCAGGTGTAGATGGAATTGCTGTAGATGGAAGTGACCATTTGACCCACAGCAGATACTGATACAGCAGCTCCAGATGGAGTGAAAAATGGGCTGTAGGTGTGTTAAGGTGGCTCATTCATGAACCTGCTTTTACATGCAGTGCTGATACTGATCCTGCAGCAGGACAGATCTTTTCTTGAGCTGCTCTCAACTGCTTGGGGCCACTGGCTGAGCAGCATCACTGCAGTTCCTGTGCCTGGTTTTAGTGTTCACTGGCTGAGCAGCATCACTGCAGTTCCTGTGCCTGGTTTCAGTGTTCACTGGCTGAGCAGCCCCCCTGCAGTTCCTGTGCCTGGTTTCAGTGTTCACTGGCTGAGCAGCCCCCCTGCAGTTCCTGTGCCTGGTTTCACAGTGTTCACTGGCTGAGCAGCCCCCCTGCAGTTCCTGTGCCTGGTTTCAGTGTTCACTGGCTGAGCAGCCCCCCTGCAGTTCCTGTGCCTGGTTTCACAGTGTTCACTGGCTGAGCAGCCCCCCTGCAGTTCCTGTGCCTGGTTTCACAGTGTTCACTGGCTGAGCAGCATCACTGCAGTTCCTGTGCCTGGTTTCACAGTGTTCACTGGCTGAGCAGCATCACTGCAGTTCCTGTGCCTGGATTTCACAGTGTTCACTGGCTGAGCAGCATCACTGCAGTTCCTGTGCCTGGTTTCACAGTGTTCACTGGCTGAGCAGCATCACTGCAGTTCCTGTGCCTGGTTTCACAGTGTTCTCTGGCTGAGCAGCCCCCCTGCAGTTCCTGTGCCTGGTTTCACAGTGTTCACTGGCTGAGCAGCCCCCCTGCAGTTCCTGTGCCTGGTTTCACAGTGTTCACTGGCTGAGCAGCATCACTGCAGTTCCTGTGCCTGGTTTCACAGTGTTCACTGGCTGAGCAGCCCCCTGCAGTTCCTGTGCCTGGTTTCACAGTGTTCACTGGCTGAGCAGCCCCTGCAGTTCCTGTGCCTGGTTTCACAGTGTTCACTGGCTGAGCAGCCCCTGCAGTTCCTGTGCCTGGTTTCACAGTGTTCACTGGCTGAGCAGCCCTGCAGTTCCTGTGCCTGGTTTCACAGTGTTCACTGGCTGAGCAGCCCCCTGCAGTTCCCTGTGCCTGGCTTCACAGTGTTCACTGGCTGAGCAGCCCACTGCAGTTCCTGTGCCTGGTTTCACAGTGTTCACTGGCTGAGCAGCCCACTGCAGTTCCTAGTGCCTGGTTTCACAGTGTTCACTGGCTGAGCAGCCCTCAGTTCCTGGCCTGGTTCACAGAGTTCCTGGCTACAGCTCTGCAGTTCCTGCCTTCACAGTGTCTACTGGCTGAGCAGCCCCTGCAGTTCCTGTGCCTGGTTTCACAGTGTTCACTGGCTGAGCAGCCCCACTGCAGTTCCTGTGCCTGGTTTCACAGTGTTCACTGGCTGAGCAGCCACTGCAGTTCCTGTGCCTGGTTTCACAGTGTTCACTGGCTGAGCAGCCCCCTGCAGTTCCTGTGCCTGGTTTCACAGTGTTCACTGGCTGAGCAGCATCACTGCAGTTCCTGTGCCTGGTTTCACAGTGTTCACTGGCTGAGCAGCACCACTGCAGTTCCTGTGCCTGGTTTCACAGTGTTCTCTGGCTGAGCAGCCCCCTGCAGTTCCTGTGCCTGGTTTCACAGTGTTCACTGGCTGAGCAGCATCACTGCAGTTCCTGTGCCTGCGGTTCTCACAGTGTTCACTGGCTGAGCAGCCCCACTGCAGTTCCTGTGCCTGGCTTCACAGTGTTCACTGGCTGAGCAGCCCCCTGCAGTTCCTGTGCCTGGTTTCACAGTGTTCACTGGCTGGAGCAGCCCCAGTGCAGTTCCTGTGCCTGGTTTCAGTGTTCACTGGCTGAGCAGCCCCACTGCAGTTCCTGTGCCTGATTTCACAGTGTTCACTGGCTGAGCAGCATCACTGCAGTTCCTGTGCCTGGTTTCACAGTGTTCTCTGGCTGAGCAGCCCCCTGCAGTTCCTGTGCCTGGTTTCAGTGTTCACTGGCTGAGCAGCCCCTGCAGTTCCTGTGCCTGGTTTCACAGTGTTCACTGGCTGAGCAGCCCCACTGCAGTTCCTGTGCCTGATTTCACAGTGTTCACTGGCTGATCACAGTGTTCACTGGCTGAGCAGCATCACTGCAGTTCCTGTGCCTGGTTTCAGTGTTCACTGGCTGAGCAGCATCACTGCAGTTCCTGTGCCTGGTTTCACAGTGTTCTCTGGCTGAGCAGCCCCCTGCAGTTCCTGTGCCTGGTTCTCACAGTGTTCACTGGCTGAGCAGCATCACTGCAGTTCCTGTGCCTGGTTTCACAGTGTTCACTGGCTGAGCAGCATCACTGCAGTTCCTGTGCCTGGTTTCACAGTGTTCTCTGGCTGAGCAGCCCCTGCAGTTCCTGTGCCTGGTTTCACAGTGTTCACTGGCTGAGCAGCATCACTGCAGTTCCTGTGCCTGGTTTCACAGTGTTCACTGGCTGAGCAGCCCCCCTGCAGTTCCTGTGCCTGGTTTCAGTGTTCACTGGCTGAGCAGCCCCACTGCAGTTCCTGTGCCTGGTTTCACAGTGTTCTCTGGCTGAGCAGCCCCCCTGCAGTTCCTGTGCCTGGTTTCACAGTGTTCACTGGCTGAGCAGCCCCCTGCAGTTCCTGTGCCTGGTTTCACAGTGTTCACTGGCTGAGCAGCCCCCCTGCAGTTCCTGTGCCTGGTTTCACAGTGTTCACTGGCTGAGCAGCCCCCCTGCAGTTCCTGTGCCTGGTTTCACAGTGTTCACTGGCTGAGCAGCCCCCCTGCAGTTCCTGTGCCTGGTTTCACAGTGTTCACTGGCTGAGCAGCCCCAGTGCAGTTCCTGTGCCTGGTTTCAGTGTTCACTGGCTGAGCAGCCCCACTGCAGTTCCTGTGCCTGATTTCACAGTGTTCACTGGCTGAGCAGCATCACTGCAGTTCCTGTGCCTGGTTTCACAGTGTTCTCTGGCTGAGCAGCCCCCCTGCAGTTCCTGTGCCTGGTTTCAGTGTTCACTGGCTGAGCAGCCCCCCTGCAGTTCCTGTGCCTGGTTTCACAGTGTTCACTGGCTGAGCAGCCCCACTGCAGTTCCTGTGCCTGATTTCACAGTGTTCACTGGCTGAGCAGCATCACTGCAGTTCCTGTGCCTGGTTTCAGTGTTCACTGGCTGAGCAGCATCACTGCAGTTCCTGTGCCTGGTTTCACAGTGTTCTCTGGCTGAGCAGCCCCCTGCAGTTCCTGTGCCTGGTTTCACAGTGTTCACTGGCTGAGCAGCATCACTGCAGTTCCTGTGCCTGGTTTCACAGTGTTCACTGGCTGAGCAGCATCACTGCAGTTCCTGTGCCTGGTTTCACAGTGTTCTCTGGCTGAGCAGCCCCCCTGCAGTTCCTGTGCCTGGTTTCACAGTGTTCACTGGCTGAGCAGCATCACTGCAGTTCCTGTGCCTGGTTTCACAGTGTTCACTGGCTGAGCAGCCCCCCTGCAGTTCCTGTGCCTGGTTTCAGTGTTCACTGGCTGAGCAGCCCCCCTGCAGTTCCTGTGCCTGGTTTCACAGTGTTCTCTGGCTGAGCAGCCCCCTGCAGTTCCTGTGCCTGGTTCTCACAGTGTTCACTGGCTGAGCAGCCCCCCTGCAGTTCCTGTGCCTGGTTTTAGTGTTCACTGGCTGAGCAGCCCCCCTGCAGTTCCTGTGCCTGGTTTCACAGTGTTCACTGGCTGAGCAGCCCCACTGCAGTTCCTGTGCCTGGTTTCACAGTGTTCACTGGCTGAGCAGCCCCACTGCAG